CAGATTTGTAAAATTACTTTGTTCTCTGATAGAACACGTTGCAGGCAATTGCAAGAAATGTAACAAAAAAGATTTACGATAAAAGAAAGTTAAAACTATGAGCGATTGCTGCAGAATTTCTTGTTTTTTATTGTGTGGCCTTATCTTGTCTGAAACCTTGTCGACACGTCAAAAGTAATTTGTCCGGAACAATTCACTCCGCCGGGTATAAGTTTTGCAGAGCGGCTGCTCTTCAGCCTGTGTCGAAACGTTCTCTACAATAGATGCCGCCAAATTTCCAATAAACAAAAAGAATCTTTTCATTTCAAAAAGCTGACAAATCGCTTGTCCATGGCGGCTTTAGCTAGTGTCGAGTACCGATGTTCTGATTTATGTTGATGTTATCTCCAACAAACAGTCCATTTTTGCCAGTCGATCGGATTTGCACGCCGTCATTCTCAATAAATTGGCCTTCCCTAGTCTCCACTGCTCGATCTCCAATTATACTTTGAAGACTCTGATCTCATAAACCATCGCACAAACACGATTCCAATAAATATCAGTCCAAAGCATTTGTAATCTGCGACCACAAATCAGATGAGACCAGATCTGTGAGAGTCTATCTTTTTGTCGAGGGTCGAGGGTCGAGGGTTCCAGGTCGAGGGCGAGGGTTCCATGTCGAGGGTCGAGGGTCGAGGGTAACCTTTTTTTTTCCAAAATTTTTTTTTTTGGATAAGGTAATAATCGATGCATTAAAAAAAATAAGAAGAATTAAAAAAAAAAAATGGCGCGTGAACATCTTGTAGTTGTTGGGTGGGGGGGGGGGGGGGGGGGGGGTTCAGGTTGGACTAGAGAAAAGCTCCGAGACATCTCAATTTGTTTTCGAAGAATTACATTTATAACACCCGGAAACCCATACCAGAACACATTTCTTGAAAACAATGATTTTTGCCGTAAAACAAGAATGAGTGCGTTGAATTATGAATTTCTGGTCCAACCAACAAGAATGGAAGGAAAAAACTCTTATTGTGTTGTAAAATGTGTCATAACATGTGTCATAAACGAACAATGCAATCGTTGTGTGTTTCCACTTTTGTCACTTTTGTCCGTCGTAGAAGTGTTGAGAGACAACAGAAAGAAACTCTCTTCTAATCCGAAGACGAAGAAATTAGAAAAGTTCTCGAGGGAAGTGGGGGCCTCGAGTTGGAAAATTTTTTTCTTTTCGGCTACCATTTTCTACCACTAGATCCCGTAATTGAAATAACAATAGTTTTTGAAACATGACAAACTGACGAGATTTAGGACTGTATATCCTCCAGTGATGGCTGACCTGAGATTAATGGCCTCCCTCAAATAATACCCCTCCCCAACTTAAGGGAAATTAATATGAAACACCATGGAAAAAAATCTAGCTAGAATCGCTTCATAAATTCAAATCAAGATGTAACACTGTACCCGCTAGATGTTGTTATCGAGTCCCACTGAATAGCCGGTAGTTTCGAAAACGAAGCACTCGAAAACGAAGACCGAAGCACGAAGCACCCAAAACTCGAAAACGAAGCACTCAAAACTCGAAAACGAAGCACCCAAAACTCGAAAACAAAGACCCCTAGATTGAAAACGAAGCACCGTATCTCGAAAACGAAGCACCCTAGATCGAAAACGAAGACCCCAAAATCTCGAAAACGAAGCACTCAAAACTCGAAACTACTCTAGGTTTAATAAGTGCAACTTTAATTTTATTATTGGTCTCACTATACTTGATACATCTTACCTTAATTTTCGGTACACATACATGTTTATGTAGACTTCAAAACTGTCCGTCAGCATATTTGGCGTATTCAAGTACGTGTGATCGTGAGCAGTAACACAAAAGGTCTGAAACGAGGCTGAAAACGGAGTGTGAGGCTCGCGCGTATTACTCTTACGCCACGCTTTACCGACTGCTTTACTGATTTTGAGAAAAAAACCGATTGTTTTGCAGTCTAACATATTGGATATCTATGACACTGCGTGATCAGATCAGATCTGCAGATCCAGGCAGAATTTGTTCTAGGATAACAGCCTGGGACCAGGGTCCATGGTGTGGAACAGGAGAATTCGATTCGTTATCGTGCTTGATTCCTGCTGTATTAGCATTGGTCTCGTGTTTATAAAGGACAGACCAGTCTCGAGGTTTTGGGGTCTTCGTTTTCGAGTTTTGGGTGCTTCGTTTTCGAGATAGGGTGCTTCGTTTTCGAGATTTGGGTGCTTCGTGCTTCGGTCTTCGTTTTCGAGTGCTTCGTTTTCGAAACTACCCTGAATAGCCATGTAAGGCAGATTCTTGTTGGTTGGGCCAGAAATTCATAATTCAAAGTACGCATTCTTGTTTTACGACATTTTAATTTTTTTTACGACACTTTTTTTTGGAATCAGTGTTTTCAAGTAACGTGTTCTGTTCGTGGCATTGGTTTCCGGGGTGTTATAAATGTACTTCGAAAACAAATTGGGATGTTCCGGAGCTTTTCTCTATTTCAACCCCCCTCCCCCACCCAACAACTAGCAAGTGTTCACGCGCCATTTGTTTTTTAAATTCTTCTTATTTGTTTTAATGACATTGATTGCATCGATTATTACCTTTTCCAAAAAGAAAAATTGGGGAAAAAAAATGTTACCCTCAACATGGTACCCTCGCGTGGACATATCCACACATATTAGCTCTACTTGTTGGGTTGGGAGGGGAGGGGGGGGCAGAACACGTTACTTGATAACGGGAATTTCAAAATAACCAATAAAGGACATGCGGCTAACCTAACCAGTTTTTGGCTAGGTGGACCGACCCATCTTCATGAGATGGAGGCGATGAAAAACGAAACATATTATTTTATTGAAAGTTCGCATAATCGGTCTGCTTCGATCTGATCGCTGTTCGTGAATAAAAGCTCCCCTTTTCGTGCAAAATAGGAAATAATCGCTGAAGCCGTTGTGCTGAAAGTTTTTGTGCAGACACCTCTGATTTCTGTCTGAAATAAAGATGTGTACAAAATTAGTTTCGCCACATGACTTCCTATTGTCCCAGTGCCGCCATCAACTGCGCCGATAAGTTCCTTTTGTGTTTCAGGTTTTTTCAAATTTCTGCAGTGATACACTTTTTAAGCTGCAGAACATAACGTTGGTAATTGAAGGAGTTTATTATTGTGGCGCGACTCGGGCGATAGCATGAACCATCTACGCACCAACGTACCTAAGTCACGATTTCTGGTGTCGGTGATTGTTTTAATGACATTGATTGCATCGATTATTACCTTTTCCGAAAAAAAAATTGGGAACAAAAATGTTACCCTCCACATGGTACCCTTGCGTTCCTTTTGCGTTTCAGGGTGTTTCAAATTTCTGCAGTGATACACTTTTTAAGCTGCAGAACATAACGTTGGTAATTAAAGGAGTTTATTATTGCGGCGCGACTCGGGCGATAGCATCAAACGTACCTAGGTCACGATTTCCGGTTACTATTATCAATGACTTGTATTTTAAAATTTCATGACAAGTTTCTACTTCATTGAAAGCACGACAATTCGGTCGCATACAGAATCTGTGAAATATCCATATTCAAACTACCCCACTGAACAGGCAAGCAAGGCAGAGAGGAGGCAGACGTGACTGAAATATAAGCCGCGAAGCAGGGGGCACCCAACCACGGTTACCTCCTAAATGCATTGAAAACACTTTTTCGCTTATCCAGAGTACTTTCAAATCTCTAGAAATACATTCTAAGCGGCGCTATAAAAGTTGTATCTGTTCGGTCGTCCTAGGGCAACTTGAATCTTTTCGAAATCACTTAGGGCCTCAGTATTACTTTCCCGAAAATTTTAGATGCAATTTTAGGTTTTACGAAAAAGTGAGAATTTGTCTGACTCCTCTCTCCGTCGCATCTTCTACTCCGGAAATTTTAGGTTTCCTTTTTCTAAGAAAAATAGTCTAAGTTGGGGACTGAAATGTGAAAAACTAAACTTTAGAAAATCGTAGGGAATTAATTAGATACGCTACGAAAACTGTACATGAATGGAACGGCCATCTAGAAATTTTTAGCCTTCCTCAAGTAACAGAAAATTGTAGGCAATTTTTGCTTCCCCTGCCTACGCTGTATGACATTTTTTTTTAGGCACAACCTGTCGTCCTTCACAGGAAGGGAGAAGGTTCTTCACTTTTTAAGCGAATTCGAATTTTAATAAATCAACAACAACAACAACATCACATTTTCTTTATGGATGTCTCGGAGCTTTTCTCTATTCCAACCCCACCCCCCCTCTCCCCGCCACCCAACAACTACAAGATGTTCACGCGCCATTTGTTTTTTAAATTCTTCTTATTTTTTTTAATGCATCGATTATTACCTTTTCCAAAAAAAAAAAAAAAAAAATTGGAAAAAAAAAATGTTACCCTCGACCCTCGACATGGAACCCTCGCCCTCGACCTGCAACCCTCGACCCTCGACCCTCGACAAAAAGATAGACGAAAACAAAGCATACCTGGTTTGATTGATGTTTCGAATGCTAAGTAATCAACACTACCCGCACCGCGCCAATCAGCTTGGCCTAAAAGTCGCTAATTAAAAAGAACCAAAACTGGAAGACAAAAACTTTTTGGAAATGTGTTTGTTAGTACAGTGCTTGCCAAAAGGAAATGAATTTTTCTTGAGCTAATCCTGGGGATGGCTTAAATGCCTCAGTGAAAGATCCAATACTACTCTGCTAAAGAACTCAAGTTGCATCGCAAAAGTCGCATTGAAATTGATAAACCAATTCGCCGTACTAATTTACAATTTCATTCTCCTTCGCCAGCTCATCCGAATGAAGATAATTTTCTTACTACCAGCTAAATGACGACAAATAAACAATATAGGAAGTTGTATCGCATACAGTACTAGAGGAGCGATAGCTGGATAATGAAAATTCTGCTACGCGTAGAATAAATACTCTCGCTAATGGATGCAACCGGAAAAGCACATAGGTCACGTGTAAACTCCCAACATGAAAAGAACAATGCGTCAAGCGCAGTCCATAAGTAAATACATTAGTTGTTTTGTTGTTACTATTGTTTTGGATTCTAGTCTCCTACTGGACTTTGTTTACAGCGATAATCTCGTATAACCACATCAGTGAATTTCACACATACTATATGGCCATATGCGGTAATTATTCACCGAGCTACGGCGTCCTGTGGTAAGCTTGCCCGCCCTCATGTAGTTCAAGTGAAGGATAAGCGTGACGGCATGCAGTTCAAGTGAACGGAGGTAAGAAATTTCAGTTGCTTTTAGTGTCTTTAATTATATTGTATTTTATCTTAATTTTTGCTGAAGAAAGGTTTGAGGAAACGGAAACTTTGACGGCACAGATTAGAAAAGTATGAAATTAGCCTTCTCGTCGATAAATATTAGTCGACAAGCTTCGACAGTTCAGGGCTCGCATCAAAAAGTCCCTCTCGGTAGTTAGTCACTTCAGTTTATTATTTCTTTCTGCTTATATATATCTTTAAAAATGTGCACCGTTTTTTAAGTCCGGCCTCATGAAGATGATTTTCTTTTGTATGAATGTAAAAATTCTGTCTTAGTATGGCTTGAGGACAAGCGAACAGCAAATTCAACCGCTCGAAATGAACGAAAAGAAAAGAAAACGTCTGTGTAGAGGCTACAAATTATAAGCTGCTACTGATATTGTCATGTCATGCATCAAAATATCGAAAAACAGCGAGAGATTTACGGGACTAAAAGAAGAAAAGATCCAAACCTTGAAGAACAACGAAACTTTGAAAAACAACTTATAAATAACGGACTCCATGCGGGAGAATCTGTAGAAACGTGAAACTACATCAAGTGGATAGGAGTGCACGAATCGGTCAAATCGGTCAAGACTAAAAGATTCAAACTGGTCCTAAACTAAGCTTTTGATTACCAAGCGACTTTCATTCGCAATTGCAGACTTTTTCAACTGCATTCTGAAATATTAGAATAACAAGAGTGTTCGTCGACCGAAATCTACCTGCATAATATTAAAGCATCGATACATGATTAACGTAACCAATATTGTTTCAATCAATGAAAACTTTTATATCAATAAACAGATAATACTACAGAAGCACTGCCCGCAGCTAGCAAAAATATTCAAGGCAGGACAGTGGATGCGAAATACGAAGGCTAACTAAGGAAAGTTTACACTTGAGATTCCAACCGGGAGTCTCCCGATGGATTCACCGGCGAAAAATGTAGGCGCATGCTGTGCAAAAAATGACACGTGATCGATTTCGCGTAATGTCATTGGCTCCGAGGCAAAAATGCGAGCGAAATGTTGTTGAGATGAAAGAAGCGATGAATTCGAGATCGTGCGGGATACTTAAAATCGTTTGCCCAGAGATTTGTTTCGATTTTCTAACAGATTGGAGCCTAGTTAGGCCTTAGAAAGTCAATTTGCGAAATTCTAAGTGATAGCACATTGTAAAAATTTGCATTATTTTAACCCTCTAATTTTGAACGGTAGAAATTGTCAATAGGGCCTATTATTAACAATACCTTTTGGCCACAAAATTATTACAGCTTTCACAAATTAATCGTCTTATAAGAAAGAAAGGGTCATAAAAACTATTCGTGTTTTTCAAAGGCTGCCAAATCGTTGTGGTTTGACGCACAAGTCAATGGAATTTCGTTTTCTCGAATTTTTACAAAAGAACACGTTATTTGGGAACACTAACTACAGCATGTTTCATTACTCATTAAGGGTTATCGATGAGCCAAAAATGAGCGAAATCAAATTTTGAACTTGTGCCGACCGTGGGTCGATATTTACGGAAAGCCGCTCTTCAAGTTTTACGAAAGTAAGAAATTTTTTGACTTCCCTCTCCATCGCATTTTCGAATCTGAAAGTTTCAAGTTTCCTTTGTCTACGAAAACAGGAAATTTATTAGATAAACTTCTAGAATTGTACACGAATAGAATTTTAGTCTTCCTCAAGCTATAGAAAATTTTGGGCCATTTTTGCCTCTCCGAAGAGATATTTCACAAAAAAAAGTCGTTGGGTGCCTCTGTCTCTTCTGCGTGCGCCACACTCGGGTTCCCTGAGGAGTAGGACAAAGCGGCCTTGGCCGGGATGGAACTATTTTATTTGATGGCACATTCTTTTTTGTTAATTTGTACTTCCATGTTAATTGAAAACAACAACGTTCAAAGCCGATATTGCGTCTATTTTGTCACCACACAGCAGGTGTATTCCGAGAAAAAAAAACAAGAAGTCCAAAGACTACTGCAAAGCTTATCATAACAACGTGTATTACTTTTTCATAACAATATTTCCGGTTGGCCATACCATACTATTTTAGCTGATTAGATCTCTTTTCTAGAGATCCAACGTTCATAACCAGCAGGATCTTCGTCCAGGGTTTTTGTAGTTCATTTGTATTCCCAGCAGTATGCAGGTCTAGTGTCAGATGAGAATCTGAGTTGGCAATCAATTTGAGTTTCTCTATGTCCTTCACGACTCATACAATCACAATTAAGGTGGCTCGAAACAGTTTTTTTGGGTCAATACCTCCCAAGTTTGAACATAAACTACGTCGCCATAAGCAAAGATTTGGAAAAATTGCCACCACAGTTATATTAGATAAAGATGAAAATTTGTTATAATCAGGGTTGCAATGACATCGGAGTTGTCATAGCAACGACGAAATGACGCTATTACCTATTTTACTTGCAGAAGTATTTATCGCCACTGGAATTGTTCTCTCAAAATCGTTCACGGGAGCTTTTTCCTCCAATAGCGGTCTCGATGTTTGTGAAGTTTAAGCGAAATCGGTAAGAGCGTTATCGAGATATTTTGGGATGAAGTTTTTATGGCTAGAAACACAATAGAAAATGGACAATCTTGATATTTGGCCGTTATCTGTAGAAAACGAAGCGCTTTTGACATGCAATTTCACCTCATAGTAGTTTCGATCTTTTTAAAAACGTGTGTGAAAGATCATGGAGATAGCTCCAGCCGATTGCTAGAAAGAGGGGTTTGATTAGTATGAAAAACTGTAATGCTTCTGCAGTGCTTCTGGCTCGCGTAAAACGCCACCCTTTTCTATTTTTGTTTGTATTACGTAATAGTTCGACTCACGTGAAGTATGGTATGATCACGCAATCATGCCGAAGCACAAAGATCTAATTTGTCCTTATACCTTAAATATCATTTTACAGGTGCCGGAAGGCATGAACAAGATCAGAAATCAACTGTACTCAGGGCTCCAACTAATACGCTAATTACTGAGATCTTTACGATCTTACTTAATGCTGCACCAGGCCCGTCAACCAAGGAATATTCCAATAATCAGGTGGGTTTCTGATTCGGGTTGGTTAAGTTAGTTGATCAATAATTCGAGAAATATACACGGCAATTTTCCGGCACTCTTTCACTGGAGGCCTGCTTAGAGGTATCTCCTACTTTGCTTTATGTTTTTATGCTAAATCGATTTCGATAGCCTAGGTTCCCATCTTGACGCAATATGGGCTTGTCTCTCGTTAGTTGTGGGTTCCTTTTCTCGGCCATGCATTAATTATTGCAAATTTTACAGCGAGGAATATCCATTGCCCGCAGTTAGAGGATTAGCTACATATATACAAATAGCTCACAAGTAAGACTAGAGACAAAGAGTTAGTAAAGTTATTTTTCGACATTTGACGCATTTCACACGGTAAACTATTGCAGATTTTTACACCATATCTTGAAAAAAACTTAGTCTGTTTGTCTAACCTTGAGTGTTAAACGTAATAGTCACCCGTAGTTACTAAAACATGTAACGACCTAAAACCACCTAAAACCATCTACAACCATCTAAAACTACCTACAACCACCTCAAAAAATTCAACAACCACCTACAACCATCTACAACCACCTCAAAAACATCTACAACCACTCGCAAACAATCTAAAACCATCTAAAACAAGGTATAAATGTCTGAAATAAGGCGAGACGACAACATGTCACGAACATGAAATACGAGAATCGAACAAAACATCCACTTCCCCCTAAAATCTTACTCTCCCTGGTCCCTTGTATCATCAACCATTGGCTTAAGTCACGAAATGAAATGCGAGATCATGCTAAGTATATTAAAAGACTTAAAGAACTTTACAAAATGAACTGTCAAGTCACAAAAAATAATAAAATAAAATAACAAACTCGTAGTCGAAAGACGTGAGACGTTTTGGTTCACGTTTCATTTGTTTACGCAATGGCACAAGGTAGGGTTTCTCTCTCACTCTCGGAGTCTGCTTCACTGCTGTTTTGTTCTGAGGTGGCGGATTACATTCCTAAGAACAAGTTCATTTTTTTAGCATCTCATTCGCCAAACATGTTTGTACATTCCAGGTGACTCCTTTAGATGAGCCCTAGTGTCTTTCACACCCGATTCCTGTGTCATCACGCAAGGCTAAACTCCATTGCGTCACGACACAGGAAACGGAGACTAGTAGGTGTAATCATTGTTGAAGATGTTATTTAAAAAAATCTATAATGCAATGGATTCAGAAGAAAACAAGTTAAGAAGAGCCGAAATTAATAAAAATGGGTTGAAAAATTTTAATAGTGAATGATTGTATTTAAAGTAATTTACCTGGATTTTTATATACCTTTATTATGTTTTGGAACCCAACTTTCACCCGGCCCTCTTCTTGGGGGTGATGGGATATGCGCGCTTCTTATTTTCGCTTTGCTTGTTGTAAATACGTCCCCACTATACTATCTGAGAGCCTGGCACAGGCTAGAGTAGCTGGAACTTTACGACCTAAAACGGAACGAAAAATTTGGATCACATATTCGGGTCTTCCCTCCCCACCAAGGGATGTTACTGGTAAGAACGTTTTGATTCATTTTGCTGAAAAGAATTATCAAATATCATTATATTATGTTTTCTAACTCTTGCAACTGTAAACGGGTTAATAGCTGTATAAAATCAGGCTCTACAAGTGAGACACGTTCACACTAGACTAAAGGATCCTGCGGGACTACATACATTTGTGTGAAACTATTTCAGACATTTATACCCTGTTTTAGATGGTTTTAGATTGTTTGCGAGTGGTTGTAGATGTTTTTGAGGTGGTTGTAGATGGTTGTAGGTGGTTGTTGAATTTTTTGAGGTGGTTGTAGGTGGTTTTAGGTGGTTGTAGATGGTTTTAGGTGGTTTTAGGTCGTTCCATGTTTTAGTAACTACGAATAGTCACCTCCTGAAGGTGATCGTGCATTATATGAATGAATATTAGATTGGTAAGCAAATAAGTTGTTAAATATGTTAGTAGGTGTTTACCGTGTTAAGCTGTTAGATATATCATGCATTGGAATAGCAACAGATTTAAGTAGAGTAGATCTAAAAGAAGAAAGCCATGGGAGACAAAATAAGGTTAAATAAGGTACTGCATGAGAATTGTAGTCATCAAAGAACATGAGGCGGAGGGCGCGTTTTTGAAGAGTAAGAATTTTGTTTTTGTAAGTTTTAGCAGCTTGGCCCAAAGAGACTATGCCATACAGTAAGTAGTGCTGGATAAGAGATATGTATATATGGTGTATGAATATTACAGTATCCGTTTATTACGTATCCAGGGTTTGAGCTAGGATTTGATCACTGGGGGACAATTTGTCCCCTTGGCTAAAATTTTGGGGGACATTTTCATTTTTAGGGGGACAGAAATTTGTACACCCTTCTGCTGATGCAAAGGGATTTGTCTTCTTAGCAGGGCTTCTGATAGGTCTCGGAAGAAAAAGTCAAATTTCGCGGGATTTTTAGGGACAAATTCGCGGAAAAATCGGCCGATTTCGCGGGAGTTTCGTGGCAAACTTCACCGAAAAGCAATTGGTAAAAAACGGCCGATTTTGTGGTTATTTTCAAGGCAAATTTCGCTAGAAATCGATCGGTTTTGCGCAAATCAGACCAGCCTTTTTAACGTTTTTCTAACAGAGGTCATTATTTGCTCTTTCAACGCCAATACGCTCCAGAAATGAACCAATGGCAAAGCCTTTAACATCATGGCTAGTGCCCAGTTTTTCGCAACATAATCTGTTTGCACGTTTCAGTGACGAAGTTCCAAGATAAATTTGCAAGTTTACGGCAAGTAAATAGCCCCATAGCTGAAATAAGTTTCAAATATGTTGTACAGACATGTATTTGATAAGATTTCTACCGAATTTCGCGGTATTTTTCGTGTTTTTGTGAATTTCGCGACTCCGCGACCGCGCGAAGAATTAGAAGCCCTATCTTAGATTTCCGACAAAAATAGCAGTAGAGCGTGACTGAAACGTAACTTTGGAATGAACTTTAAAGGTGCGATAAAATATACTTTCCACGATCTGTTTCAGCTGGCAATTTCTGTACTGAAATAAATCTCTTCGTGTGTGCTTCCTTTCGAGTTTTTTCCCTAAATTTTGAAGGGGACAAATTGTCCCCTTGGCCGTTTTTTAAAGGGACAATTCCAATTGCAGTGCGGGATTGGCGCAATGGCGCGGCCTGGCTCAAACCCTGCGTATCCTGTTCAAAGGTGAACAGAAACTAAAGGAGCCGTCTGTATTTGTCTGTTTGTTTCTTTTTGTTGTTGTTTTACCTTGCAAAATAAATCAATCGCGGAGCATTTGGTTCCGTCGTGTCAGTGTCAGGTCTGGAGTCTGAAACAGGCCGAGGAAGTCTGTTTGGATCTCCATGATCACGGAAATCACACCAGCTCCTCCCATCAATGTTCTAGTTCCATTATGTCGTTGTCTTACTCCGCGAAACTCGAGATTGTTTTCTTCTTTTGTAATTATGTGGGATGAATAGTCAACTTTGTTAGTATCCGACGCAAATGAAAATAAGGATTTAATTCAACAAAGTTTAGTCGCCGAGAATAGCTACGAATATTCCAAAATGAAATCTTGTCCACTATAAAAATCCAGAAACGTCACAAAATTCAAACCAACAAACACGTTAGCAAGGCATTCGGATCAGCAGATAAACAGATTGCAAAAGTTATCTCCTTGTGAACTTGGCCTCAATGAAACCGCGACCGCGAGTCTTAAAATATCAACTGAAGCATTCGCTGCTTCATGTCAAGCAGCATCTGTCGAAAAGCATGGAAGAAAATTGACCGAAGAGTTACGAGAGTTTCCCCGGCTCCAGCGACCTTGAACTGCAACACATGCCCGCTTATAAACAAGCTAGTAAACGTAAACAACTTCTCACGCAATAATGCCGCATGCCTGACTGAATTACCAAGACATGTGTGCATGCTAGAGCGCTTTTCGATTGAGTGTCGTAAAACCAAAACCAAAGTAATCACAACGGCCAATTAGAACAAACGAAAATATCAGAGGGAGCCAATGAAAAATCGAAGTAAACGCATGTAACCGGCCTTAAGCGCGGGAAAACGCAAGTAACCAGGTTGCGATTGGTTTTAGTTTTGTATCTGATTGGCTTAGAAGGTGGTGCGAGTTTTCTAGACCACTCACAGAGCACAGTAAAGCAAAACCAATGCAATTCCGGATTACTTTCGACACTCAATTGAAAATTACTCTAAACGTTAAAATAATAATAATAATAATAATAATAATAATAATAATTAATAATAATAATAAATGTTCTGTGGTTTGATCCTCTGAACTGTGGGTCTAAGAAACGTATGAAATTTGTTGGTAGTCCGTCGCCAACGTGTGGCGTACCTCCGGCGTAAATAAGCGTTATAACGTCAGAAGTAAGGACTGATTCGAAAGGGCCAACTGTTAAAGGACCATCTGAAAATCTTCAGTCTATTTACAGACTGATAAATTGATTTTGTTCATTTAATAAAAACCATCAGGGACCGGTGGAACTAGCCAAGGAAAAATGAAACGACCTTGCTCATTAGGAACAACCAAAGCGTCCCGGCTTTACGTGTTGACATGAGCCTAGTCTATATACATGAATTCGTAGGTTTTAGTTATTTGTTTTATCAGCCAGTGGATGAAAAGATCAAAACAAGGACTCCTCGGCGTTTTCCCGCTAAAGAAAACCTTAATATGGAGAGTGCAATGTTGGATTGGCCTATCGCGTTGTAGTATGACGTCAAAGCGAAGTATCCTTTGATTTCTAGGAAGCATGAAGTTTTTTCAGCCGAGCGTTCGCTTAACCAACCAAAAGCCACGCGCGTTTGTATCGGTTCGATAAACCAGTCAAATCATTCTATTTCCGTTCGTTTGTTTTCAATCATGTTGCCGACACATCCGCGAACGTTTGAAAACATATTATTTTATACGGATTGGCCCCTTTTATTCTAAAATTCTCCATTGCTTCCTCTGAAATTAATGTTTAGCCAGTAAAGTTGTGTAGTCAAGCCTTTTAAAGTGATGGTCAGCTTAGAACAACTGTAGTCTTCCTTACGGATCTCATTTGATCCGTTTAACGCTTAGCTAAAACAAACTATGCCTTCTTTCGTTTAACACCTGATTTTTACTTTCCACTCAAGGTATGAACCTCCTAAATTCCAGCCGTCGCCTTTTTTATGGTCTTGTTCTGGTGGCTATATTATCGCTGCTCCTCTACGTGATGAAGTTTCAAGGTAAGTATCTTCATTTGTCGGCGGAAAAACTTGCTAACAAACGACTATGAATTGATTTAATTGTAGCCTACGATGTTTTTCGCCAAAAACGGCAAATCTGCTAGCCTGATCATGAATTTCAGTCGTGTTTTCAAGTCGCAAACCAGTTCTCCGTGGAGTTTGCTACTCGAGGTCTGCGACGAGGCTACAAATCCGTAAAGGTCTTAAGAAAGCTGAATTTTTTTTCCAAGTAAAGTTTTCCTTGGCGTCTTCATGGTTACACTCTAAGTTGCTGGTAAAAGGCCATGTCTGAATCTTGTTTATGTGCAGCCTTTACTCCTGATAGTGCAGGAACTGCACAAAAAAGACCTCGTTTTGATGCCAATTAGAGGCTGTGGGGTACATAAAGGGAGTAGGGAAGAAGCTAGGTCTTGTCTAGCAGTTTGAACTCTTCCCTTGAAACGGTTTAAAAAGATTACTTCTTGTTATTGTCCTGTCTTTCTAGAACACAACATGCCAGCTTTGCCCCGTTTCTGCAAGCCAGTTTTGACAGATCAGTGCGGTAGCGCATGGCAGATAAAGTACTGCAATTTCCACAAATCAGCGCTCAAGTCACTGAAAACAAGCAATTTCCTCAGCTACTTTTGCTACGGCGCTGGTAGAGGGTGTGGAGGTTTAGGAAATCGGATACAGGGGCTGGTGTCCCTGTTCTACTTAGCTATGCTAACAAATAGAACATTTCTGATCCATTGGGATGGCCCGGGAAAGCTTGAAGAGTACCTAGAACCAAACCAGATAGCCTGGACGTTCCCGCTTAGTAGTTTGGGTCAATTTCGGAAAACTTACTGGGGTGTTTCAGGCCCTCAGTCTGGTTATGATACGAACAGAATCGAATCAGCAACTCAATTCGCAAACTGGACATCTTATGTTGATTTTGATGCTTACTTGGGTCGTTTCGATGCTATTGGCACTATCTTCTTTTTCGCTGAGTTTCTTTGGAAAAATCCGTTTCTCAGAGAACGAGCTCGTCAACTCGGAATTCCATCTTCACCATATAAAATGCTGGGATGTGCTTTCCACTTTCTCTTCAAACAAACAAGGGTGATGAAAACGTTTTTGGAAGAAGCAAGAAGATCGCTTTCCAGGCATCCACCTCTTCTTGGAATTCATATCAGAACAAGTGATCACCATTTTGGGAGTAAAAATGAATTTTCTTACAGATCTCACAACACATCAAGCTTTTTTATATGTGCTTTACAACAGAGTGCTTTCATTCTAGCAAACACTCATCACTCAAATTTCACAACTTTACAATGGTTTCTCGCTGCAGACAACCAAGAAGTCAAAGACATGGCGAGGAAGAATTATGCGAACGAAATAATATCTCTGGGATTCCGACCCATGCATACAGAATTTTCCAGTTGGTCAACAGGTGCAAAAACAGTCGTGCGTGATGTTTTAACTGACGTCTTTCTTCTCGCTGAGAGTAGTTACCTCCTCGTAACTTCAGAAAGTACTTTGAGTGATTTAGCGGCGGCTGTGGGGTTACACACTAAAGAAAGCATTGGAGATGGAGAAAAATGCCTGGTAAACAGAACTTCTTTGCTTAAAATCATTCAGGCTATCAGTAATTAGAATGTTATTACAATTTCTACTTAGCCTTATATCAAAGGACCAAAATACCAAATAGGATACCTTTGTTTACGACAAGATTAGATTAAATAAGTTGAGGTTACTGATGGAAGGTAGATACGGTAAAAAATAAGCTAAATAAGAAGCTTGTCAACAGACGTGGTTTTCTTGCTTGTTTTCTTTTCTTTAGCTCAGTCGGTAGCGCTTGACTACAGACCGGGAGGTCGCAGGCTCGATTCCCGGGGCCGGACCAATACTTAGGGTCTTTAAAGTAGTAGTAGTAGTAGTAGTATATCTTTATTGCGCCTTACTCTCCAAAGGGAGGCATCGGTCTAGTTACAATAAAGGTTTTTTCAACTACAACAAATTTAAAAAGAAAGAAAAATGAACGGAAACAACAAAATTATACAGCATATACCAGGGGCGGATCTAGGGGGAGGGTGCAGGGGGTGCGCACCCCCCCACCCCCCCCTGAGATGACCTGCGGTTTTCTAATACAACTGGTATTCTGCAAAAAAAAAATACTATCTGGTTTATTTGTGTTGAAGTAGAGCAAGAGACGAGTGCACCCCCTACTATTACGATAATAATTATACTATAATTTAATTACCGTATTTATTCGAATAAGCGCCCAACCTCGAATTAGCGCCCACCTCGAATAAGCGCCCATCCTAAAGGAAGAAAAAGTTAATAAGCGCCCAGCCTCGAATAAGCGCCCACCGCCTCCTCCTCCCCATCAAACTCAAATAAGCGCTCACCCCCACCACACCCACCTAAGTGAATAAATTCTAATAAGAGACTTCCCCGAGGACGGAGTTTTCTTCAGAGTATTTTACAGAAAACTTGCTTTGCTACCTCTTCGCGTTTTGTTATTAACATTTATTGTTTTGTTGCAAAATAAACATACTTCACTTGCTGAAAATGGTGAAAATTTAATAAGCGCCCAACCTCGAATAAACGAATATGCGCCCACTCTCAAGGTCCAAAAATTTAATAAGCGCCCAGGGCGGTTAATCGAATAAATACGGTACCTAATCAATTGGATTTTTGGATTTTTGGAACTGTTTTCGTTTTTGAAACATTAGATGGGAATATTTGGCTATAATATGTGAGGTTTTGTCATTGTCCAATCTGAGTAAATATAACGTTCTATCATGATCTGTTAAATTGATGAAGGTTAGCACAGGGTAGAGGGTAGCACAGGAGAAGTCATGGACCCTGTTCACGTGCAAATTTTGACAAATTTTACGTATCACGTGCTCTATAAACCAATTTTCAACCTCTCCCGCCCTAGCCTCCCACGCAGACGTTCTTACGGGTTCGTCACGCAATCATTCCTCTCCCACGAGGTAGGAACGCGTGACGAACCCCTAAGAACGTTCGCGTGGGAGGCTAATCCCGAGCGTTAATCAAAGAGATTACGATCCGAACCGAAACTAAGCCACCATGGATCAGACTTCGACGGTTGTCATACCGAAATATTTCAAAGACTACACTGACCGCATGCGGTTTTTAGGTTTTAGTTTTTTGGCAATTATTAACCAGGACAAAAACGTAACGGAAAGAATCCAACCGACGGCGCTGTTCAATCTATTTGTCCTATACTACTAATTTTCACGAAATGGGACAAACAATTCACGAGTCCCGCATATCTTACAAGATAAATCACGTATCCACAAGTGGTTTCACGGATCACGTTCGTATTATAGCAAATTTCACGCGTCACAAGCCAAATTTCGGCCACCGTCTTAAAATAACTGAGAAATGAAGGTACTATAGTTTGCCTGCAAACGGCGAGACCTTACGGTGTCTCGGATGACCACGTAAAATTACATCCTAAATTAGTATATTGTCTCTCAAGTAAAGTGCCTTTTTTCCCCCTTTTTTTCTCAAGTTTCCTTGAGAAAACCCCGCACTGCGTTCGTTGTGAAATCAAGAAATCTCACTTTCATTCGTGGTACTATACAGTAACACCGTAAATTTAACGGTCAGATTTAAGATATAACATGGGTTTCCTCGGTTAGTTCTCTGATAAATAATCAGCTTTCTTTAAGATTAAGATATCTATGTCAGGTATTTACTATCTCGCTCCACTCCTATCTGACCCTATCTCCTAGCTCCTACCTCCTAACGTTTGCAAATGTCCTCTTACAATTCGGCTGCATGAATTCTTCTCCAATACACCTCACAGTAATCGATTTTGTTTGTCTGTTTATTTTCCATTTTCGCTAAGGAAAAGAAACATAACCTCAACGTGCTATTTGTCTACTAATTATTCTCTTAATATTTTCATTTTCAGCAACCCGAAAATCCCGTATTTTCCAATTTTCCCAAATAATTACTACCTCACCCTAATTTTTCTACATTAAAACAGTCCAGAAATCATCTAAATATTAATGATCCAGCCTTTTCGATTGAATGAAATCTTGGCTAGATATTTAAGAAAAAGGGCGAAAATAAACGAAAAACATTGCTTTTAACCAGCCTCCCCCCTTAAATGATAGATTTTCCTACCCTTCATATACTTCAGCTTGTAAATATAGGCAGTAACCCCCCCCTGGGATCCGCCCCTGGGATCCCCCCTGTACCTGTAGAGGAGTTTCGACGTGACCACCTTTGGTCTTCGTCTTCGCCCAAGGAAAGAATTAATAAGACAGTCATGCATCTGATGATGTTGGCAACGGTTTTACAAGTTTAACCTATTAAAAAAAAAAAATCAACGAAATAACCATGGTCTCTCGGTTTCTTAGGTTGTTGGTTCCTAAAGGATAGAAAGCTTACCTTGAAATATCCTCCCGGGCTGTGGCTGGTCGCGTTGTTGCTAAACTCGATTTCTTTTCCTCTTCCACTGTCTTGGGCCGGAAGGAAACCGTAGTCTTCGCTGCGGAAAACGAAGTCACTTTTACAGTTTGAGATCTTGGTCCCTTCGCCAGTTGAGAATAACGTGAGAATAGCCTTCCGACATAAGCTTAAAGCTAGCCCAACTGAGACTTCAATGAACTGTTTCGAGAAAGAGGGAAGGGAAACGTCAGTGGGCACTGCGGGAAGTTAGACTGTGGACAAGAGTGACGTACATGGACCGGGGGGGGGAACTCCTTATGATGGCCTTTAAGGGGAGGTTCCGCCCGCTAGTATGAATTTCAAAACCATACGAACGTTCATGGGGCAGGAACGCGTGACCAACCAACCAACCTTAAAAAATCAACACGACACCGAAAGAGCTCAAAACAGAGCGGGATTGTAGCCATAGACAGCTGTTTCGCCCTCTTAGGGGCTCGTCGGTAATGCGTAACAACGAGAGAAAGCTCTGATGAAAAATAACCGCACACTCTGATTTAAGCCCTAACCTACAATCTTGGACAAAATAAATGGAAAACTTAGACCCCCCCTTCCCCCCAAATCAAGGATAGGAAAATGGCGCGTTTTTGCCCTTCTCGCTGCTTCATCCTTGATTTGGGGTGGGGGGAGGGGGTGGGGATGGGGGTTTGCTGTGCAGTCCCTTTATCTGACTCGTCGAGAAAGTCCTGGGACTAGATTTAGTGATTCCCATAGAGATGACCCGTTGCGTGTAGGAATGTTTCATGATCATTTTCCTACATCAAAGAACGTCTGGTTTCAAATTTTTCTTGTAAGGTTTTTTTTTAGCTACTTCATGGTATGGAGAGGCCCCATTCCAAAGAGGCAACCACTCTCCCCGCTATCGTTAACAGTAGCAACTCGGACGAGAGAAAGGATGGGAGATTCGGCCGAATGGAGAACCTCGAAGATCGGTTGGCAATCCAGGAGAAAACTACAAGATCCCTTGTTGACAGGGCACTTACTGTAAAAGAAGACATTATTGAAAGCCTAAGCATCGCCCAGATGAGTTGGCAAGGCGAGAAGAAAGCAAGGTCCTTGCTACAGGAACACATACGAACGATAACAACTGTTGTGAAAAGATTGAGCAGGGAGATTGAAAACTTGGAGAGCGAGATTCGGTCCAGACAAAGTCAAGTGGAAGGACACAGCACAGCCGTGAAAAATTTAGAACTTCATCATGTTGCTGGAGTTACGGATTTGAGAGGCCGTGTTGCAAGGTGTGATTCAGCTATTCAGAGGCTCATGTCAGATATGAGAAGCAACAACGAAGTCATAAACGATTTTAGACAAAAGCAAGAACTTGCAATGAAAGATTCCCGTGATCAAATGAGCTCTCTAGAGAAGAGCATTTCTGATTTGACATTGAAAGTGGAGAAATATGTGCTCGATCAGTCGACCAGTATCCAAAAAGTAAAAGGAGAAGCAGACCAGCGTGTTGTACAGCTCGATTCTAAAACTAAAACTGTTGTTGAGGATATTCGAGGCAGTATTTCCTCAAACCGTTTGTGGGCAGAGTCAGAATATTTTAAATTAACTCAGGATTTTCAAACTAGGCTAGAGAGGTTTGAAGGCCTCATGGTGGAAAGACAGGACAAACTGGAAAGAAGAGTAGACCATTATCTGGCCAAGGTAGATAAAATTTTGGAGGAGGAGAAAAGCAAGTATTATAACATCTGGGAGGTGAGACTGAAGGAAGTGAAGTCGGAACAGGACAGGATTATGCATAATTTAATGGCAGAGATGAGAAATGAATACAGACAAGGATTTAACAATGTGCATGAAAGTATTTCCAGTCTACAGCGAGTGTTCCATGCAAAACTGAAATTGCTTGAAGATGACTTGCGTAAAGCTATCAATAATGTTCTTAGAATGGTTGTACTTGTATGACCAGTTACTGAAGAATGGTAGTGATGGTAAATATGCACGTGTTTCAATATTCATGTACCGCTATAAAATGATCTAATAGATGCCCAGGGCATCTAGTTCATTTTTTGGAGCCCAAGAAGAGGCATTTATTCTCATAACTTTAACAAACACTACAATGTATTTGTTGATTATATGGCCACAGTATATAAGGCACTTTCCAGCATAATTTCAGAACAGGATGGTCACACTAGTCCAGTCATAAGAGAATTCCACTATTGATCAAGACTTTCCAGCCAGATCAATCTATTCTGTGGGGTTATTTTACCTATTTTGTTTTAAAAAGATCTATCCTGCCGGCTAGTTCAGACATTTGTTAAGTGCCCTTAGTTTCAATATTCATCTGCGTTCCATGCGGTGCTTTGTTTTCTCTTCCCAGTACGTTTCAATATTATAGCAGTGTAACTGAAGAGAGGGAAAATTTATCTTTTTCCATATTTCCCAAAATAAGCTTCCTCACACAAAGGAAGCAGCTGGGCAGTGTGACATTGGGTTTTCTGAACACTGAAGCAGGGTAGAACACCCAAGACATCTGTTTCTTTTAAGACATTCATGACACTCTTCGATAATTTGTTGCAATATCATCCTATAAGCTATCCAAGTGTGGCAATGTGACTATGAGGGTCCATTTTAAGAAAACACACAAACATGGCATGCTTAAACACAAGGTAAAACATTTGGTGATTGAGTGTCCCCACAGAAATATTTTATTCTAAGCCTATAAGATGAGAGATATTAGGTCAGATGTTATTTATAAAAAGAGAAGACAATTCATTTGAAAACTGAGGTTTATTAAGTATATTTTTTTCAAACTTCAACAATAATTATTTATAGTTTTCTATTCGGAATGCTCCATTCCTGTATTATGCACATTCAAGGATCTGCATACATTTATCTCACCATGTTAATTAATAAAGGTAATTGGACTGAGTGGACTCCAATTCGGTCTGTAATCAATCAAGTGATTTAAGAAAATCGCCGGAGTCCGATTTGTTAATCACGAGTATGATTACAGACTAAATTGGACAACACAAAGTTCTGTTACCAGTTAATCATAACTATAACAAAATTTGTGACATTTTACCTTTTATTCTAATTAAAACACAAGAAATTCTTAAAATTTTCTTTGCTAGCAGTGAAAAAAGTTGATAACCAATCAGATTTGAGAATTTTGTTATAGTTATGATTAGACTGAAATTATACAGTCTGCTCTCTTTTAACCCTTTGAGTCCCAAAAGTGACCAACATAATTATTTCCTCTAAACATTATCAGTACACAAGAATTAATAAACTGATCACCAATGGGTTAACTGTTTTGATCTTTCATCAAATTCCCTCAACTACCATAAAATTCCGAAAATAAACCCCGGGGCTTATATTTTTCAATGGCCCTTTTTGAGGGGCTTATTTTTGGAGGGGCTTATATTCGGAGGGAAATTTGTGTTTCAAAATCGATTGAGCTAGCCTTATAGCTGCCAGTAAATTTACTGTTTTTGCTTTGTTTTACTTTGTATCTGAGGGCAATTTTCCAAGTATAAGCCCCTGGGGCGCTTATATTTGGAGGGGTGATTTAACGGAGGGTTTTTTGCATTACCGGTTTGGGGGGCTTATAATTATTTGGAGAGGCTTATACATGGAGGGGCTTATTTTCAGAATTTTACGGTATTTCTTTAAAGAAATGTATGCAAATCAGTCTGGAGAATTGTATGTGGATATTGGGGTTAAAAGAGTTAATGGAAACCTCTGTCAGGTGGATACCTCTCTTTAAGTGGCAGCCAGTCAGTTTGTCCATGCCACACTTCGGTCATTATATTTGACCCTGAAAGTTGGTGTCCGGCCCCAAAACTGCCTAATAGTGCTAAACTCTGACAATGGGCAGCACTGACTTTGTGACAATTTTACTGCCAGTCAGGACTTTGAAAGTCTTGGTAAAAAAAAAATTGTTTATTACTCATGCACAGTGATCTTTAAGTTCCAAACCTAACAGTTTCAATCACAGAACTAGGGTATTTGGGCAGTTTATTATTGGATTTTGTTTTGCAACATCCATTTTCTCCATTATTATGATTTGTTAAAAAAACACAATTTGATGCCATAAAATAAGAACTTTTCTCAAAATTACTTTATGCCCATTTCAAGTAGTTGCACTTTTGTGAGAATAAATTTAATAGGATTGCTGGAATTGTACCATTACGTAAGCATAATTTCTACTCTCTCTCCTACACTATTTTATTTCACAACCCCCCTATTTTCCCATTCCATTGTAGAGCTCAAAAAAAGATTCCTAAGTAATAAAGCTTGTGGAAAATGTCTCTACAATCTTCCACCCCCAACCTCTACCCATATTTTGCTCATCATATCCTCCTTAAGTTAGTATTGATCAGAATAATAGGGGACTGTAAGTAGTCTATTCCCTCAAGACATAGGCCCAATATAGCACCAATATAGGCCAAACAGGGAACCAATGTTTGTTGAATAATACCACCTAAATACAGTGTGCAAAGAAAGTAGTGTCCGATAGCCCAGGGCTAGTGGATTTTTCTATCGGGCTAGTGAATTCTGTTTTTAACTTTCCCGACGGGCAAGTGATGTTTTTTGAGGAATTTGAATAACAGAAGAACTGTGAAATCAATTCTGCTTGTCAAAAAGCTTTCGGAGCTAGTTGAAATGACATCTGGGCTAGTAAGTGTTAGCTTCAGCTTGCCCGAATGGCAAGCTGTAAAAATGATTTTCTTTGCACCCTGTAAATACATCCGAATCATTACATTCATGTGAAAAGTATTGTTATTCAATTATTTGGTGGGCATTGATTTTCCATTGGGAACAAAATACGTTTTCCAGGAAAATTCATGTTACTATGAGGCTGGAAGAGCATAAAATCAAAAACAGCAATGTTAATTTACTTCACTGGATGAAGACTGAAGCATTGGAAAACCACAGGGCTGTCACAAACATTTTTGAAATACTATAGAACAGGAGGTAAGACAAGCACACAATGTATGTAGCTGAGGAGAATAATCGCTTTTTGCTGCTGTCAATAAGAGTAACATTCAGCCTTTGTAGATAGCCTTGAATTACTTGATGTGTTACTGCAAAGCCTGTTTGATCTCTTTGACTAGCATGGAGCTAATTGCCATCTTTTCACAGTTCACTGTAATTAAGCTGTCTTTTCCACTGGAGGGTACTTTAACTGTCACTAAGACATGTGTCCCTCCAGATATTGTGCGACCTGCAAATCTGTATGTAGCAGCCCCTTCAGGGAGGGGTGCGGCTCCTATATAGGCAACAGCAGCAGCTTCCTTCACCTTTGCACAGACCTGTTCTTCTGAAGTCTGACTGCTGGGAATCTCAAGCTTTCCAGAACTCTCATTCAAACCACGCAGTTTACCTGAAAGAATTCACCAAATAGTAATTAAATTATTTTCTTCTTGAAATCTGAAACAAACATTTAAATAAATTCTTTTTCCTGACAAACCATGGTTAACTACGATAACTATATGAGGCAGTGTATAATTTCACCTAATGATAAGAAAGAGATTAACAAACCTTGCTTGGTGAGGAAGTCTGCCTCAGTCATAGGACAGCCTTGTAATAGTTCACCAACGGGAGCTTTGATACTCACTGGAAACTTGCTGCTTTGTGTACTAAAACATCAGGTAATAAAATGTCAACAAGCTAGTGTAGAGTTGTCATTCAATCAATAACCTAATAAAAAGCCACAGAATGAACCTTATCCCTGAGATGCACAGTATCTTCAGGGCTGTGCTCTAGTAGAGCCCGGTAGCCCCTGGCGCCTAACTGTTGCTCCCGCACAACTAGAAAATCTCAGATTTTTCATACAAATCATATGCTGGGTGCCCTGGATTTTACAGGTTCAGAGCACTGGGCTTCCTTCAATTTTCCTCACACACTGATAATTTGGTAACATTAGAAATAGCTGGGATACAAATATGCAAGCCCTGGTACATTATTACACAGAGAAGACATGTTTATCAGGGCACTATGATAATATTACTAAAACTCTAAATAAACATAATACCTTTAGCTTAGGAATTTTTCACAAGGAATCTACTGTATTTTAAGTTCAAATGCATAGACGTAATTAAACGAGGATTTCTTGACTTGTAAAAAAACCTGGCTTGTGTGGTGCATATTGTATCTTATTTTACTTTTGCTAAACAGAATACAGCCTAAGTGTTTTAAATGATTGACTTATATTATCTTACGTAGTAATTTTATCTAAGTATCTTTACCATAAGTTAAACCCAGCAGACTGTGTTGTGTCATTAAAATCAATTCCTAATGTCACAGCAATTGTTGCTCCAGGTCCCAGTGATGCTATAAAACAAAATATAATCATAACAATGTATAAGATTCGTACTATTTTAAACAAATAATTGAATAATACTTGAAAACAAACCTACCTATTTCTTGAAATTCATGCATACTCATCCCTGCTGCCAATTTCTGTAAAATACCAAAAGTAAATCAGTCTGAGCCCAGTGATTTGAAGGCCAATTATGCCTAACTTGAGCTTAAACTTGAATCTGATTCTGGTCTTTTTTGTGTGAAAGTATTTTCTTTACAACAGTTACTAGTTCTTCACTTCTATTGATTTTAATATTTAAAGGCTATTCACAATAGAGAAAACAACCTGCTCACAGATTCACAGAAAAGATATATCACTCTAAACACCTTTAGAAAAATCAAAGGTTGACTAAAGCCCACTCTCAATTTAATTCTTTTGTGCTCTAAATCAAAATAATTTTGAAGTTTAATCCCACGTTATGAGAAAAGACCTCTCGTAAAAGCCAGACGATTCAGTCTGTAGGTGAGACCAAACTCCTAGTATTGAAAAATACCTTCTCGCCCACGCATAGATTGCTAATTGGTGCTTCTGTATGGTTGACTAATGTTACTTCTACGGCCACCATTTTAGTGGAATAGATACAAGGTCCTCTGGTAAACTTGTAGCTTCCACTCAGCCCTTTGCCTTGCATACGGTGAAGCAGTTCATGAGATTTTGCTGAAGAGAAGCTTGGGCTAAGCTGTTATAAAGCAAAAACAAAAGAGCATAACTGAATGGCCATCATTACTTTTGTGCTTCAATGGAGACCTGACTGTTTGAAAACTGGAGGGAAATCTGGAATACTATGATTATAGTTACAGATAGTTACTGAAACTATATGCAGCCAGAACCAATGCTCTGATGAAATTAAGAAGGTGTGACGACACTTGATTCCAAATAGCAAGAGATCAAAGTAATAATTTTAAGACCAAGGGGTTTGATGTATAAAAGCATTAATGGCTGGCGCACAATATACCAAGTGAATAGCAAGTCTCAAGTGACATCACATAGAATACATCCCTAGCCCTCACACAATAACACAATAAACTTCACACAATAGAACGACACCATAGCACATATATTGACTTGGTATATCAAGCATCACCCACATTAATTTAATTTCGGTGTATTTTGCTCACATACATTAGTTCCTTTACAACTTAAATTCAGTCAATATTATGATACACATAGAGACTTACAGGAGTAATGACAGCTGAAGGAACATCATTTGCCAGTGATAAGGACTCTATCTCAGAAGCAAGACTTGGTGATAGGATGTTACTGGGACCTGAACTTACGTTGGGAGTCACTGGCTCACTCACTACAGCAAATTGAATAATAAAACCAACATATCTTAAACTCCAAATAATATTATTGGGGGTTTAATAGCATGACAGCAACAAGACCATCATGACAGCAATGAGAACATAAAAATGGTAGTAAGATTAATAAATAAAACAACAACTCTGCACACGCATCACACTTTTAGGTACATTTCTTTACTGTCACCACACAACTGCGAGGTGACACTGCCTAATCTCACATTTTACGGAGGAGCTAAATAAACGGCAGCAAATTTTTCTTTCTCTTTCTGAACTTGTACATCGTTCTTAGGAATTCAACTCCAGGACATTTTACCATCAATTGAAAAAGTGAGCTAGTTGGAATTACTGTAAAGTTTGAAAGAAAGCAAATTGACTTTTTAAAGCAACATTTTCACTACTGTCGCTGTTGTAGCATCTTAAACTCACTAATATTTTACATGAACCACATTGCTGACATATTATCTTGTACCTCACAAAGCGAGGGCCGTAAGGCCTGAAAGGAGTGAAGGTTTATAAATTTGTTGTGCGCACAGCATGTGTGCAACATGCCAATGCACATGAGAATCACTAAGCAGAGTGTGATCTTGCTTTGGTCATAAATATCTCTTTCTATTGGTTTGGGTGGTTGCCTAGCAACAAGGCAGTGTGTAAAAACTTCTGCCCCTTAGCCTCTGCTTCCCGAGGCTCTACCATTCAGGCATTCCTAGAATATTAACTATTATTGTCACTGAAAAGCCATCTTCAGGGAGTGTCATTAAAGTTTTTATTACACTGTATTGCTTTAAAGGAAGGTGAGAGCCTAGAACATCAAAGGTTAAAGTAAAAGTGTCCTTGAAGCCAGTAAGAGATTCTCTCATTTAGAATAGAATGGGGCACGCTGCCATCCTCTGCTAGATGGGATGCTATTTTAATGAAGGGTTATCCCTAGCAGTATGACTTACCCATACCCAGTATTATAAATCCTGGGCCCAGTTGTTTGAACGCTGGTTGGCGCTAACCCAGGGTTAAATTTTAACCAAGGCTTCTTTTTCTTTTCATCAAAAGCACTCTCTTGGATGATTTTCTATATTTTTTTAGAGTATCCAATCATCAAATCGTAGGCAAAGAGAATTACACTGAATTTTTTTTTTAAGCTCTCATATCTGAGTTCAAATTTCATAATAACCTTGGGTTATCTTAACCCACCTTCGAACAACCTGGCCTAGGTGAACAGAGACTGTAATGTGAGAAAAGTTCCTTGTGTAAGGAATCAATGTAAGAGCAAAGCTTAAATCCTAGACCAAATGATCTGAAGTTTGAAGACCTCTGAAGTGTTAACCACCAGAATACCATGTACTTCCTGTTTCCAAGGGGCTTGTCAATATTAATTATCAGTAGTTGCAACTTGACATGTTTGACTTACAGTCATCCAGAATTAGCAAAGTGTCTCCTTTGGTTGCAGCAGGGGGTTTACTGGGTGATTTTTCTGGCTTTGTAGCCTTAACAGGTGACTTAGTTGATTTTTTCACTGGCGGCTGAAAAGCAAAGGCAAATAATCTATTATTTTGAAAATAAACTGGTAACCAAGTGGACTCAGTAATAAAGGAATCATATGCATTTGGAATCAAAAACCCTTTTAAAACCAAAGATTTCAGGAGCCTTCATCAGGAAAAACGCCAAAATGACTCACAAAAGTCAAAGCTATATGAGGAGAGTTTTGCATTAATATTTTTTTTGAAGTCTTTTCTTTAATGGTTAGTTAAAAACTTTGGTTTGTGGAAAATAAATGCCATTACAATAAATTACTGATTGCCTAAGACTCTAGTAATGTCTGTTATGCTAGTTTATTTAAACTTGCAAATAATAATGGTTTAATGACAGATTCTCACCCTGAATGCTACCAAGGTTCTCATAATGCCTACTAGTCATATACAACTGCTTGAGATCTGCTGGTGGTTTTTTTTTTAAAAGGCTTTTTTGCAAAAGAAGTTATAGACTGAAAAAAATAAGGCAAATATAGCAGATATATGGGAAAATTAGGAGATACCTTTTCTTCTTCAGTCTCAGAGCTATCTGAGCTTTCTTCACTGCTTTTCTCTGTCTCTGACTCATCAGATGACTTTTCTTCACTTTCACTTAAATCGCTCTCTTCTTCACTTTCGCCTCCTGAGACAAACAAATATATAAAACTAAATTTAAAAAAACATAGATAGAGAAACCTCTTCACAGGTTCTTACTGTCAGCAGAGAACAATTTGGGGGTCAGATCACAAATTAATACAAAAATTTTACCAAGTCATCAAACAGACACAACTAGCTACACAGAAAAAGTCAAAAGTAAAAGGAAAAAAGGCCCCAATACAGAACTTTTTGAACATCTCTTAACAATTATTTCCAACACATTATTTTCCCTTGTTGGCACTTTTCTAGATCAGTGAAATGACATCATAAAATGGTCAAGTATCAAGTTGCCTGCAAAGTTTTCTGGCAAATCGCATGCACATGCTATAGGAGGAAAATTATTGAAAACTTGTGCAATCAGTTATTGTAAAATATTCATTTATATTATTATGTTGTGGTTCAATTTCATCCTTTGTTTAAATTTTATCTTCCTTTGTTTTTGGGTATGGTAATGTATGATAATGAGTTTGAAACAAATTATGGAAGAAAAATTAAACCAACGATGAAATTGAACCACAACATAAACAAGTAAGTACAAGAAGTATATGTATAGATTTAGATAATAAAAATAATATTTAAGTACCAGTTTTGGAGGATGCCTCTGATTCACTTTTGCTTTCCTTGTCCTTATCAGAATCCGACCCACTTCTGCTTTCACTTTCATCCTCGCTTTCACTATCAGATTCTGGGAAGCAAATAACTCACTCAAAAATTCACTCTTACATCAAAAAGAACAAAATAAAGAAAGAGTAAAAATTAAATCGTTATTAATAGAACTTGGATTTTGCAATAGATCCTATCAAGTTTTCATGAACTTACAACTTAAAGAGCTTTTCAATCCCTCTTCAGCATAATGGTGAGTGATCCTGCCTTGCCGTTGTATTTGTGACACATGCACACTTAAAATAGAGAACTAAAAGAGCAACTAGTAAGTAATACCTGATTCAGATCCTGATTCTGACCCAGAGTCTGAGGAATAAAATGATGTTTTCTTTGCATTCTTTTTCTTGTTACCTGGTGTCCAAAATGATGTCACCTGGGAACAGCATAATAAATTCACCAATTACATCTTTACACAGTAACTAAAAATACCTCGCAATCTACTCCTGGGACAATAATGGCACCAGAAACTTTTTTAACATAGACATGGTATCTGCTCTTTTCAACCAGGGTAATTACAAAAGGAACCCCATGTTAATCTGGATAATTTTCAGGTCCTATTGCTGTCTCCAGAGATTGATTGAACAGTATAACAAAATTTCACATCTCCATGGGTGGTTACCATTTACATCAACCACCCAGGTGGAAATCTTTTGCATAAACATAAAACTATAGAATTTAACACAGTGGAAGAACAACCTGCTACAAACTTTGTCCAAATCAGCAGAACAGACAAAGAGTAGAAAAATTACATTCGCTCAAATCACAAGCCATGTCTTTTAAAGCTGCTCAAACAGAATGGCTCAAACCACTTGATTTTCAGAAAGCAATTTCAAGTTTTTCCATGTAAATGGTAAGTACCACTTGACTCCCTCTCATATTGTTCCTGTACGTTACAGTTGGCAAGCAACTGATTATCTCCGGCTCAAGTTAAGACTCACTTCAACATTTCTGACAGAAGGATCAGGGGCAACTTCTGGATACTGAGGCAATTCCTGATAACCATTGGCTTTGAGGTTAATCATGTGCGACAGCGAGCCAACCTGGAAGCCTTGCCGTTCTGAAATTAAGGTTAAAATATCAGGTTTGAAATCATCTTATGACCAACTAAAATTCAAGCATACAAACACGTCAGGACCTAAACCATGGTAAGTGATAAAAACAAAGATTTCATTGGCTAGGTGGGACAGGTGCTAAAACATGCAGGAAATAACGTTTTTACGGTGGAGGAAGGGCCATTATTAACCAGAGGTGGATGATGCAGTCAGAAGTATGAGATTATGATGGAAGTAACAAAATGTGTCATCAAGGTGGGCACAAATTCAGCCATCTTACTGCAAACCAACTTCACTGACAGAATATGCACAAACAGTTAATCACAGTTTAAAAAAGATGGATAAGTTAGCAAACAATTTGATACAACTTTTTCGGCTTTAGACAATAAAGTGGAACAGGAAATGAACACTAGTTTAATCATACCTTTAAAGACAGACTCTATAACAGGAGGGGGCTTTGACGCCAAAAAGATTTTCTTCACATATTTACTAAGATGACCACCCTATAAGAACAGAACATTGATTGTTACATTTCATTTCATTAGTATCCATAGGAGATTTAAAAACCATTGAGAACATTAGCTTCTTAAGCTTACTGCATCACTTGGAATAAGCAGCTGTCGCAGAAATCGTGCCCTGTCTCTGACATCATAACTCTGATCATACTTTGCAAGGTTCAGTACATATTGGCACAGAAGTTTGGTCTACAATAAAAGAAGAAGCATGTAAGCAAAGAACACACCATAAACAGCTGAAATGGGCTGAAAAACATTGTGTTGTAATCATTTCAACTAGATTTAATTATTTGCTTGAAAAAAAGGTAATATTCTAATCTTACTAATATTAGTATTAATAAGTATTTACTAGTATCTCATTAATTAAAAGAGGCCTTTATGGCTAGCCCAATGGCAGAACATTACTCATGAAATAACTAGAAATCATGAGTATAGTAATGTCACCAACCTGTTTGGGGTTTGTAATAAAGAGTTTTGCTCCTAAATTCAGAATTTGTAACTTCACTATATCCTCCTGTTTAAAAGAAAAAAAAACTAAAATCAGTGCAAACTACCAACATGGCAACTCATGTGTAACAATATCTGAACTGACTGCAATTAACTAACCTCAGTTCCAAATGTTTTTGCCATTTTCCTAAGGACGTCAGGGGCTACCTTGGGTACTCTCTCAGAATATTCTCCTAATAACCATAGTATGCTTGCTCTAGCCATAGGAACCTGAAAAAATTTTACCCAAGGAAAGACAAAAATTAATATTATTACAAAAAATGAAAATGTGACTACACCCTGGCTTGTAACCAAAAAACAAAAATTCAAGGAAATACATTAAATTTGCCATAGACTTACAAAGAGTTTAGGTTTCTTTACAAAGATGGAGTGAAAAATATGGCCTTAGAAAACCCTTAAGAAGAAATAGCATTGACAGTTACCATTGTATTTCAACAGCATTAAGGATTCAAGGCCTAATAAGTTATTGTACCCAGTGAAGAAAAGAAACTTAGTACAGCTAATTGATGTTGCTTCAAACTAAAACAGTAGTTTTGTAGTGTCTGGATCAACTGATTGTTTAATTCAGCTGCCCAAAGAAGTTATACCCATAAATATTTTACCTGGCCGTGAAAATTTATAATAATTTATTGCCTTCCTCCTCAAAGCCCTGTTGATGATCCTATGAATACCTTTTACTACATGAAAACAAGAGCTACCGGTAATACACACCGTAATTGTATCCACAAGCCTTGCCATGTGTGTGATGATATCTGAGTTTCCCTTGGGCTGGAATATTAAGTACAGTAGAAGCAAAATAAGAATAACATGTAACTGAGTGTTCAGCAGGCCAACAAAGAAAGTATTTCATTTGAGTCCACGACAGACACAGTGGAAAGTTAAAGCGGATCTATTAGTTGAATCCAGCCACTGCTGATCTCAACTCAACATAAAGTAACTTTTTTGTGGCAGAATGAAACTGATACAAATGTGTCTGAAATAGAGAGTTTCTAAAATTTCTGAAATACACATTGTTTATATTGGGCCAATGGTGAGTTCATAGAAATCAAATATTTGCAGTAAATTTTCCAGATTAATATGTCAAATACGGTATCTGATTATTTCTACTGTTACTTCCAAGTGTGTATTATTTCAGGGCTGTCCGAGGGCTATTCCTAGCTTCTTTCATACAAAAATAAAGAAAAAAAAGGAACAAACTAGCTGTTTGATTTCCCACCTACTTGTTGTATTAACCCCTGCAACTTGAAATCTTAGTGACAGCCCTGTTATTTCCTCTCATGTTTGACTTTGGTCATATATTTTGTAAGTAAAATTAATTTTTAAGCAGAAAAGTTTTAGTTTTTAACCTTGAGCTGAAGAAGTTTCTTGATAACAACTACACTTTCTGCTACAACTACCTCTGTAGACAGAAAAAAGTCAAGATTAGCTATGGAGTGGTAATAAAAATAAGCAACTGTCCACAACCTGTATAGCCAGTGGTATCACTAATTGTCATTGATCAGAGAGAGATGAAAAGATCTAGGCAGTTGCTTCATGATTCTATCTCAAAATGCAGAGAATAACTGCATTCTATTTCTTATTAAAAGGTAACAAGCTTTGCTTGCCTGCTGGATGACACAGGATGACAAAACAGTAACCCTGGGCTTTTTGACAGTATGTCTGTTTTGTTCCTAGGTAATAGGGAATTAAAGGTCCAACAACGTGTTGGCAGCAAGAATGTCACTTAAAAAGTCAATTCGCATTCTTTCAGTCTTTATAGCGTTTATTCCTACCCACTTACTTTTTCAATTATAGGCGAACCCTCCTAAAGCTAATTTCAAGAGACCATATCTACACTCAGAAAGAGAAATAAAATTTCATTGCTTGTTTATGTTCTCCATTAAACGCGAAATTGGGCATTTTCACGTCGTAGTTGTGCAAAAACGGGAAAGAAACGTACAAAAGTGTGATGCACATGCAAAGTTGTTGTTTTGCTCATTAAACCTATTGTTTTTATGACGTTTTCGTTGCCAGCCACGTCGTTGGATCTTAAAGTCCTTAATACTGGAGTTAACCTGTGAATTGAGTGTATCTTCTATAGTTTTGTTTGCACACAAAGTACTATACTTTCTCATCATGCAGTTTTGGTTGCAGCATTCAATTTTTGACTGTAGTCTTACCATCTCTGTTAGAAAGAAGTCGCACCAGGCCAGCTAAGCATGTATCTGTAACCTCTGAAATATTAGATGCACAGCGTCCAATTGCTTGAATGGTTGATGCTACAAACTGTTTATCAGGACTGGAAATATAGCTCTGAAAAAAATAAAGGAAAAAAAATTAAGTAAATGTAAATAGCAATATTACAAATAACGATAAAAATTATACATGTAATATTAATAATAACATACAGTATACGTTTCAAGAAAATATGATATTAAATAACAGCTGTTGACTTAAGGACCTGAAATTCTCTAAGTATAGTCCCAATACTTGTCTCTCCTGCAATATTAGTCATAATTTCAAGCTGAAAAGAAGACAGAAAAAGAATATTAAAATGACGCAATGAATTGTTATTATTTTGATACATCCTACATTACCACTACTTTAATTTATGGTTCAGAGTTGTTGCAGTTGGGAATAAATTTTTGTTTCAACTGTAAATTACAGTATATCATTCAGAAAGTTTCAAAAACACAGGCTGTTAGCTGTTTTAAATGTGCATGTATGGGGAAGCCCATCTACACAAGGTTTGCTTTAGTGGGATTGATGTGGTGTTTATTTCTGAAGTATGGGCTTATACCTTGAAGTGACTCTGTTCTAAAAAATTAAATATACAATAATATTATTATATTGACAGTTTCTATCACTGCTAAACATTATGCTTGTTAAATCCAATGAATGCATCTGAGCACCTTTAACAAACATATATGAGTTGGATCACTTGAATGAACAAAGAAGCCTTTGAGGTAGGGTTCAAACATTCCCTGCAAAAATATAATAAACCAAAAATCAATGCTACGTACCCCTGAAAAATGAAAAAATTCCAGGAAAAGAAAATGTTAGTAATAGTAGATTACCACATTGAGTGGGACAAAACAAACAGATCAGGTGTCCACAACATTAACTTAGGGTATAAGACAATAGAACTTATCATATTATCACATGCCCTGAATTTTATTAGAATGATATTCATTAAATATTTGTCTGGGTTGTATTAAAGGAAAAAATGTATTTTGCATATTTTCTGTAAACTATCATTACCTTTCTAGTGGATGACATTGTAGCAATATTGCTGAGCACAACAGTTTGCACTTCTCTAAAAAGGAAAATATAAAAACACCAATAAGCATGAAAACACTTAAAACTCAGTTGAAAAATTAACAACATTAAAAAAATTTCCCAACAATTTCATTTTATTATTGCTGTATTAAGAAAATAGGAAGTAAAGTTTTTAGTGCATGTTATCCCACCTGTGACTTCTAAGAAGTCTGACCAGAGAGCGAGCTACGATGCCAACTTCATTTGTGGGTGCCAAGTGATGATAAACCCTTGCAACTGCCATAACAACCTGTTAATAAATAAACCTTTAAGTATCACAAACTGTCGCAGATTTACCAAACCTGGACTAAAGATCTGGTATACTTATGGTGCTACCATCAGTAACGTTGGAACAAATCGGCAAGACAAGTCGAGTTGTTAAGAGAATTTCAGTGTCAATCAGAAAACTCCAGCCAAGTCAGTCTATTCTTAAACTGTGTGCACAGCAGTGATGAGCTTTTTGTGAAAACTCTTGAAAAAAGCCCATTTCATTTCCAAAATCACCGATCCAGCCAAGCAGTTCTGGCCTTTTGGAACTTTAATCAACACACTTTGGGGGGTGCTATTCTTAAACTAAACACAAAAGTTCATACATAACAAAGCTCACCGCAGCATTTCTGCTTTGGAGAAGTGGTTTGCATGATCTCAAGAGTAGACGGTGATCAGGATCCATAACATAAGTCTTCTTTTTAGAAATCTTCACAGACCCATCTTCATCATCGTCATCATCTTCAGAATCATCAGAATGATCAGACTTTGGGTAAAACTCATCTGATTCAGGCTGCAATAGATTTTGTCACATGAAATAGCAAGATATATTTCAAGACCATGATGAGGGCATAATTAAAAGTGATTTCCATAGGAGGCAGTGTGGCTGAGTGGTTTAAGAGCTTGACTTGTAAATTCAAGGACCTGAGTTCAATTCCTTCCCAGACTGCTAGCTGGATTTGTTCTTCGCCTCTTACCAGTTGTCCTTGTGCTTCCATTTTTATTTGTTTCATTATCCCTGTCATTTTTCTAAAAATGGCATCTAAAACTTTAAGTCTTGTCACTAAGCAAGTAAATCAACTATGTCAAGGTGTTGAGTCTTCACCAGAAAAATAAAATAGAACTTCTACATGTAACTGTTCACCAAGGGGACAGTAACCAGGATACTAGCCTGAAAACTAACCCTTTAAAGAAATCCTCACCTCTTTATTTGGATCAACAAACTGTGTTCGAGCATATCTCGTCAACATATGAATCACTGCTACCTGCCCCCATTCATCTATATCAATCAACAGGTTACATAATTTGCGGTAGTTCTTGTGTATTAAATCAATTCTATCAGGGCAAACATCTTCAAAGGCCATCACAGCACTGCCTGCAACAAGCTAAACAAAAAGGGAATATCAATAAACAAGAGTGCTGCGATAATTTTTTAAAATATGAGTCAATGGTTTGCACTGTAAATAAGACCGAAGAAATTGTTGTTGAAAATGTGACCAAAAATTTTAAGGATTTATCAAAAGACAATCTATCCTTGTCTCCTTAAAATGTTGTTGAAAATACATCATAAAAAAACCAAGTCCACTTGGGAAAATATTCATTTCTATTTATCAAAAAGACAATCTATTCTTTTACTTGCTACTATTAATTATTATTATTATTATGTCCCTATGCCCGACCCTGTTATGCTTGGGGTTTTGGGACAGACACATTCATCATAAAAACCCAAGCCCATCTAAACGCAATCAAGACATGTCCCAGATATTCCAATATAAAATGAGAAGAAGAGGCAATACAGCAGGCGGGTTTTGGAATCACATTCAACCTTGGTCTTTAAAGCTTATTCAGGGTTCTCAATAGATTTTTAAGTTAAAGAAAGAGATGACCACTGATAAAGTATCTTGGATAAGGCTCTTCCTTTGCCAAGCCAGAGGTGTCAAAACAAAGCAAAGAAAGAGCAGCTAATATATCTGAAACATTACAAAGTAAGCCAGAATTTAAGTAGTAACTTTTATCAAATTATTATTTTTAAATAGTTTTTTTTTTTTTTTTATTAACTTTTTGATGCTTTTTATAATTGTTATTAGTAGTCTTTAGATAGTCATTTTACGAGAACCCTTTTATTATTGTACATATTATATATCTTAATATTTCTATTCTTGAATCTGTAAATTCTATTTTTTTTTCTTATTAAAGTTTTGTATTATTAAAAAAAAAATTATTATTATTATTATTATTATTATAAAATCTATTATTATCTTTTGCCATAAACACTACACATTCAAAAATGCCTTTTAACAACAAGTGGTCAGAGTTAACTTCAACAAGTCATATCTGTTAAAAATGACAAAACTCTAGACTCGGGAAGTACAGGAAGACAGAACTGCCAACTCATAAGTATCATCCTACAAAAAATGAGCAGGATTGTAGCTTATAAACAATCAAAATTCTTTACCGTTGTCTTATCCTTGAGAAGCTTCTCTATAACTTCAATGAGATAATCTTTTTGCTCAGGATCCAGACTGGAAAAAGGAGGGAGACAACTTAAGAACAAAGTATAACTGTTGCTTTACTTTTTCAATGGAAATTTTTATCAAATTGATCTTCCCTGTCTCACATTAAGCATGGTAATGAATTTAGAGAAAGGAATGTGAAGTTAAAACGTTTTAAGCCTTAGTAAAAGTTGAACCACTGCATAACCAACAAACATTAAAAATAATACCTGTGAAGCTTAGGGATGGCATGAGCTGCAGTTTTCCGCACATAAGGTGACATATCATTCACACCCTACAGATAAGAATTTAACACTTTGATATCAGTTCATCCTATAAAAACAATTGATATGCATGGTGCTGGGTTAGAACCACATTTCACCACCTAAGAGTTGGAACTTGTTATTAAACTCTTCATATCCCCATCTCCTCCAACCCTTACTCCTTTTTCAGTAAATCACAAAATTCTTTTTCAGTGTGTTAAACATTTTTCTTAAAATTTTTATGCCTCTGAAACAATGCTTGAACTATGCAGTTGTCAACAAGTCCTGATCTTGTACAAAATGTGACTGGACTGGCCAAAACTTAGAGCTTCTAATCATAGGACTAGTGCAGTTGGACCTCTCCAAAAAAAAAAAAGTAAAGTAAAGTCATCTTTGCTAACCTCTTTAATTGCTAACATCATAATTGGTGCAATCACTGGAACCCTAATACTTGACAGCACTCGTAGCGCACTTCCCCGGATCAGCTGGTTAGGATCCTGGGAAAGAAGACAACAAATACTAAATCTTACAAGTTGCATACAAAGAGTATGTTACATAAAAAAAAAAAAAAAAAAAAAAACCATAACTGAGTGAAACCGTAGCTTACATATGTGTCACAATATACTTATTTTTGATTCATAATAACATACAATGCAATTTGGAGCAAGGATCTAGCAGTTTATCAGAAGTCACTAAGAGACTAACTAATTTCAGACACCCCTTTATAAATCATAATGGTATACACCAGTCATCACTAATCTAAACTCCTGAAGAAACCGTGACTAACCTTCAAACCTTTCTGAAAAGTGCTGATAGACAGTAGGGCTAAATCCTGCTGTTCCTCAGCATATCTAACTAGATATAAATACACCAGCTTCTTGATCTGTAGAAGATAATACACAAATTTCAGAATGGAATGATCAGTACTCATATAGGGGCATGCAGGGCAGTCACTAAGATTTCAAGTTGCCACATATAGTCAAACCTACTGTGAGGGACCACCCAAAATTCGGAGATTTGTTGGTCGCTTACAGGAGGTGGTTGCTTAGCAAACAAGAATCAAACCCTGAGAAAACTTTTCTAAGGAGCAATCAAAACAAAAATTTTTTTTGGAAGAGGATTTATTGTATGCAGTTTGAGTTTCTAAGTTCAGTAATATATGTAGTTCCATGCCATCACTAAAAGTTCTTTGTATTATCTGAGTAGCATAGTAATAGAGCAAACACAGAGATTAGAACATGAGTAAAGTGGCTGTTAAAAAAGAGGTTAAAAATAATAAAAAATTATAAAATTGTCACCCCCAAAAGTTGTTGTGGTCAATATTATTACAAGAGGTGATCGTTCATGAGAGGTCCAACTAAGGCTTTGACTGAGAAAATTTTGGTGGTTTAGATAGCTGTAAGTGGTGGTTGCATACAAGAGATGGTCGCACATGAAAGTTTTCACGACTGTACTCAATTTGAACACAGGGAATTTAACAGCTGGGGAATACTTTTGGTTTTCTTTTCCATTTGTTTCTTGTGAAAGTAGCAAGGGGTTATGCTCATGGAAAAGGAAAATCTTCAGTGGCCAGCCCTAGGTGGTGACACTGCCATCCTCTGCTTAGTTTAAGTTGAATTGTAACATAATTATGTTATGCTTCAATTCTGAGAATTATATCAAAGGGCCAATACGATATCATTATGAACTGATGCTTTCAATACTGTTCTAATTACATTGTAATACCTCAACATTCTTTGAAACAACATTCTTTACAATAGCTGCAAACAGATCTGACATGTCTCTACCATCAGCCATCATCTATAAAACAGAAAAAATACATCTGAGGACCTTGATATATGCTAACTTACAGAGTCTGGTAGTGATTATAAGTCAATGATCTGTTCCTTATTACTGAATAAAGTTGTTGTTATTGTATAGTTCAAAGAGCAACAAAAGCCAATTCTCCATCAATAAGTGGTTGTTTCCAATGTTCAAAAAGTTTCCAGAAAATCCGATTGGAAAGTAAATGGAACAAGACTTGTTGGATCGTTTCAGTGGAAAATTTTCGAGAGCAATGGAATGTCTGAAAAGGTAGTCCGATTTTTCCAGGTCGGAATATTCCAAATGGAAATTCATGTTCCATTTCTTGAAACTAAAGCCACCTTTGATACCAGTTTCAGGCTTCTGTGGCCTTTTTAACTTGTGGATTACACGTAGTGTAAGGAACGAGTTATCCTGGGCACTACGACATGCAAATATGTCACTCAGGTATAGACACTTTCATGATTAGTTGTCTCGCATGAGAGCACCTGAGATCGACCATTCCTGAATATCAACGCAATGCTGAGTGTGCATTGTGCCCAGAACATTCAATGTTATGATTTTGTAGCTTTCAAAGGATAATAAGTTGCCTTCATGTGGACTTCGAATGTTTAAAAATTAGCACTATGGCTGACCCGGAGACAGAATTTCATGAATTCTTGAAGCTTTTTGACTCGTCCAGAAGCTTAACATGACAAAGAGATGAGCAATTGCTCTTCGACTTCCCGAACTCACAAGGAGTATATCAAGCCAGTAAATAACTTCGAGCTTACTGGAAAGTGACCTCAAAATGAGTAATCTCAGACTTTTGTTTTAAGCATTGATGAGAATGAATTTTATTTGTCAAACTACAGGTATATATATAATGAGCAATACTGTTAAACGAGCACTTCCTAAAGGAAACAAGTACTGTAAGGTGTGGGATGGGGTCATCCTGGCCTGGGACGTGTTCAATTTCACGATAAGTGACCCTGATTAGTGCTGAAAGATGAAAGATAAGATGACAAGCACGAGTTCCAAGAGCTTGTACCAAAATAAGTGTCAACCTACTCCTACTATCCGCTTCATAGCGTCAAGTTTTAGGTTATCCTTCGAGCTATCCAACATCGCTTTCAAGTCGTCATGCCTACAATCACAACACAGGTTATAGTGAATTTTAAAAAATCGAAACACGTGACAACGATCGAGATTGAATCCGCAGAAAATATCATGCAGAGTGGAGGGAAGTTACCTTTGAAAATCACTGGAGAAAAATCCACCAGAGGTGGATTCTGATACATCAGGATCTCCCGTGGGTCTTTCTGCGTTATAAGACATGTTTAACAGTGTTCTTGCTGAAATATCAGCTGATTTTCAGATACTAGCAAACAAACATGGCTGCCTCCGCGGTCCTTCCTTCCTTGACCCCAGTCTTCTTACCGGTAACCTAAAGGAATCATGGGAAGGTATGTAAGTAAACCCGCCATTTTTCAAGGACATGAAGAATCGTATCTGCAATGGCGGCGGCATTTACTTCTGAAGGTGGAGGGAAACACAATAAGGCAAGTAGATATATTTGTAATCGATAGATAGAAACTACTGCAAATTATCCAACCATTTCACAGTCGTCCTGCAGTCAGTGTCAAATCTTTAAATCTGACATGAGTCTACTGAGCTCTGAAGCTTAGTCTCTGATCTGTTAATGTAAAACTTTGATGCAGAAAATAAAAAATTTGTTACGGGATCGGATTTTTTTCCGTGGATAATTTTGTAAAGAACACAGAAGATCATTTTATTTTTTACCTACAAATCTTTGATCAGGTGTCTCATTAGGTTTTAAAGTAGACACCTAGGATGTTAAGGTATATATGCGGCTTGGCAACTGACTGCTGAACCTCTGGGCAGTTTGAAACCTTCACTCCCTCCCTTTACCCATTTCCCCCAAAAGTAGAAAGCTCAGGCCTCCAAGGAGCCGGTTTTTTAGCTGGCTGCTGGCACTCAATGAGAACCCTGCTCAGCTGCCTGAACCTGGTTTGTAAATTGCTCTGGCAAGTTTGAAATGCCCTTCAGGAGCCCTTATTTGGCCCTCTTTTTGAATGAATGCATTCAAGATTCCATTTTGGGACAGGAAGTATGATTTAGCGATATTATTTAGGGATAAGCAGTGTCATTTTTGAATGACGCACATCAACCAAAAATGAGTCTTTTTCTCTTTTAATATGCCTTGATGCTACCAAATTTGTATTGCTAAGTGTCTTTACTCTTACAGAGACGAACTGCCCAAAAATTTGTTCAAAATCAAGGCTGAGAGAATCACTCAAAATTGAAAACATCACTGCTTAAACTCCCTACTGTTGCCTTAAAGCCTTGAGAACCAAAAGTTCTGATTGTGAAAAATTTTGGAAAAATCAACTTTCGTTGATGGAATGTACAGGAATTTAGCTGAACAAAACTTGTTTCTTGTACTGTGGGGTAATCTAGTAAAATATCAAAACATGTAAGCGGGATTGGGATTATTAGCCAATAAGAAAGTTAGCAATTTTAGGATGGAGAAAAGGCTTTGTCGAGATGGTAAAGAACCCTATTTGGAACCCTCATAATAATTTATTGTACCAAACGTGTGTTATGTCAAAGTTTACAAAAAGCTAAGTTCAGATCTTACTAGCATTAATATATTATTTTGACAGGTTTTTGCGTGGCTTCAGCAAGTTTTTGGTGAAGACCCTATTCCCCAGTTTGAGATTAACAGTTTTACTTTAGGTGTCCTTGAACAACTAGCAATCAGAAACCAAGAGCAGAATAAACATGCAGTTCTCATAACCAAGGACTTCATCCAAAAGACTTCAGAATATGCTGCTGAGGGTAATGAACAGTTTATTGTGGCATAGTTGTTTGAAAGATGATTAGCACAAATCTGGGTTTAGTTACCATGACAACTCATAAAATAAAATTTAATAATAGTCTGTTTACTGGTAACCCAGTCTTAGTGCTAACCATGATTCAAGCAAGTTGGCCTAGGCAGCCAAGCTTGTACTCTAGCAAAACGTAGCCTGATGGTCAGTCTGGCAACTAACATTTTCTCGTGGGTGGCAAGGAAATCTTATTTTTGTTCAAAACATTTTTGCAGAGTACACTTGGTGTCATAGTTTGAGAAATGTTGAGCACCAGACAATTTCTTGTGCAGTCTTGAAGCATGATAAATCAATAAGTCTTTAGAAAAAATAATCACTGAAACCAGAGGGCATGTAAGAGTTTTTTGTAACTTGGTATTGCCAGAAAGAAATATTGCTGGTTATGTCCTCTTGACCTGTTAATATTTATTGAAGACAATAGGGCTGTTTTTTGAGGAAGTTACTGATTGATTCTACTTTGATGTTATCAATAATTATTACTGTGCTATAGCCTGGAAACTTCTTAAAGTCAAGTTGACAAGTCCTCAACCTGAATTAATTTCATCTCTGTTTAGATGATTTTTATTATAACTTAAGGTATTTCACATGCTAATATCTAACTAAACTGCTTTTTAATATTTTGTCTTCTATAAGTTGAAAGGCTAAACAGGATAACAGAACAAGTAGGTTTACCAGTATCAACCATGTCTCAGTCTGGAAGAACAAGTTTAAAAACTCTTGCCTCTGTGGCTTTACTACTTGGAACTAAAAACTGCTCCACATCAAGGTAAACTAATTCTCTCTATATAGGGACAACTTTTAAATACTGACGTTTTCCTCGTTAAGGTCACTTTTTTAGTCTAAAAGATCACAAACTTCATACAGTTCTTATACCTAATGACTGGTAAAGTATGTACAATTTTGTATTGTAAACACTCAGTTCTGTAACTAAGAAACATTTATTTACAGCTAATTGTACACAGAGAAGTAAACTAAAAGTTTTGGAATGTGAATGGTATTGAATTTTGTAGGAAAGCCGGAATGATAAATATCATAAGAGACTTGTTTTTTTGTTTGTCCTTTTTGAATCTCTCTCCATAAAATGCTGAAAATCCTGAATCCACGGAATCCAGATTCTGATTGAATCAACACTGAATGTGCACTTAGAACATTCACAATCCTTGTTTAGATTCATGGCAAAAAAATAGAATAAGTTATTAGTTTTAAATTTGCATATCTAGATTAAATACACTGTTGATTATCCAAAACTAATGCAAGGGAGAGTGAGAGCCTAATACATGAGTTATATTCCCGTTAGTATGTTTTGCCAAATTATACATTATTATTTTCTTATCATTGTTTTAGTCTTTTGCTAGGGATTGCAGAACAAAGCCAAGCCTTGTCAGCTACAGTTGATGCCAACACAGAAGAGAAACATCTTCTTTCCAGACTGTTAATCAAAACAAAGAAAGCACAAGCCAAGGTCTCTGACCTACAAAGGTATCTGTTAAATATATTTTAGTACTGAATCTTTCAAACAAAAGTTTATGAGAGCTTACTGAATGCTGAAAAAATGTTTGTGAATTTGTTTTTAAACTTAGGTTACATGAAGGTTAACTTCTGGCAACTTCTGTGAACCTCTAGAAAATTAATGATCCAACAGTCTTGTATCCCTGCTTTGCCCCTCATTTGTATGACATTGTCACGGAGTAGCTAAGACGCATGACTTTTTTCTTAACATCTCTAAAATGCCTTTCTTTAAAAATATATTATTGAGCCACAGTGAAGTGCTCTTGGACCTACTGCAAACCTCCTGGTTTACAAATCACACGTCACTGTACAATCTCTGTACTTTACACTGTATTTTCCAAACGCACCAAATTTTCTTTGATTAAATCCTATTAAATTCATACTACTGCAGAAAATTGTCTACAGGTATATTGTTATATAACAGCTTCTGCTAACATTGTCATTTTTACAGATCTCTTGATGGGCTTGAGGATCAAGTGGCCTTGCAGGCTCCTAAATTGCAAAGAAATGCTCAAGAAACAGAGTTTGTAAAATTGAAGTGCAAAGAATATGAGAAAATCAACAAGGAACTTGAGGTGAACTTGCAAAGGTCAAATCCTGCCTGGTTAACTGCAAACAGAGTATACGGGTTGTCATGGTAACATGCTTGGCCCTGATATTTATGTGCAAACAAAGTTGCAGCAAAAGTTGAACCTCACCTGATAGACAGTCCCCCGTAATTTGAACACTTGTCTATTATGGACAGTTTCAAAAGTTAACAAACTCAAGTACTTCTATAACACTGACAGTTCTCTGATGTGCACCCTTGGGTATGCCTCCTTGGTATCCATGTTCATTTGTACACGTAAATAGTTCACTGCAGATAGCTCAAACTACTGTTAACTGATCCTGTCAAATCAAGTCATTTTGTTAGTGCTTTTCTAAGCCTTTGACATCTGGCTTTAAATAAGGTTGCTTTAGTAAAGAATTCACCACAGAAATTAAAATAAACATTCAGGGAATGCTTTCATTTTGAGATTTTGTCTTATAATGCAAGAGTAGTACTTTATCTCTAAATCATTTTCGGTTCCATTTTTGCCACAGGGATATCAGAGTAAAGTTCAGCTGGATTCTTCAATATTCCATAACTCCCTTGTCAAAAAAGCAGAGGTACAAATTCAAAAATAGTGTTGTGTTGTACTCTTAAATGTGTTCATTTGATATAAAAAAAATTATACTAGCTAACAAGTTCTTTTGTACAAGAAGAAACAGCTTTTTTATCCATAGCATCATAGCTTTTGGTAAAGAATTAAAATGTTTCACAAAAAGTAGCTTCGACAACACCTTTCAGTTGATAAGACAACTCACAGTTAAAATAATGATTTATTGTCATTAAAATGGTTAATCAGTGATAATGTGATTTTATCAGTCTTCTGTAGAAGTGTTTGACCAGGGTTAACAGGACATGTTCTTTGGTTTCACAGGATGTGAGAGTTACTAAAGAAAAGATGAAGCCAATAAAAGCTAAGTTAGATGGTTACAACAGTCTTCCACCTGTAAGTACACTTTGAAAATAAGCCACTCACTACGCTCAGTGGGTCTGTGGCTGCTTACAAAATAAAATGCTTTTTAGTAATATTTTATTATCTGGAAACACTCAATGTTTCTAATTTTTTCTTACTTTTAAGGATATTTATCAGGCAAAGGTCAAAGTTGAAGAAGCAAAAATGCAGCTGGTAAGTTTGTTGAAGTTGCATGTACCATAAATTACTCTTAAAATAAATAATTATCAGATGTTATAATTTTAGCACTATCGTGGATTGTTGTGTAAACTAACTATACTTATTCTTCAAAACAATTTTATTATTCTTAGGAATTGTTGGAACGACAACTATCAATGAGTATAGACACTCTCCACTTGTAACTTTATGGGATGAACGTTTATTCACCTCTCAGGATATTATGTGCAAGATTCAGTCATCAACTTAATATACTACACATTGGCCAGTCAGTTGTTATGACAACTAAGACCATTTCTCACAAAATGACAGAAGTTCATGGAAAATAAAGAGTGAAGAAGAGAATAGTGAATTGAGTGATAACTAATATCGACAAAAAATCCAAGAAGATGTTATCTGTTTTGTCCTGCCCTTAATGTGGCATAGTTTATGGTATCTAAAAGATGCACCTGAAATTGGAAGTCATTACAGTTTAGAGTGATCTCAGCTACCTCTGCAGGGAGAGTCTATCCAAGTAAAAAGTAAATGAAGTCATTTAGAAAGTGATAATTTAAATTTTCTCTTTGGCATTCAGACAGACTTGAAACAGACTGAAATGGCATTTCATGTAATAACTTCAGTTATTCGGTGTCAGTTTTTAAGCTTTTCTCATAGTTTGTATTTTGAATATAATAATTTATTATTATAGTTTTGGTATTCAAGTGTTTAGAAAAATGTACTATGAGACAAAAAGGGACCCATGGTATCGGCATTGAAAATAAATAAAATAAGCATTATAATACTCTAATTTGCAGCAATGTGTTTGTTGGCCTTTGCTTCTTAATTATGTTCTTTGTGCCATGTCATTTTGGAACTTTGCATCAGCCTCCTCCACCATGGCTGGCAAATCCAGCCACCCCACCAACAGAAAAAAATTGGTGCTTGTCAAACAGAAAAGATGGTAAAAGGAGGAAAAGCAGCTGTTACAAAGCCCTCGCAAAAACAAAAACACTCATTGGGACCTGCAAACAGATTACTTTCCTAACACTCCACTTTTGCTTCTTAAATAATCCCATGGTATTGCACATTATTTTATTAATTTGACAGTGACCACAAGTTCCTCCAATTATTGTTATAGAAACCATTTATCAAATGAGAAAAAGTCTTCAAATAGTACAGATAAGAATGTCATCAGTAAAAAGTATTTACACATCACAATATGCTACAAAGTTATAATGACACTTTTAAAAAAAATGATTAAGACTTCCAAATCCTAAAAATACTTTTAGACCTTTCCAAACAGTGTATACTGTGCAGGGTCCAGTTGATCAAATGTTGGATAGCGCTATCCCCCGGATAAATCACTATCCAGCAGATAAGTATGAGGGAAATCAATAATAATATTGTGTTATATCCACTGGATAGAGATACCCAGTGAATAACGTTACCACCTTTCAAACAACTGGGCCCTGCTCAGCATTTTTATAAAATTGATTAAAAGTAAAACTACTTTTAAAAGATATAAATAATTCATACATAATAAATAACCCTTAACACAGCTATCAAGACAATAAATATTGAAATGCTTTTAGAGTCCTGGCCCTGGTTGTTCAAAAGCTGAATAAAGAACTTGCCATTAAGTAAATCTTCTTTCCAGCAGATTGTTTTTCCAGTAATTGGCACACAAATTGCATTAGCCACTGGATAAATATCACTATCCACTTTTTGAACTACTGGGGCCAGGTCACAATCAGGTGTAACTGTTGAGGATTTTGTGCATCCAAAAGAGAACATGTCCTTAACCTTAACCCAATAACCTATGGGATTCTGGTCCTATACAACATGATGGGGTACATCAGACAACACATGAACATTAATATTGTACTCCCTCGTGGTTTTGAGCCATTTGTATAAATAGTCTAAAAGGATTTTTGTAAGTAAGAACTTCCAAACATGGTTAATCCTTATTTTTAAGCTGAAAAGCTTATGTTGTCATAGGAATAAAAGATTTTTCCCCCTTAAAATACACCAAAACTTGTTTATATTATTTTCTCATTTGCTCCTGTCAGCTTGACCAATCAGATAACTGTTTGGATTGTTTTTTTGTGTTTTGTTTTTTCAAGCAAAATCATTCCCAGGTTGTAGGATAATCACTTTCTCCTTTCAAGTATGCATAGAACAGAACAGGCTCAATAGACTATTTTCACGATAGCAGCAGTTTATCTCAACAACCAGACTACTTCAGGATTCTTTTTGGCAAATGAGGGCTGTTTTTGTTTGAATCCCCCCTGGGATTACTAACTTTTAATAAAAAAAGGGGAAAAAAGGAATTTTGGTAGTTTTGGTAAAATAATGCCTTATTAAAAATGTCTTATTAGAAAACAAATGACCGAGGCCTTTGTTTTGAACCTATCTTTTTCTCTTTGTTTGTCTTTGATGTTTGCTTTACTTTCTTAGCTTCGTTTGCCTGCCATCTCTTTTGACACTGTTTCTCATGGATAGATATTGATGCTGAACCATATTCCCGGCCACAAAGATAGCAGACAACCAAAGCTGGCTTGCTTGGTGTCAAGATTTTGTTTTCCTTTACTTCATCTGTATTACTACATTCTGAATTATGACGAGGTAATGTCTCTGGTGTTAGCAGATCTCCATGACTACCACTTCTGTGAGACAATGTTGTTTCTTTGTTGTTATTTTCTTCAACATGGTCAATCTTTATTGTAACAGGGAGATGAACAGAATGTCGTTTCTTTGATTCCTTTTCTTTCTGTGATTTCTCTGCAGCTTCCAACTTCTTCCTAGCCTCCCACTTTTTCAGGCACTGTTTTTCATGGATTGGCAAGGAGTGTGTCGTAAACTGTTTCCCACAGAGATAACAAAGTATCATTCTTGATATCTGGTGAACAGCTTTGGGTGATCTTGGTTTATGTTCACTCCTGTCCAGCAGATTCTCACATGAAGCAGAGCGAGGTTTCCGTTCTTTGGCTGTTGGTAATCCACTGGCTAAAGCAGTGTTTGGCCGGCGGTTTCGAGGAGATGTACTTTCATAACTTCTCAGAGATGAAACTGACCTTGCCTTGCTTAGCGTCGCTGTTGTCTCAAGGCCACGGCCACTTGGGCTACGAGAACGTTTAGGATTGGCAAGTCGCCATTTCTTGAGGCACTGTGGTTCATGGATTTTCAAGGACTTTGATCCATACTCCCTTCCACATATATAACATACTGTTAAGATGGGGTGACTAGAAGAGGACGACCTCGTGTCGCATAAAGACTGCCTTTCTTTCTTGGTCTCATATGGGGTTTCCTGAGAGTCAGATGAACCTGTTAAAGACTCTAATGACCCTGCCCTCTTAGAAAGATAAGAAACAGAATGATTGCCATTTACAGACACCCTCTCGGGCATTGGACAAGTCTCAACAGTATAGGTTGCTTCACTGCACCTGTCAATGTCTTCATCATCAGACAAGTTTTGCTCTGCAGAGGAATGTGACTGGACATCTGCCATTTCTAATGATACATTCTTTTCAGAAGATGAGTCTGAAGAATACCCTTGAATTGTAACAGCTCCTGGTCTTATCAGCAGTTTGCCGGTGGCTGGTGATTGTGAACGTTCTTTGAGTAACTTTTGTCCCTGTTCAATATTTTTTAGTGTTACAGTACTGCCTCTTTTCTGTGATGTTATGCTTGGCTTGAGAGCTGACCCCCTTATGTCATCCAAACTCAAACTCTGTTGTTTATCAATGGTGGGAACATCGGGCAGAACTCTTCTTTTCCGTGGTTCATGTGAGAATTTTCTTCTCGGTTGTTGCTTAGCATCTTCTTTTTCCTTTTGTTTAGCCATTTCCCACCTCTTCGCACACTGGCGCTCATGAACATTAATGGAGTGTGCACTAAACTCTCTCCCGCAAATATAGCACAAGACTGTCTTCGGTTTTGGCATGACTGGGTTCTTTCGCGATCAAAGCAATTTTCAGATCTGTGAAAAAGATAATATTCCCAATATTGTTGTGTTTTCCCACACTCACTTCTCGGACATACATAATTACTACTAACGTAATACATTAGGCAATATCACTGTTCCGCCCGTCTCAAAAGTTTCATCTTACGTGTCATTCAACTGAAAATATTAACGCTATATTCTTATCAATTCCGCGGAGAACAAACAACTTTGTCTTATTACCATCCCGCTTTCTTGAGTAATCAAACCCAAGAAACACAAACAATTAAAATATTTATTATGTCCCTCTAGAATTTCAATCAGAGGGAAAAAAGGTTTCTGAACGACAACCATTTCAGTCACAACTCGTCCGACATCTAAATCGAACGTTTTTCCCTGTTCTTAAGTGGGAACAACAAATATTTGCCACGCGAAACAAACACTAGAGATGAAATCATTGTCAAGATAATGGCCTTTTCCCTTACACATATTACGCTTGGTCATGCAATAGAGGATAAATTTTAATTTTGTAAAGAAGAGAGCGTCTGTAATCACAGCCACAATTTCCGTCGGCTTTAAGGACACTTTCCTGAGAATTCATCGAAAAAATTAAATTAAAGGTTTTTATACTTACTCTCCAGCTGCCCTCGACCACCAGAAGACGATTCAATGGCGGTTTCTTCGATGCAAGGACGCTAGAAATTGTCCTCGAGGAAAAATTTGTGTTTTGCTGGCGCACGGGGAGAGTTTGAAGTGAATCCGCAGCTGCCCTATCACCTGACCTAGTTTATAAAAGGAAGTTGACGACTTGCCGTGTCCTCAGGCGACGCGAATCCGCGTGTATGAGGTCACGACGGAATTTTTTTCTTGAAAAACTACTACGTAGCGTATTTTTCTCGCTTCAATATTACAGCGCTTCTAGACGTAAAATAAAAGGGTTGGTTTCCTGGCTACGTAAATTCTTTACCAGCAGGTGCGCTGCTACGGTAACATGAAAGATCAAAAATATAAAATGAAATTTTACTTGTTTGTGAAAGTTACTCATGTGTAAACAAAAAATTGCGACCGGAAGTGAAGATGAACCCTAAAATAGCATTAGCTCCCAAGCCCTCACTTCCGGTAGTTCTAAGATGGCGGATTCCAATTGCAATGACGGTGTCAATGACGGTCCCTCGAAAGTGAAGACAAAAGCTTGCAGATTCTTTCACACTAAGAGAGGTTGCAAGTTTGGATATGAATGCCAATTTTTACATTCTGCAAAGACCTCAAGTCAATCAGGAAATGTTGTAAACGAGGGTGATGAATTTGTTACAGAAAATGAAGTCAAGAATTTTGAACCTGATATTAGCTTAAACGATGACAGTGAACTATGCAATGAACGTTTGGGTGAAGCTAAAGAAATAAAAAAACGTGAAGATTCGTCTCAAGATAGAAGAGATATTGCTTGTAAGTTCTTTCAGAGGAAAAGAGGTTGCATGAGAGGTTCAACATGTCCATTCGTGCACGTGTTAGTTGATGGGCAATCTGCGCAAACGAATAAATCAGCTTCTGATGAAAATGTAAAGAGTACGAGGTCAAGGACGAAAAACACAAGTAAAAGAAAAAAACTTGCTAGTCCATCAAGTGATAAAGAACAGGATGAAAGCAAGCTTACTAAGTCGTCCTGTCTACAACTAGCAAAAGGTGATCAAAAACCAATCGAGCAAGGTGACCTTCCTGTGCAAAAAGAGAATGCAGATAATACAATGGCTTCTCAGGGATCTGGAGTCACAGTGTTGACTAGCAATAAATCCGAAAAGCATGTAGAAACTAAACCTGAAGGTATGCACGGTATAAAGTGCAATACAGCTGGTGTAAACACTGGTGCAGATTGTAACGAGGCAGTTAAAGGCAGTGGCAACAATGTTGTCAACCATGTGAAGAGCAAAAGACAACCTGAGATCATTGAAAAGGGCAAAAGAATGGAAAGCAAAGAAAATAACATGAGGGGGCCATTCAATGAAAGAAACAGGGCAGTTTTTGGAACCGAAAGTACAACAGGCATCCCACCCCTTCAACAGGACACTTCAATGAGAGGTTCAGTAAGTGAACATGGAGGTTCTGCGCTCAAAAATGGACATGAAGTAAAACATGAACAATATGAAAAAGGTTTACCACTATCACAAAAGAACAGTACAACTACTAGTGCAGTAACAAGAAAAAGAAGTCCATTGCAAAACGAAGAATATGAAAGAACCAGAGAAAGAAACCAAACTCATAATAAAGACAACTGTGCATCAAATTTTAGGGGTTCTTATACTCTTGCAGATGCAATGCTAAGTGAACCTAAAAAGCTTAGAGCAACTGAGATTCAGCAGCTGAAAAGACGTTTTGGAGGCAAGGGCGGCTTCATTGAAATGAAAGAAAACTCCTCTTACAGGATCAAGTTTAAACCTACTGATCCTGACTGGGTAAGTTCAATAATAAATTAGTATTGTGTACTCCTAAAGCTTTTAGGGTAGCAAATCTGGAGAATCCAGGCATTAGTGGAGAGGGGTTAGGATGAATGTCCCCCAGAGGCAGACCACCATATGGGGAATTCAGGGATGTTATGAATATGTTAAAGGTAAAATTTGATTTCAGGTTAATTTTGATTTACATACTATTTTTTTTGTCACCAGCAATTTAAAATTGAAGCAATTTACCTGACTGTGTGCTTTCCAGATGATTATCCATTACATGTGAGTATTTTCAGTGTTTTACTGCAAAGTGTAAAAGTACCAGCAGGGAGGTTGGTTCCATAGCATCTCTGCAAAATTATCTGGTTACTGCACTGTTTGCAGTCTGGTTACTGTAATGTTTAGGTTTCTTGAAAACTGCCCACCTACCCCTCCCCTGAGCCAACATTTTGCACTAAGTGAGAAGTAAGGGTTAATTTTGAGTTAGGGTAGGGGTAAGTGAGCAGTTTTCCAGAAACTTAATTATATTATTGATCTGTAGTTTCTGTGGTACATTTTTAACCGCAAGGGTGTATGTTAATTTTTCTTACCAGATGTTTGATGTTGCTTTGTCCAAGGAACAAGACCTTTCTGAAGATATCATCAAGTAATCTGCAGTATTTGTTTTTTCATTTTTTTGCTTATTGAATTTGTATACAGTTGTACCTCCATGTGCGACCTCCTCTCATAAGCGACCAACCTCCCATAAGTGATCACCCATCCAAAGCACAAACATTTTCCCCGTCAAAACCTTATCATTGGAAACTCTCATAAAAGACATCCTCTTGAAAATGACTGGGACCACTTTTTAAGTGAAATTTTGATAACTTTCCATTAGGTGAAACCTCTGATCTCTGACTTTGATGTTTTTGCTACACTACTCAGAGTATAGCATGAATTTTTAGTAACAACATGGAACTATTTACAAATTCAATACAATACTTTCTTCTCTACCTCCTGTCAGAGACCACTAAATTTTGGCATTTTGGGTGGTAATGCTTACAGGAGGTTACACTGTATGTATTTACATGATGAGCTTCAATTTCTCTTTTTCTACCAATGACTTTCTGACTGTTTTACTTCTTTGAAGCTTTGTAAATGAAAGATTAACGCAGTGGACATTAGAGCAAGAACACATGGTGAAAAGTCAAGGTTTTCTGAAGCTATTCTTCCGCCCATTTCTTCACTGGCTTGACAAGAATTTAGTTTCTTTCTTTGTTGATGGTGGAAGTCAGGTAAAGACAAGCAAGCCATGACAAGATGTGCTTATGCAAAGAAGTTGCTTAAAACAATTTGCATAACATTTGCACAATCTCCTGGCATCAATATCTTGTGTGGGTTGAGTTTGTTGCTGGTTTTCTCCCATTCCAGAGAAGTTATTCTCTGGGTACTCCAGTTTTTCCCTCTCCTCTAAATCCAACAAATTCCAGTTTGATCTGGAATATATGTTTAACGAAGTTTTTAAGAACTCCTAAGTGCCTTGTGGGTAAACAATGTACAGTTTACAACGATTAGCAGTTTTACAGACAGCTGGTTAAATTAGAGGTGGACAGTGTTTTGCACTGGATACAGAAATCTCTGACAGGTGGTAGTGTAATAATTCATTTTTACTCACAGATAGGAGCAAAGTATGTTTCTAACATCTGTGGATTTAATGACAAAGCCTTTGAAGTACAATCTAACAGTCCAATGTTAGAAGGTCAGAATACATCCACTGGTTCTGCACCACATCAAGAATATACAAATGACATACCAGCACAGATTAAAACAATATCAGATAGTGAAGGACTTGAAATCCCACATAATGATACAGAACCTCCTCAAAATAATGAGGATATTGATCATGAGAAGGAGATAATGGATGCAGAGACCACAAGTTCTCAAAACATCCAAGGAAGCTTTGAAAATGACCAAGCAGCTCAATCATCTCAATCAGACATTCATGCGAGTGATTCCGCCACCTCAAATACTGCTGAGAGGGGAACTCAAATTCAATTCAAGGGCCTTAATCTGGAAGAAAGCATCAGCTCCATTCGAGGAAACAAAGTAGTCATAACATTTGAGTGTAAAAGGTGCAGGCAGAGGATTGATCTCCATCTTTCTCCTTCAGGGTAGGTAGCATATAATTTTGTCTTATTAGCAGATTAGGAATTTTTGTGACAAATATTATTCTTGTGGTCATTTACAATCCTTTCTTGAGAATACACAACAAATTTTCTGTTAAGTAACCTAATCTCCTTATGTATTCTTTACTGTGCTACTGTTCAGCTACTCTACTTGCCTTAAGAGGGTACTATTGTGTACAACTCCATGTACACATCAAACTCGGTAAATGGTCAAGGATTTTGTACTAATTACATGTAGTATCTTGCTAGCCTGATTTTCAGACAGACTGAATTAGCTGATTGCAATGAGAGTGGCAGGTGGTGACCTTGGACCACAAAAAATCAAGGGCATTTTATAAATTACAAGTTTTATATTACAGATGTACTGTGAAACAATGCACAAGGTGTGCCTCAGTGTTTGCAGCGACCTACAGACCAGCTATCGTTCATCAATTTTCTTCTATTTTAGGATACCTTGATCTTGACAGGTAAGTGATTGTCAGTGAAACAGCTTGTTATGGCTTGTGTAAGCTACATGTATTCTCTTCGCTGGTGTTCACTACAATAATTTATTATCTGACGGTGTACTGTGTGGTTGATATTAATATTTTACAGCTGTGTGCCATTTGATGTGGTTCTACCAGAAAGTGAATTGATGCTGGGTTGCTTTCAATGCTCTAAAGAAACATCAGTGAAGGTATTCATTAAAGATCAGTCCTTGAAAATTTGGACATTCAAGACCACTTGGTCTTCTTGTCCATGACTGTACTGCTGACGCTAGACAAGATGATAATTTTCTTTTTTGAAAAAGTGTGTCATTGAAACTGTGTAATTTACTATGTGCAGGGTCTTCAGTATGGAGCTAACTGGAGCTGGTGTGGCCATTGTCATCACAAACTCAGATTTCAGATTGAGTCCACAAGATTCCATCAGTTACAGAGCAGTGCATTAGATACATCAGGTTGGCTTACAATTTTTGTATTTTGCTCCAACAGAACAATAAGATCTCTTGTTTTGAATGTGTCTCATTACACGCATAACTTCCTCTGTCATTCTATCCATTATAGGCCCATTCATGAATTTAAACTGGTTTGCAAGTTAATGTATTTTCTAGAGCATTCAGGTACATTCAGATTTATTGTACCAGAACATTGGTCACTTTTGTACCAGAGTGCGCCAATTAGTGTTGTCTTCCATACCAAATTCTTTCTTCTTTTTTTTTACCATACCAAATTCTTTGTGCCTTTGAAAGGAACTATTATTTAATGAAGGAGATATTGGGCTGCAGTTACTTTTAAGTTACCAATCTAATACTTTGTTCCATATAAATATTTGTATATGTTAAAAGTCAAATTTGTTTTCAGGTTAAAATGTTTTAACCAAGGGTGATTCTCAACTTCCCTTATATCCTAGGGCTGGAAGACAAAGGGAATTGAGGATCAATCTAAGTTAAATCAAAACTAACCTAAATTCAAATTTGATCTGTGGCAAAAAACACCATTTACTGGCTGAATATAGATTTGTCTTTCCCATTTGAACTTTATTGTCTAGTTTCTCTGAGAAGAAATGCGGTTGCTAGCAGTTCTTCAAAAGCTAAGAAGCCATCCCAAAGCTCAGGATTAAAAGAAGGGCAGCCATTACCAGCTAATGGAACCTGTAAACACTACAAGAAGAGTTTCAGATGGCTCAGGTACTACAATGCTATTGTTTTTACTGAATGAGCAGGTTTTAGGTCTGTTAAAACCAAAAGAGAATCTGAGGCCCCTTTTATTAGGCCTATCATAATGACTCAGTCATTCTTAGCTTATTAACAATTAAAAACAAATAATATTAGTCTGAGGTATTAACGTTATGTTGATGTTTTATCCAGGTTTCCTTGTTGTGGAAAGTGTTATCCGTGTGATTTATGCCATGAAGAAGAGGAAGACCATGAAATGAAGTACGCTACAAGAATGGTCTGCGGCTTCTGCTCAAGAGAACAGGTTTGTCAGTTTACCCTGTAGATTAACAACAACAGCTGCCCGCTGGCTCTTTTAACTAATTTCAAAATGGGACATGGCAGAAAACCTTTTGGAGGATAGCAATTAGTAACTTCGGGTAATATTATTGATCGATGAAGGAACGTGATACGATCTCACTGGCACTAGCCCTCTGCCGTCTACGCTCTCGTCAGCCCAAGTTCCTTGGCCAGGGGCACCCAACGTCAATTTTCGGAAAATATCTGTTCGGAAGACGATTTGAGATCTAGAATTTTCGGAACATTTTTTGTAAAATTTCTTGCTTGCCTACCTCTCCTAGGATTTTCGAACATCTAAAAATTGGTGTAATTGCCCATTTTTAGCGGATTTTTACCCTGAAAAGCTCACCTAGAATTTTCGGGAGCCTTTTTTCTGGCTGAAATTTTCGAAAAGGTAAGTTTTGATCCCTATGATTTTTGGATCTCGAGACTTTCAGCTAGGAAATCCGAACAGATGAAAAATTTTTAGGGGATAAAAATATACCTATATCTACCGTTTAATTACTAAAATACGTTTAACAATGCTATGTTTAAGTGGTTTTGAACTATGTTCTTGTTGGGTGCCCCTACTTGGCCACATTTTGCGCATGGAGAAGGATGAACCCGCTAACATCTACGCGTTGTTTGAGCCCTCCCACGGGAGAAGACCCCAAATAGACTGCATAAGTCGTTTTCCAGCCAAGTCCAGGAATGGATCGACCCCAAAAAGCAAGTATAACATCTTGCGCACTGCCCAAGACCATGCCAATTGGAGATGTCAACTGCTGTTCGGTCGACCGATGATGATGATGAGGATAATGATAATGATGATGACGCGTCCTAAATATCTGCATTCATTTGCTGTTTTATAGCACAAGCATAAACAGAGCATGTCATGAGTTGAAAAAAACTTCGTTCTGGTTTTGTTTTACATCGCTGGGTTTTGTGATGGGCTAAAAATCTCACCTTGTTTCCTGGGGTCTCCACTCAGTATGTACATTTCCTCGAAACGTGATTGTTTCAAATGATTGTCACCGCCAACATCCTGCCTGAGTAATTACATCAGTTTTTGGTAAATACGTTAACCCAAAAATAATATGCGTTGTAGACTGTTCACAGTCCTCTATTTTTCCGTAAGATCATCGAGTTCGAGCGCTTTGTGTTACGGGCTGCCATCTTGCATGATCCCACCCCCTTGGTAAATCTGAAAATCAAGATACCCGCGACGGTAAGACGCGGTATATCTAAACGATCTCATGGAAAAATAGGGGACTGTGAACAGTCTATATGCGTTGAGACAACAAGTAGCTCTTTTGCAGCGAAAGAAGGTAACATCTTACCAATTCGGTATACCAGTTTTTCAACGCATTGTACATTGTAATTGTATCGTTTGCCTGTGTCTCTCCAATACTTCCAATACTCACTGATATGTTTTCAATTTTCCAGCCTTATTCCCAACAGCCTTGCAGTGGTTGTAAAGCTGCAGTTACCAAGTCACGCTCAGCACATTGGGAAGGGGGCAAAGGCTGCCGGGATAAGATCAGTATGAGTAGGTTAGTGCACGTTCCTGTCTTTCGCACGTTTATTTCAGAAGACTTTCTAATGAAGCAGGACACCCCAGGGACCAGATCGGCTCCAGTTGTCCGCCTCAGATTTGGTAAAAGCTGGAACCAGAACAAACCATTCACTGATGTCCTACTTACAGAAGCACCTTCCTTGTGTGAATCAGGCCCCAGTTGTTCAAAAAGTGGATAGCGCTATTCACTGGATAAATCTTTATCCACTGGATAACGCGATTGGTTTCCCAATTAGTTATCCACTGCACAATGATTTTAGCGTTTGATCAACCCGGGGCCTTGGCTTCATGATTGTCTTAAGATACATTTATTTTATAATTATTTTTTAACGTTTAGAAATGATAACCAAAAGTACAGCCAAGCGGGGAAAACAACATCACGCAAGTCCCAGAAACGTTCTGAAGGAAAAGGAAAGGGACAGAAGGGGAAGTAATTGCGTAACTTGTCATTCGTCACCATCAAAGAACAGAGTAACCAGGGACTGATTAGCCTGCGAGGGCATACGGTTTTTTCGGCTCAAGTTTCTAGTTTCACTCGGACGGTGAAACAAGAAACTTGAGCTGAAAAAACCGGATCACAGGCCAGGGACTGATAAAGTTGAGCCGGAAACAAAACGGAAACTCCAAGTTACAACTGCCCTTTGCTATTTTTATTGTATGTACAGCTGTACTGGATCATGATTTGCAATAAATAAGTTGGATGTGAAGAAAAGTTGTTTTCATTGATGAACACTGCAATGAGCGAGTGTCAAGGGTCGAGGGGGTGGGGTAGCTACCGGTTCGCCAGTACGCACCTCCCGAGGGGGGTCCACCACTTAGCGGCTCACCTATGCCTAAAAATTGGTCGAGTACCCCCCGGCGAGACGCACCTGTGCACTTGAGGATAAAAGGAAAAAATAATGGTAAAAAAAGTTAAAAAGCAAAGGAAGCGAGGAGAAGGAAAATAGGAGATAACTGAAAAAAGGGAGGACGCTTTAATTACATTCTGATAAGTTTTCCCCGGTTTTCAGTAGCGAAAGCCGTAAAAGTTCTGCCTGATGACCCGAAGAGAGATTATCCTCCACCATACTGACTAGGCTCGATTTCCGCCGTCTCCCGGGTCCGGATTTTGATCCTCCCTCGGGGGATGAATGCGGGCTCATTTTCCCGAATAGCGGCTGGTAATCGAGCCTACATACTGACAAGAAAACAGTCAACTCCTATTTCACCTGCTTGGAAACGATTTGAGAGACGGAGTAGGGTTAATGTGGAAAACTTTGCCCACCGCTGGAAAAATCCCAGCTTCGCCTCAGGTCTCGTCCCCCTTGCGATCATGGCCCCCTTTTTTATGTCTCTGTTCTCCAAAAAACAAACAAACATCAAAACTTTCGCGCACTTCGCTGACCCTAGGCTCCTCTGGTAGCCCAAGGTCGAAATATAAGCATCGGCGAACATTGACATTCGAAATAAAAAAAACAACACAGGAGAGAGGTCAGGTAACACACATTTTATGTAAGGTCAGCTGTTTTTTATTGAAATCCTGTCATTTTCGTAGGTTACGGAAACGATAGGTTTTTTCCCATACAAATCCTTATATTTCGAATGTTACGCAACAATGTCGATGTTCGCCGATGCTCATATTTCGAGCTTGGGCTACCTGTGCAGGCTCTGACTATCACAACAGCAGCGAAGTCCTAGGAACTAGTCAGCAAAATAATTTCATCATGGCGGATATTGAGGAGTCACTTGGTATCGGCGAATCTCTTTCGGTCAACAACGATCAAATAAACGATATTATCGCTTCATTACCTGAGGAAGAAAGGGTTTCAAAGAAAGATGACTTGAAAGAGGAGAAGAAAAAACTCACTGAAGAAGATCCCGAAGACCAAATATCGTCTCAACCTGAAAGTTTGCGAGTGTCCGACGTCCATATGGCAAGCAAACAAACAGGCGAATTAGCGACAACGAACGGTATTGAACTGAATGGAGATGCTACAGAGGAAAAGTTACCAACGGAAGAAAATGTATTAGTATCAGAAAAAGACGATGATATGTTTTCAAAAAACTTGGAAGTAGAAGTAACTGAGTCTAATGTAACGGAGGAATCGAACTCAGAACTGCCAGATACCAAGTCTGAAAGTAATAATACTAGTTCAGCAGTTTCTTTTGAGAGTTCTCATGCTGACGGTGGAAGTCACAGGTCTCCGGACAGAAAAAGTAAGGCTGAATACAGAAAGATCAAGAGTGAAGTGACCGGCGAGGGCGAAACGTCAGAAAGTGAGGATGATGATGAAACGACAGAAAAAAACTCCTCAGCACATGCCATGGATCAGGAGGCAGAAACGTGGATGGATTTATTAGGAAATGGACTACTGAAGAAACGGGTAATCACAATGCATTCTATTTATGCAGATTGCTCTCAATGTATGCACAGATCAAGACCAGTTTCCACCATTTAACAGAAAACAGTTCAATGTAGCATCTGTATTTACGTGCACCCCTATCACCCAGTCTGCAGAGTATGGCAGGTGCACACGCGAGTTTTTTTAAATAATATATAAGAAGTAAGGGCCTAAAAATGGCCTTGCATGTGTAGATCTCGTCGAGTTCTGCCATACTCTTCTGACAGGTCTATCACCAACGCCACCCCAATGGAAGGCAGGATTCTGACAGATTGTCCTTGTCCAAACTCAGAATCTGATCTCCCTTCCCCACCCCCAGCCCCCTCCAATATAGGAATGAGTTAGAGGCTCGAACATCTCCTCCATAGTGGGAGTGATTCTAAAGGTCTTGTCGACATGCACATAAAAAATAATAATAATACTAAAAATTCTAGTACCTCTTAGTGATTGTAAGACCGACATATGAATCCAAATAATTTTCACGATTCTGACAGGGTCCATTTTGCACCTCACTGAAAATACCTTCCATTGTCAGGGTGTAGATAAAACCTGGCATGTTACAGTTTTTGACAAAAAAGGAAATGACTTGTTAAAAGTTAAAATATACATGTTTTCTGTTTTGTCAGCTGTGATCTTTGCTAGAAGTTTACACCTTTGGTGCAAGAAAAAGTCATGTTTCTTTTTTTGGATTCATCCATGGACTACCCCACCCCCCTTTAGTACAAAATGCGGTACAGTCGTACTCTGAATATGAGGGATTGTTTTAGAATGAATCTAATCACCCAAGTTCGATATATTAAAATTGTAACTTGAATCCAAAGTTTTAGGGACATAATTGCAAATTTTTCATGACTCCATTGTTGCACAATTCTTAAAAGAGACTTGAGCTCAAAGAAAACCAAATGAAATGTAAACAAAATAACCAGAAAGCCTTGGATTCATCTTAGAATTTTAATACATTGAACATGGGCTATTGACAGGAGAGGTTAATCAGCGTTAACATGACATTAAAAGGTGTAAATTTAATTCAAGTACAGGTGGTAATATGTGACATGTTGCCAGAGGGAAATATTGGATGCATCAGCTTCATGGCCTTGATTATTGAAGTACAACTCATGTAGAAGAATTATGTAGGAGAAGGTCACTTCAGCCAAAAGCCCCAAGTAGAATGCATTACCTAAGAGAATGGATAACCTGTAATCAGTCCTTCTAATGAATAGTGTCTATTAAACAAAGTTATTTGTCAGGGCAGGCTTAATTCGTTTACTCTGGTTTAATCCATTACAGCAAATGGTTTACTTTATTGTATAATCTCTCAGATACTGAAAGAAGGAAAAGGGAGAGATACCCGACCAGACAAAGGCCAAGTGGTTACTCTACAAGTAGCAGGATGTACAGAAGATGGTAAAGCTGTTGACTGGAACAGAAGTCTGGAATTTATCCTTGGTGAAGGAGAGGTCATTCAAGGTTAGCCCTATGACAACTTTTCAATTTTTTTATTCTTCTTACAAATACAACAAGTGTGACAATATTTTAACGCATGTTATGTTATTTTCATACATTCTTTCTTCCATTGAAGAACCTTAAAAGGCTATAACTATTTGAAAAAGGCTTGAGACAAAGTCTAACTTATGGTTAAACGGAGTAGATGAGACTACCTCCCTTATCAGAGTTTGTATCACTGCAAGATCATGATGTTCATAGCTTGAACAAATAACTCTGAATAGAGAGAGAAAGGGGGCTGTGGTTTATACACTTTATAATAATTATTAGATCTGCATTGAAATGAGAAGTGTTTTGTTTCTTCTTTTTTTAACTGGTTGTATAAAGCTTTTCATGGTTGCTAAGAGATACAACTTACATTATATTTTCAGCCTTTGACCTAGCAGTAGCTTTGATGGAGTTGGAGGAAGTGTGTGAACTTGTAACAGACTCCAGATATGCTTATGGGAAAGCTGGAAAGTATGTTGTTTTTGGTTGTTTGTTTTTTTTCTTGCTTTGTAACAGTGACATGTAACTGTATCTCTTCTTTATCTGGATGAAATATATGCTGCGTAATACCTATATAAATGCAATACTAGATATGACGGAATTGTAAACTGATACCAGAAAATTGCACGTATGGCTTGATCTTCTAAATGAAAAGAAATACAGGAGCCTTAAACCATCCAAAGAGATTTATGAATAAATCAGAGCTCATTGTTTTCTAGACCAGAGGCAAATCCACCTATTCCAGCCGATGCTAAACTGACCTATGAGTTACACCTGTTAGCAGTACGAGATGGTCCTAATATCACAAACATGACTGACGAGGAGCGAATCACCATTGGGTACGTCAGTAGGCCATGACGTCAGAACAGTTTTTAACGTTGTCTCCATACATTCTGGTGTATAGGCCAAGGAATAGACACTGCAGTCAGTGCTGTTTTAGAAAATGCCCACTAATTGATGGAGGCAAACATTGCTGTGGGAAGGCCTTCTGATAGGCTGGAAAAGCTGTTAGGATGGAATTTCTGGGTTGTGGCATAATGCAGTGAATTTGGCAAATTCTCTGAAGTAGAGTGGTCATGATGGAATACTTACTGCTGAATAATTCAAAAACTCTGCATGATGTTTCCAAAGCTAAATAGGCTCAAATTAGCATATATGTTCGCTATTTTGGCCAGATTAGGCAACTTTTTATTAATATTATTATAATATTATTTGCTGATTATGGTGTGTAATTGGATGCAAATTGTTATCAGTGTCATGCTAATCACACCATTGACTGCAGCTCTGAGAGGAAAGACAAAACTCTGATTTGCTTTTATCTAATATTATCAGAAGAAGTTTTGCAATAATTGGAAGTCTAAGAGATATCAGGAATAAGAGGTGGTTTTATTATTTGTATTTGAAGATTTTGGAGACATTGTAGATTTTATGCTCTGTTGTCTCTGATCCATTAGTAACACATTTTAAGGAAAAAGAGAACAAAACTTAAAAGTCACAGAAAAGTTTGCATGTCAACAGTATTATTGCCTGCCTTATTTCCAGGGAGAAAAAGAGAGAAATTGGTAATAATCTGTACACTGGAGGAGACTATGCTGGGGCCATTAACAGTTATCAGAGGTAAATTTGCTCTCAACTTCCTCCTCATCATCATCTTGATCTTTGCATCCAATTTCAAATTGCCCAAATCTGCCCACCAGTTTCATCACTGATAGCAAAATTACTCTTAGATTGTCTTTGCCCAATGAATCAAAATATAATTTCTTGCCTTGCATTTTGTGTTTTCTTGGAAATCAGAAAATACAAACGCAACTATTACACTCAGAAAAGAAATTCTTTAACTTTGACCACTGTTATACCATTGAATAAATGGTAGCAACTAAGGCCGTTAGCCTGACCTTTATTATTGTAATTTTACAGAAAGAGAATCATACATGAAATAGCTAAATGTTCTGGACCTCCTTTGTTATTTTAGGGCTATAAAATACCTCTCAACGTCCACTGCTCAGGTTGGTTTGTTTATTTGTTTATTTATCAATGATAATCATTTCATTTGTGCATATTCATGTACCTTGCCAATATAGTACCAAGGATTAAAAACAAACTTAACTCACAAGGGAAAAAAATTAATAATGTTTAAACATTAGGACACTGGAGCTTGGCCCCAGATTACCAGTTTTCAAAGGTTCTTGGCTTGTGAAAATGTTTGCTACTGTGTGAAAAAAAAGAAAGTGAGGATAATAAAATTCTTATTATTTCATTTTATCTAATAGCAAGTTCAAATCTTGCGGGTAAAGTGCTGGAATAACATGGCAGCTGCCCAGTTGAAGGTAAGAATATATTATAATTATAATAAACTTAATTCAAAAGTTGAAAGAGCTGGTTAACATAATCAATTTGTGCAATTTTCAGCTCTTTGTAAGCAATATTGAAGAAAATATTATTCAGTCATTAAAAACTTCAAAATTGTTGCAAAAAGAAAAAAGTTAATGGGCCGTACATCAAGGAGCTCAGTACTCAGAACCTGTGAAATCTAAAGTGCCCAGCATTAGATTTTTATGAAACAACTAAGATATTTGAGTTGGGCTGGAGCAAATGTTAGATGCCAGGAGCCACAAGGTGCTAGTAGTGCACAGCCTTGATGCATTCCTGGTAAAATTTTGATTTTTAAAAGAAATTTGTTAGAAAAATGGTGCATTGGGCTCAAATTTTCAGAGATAACTAGTAAATATTGCTATGTTCTTACAAGATTCAGAGATGGTATTTTAATAGCTTGATAGGAAAATGATAAGCATACTGTAAAATTCCGAAAATAAGCCCTGGGGCTTATATTTTTCAAAGGCCCTTTTTGAGGGGCTTATTTTTGGACGGGGTTATATTCGGAGTGGCTTATCTAGGGAGGAAAATTTGCGTTTCAAAATCAATTGGGCTAGCTTGTAGTGGGAAGGAAATTTACCGTTTTTGCTTTGTTTTACTTTGTATTCAAGGGCAAATTCCAAGTACAACCCCCCTCAGCAGGGGCTTATATTGGGAGGGGCGATTTAACAGAGGGTTTTTTGCATAATTTACGATTTGGGAGGGCTTATATTTGGAGGGGCTTATACATGGAGGGGCTTATTTTCGGAATTTTACGGTTGTCAAAATGTTATTGCTTGGTGTCTCAAGGTGATACTTGAAAAAAAAATTTGATTGATGTAGGCATTCATTGAATCTTATTTTTCGGGTTATTTCAAATGTTATTAAACACTGATAACTTAGTTAAACCCTTGGTGTGAGTAAGGCGTAAAAAGTGGTTTTGTTGTTAATGAGTATACCACAACTATTCTTTTTTAGATAAAGGCTTATTCTGCAGCAGAGAAATCTTGCTCTCAAGTATTACAAATTGATCCTGATAATGTCAAAGCCTTGTTTAGGAAAGGAAAGGTGGGTAAAAAAAAAGCCTGAATCATTTGAAAAAACAAATAATTATTCAGTGAAAGGGAAGCTGGCCACCCTAGTTTGTATAGACTAATTTCAGCGAGAGTGGTGAAACACATCCAGTGTTTATACAGTTTCTACAGGTATAGGCCTGTAGCTCTGACATACACGGTATTCAGTCAGTATTGGGCAAACAGTGTTAGACCAGCAGAAATTAAGGGAGTAAATGAACCCCTGTCTCCAACCACTTAAAATTATGTGGAAAATCTATGATTAGAGTGAAAAGTTATCAGTTGCTGATCATATGTTTACTTCAAAAATGATAGAACTTCCAGAAACCTTTGGCAAAATTAAATATACCATAATTTTTAGACCAGGGCCAAAGGTGGAAATATTTTCATTTATTTGGGAGTAACACCTTATGTTGATAATTTTTACCTAGCCGTGTCTTTGTTGGATAGAGGTGTTCACCTTATCCATCTTTTGCCATTCCTGTTCAGGCCCCAGTTGTTGAAAAGGTGGATGGTGCTTTTCACCATATAAATCTCTATCCACTTGATAGTGCAATTTCCCTTATCCACTGGATAGAGATTTATCCAATGGTTAGCACTATCCTCCTTTTCAACAACTGGGGCCAGTTGTTTAAGTACTGCTTAAAACACGAACATTAGTGTATTATCAGGTTTCAAAACTCGAGGGAAAGATAATGCATGACTGCAAATATCTTGAACGGCTTCAAGATCTCTGATATAGATTACCCCATTCTTGCACTAATATTTAGATTTGAGGTTATTTTGGTCTAAAAAAGTGTACATAAAGTTTAGCCGTGTCTTTATCAGATAGAAAGACACTCATTAAACACTAAATTCTTTTGTTTTTTCTTTATATATTACTAATGAGTTTTTTAAGGACAGTAAAAGTCATGAAGATGATATTTGATTTCTTGTTTTTACTCCAAACATACTCAGGTTCTAGCTGGAAATGGTGAAACTGAACAAGCCCTTGTTTATATTAAAAAGGCAGATCAGCTGGACCCCAACAATAAAGTAAGTTTAAAATGGCTGATTTTAGTTTTAGAAAGGTGTCTTCAATCAAACTTATCAATGTCAGTTAGCATTTGTTATGGATGGTATTTCTCAATAAAGACTCACTCTGGTCCCACTCTGGTGACTGGCTGGATTTGACCCAAAGACGTGATCACACAAGATGAATTTCACTGATATTTTCTTACTCCTTTCAGACAATCCGTGGAGAACTTAATCGGCTCAAACAGTTACTGGCATCGGAAAAAAGGAGTGAAAGAACTATGTACCAGCGAATGTTGGCTGATATGACTGGCGCGCAAGGAAACAAGAAAAATAAACGAACGGTAAGTGCTGCATTGATATTACTGCTTGCCAAGGCTCTGTAGGGGGGGGGGGGGGGGGAGGCAAAAAACGGGGTGAAACGTGACGGCAAAAGCGAGCCAAGTGGTGGACTGAGAAGGGCAGTACCACCCTTCCCCCTCCCCAGACCATCTTTTTTTTTCGCCGTCGCCAATTTTTCGCCTTTTTTCTGCACTGCTAAGCTCTCGCCTCTCACGAGTGCTCTCGACCCTCTGTGACTCCAAAGAAAATTAAGAGACTGGGTTAGGGTTAGGGAAATGTGAGCTGAGATATATTTATTTTCGATTCGTGACGATTACATGCTGTCAGGGGATGCAATGATTCTTCTTCTCACTTAACTTATTTCAACCTAGGAAAATACTTTGTGAGGTCGTTGGTGTTGTCTGTGACAATAGTTTCCCAAAACTTGTCCCTGAACTGACGATATAACTGTATTTATTTGTTTATTGATTGATTGATTGATTGATTTCCATGATAGTATTTTGGATGGCCGCTGGTGTTTGGAGCCACAGTTGTTGCTCTTGGAGGGATCCTCATGGCTGTTTACCTTACCAGACCACATTAAAAAGAGAAAAAGAAATACGGCAAACTACAAACCCAATATAATCTCAATATGCCATTTGAAAGACAAAAACAACGCAATTTAACCAATCCGAGTTCTCCAAATAAAGGCGTACAACCCGTGCAAAGTGGGTAGCCTGTGCAACTATGGTGGCTTAAGCAAAGTCGAAGGCGACGTCAACAAGATCGTCAAAAAAAGCGATAAGTTTAAATATAAAAAGCCAAACAACAACTTTGCACGTGCATCACGCTTTATTGTACATTTTTTTGCCGTCACTGCACGACTACGACGTGAAAGTGCCTAATTTCATGTTTTGTGGAGTAAGTGAACACAAGATGGCGACTTTCTTTTTCTTTTCCTGTACTTCAATACATTCTTTATGATTTCAGCTCCAGAAAGGTTTGATAACACTTGTACGAATTGAACGAGGTGGAATACTAAATTAAGTGTGAAACAGCTTGAATTCGTTTTTTTAAGTGACGTTTTCGTAGCTGTTGCCACCATTGTTTCTTAAGCTCCCTGCTGTTGCGCAAATGGTAGTTTCGGTTACAAGCGCGGCAAATTTTTGAGTAATTTACAGTTTTAGATGTGCTTCTTGTTGGTTGCCAAGGAAACACGCCTTCTTTGCTTTGATTGGTTAGCGCAGAATGAGGCAAGTCTTTTGAACCAGTTTGAGAGCACGTGAAAAAGTCTGCAGTGAATCGTCAGGCGCATTTCCCGCCAATGATGAAATCTTCCCCTCTTAGGAAAAATAAGTGAGTCAGTTGTAAATTTTGACTGTAAGGATGAAATCTTATGGTGTGAGTATTCAAATGAAACCTCGTCCACAGTTCTTTTGCTTAGTGTCATGTGTTATTTAGTATTTTGGAAATGAAATTTGGAATTGTTCCTCAAGTTTTATTTTGACCACTGTGCCACAACCACGTAAGGTAGCATCATTACATGTATTTTAAAACAGAAAAAATTAAAAATCATTTAAGAAGTACTGTTGGCAGAAACAGTAGTATAAGTAACTTTAGTGCGTTGCGTCACAGGGTTTGCACAGGTCATGGAAAACCTGGAAAGTCATGGAATTTAAGTGAATTTAAAATTTAAGTTTTGTTTGGTAGTTTAGTTACTGCAGATGACAAAGCAAGGACAATGCAAGGTAGAGAGGAGTAATTAAACAGCGTAAATGGCACGCATTTTGGTGGACACCAGAGTTTGTGTCTGTTGAACTGCTTAAGGTCAAAAAATACCCCCAAACTAGGAAAATTGTGAAAGTTTTTGAAAGTGACAACTAAACCTAATTTCATGAAAAACTTGAAAAGGTCATGGAAAGTCATGGAATTTGAAGAGCCCAAAAGAGTACGAACCCTGCGTCAATGTTTTTTTTTTTTTTTTTTTTAAGGAAGAGAACTCTCCCTCTTTCTGCATGTTGCAGAAAAACAAAACAGGTTTGGCGTTTTCGTGTGGCTTCGTGCATTTCGGGTCACGTGGTCTCAGCGGATGTGTCACCGAAATACATGAATGTGATGGCCTGGGAAAACGCCGTAAGCTACGTGCAACCAGACGCAATAACTCCCAACTTTGTCGGGCCAGCGATGTTGGGAGTTGTAGCGTCCGTGTTGGCAGTGGTGTCCAAACGGACGCAACAACTCGCAATATTGTCGGGCCAACAATGTTGGGAGTTGTTGCGTTCGTGTTGGCAGTGGTGTCCAAACGGACGCAACAACTCCCAACGACATACAACAGGGTGGCAAACGGACGCAACATGTAACATCCAACAATATTGGGAGTTGAGGGCCATACAACAATGTTGCGTCCGTTTGCCCAGGGCTTTACAAGGACAAGGCAGGCAAAACCAGGCGGCACTTTCTCCCAGTAAATTTTTTGGTCAGTTATTTGTTAAGATTAAGACGAAAATACCCCGTTCTGTTGGAGAATTGAGATTTATTAGGATAGTGTTTATCGTCGGGTCGGAGATGAAAATTCTCAAAGTTTTCTTGGACTGAGTTGGTTCGCTTCTCCTTTGAGTTAAAAAACCGCTTCAGTAGTGAAGAGGGCAGCAGGTCGGGAGAAACGCCGACTACACTTTGAAACTGTGTGCGAATTAGCAAAACCAAAAAAATATATATTTCAAGGGCATACCGCAATCTTGGTTTTCCTTATTTTCGCGGTGTCCTCAATGACGTCAAATGCCTTTCTGTTTAACATGTAGATTCCATTTTGGTGTGTGTCTGTTAAGTTCTATGGCACTAATGACGTCAATTCGTGGTAAGAACAAATGACCAACGAGCTTCTGTCAAGCCGGTCACTGCTGCTTTTACCACATTTTGAGTACTTTTTTGATAACTGGACAAAAGAAGGGCAGAATGGAATGTATCCGTTTCATTTGAAAATTAATGCATATTCAGGCTGTTTGGTATTTTTCACGTAAATCAAACTTCTTTTTACTGCTTATCCCTACCCTTGTATTTCCTTACAGCTTCTCCCAAACATTTCAAAATGACTTTACTTTCCAAATCTGGAAAAAAAATTTTTTTTTTTAACTGACACCGGTTTTTGACGAAACAGGTAACAAAGTTCGATGGCTAAGGCTGGGCGTCCGTACTTTAAAAGATATGAAACAAAGATAACTGACCATAATGTGCGTATACGAAGATTTTTTGTTCGAGATTACCATGTCATAAACTCATCACAACTTTACTGACATTACCTCTTCGCTCGTTACACTTGTGCACGAAAACATTTTTCACGAATTGGCGCTTTTTTTTATTATTTTAACCATTGTTACCCAATAGTGAGTGCCTATTTGACATACTGCTGTTATGGTCGCATTAATGACAATGTACGTCGCGTAAAGTCGAATATATATTCCGTTTGTCAATCTTCTCGATTATCTGTTGTTATGACTGAAAGAAGTAGCTATCTCTCCCGCCCTTTCTTGATAGAGGAATTTTCCTCCAAACAAATTTCATCTTTCCTATAGTTACTTAATTCATTTTTGAAATTTAGAAGAGGAATTTTTTCCCTTAGTAACTCATTTTTCGTAGTCTCCCAAGCTTTGTTTTATTCTTTATATGCTTAAAGGTCGGACCGATTCCTCGCGTACCAATACATTGTCATTGATGTCGTGAGCTTTACCTACATCATATAGTCACTGAATGCATCACAGTCGGGGAGGGACAGGGCAGGCACGAATAAATTCCATGTCATTCGCTGATAAGCCTTGGAATTCATAAAGAGCTATAAAGCAACAGAAGCTACCTTTATTTTACGTCTCGGATTTTGCTGGTAGTAAGAAAAGGGACGTTTAGGAGAATCATATTGGCGCTAATGATAATCTTGACTATCCGAGATAAACCGTATCGACGCGCCTCATAAAAATTTCGTCAATCTTTGTCTCTCAAAATTAAACCAATCCTCTCGTTTTTATAAAACAGGCCAAACCGTAATAAAGTTACTTTTTGTTATAATTTACTTGAACCTCTCAAGAATAAAAAAAATATATCTGTGTTTTTGAATTTTCCCCAAATGGGCAAAATTGTTATTAAATTCCAGCTACATATTTGCATATTGTAGTTTTTTAAGGGTAAATTTTTACCTCATATTTGAAGTCCAAATAATATTACGAAAAACGTGTAACCTCATTTACTTTGTTATACCAATTACACAGGAACAACAACATTTATTATCTTACAAAACAGCGTCGTTAAAGATTAAAAATGAATTTCGTTTGATTGGTTGGATTACATGGAAAAAAATATTTGTTTTATAATAGAAAGACAAAAGAATGCGGACGTTATCTTGGCCAATAAAATCCCCAACCGAACCTTGCGAATAGCGAATACGATAACATCGGCGATACATCTTGTTGTTTAAAGTAACAATTTGGATTCAAAACATATGTAACATAGATTTGGGGGTCGACGTTTTGTCGAGTATTGAGTAAACTTCTTTCACCGGAGAAACACAGCTTTCTTCCGGTCGATCGAACATGGCGGATGAGGAGCGAATGCATTTGGTGTCTCATGAAAAAACTGAAAGCAATGAATCAGCGAAGCCGACGGCAGGTGCGGAATCTTCAGAGGAAGAAACGGCGTTTGAAGATGTTCCAGTGTATATAACATGCCCGTACTGTAATGAAAAAATTGTTACTCGTACGAGTTTCAAATCCGGAAAGTACACATATTGGACATCAGCTTGTCTTTGCATATTTCAGTAAGTACAACAGTTTTTTTTCTTTGTAATTAAATTGCCTTTTTCTAAAGGTAGAAATATTTTGTCGTGCTTCCCCTTTTCAGCTCTAACAATACGAAACCGTCATATTTTTTTATCAGTATGTGACAAAATTTTAATTAAATAAGAATTTTCAATTATTATAAAAAGAAAACCCAAAAACTCTAGAGCAAAAAATTTAGTTCTCAATGAGCGCAAAGAAAGCTTTCATTATTAATACAGTGAATATAAGAGTACCTTGATTACAAAAAAATATCGCAGTGTAACAAATTTTACGCTCCGTAGATATAAACGCGAATGAAAAAGCCTGAAGAACGCTGACGGTGTTTAAAGTAAACACTACTCAGTTTTGATTTTAATCAATGAAGGATTGCGAGCTAAACTGAATAGAATTTTTAAGTTTAAAAGCAACAAGGATCCTTTCCAACGAATTTTTTATTATATTTTTCCTAAGTAGCATGTGACAAAATTTCAAACAAAACCGGTCTTGATATTAATAAAACGCATGGTGGGTCACACTACCCCAAACGAACCCCCTCTGTGGGAAGTTCATTGTCTTTCCACATTTTCTCAGATGAGACTTGTGAATCGTATAAGTAGATTGTTCCAAAACACTCTATTCTAAAAGTAATTGACATATAAAGTTATGTACATCTGATATTGTTTGTCTCAAAATAAACTTATTTCCTCTTTCATATGCTGCATCTGTTACATGTGTGTTTTTTCAACAACAATCACGTCAAGACATGATTGATTATTGTTGTTTTCGCGTATTATTTTTTTTGAATTATCATTGACAACTAGAAGAGAATACGGCCCAAGTGTCGTTTAACTCCCTCCAAAAAAAATGTTTGTCAATAATTAATTATCAAGAATTGGAGGAGATCTGAAGACTTTTGGCCCTAACAACTCGACGATTGTAAGCTAAATTTCCAAACTACCTTTCTAAAGAAGGTGACTGATAAAGACCGGAATTTAAATTCGAAACCACCCGAACTACGACTGATTTAAGCACTCTCTATTTATTAGATTGTATGGAATCTTTCTTACCCTTCTCCACATGTGATAGGAGACAACATATTAAAATTCATGAGCAGTAATTCGGTAGGATTGTCAAAGGACGCACAATATGACTGCTTGGCCAATGGTCGATGTTTTTCTGATAATTGGGTGAAGTTGTTAGGCATAAACTTCCTATGAATCCCTGTTGGAGGGATCAAACGATCAGCTATTTATACTGTTGTGGCTTTAAAGAGTACTATATTCCATTGTTTTCTTCAGCAAGTGTGTAATTTTAACTTGCGATCGGGTGGTTTTATCGTAGAAGGCTGGTTACCGCCTTCTAGAAGCTTCTAGATTCTGGTCACTGTTTACCCCATATTACGTCAAGAGTTTAAAGTCATTAATGTAAAATGGCAGGCAGAAAACATCTGTATTCACTCCACTGAAATTTGCCGTTTCAGTTTTTTAGTCTACTTTGAGAAAACAAAGAGATGTGAGTATGTAAACAGTCAGAATCCAGGGGCGTAGCCAGCTCATAGACCTGTAGGCCGGGGCCTACAAATTTTACGTTTGATCAGTCTACTCCTTGTAACAAATTATGTGTTGTTGGGGTGAGCTAAAAAGCGTAAGAGCTCAAAGTGTTAGTGAGGTCAGTGCGTACTATTAATGCGTCGAAAAGCTGGCTACGCCCTTGGAATCTAACTCTTATGTGTTTTACTCAGGTGCTACTGTTGTATGTGGATTCCATTTATCATGGATGGTCTCAAGAATGTTGTTCACACGTGTCCAAAGTGCGGTTCGAAGCTTGGTGAATATACGCGTTTTAGAATGGATCGCATTTGGAAGAAAAAGAAGAAGCATAGGCAAGCACAACACAATTATACGAGAGGATAATATAATATAATACAAGTTGAATGATGAGAAGATAATTTTGGGACAAAAGCTTGTGTTCTGTTCGCAGACTTCAGTTACTGCATGACTTGTCGTTTCGTTTTGAAAATTGGATGGAAGAAGTTCCTAGAGATCGCAAGAGAGTTCAAGAAGGTATTCGAGAATTTTTCCTGGTTGACCTTGTTAAAATGAACCCCACCTCAAATAGGCGCCTCGTTAGAGTGACGCTCCCTGTAAGAAAAAAATGTTTTTATACTTGAGCAAGAGATAATCAATCTCTCTTGACTTGAAGAAGAGAACGGTGTCTCAACAAAAGTGTAAAATATTAAAATTCTCCTGCACAATGACTGTTTTTATTTTATATATACTGTATTTCTAATAAATGATCTAATTAGTAAAATCCAACTAGTGGTCTATCATCAATGCTGCGTTATGATTGGTTGAGCTACTAGTAGGCTATATGTTACAGCCCACTAGTAGCGCAAAGCGCCGGCTTTTTGGCGGCAAAAAAGGATTAGTCTAGCTTTATCTAGCTAAAGTTGTTTTGTCTCGATATTTTTTACCAACTAGTTGGATTTTACTAAAACAATTATTCCTCTCGCCCTCACGGCCTCTGAGTCAAAAGCCCATGAGGCTGAAGGCTGAATGGGCTATTGACTCAGGAATAATTGTTATGGCTCATATACCATGATGACAGAGCCGATCGGCACCTGATGATGGCTAAGCCAATCAGAGCTCTAGAATTGCATTATCCAATGATTCAGTTTTTACTGAATAGTTGTTTTTCTGATATGCGTCTCTCTTTCTGCGATTTTACAATTAGAGCCAAATAGTGTTACAAGTAATCAAAAGAAATGCCATGAAATTAAAGCGTAACACTGCGTAGTGGTCTACTTTCTATTTCACGAATTTTGAGTAAAATCGCTCTCTTAGGTTTTTATTCGTTTAAAAATGTTTGGCCCTAAAAATTGGGGACAAGTTCGAAGTTTTTTTTTTTCATTAAAATAAACTATAGTGGTGCTGAATCATACGGGAAACAGCATTAAACAAGGGGATCGCCGTGAGTACTAAGAGGGCTGGTCCATTACAGGGATATTACTTTATATAACTGACGCTTGAGACTCCTCTAAAAGTAAACATAAAATAGCCAAAGACTGAGGAAGCTATTTTTCTAATCTTTAAGATGTATGTGACCGGCATGTTCAATCAGGCGCTTTAAGTATCGGTATCTTAGGAAAAAACCATACAAACTAGTGAACAGTGAAAGTTGTTATTTAGTGGACCTGGACCAGTAAAAATCTTGAATGCTAAGTAGACTGGTAAATTTTTTTTGTCTGAAATTTCGATTTGCAACCATAACTCTCTGCGGGGGCTAAAAAAAAAAAATGAGAACACGACATTTAAAATGCAACAAACAGAAAATGATAAGCCAAGAAAAAGTAAGGGTTGTCCAATACTCCGACAAATTTATGTATGGTATCCGACAAATTTATGCATGGTATTTTATTGTATCAATATTGTACAAAAGTATAAAAATAAAGAACGAAGCAAAACAATGAGAAATTTAACAAAGCCATGCATAAATTTGTCGGAGTATTGGACAAGTATGGAAAAAGTGGGAAACCCTCGCCTGCCTTTCTGATAGAGTTCCACGGTTAATGTGGATTACTACTTCCCCTGGGAACCAGAGGGACGTCGTTGCTGGAGTAGTCATGGTGGTTTTAACAAGTGATATGAAAAGTTGGTTTGAGTAGATGATCGTGATTAGTGTAATTTGTCACATGACACAATTCGCATCAGTCTCTCGAAGACGATCTCTTCTGTGTTTCTCCGGTACGTACGTCCATACGCAGTGGGGAACGGTAGCTATAGTACGCCCACTCGGCCGTCCACTCGCGGATGGTTAATCAAAAAACCTAAAAAACGCCTTTTGCTGGTTTTTTTCACCTGATTGTACATTAAATAGCCAGATTCGGTTGTTTTATGCTGAAAAGTGGATTTTCCTCAAACTTGTGACATGTGAATCTCAGTCCCAGTCTCTTCTCCTAAACACTTCAATGAGGCTTACATAACGGATGTTTCTTGGAAACGAACAAATATGGGGAGTGAAGAGAAGCTCCATGATCATGAATCAAACGAAGATTTCGTTTGCAAGAAGCACGTAAAATTCTTTAAACGATGCTTGGATATACTACCATCAGCATACTCTTCTCTAGACACCAGCAGGTTTGTTTATCGTTCTCAACTATTCTGTCGATCACTCTGAGCTTTAATTCAAATGTCAATACGAATCGTATATATATAATATAAACTAAGCTAAAATCGCAAAGCTAATACCGTGTGTACTAATTGTTGTAACAGTTTTATTTTAGCATAGGCTTGCTCATTGCAACTATGTCAGTGATGACGCTTGCAATAGAGGCCTTAAATATTTAGGTGTACAAGATGCAAAAAATAGAAAACTTAAAGGGGCCCATGCAGTCTTTGGCAATATCTGCATTGTATTTTTGTACATGATTACTCTGCAAGCTCTCTTTTGTTTATTGGCCACGTAGGAGATTGACTGCATCAATTCAACTGATAACAGTCAAACCCGCTTAACAGACACCCGCTTAATATGGACACCTCATTATTACAGACAGTTTGCTTTGTCCCTGGAGAAAGAAAGCCCACAGTTACATTTTCTCTAAATTCAAGCCACTTAATGCGGACAATTTCTATGGGTTTTATGGTCGTTCCACCAACAAATCGGTTTTCGCCACATCCTTGTTTTGGTAACATCTGGTAAGTCATTCTTTGAATAAGAACAAAATTTCCTCAAGAATCTTACTTTAACTTACGTTTTATGTCATTTCGGATATAAGAAAAATCAGTGTCAAAGTAAGTTGTTTTGGTCAACATCTTAGGACCTATAGAAATCATTTTTGAATAAAAGAACAAATCAACTGCAGACTCCAGAATTTTGATATAATAGTGGGACACTTACATGATCTACTATGATTAAGTACCAAGCAAAAAGTTTTTTTTTGTTTGGTTCGTCAGAATGCTTAACTATTCAATTTGTCGTCAAGTCTTACGTAAACTTTTAGTAAGTAAAATATAACAAACACAAAATCTATGTTGGTAAACCATGAGTGAAAGACGTTAACAAATCGGGTGACTTAAGATGTACAGGACATCTCAAGATGTTCAAAACAGGGTGACTGTAACAAAGATGCATCATTTTTCTGCTTTGATTGTGACAGGGTAACTGTGGCTTTCTTTGCACTTTCTGGTCTTGATATTTTAAACTCACTCCACATAGTGGAGGAAAACAAAAAGGAGATAATAGAATGGATTTACTCAAACCAGAAGCTGCCAGATCATACTCCTGGTAAGTTCATAACTGCAGTTTTTAAAGTATGACAAAGCTAATAACTTTGAAAGAAAGAATAATTGTTATCTTTATGCTTTTCAAAACCTTTCTATTCCCAACCTTTTTTTATCGAATCATATACTGGTAAGTGTATTATATGGCCAAGATTTCTTTTTTTGTGAGAAAATTCCAGCCTCAGCTGAAACTGCAAATGGCTGAAACGGTTAATTGAAACAGCAATTTGTACAAAGTTCAAAACAAAACTTAAATCTTCCTTTGGTTTAGACTTCAAACACTCTCTTATTTTTCTTATTAACCCATTCGCCCCTGAACCGCCCGTAACTGCCCGTGCGGATCCAGGTCCTTTCTACCCTTTGTGACGTCATCAGTTTTAATGGTCAAGGACAACTTTCTTCGCTAACTTGTGTAGAGTGAAGAGATCTTTCAAACCATACCAGAATGAGCACAATTCAGTCCAGGACAACGGAGAAAGAAGCAAAAAACCATGTGACATTGACCTGAAAATCTCCATGAAAATCTTGTTCCATTGCCCACCTACCTTTCCTTTCACCTAATCCTAAGATCCTAAAAGCTTTCCTAAAAACTCTTCCCACCAAAATGAAGCCTACTAAATGCCCAGCAAGAGAAAAAAAAATGAGGCAAGAAAAGCGAAAAAAGAAAGGAGGAGAAAAAGCGAAAAGTAATAGTCAAGACTGCTGTGTCACTTTTAAACCCAAAAACTATCTCGAACTTTTGCTTTCTGCGCTTGCCCGAACTTTGCAAGCTGATGTTTTGCATCTGGATCAGAAGGCCGCCAAGTGTACGACCTGTAAACCGGTTTGTGGAAAGTTTTAGCTCTTTATAGCACGACAGTGACCAGAAAACCACTCAACTAGCTTCAAAACGTGTTTTTCGGCAAAATCTCCAGAAGCGAATGGGTTAAGTTACTTTTGAATTTGACCTAATTTTTTTAACCAAACTTGCTAAGATTTGCTGTGATATAAACTTCAAGGATGTGTGTTGGATAAGTTTACAAGTTGCTGCTAACAGAAATAACTTAAGAGTAAACTTGGCAGCTACTTTAGAGTTTTAAAAACCTTCCAGAGCTGAGACCAAGAATTTGAGAAATTTTGGGAAAGTCGGCATTTTTGTGTAGACAATCCTATATTCTTGTAAGGTTTGTGGTCCTGAAATGTTTATGTTACTTTTGCTATTTCAGCCGATACAGACATGACAAGGTGTGGGTTCCGTGGGTCATCCACATCAGCTCGTCATAAGGTTCTATCACAGGTGAGTATAAAGCTTCCAGTTTTAAATGTTGGCTTAACGACAGTTCCTTAGAGGTGTACAGCCAACTTAAAACACCAATGGTTGTCTTTACACTAGGCTATTAAGTAAGACTTAAGAGCTGCTAAGTTTTACTTAACCAAAAATGCATGTGTGAAGGCCTAAGTAAAATCTCAAGTAACTTTACATCTCATTAAGTCGGAAAGTTGATACTATTCAAGAAAGTTTCAAGTGACTTGAAAACCGTCCTTATGACCAAGTTAGCTGACTTGCAGTTTCTTGAGCTTTGCGAAAGGCGAAGTCAATCAATCTTAACGATGTTGTGTGGGAAAAAAGCCTCAAGTTAACTTGAAGTAAAAAGAATCGGTTGTGTGTGAAGCTTTATTTTACTTGAAGTAATTAAAACTTACTTGTCTTGAAATATTTCTTAGCTTATTTAGGCTCTAGTGTAAAGAATACCACTGTAGCTTCAACTATAGACAAAAAAATGATAACGGTCTCTTTTACTCTTTTATTTTTCAGGGTGTATGTGATTATGATTGCAGTCACATTGCCATGACGTACACAGCCTTGGCAAGTCTTGTTATCTTAGGAGATGATTTATCTCGGGTTAATAGATCAGCTGTTATTGAAGGCTTAAAGGCCTTACAACTCTCTGACGGCAGGTCAGAATACTACTGTACTCTAATTCTGTCAGTGTACAGAAATCTGTGTTAACCCAAACCATCCCTTGTCTTGTCTACATATCTGCTTAAGCTTTGTTCTGACACCTCACTTAATATTTTATATATATATTGGATAACTATCCAATGAAGGCCAAAAATGATACATCATTTGGTTGCATTGTCACTCAGAATTCCCTTTTAAGTCACACCTAGCCAGCAAACATGCTCACTTGTGTGAGGTCAGGGAAAATTTTGGCGGCAAGTTATTTTTTCCCGAACTCACACAAGTGAGCCTTGCTCTAACACAGGCTAAGTCACACCCCACCCTTCACAGTAGCCCAAGGGCTTAAGTCAAGAAGGGAGACGTACAGGTAAATCATACATAAAAGCACCCTCAGGATGCTATTTTTAAAAATGTAACTTTTGAACATGCTTACAACTGTGCATGAGTAATATGCCAAGGCTTTGCTTAGGGTCCTTATTGTCGGCATTGCAGGGTATAGCTTATAGCCTAATGAGCCTTCTGATACAGAGAGATATGATGATGATGATGATGATGATGATGCTGGGTATGGCTTAAACAGGAACTTTAAATCAAATTTTCTGAGTGAAAAGATACCACAGACAACATCAGTTCTCAGTTGGTGATAGTAAGATGTGAGAAATTCTTGACATTCTACTTAACGTGTAAATATTTAAATCTAATTTTGCAGCTTTCGACCCACCATGGAGGGTAGTGAAAATGACATGCGATTTGTTTACTGTGCTTGTTGCATTAGCTACTTTTTAAATGACTGGAGTGGATTGGATACCTCTAAATTAGTACAGTACATCCGAAAAAGCATGGTAATTATTCTTTTCTTGTTCATATATATACAGAAGAAATTGTGACCCTGAGAACTAATACATTAACTGTTAATAAAAAGTGCATTGTAATGTACTTTGAATTCATAAAAAGATCTTTTGGTGATCACTTTGTTATGATATATTTTAAAGTCTAAAATGTTGTCTGTTTGACTGTTTGCTAGTCATATGAGTATGGTTTCGGCCAAGGACCAAGCCTGGAAGCTCATGGTAAGTTTTGTATTTAAGTATTACCATCTTAGCATTGTATTGTTTTTGTTTAGCTTTCACCTAACATGATAAGCATGGTCACAAATACCTATTTTGCTATTCAGGGATAACAGTAATACTTGTAACAAGAATTGGCAATAATTAACAATTATTGGACGAGGTTGAGCAAAATATTGTGATTTGTCTGTGGCGAGCAGATCAATAATTATTATTTGCCAAAGCCGAAGGCTGAGGCAAGTAAGAACACTGTATAGTAAGAACACTGGTAAGAACACTGTACAGCTTTATAGCATCGACGCAGGGATACAAACCTGAGTCATATTAGTTGGAAGCGAGTGCTTTCATCACTGCACCACTCTTAGTCCCCCAAAGGACCCTAATTAATAATAAATGCGAGCTTCCAGTTGAAGGGAGATCTAAAAGAGATGTAGACCAGCTGCTGCCATATATTAAGGGAAGAGGATTATTCATTAAGGATTTACCAATGGAATTCTTTGTGGGAGTTGTCCCAGCTCTGTGCAAAGCTGCTATGGGAAGGAATGTGGTCAGTTTTGGGGCAAAGACCCCTCTGAGGGGTATGTGTGGGAACTGGGATGTTGAAGGGAGACTGGGAATAAGGTTTCTCCAAAGGGTGCAATCTCTACAACATTGTTCATTCTCTGCTTAAACTATAGTTTCTTTTCACCAGTAACTAAGTCTTCTTCTAACATTGCATGTATTTTCAGGACACTAAAGATAATCAAATTTTTTTTGTTAAAGGTGGATCAACTTTTTGTGCATTAGCATCCCTTGTCTTAATGAATCAACTGGATTCTTCCCTTGTGGCAGATGAACTTGAACAAATAAAGAGGTGGTGTTTATTTCGTCAGAAGTCTGGATTTCAGGGCCGTCCTAACAAACCAGTAGACACATGTTATTCCTTTTGGGTGGGAGCATCATTAGAGGTATTTAAATGGACAGTTTCCTGCAAGAATAGGAAAATTTACACTCTGTACTTTGGTAAATTCCCAGGAAATGTACATCTACATTGTGAATATGTAAATCAAGTTAAACAATGCCATTCGGGGCTCTAGGCCAGTACTATGTGGTCATTGGTGGCTCCTGGCAGCTTACTTACAAGTATGCCTAACTGTAAAGGAATTCCTAGATTCTCCCACAAAACTAATTATTCTATTGCTAAGCATTCTCCCTGGTTCTCTCAGGTAATTATAGCTTCCACACTCGCTACTTGTTTTCTTAAATCAAAGTCTTGCTGCTGATCAAAACAAAGTATGTAGTTTTGAGATCAATTTAGCTTTCTAGGAAACTGCCCACCTACCCCTCCCCCAAGCTAACACGAACACTTACTTCTCACTTAGAGCAAAATATTGGCTTAGGGGAGGGATAGGTGGGCAGTTTGATCCTAGGTTTGTACATCATTTTCATTTTTCTTCTCTATATTTAGTTACTAGGTGCATTTTCTTGTGTGGATTTTCCATCCAATCGCGAGTACCTCATGTCAACACAGGCTCCAGTCACTGGTGGCTTTAGCAAGTGGCCAGGGAACCACCCAGGTAAGTATTATGTACTTAGATCTAACATGATCAGTTAGACTCTGTATACATATTTCGAATGAAATCAAAGTCACCACATTTGCTTTTCATGAAACGAAATCTAAGAGATGAAAGTGATGATTGCATTACAACCCTCCTGTTCAAATTTGACAAATTATGTTAGTCTTGCGATGATGGCAAAGAAATCTGCCAAAAAAGTGTGCTGCATGTTCAGAGTTTTTGCTTTGCTTATTAAACCTGTTGCTTTAATTATTTTTGTTGTTTCCATTTTCATTGTCATGGTTCGGCTTGAGCTCACTAGAGTGTTATGACACAAAACAAAATAATTCTTGATAACTTCATTCTAGTTTTACAGCCTCCTTTAACACAGTAATATAGCTTTCATATTTATCATTTTTTATAGATGCATTACATACGTACTTTGGACTGTGTGGTTTGTCATTGATGAGTGAACCAGGACTGCGAAAAATTCATGCAGCATTGAACATTACTCAGAGAGCTGCTGATCATTTGCATCAATTACACAGCAAAATGAACAGATGATGGTCACTTGAAAATGATTTTAGGAGGTCATGATATGCTCCCCTAGACTGTTCACAGTCCCCTATTTTTTCATAAGATTGCTGAGAACAAGCACTGTAGGTGACCATCTTGACCTGAAAATGACTATCTAATCTACTCAGGGGGTGAACACAGTTTGGGATGCCTCACTCCCCCCACTACTATCAACCCTGATGCCCACTCTCCTTGGTTCATTTGAACCCAATTACAAAATGGCTGCCAGGATGGTGAGCACTGTCTTGATCTTGACCATCTTATGGAAAATTCCGGGACTGTGGACAGGCTACTGCACCCCTGGTAACAAATTTTTGACAAAAATTTTATGTCATACTGTGTCAAAGAATAATCGTAACCTATTCAAAGTACTGCTGAAGAGATTTAATTTGAATAGCCACACAACAGGATTTCATACACAGTATCAAAGATTTGGAATGAGCATCCTGTCTTCATAATTCTGAGACAGACAGTGTAAGTGTTAGTTTAATAAGATACAGGAGTCTTATAGGCTCCATAGGTCTTTTTAATACAAAAGAACCAAAACCATCAAGTTAGAACATAACTTCAAGCAATTTATCAATACCATAACCTCATTTATTTGGATCTACGTATTTTTTTGTATTCAGAATCACTCCTTCACACTAAACGAACATAAATTTCCACACAGGTCTATGGTTTATTGAAATTATAGTTTTATACTCAGCACCCTGTTGAGGGTTTAAGTTATTAGTACAAAATTAATTATTATTATTATTATTATTAAATGCTCTGCAAAATAACATGAAAAGTGAACTGTACATGCACTTTCTAAAAACGTAGATAGACAAACTGTAAACGAAGTGTTAAGTTAAAAAGATATGATGTTGTTCAATTTTACCCAAAATTTCATTTTCTTTTTCAAACTCATTATCATAAATCACCGTACCTAAAAACAATGAAAAATAAAACTTCAACGAAGAAAAAATTAAACCACTATATATAATTAACTCGCACATTCAAGTTTTGATCCAACAAAGAAATGAAAGGAAATTGTTTCTTTTGGTCGAGGCACTACGTATTTTAAATATAGTTTATTCCACTTTCTTACAGTAGTTTATACAATAAATCTCTAGCATCCAGGATAAGAAAGCAGCTGAAACGATCCAGTATTTTAATATCTTGCGATGTGTTTATCGGACTCTCAATAGTGCGCATACTCAGGATGGTCTTGGAAGTTGGGGAGAAACTGGGGAAGAGGGCAAATGCTTGGGGTTTTTAGGTCCGATAGTCACGGTTGATTGAGCTGATAGTAATTTTTATTCATTTTACTTGAAAGTTGATCCTCCTACTCAAAAATTTACTTTGCTTTCTTTTTTATTAATCTTGAAACCAGTCTTTTGCTTCATAATCTTGACTATAAAGGGGAATTGATATATTACTCTGTAATTCGAAAGAATTATGTAAGAGTGTGTAACCCATCAACTTAATAACACCTTTACAATACTTCTCAATGATAGCAATTTCATGAGGATGCACCTTCCATCTCCATCTGTTGATAGCAGCTTGTGCATCATCAACAGTGAACGCAGCTTGACTGCCCGTTATTTTTATCTCATCTCTACTTTTGCTTGGATGTGTGACTCGATTCAACCAATCAGCAACACTTTCTATAACAGACAGTCCCGCAAACTTGTACAAACGCCTCATTTGTTTCAGTGGCTTGTTGGCTAAATCTTCGTATCTCAGCAACATTATACGGCTGCGCAACCAGTCAGGTAAATGTCCTAAAAAATACAGGTTCTCCTCGGTTATTTTGCACAGATCATAGCTAAACTTCCTTGTGCCTAACTTGCCAACCCCGCCCTGTTCTTCATAAAAGCGTACGCTTAATGAGGAAGGTATCACAGCGCGAGGATCTCTCACTAGAAACACGATTTTACAATCTATATCTTCAGAATTACAAGCAGAAATGATGCTTTGAAGACTGTTTTGCGGGATGCGACTTAGAAGTATCTTTATAACAGTTAGCTGGTAGTGATTTTTGCATGCTTTTCCTAGGGATTTACTTGTCATTTTTGAGCACTTTTTGTAATCCCATTTCTCGTCTGACAGGTTATAAGGACACAGAGGAGGTGAACCAATCGCTCTACTTATTTTAGGGTGAACTGCTCTCCGATAATACCATTCGATATCTTCAAGAAAAAGCGGCTCATCAAAGCTACAGCCGAGAACCTTTGTCAGGAAGATTTCCGCAAGACCTTTGTAACCCACGTTAAATTTTTGTTGAGTCCTCTGTACAGTTTGAAGCGGTTCATACAAATAAAATACGTCGGGATGATGATTAAAAATATCACCGGTGATGGAAGACCCAGAACGGCCATGAGATACAATAATCACATTCCTCCTGGCAGCCATGTTTGGTAGATGAATCTTAAATTGTTGAGAATTAATTTTTTTGTTGCGCTGGTCGCGATATTTGTTAGCTAAATCATCTGACCGTTCCACTGAATCACGCATGCCCAGAAATAAACTAAAAATGAAAGAACATGAAAGACATCCTGCTAAGAATCCACGGAGCCATAGGGGAAGTATCCATCTTCTGCACGCTCGTTTCCAGTTCATTGTACGGTTTTACCTCACTAGAGAAAACAAATCAGATATAATTGAGTTAGGGAAGGGATGCAGGGGGTAACGTTTTGATGGTGGGTAGGGATGGCCTGGTTCAAAAGACTCGCCAGGCTTCCGTTGTGAGTAGAACCCCTCCCCCTTGATAATACAACAACAGAACGACCATATGGGAGGCAAAGTTGGTGCCTTTTTGTAGTATAAACTAAGGCCGTTACCTTTCCTATTCTGGTTTTTATGCAAAACGCGAAAATCAATGCCTGGTAATTAACTTGTCAGCGCGGGCCAGTCCCAACACCCTTACCACCCCAGGATGGGGTATTAACGGTTTTTAAATCCACCAGGATTCTGAGCTTGTAAAATTCCATAAACTCTGTTTTCTTTTTTCAGGGGTGCTAGTTCAGTTGTTTGCCTGATTACCAGGGATTACAGAGAACAGGAAAGCAACCCAGCAAAACCAAATTATATTTGCTCAAAAGTCCTATTATGGCTCCTAATTTCCCCTAGAAAATTTCTAAAAAGCATCCTTAAACATTCTCAGCCTGGTTTCTTTCCTTGGTAGGTCACTTGAATCAAGAGAAGATCTTCAATGAATTTCTTATCCATCAAAAGAATCAGATATGTAACGAAAATTTCTGGCCCCTACTCAGTTCCTCGACTTGGCATAAAAATAAGGAAGTATTCTGCGGTTTTAGTGATGGAATAATCAGCGCTTTTTTGAAAAAATTACTTTTCTGAAACTAAACGTATTCAAAAAAATATTTTGTAAGACCGGGAATAAAAAAGAATAATTTTATGGTTTGTCTTCGTTTTAATTAGGCAGCTGCTTATTGACTTACCTTCGGCCAGACTGCATTTAGAAAAAATAACCGTGAACTGCTGAAAAAACCATTAGCTTCAGAGGTTGCTTGTTTTCTCAGTAACCATGTTTGTAACCGTAAGTGAGTTTATATCAATCTGACAACAATTATCATGCAAACTTGCTTCAAGCATATTGGCTCATTTTAATTCCTTAGGAAATACATTTTCGTTTCATAAGTTACCCACTGAGAGAGAATCAACATGGTAGTAATCTGTATACACTTTTTCTTTTGTTAGTATTTGATAATGCTTATTTGTTGTTTGTATTTCTAGTTGTTGTTTTTCCACTTTTTCGCCTTGAACAACGCAAAATGTTAAACGGAAGAGCCAACACGATTGTCACTATAGGGAATACACTCTCCAAGAAAGGAGACTGAAAACTGAACTGCTTTTATTTTTATTCTAAAAACGTGTTTTTAGCCTGCTTGAACGATACGGCAGGTGTAAGGGGGTGAACAATGGCCGAGTAGTTGTACAAAGAAGAATGGAACGAGTCTACTATCTAATAGCGACTAAGAGCAAGAGAGAATGAGCTAAGAGATCGAATCCCACATACGTCACCGGCCTCTTCCCATGAAAAATATTTCAAATCTATTCTTGGTTCTTTGTCCTACTGCGTGGTTGTTTTAAGGACGCCACCTTATTGATTGGTTAGAGTGGCGATGGAGAGATCTAAAAGTACTCTGGATAGCCTAGGAAGTGTTTTCAAGGCATTTAGGAGGAAACGGTCGTTGGGTACCCCTGAACTGCCACGTGGAAAATCGACGGTATCTTTGGAACTTTCAGATCCATTTCTAAATTTCGGAAGTGTTTGCTATAAGTTCTGATATCTCATTTTCTTGACGTTACGAAGAATGAACCCAACTCGTTTAAGAATTTGGCATACACTTGAGCCTTTCTGCGTGAATGAACATTGAAATGGCAAGAAAAGTCATGAAGTTTCACGGCGTGGGAAACATTAGAGTACGGATGCCACTCATAGTCATATAGTTCTTATTTATTTTGAGTCACTAGAAAAGGTACAGTGGAACCTTTATGTTGAACGGCCCTATCTAAGCGGTCTGCAGTCTCTATTAAGGAGCCATTTTTCAAGTTGCGGTTTTCTGTCTTTCGTCAGTTCCGGCCTTATAACTTTGTCTTTAGGCAACTTAAGGTAACAGGCAAGCAGTTTACAGATTCGATTTTTGTATAAATCGTCAATCAGCCGTTTTCCTATTCTTATTTACTCCTTTCGCTTCTTTCAAGTGAGATTTTAAGTTAGTTGCAGAAATTTCTAGGAGTCCAAATCAGAATTTAAATAATAAAAGGTTATGAAATTCTTTGGTGAAACAAAACATTCAAATACCGAAACTCTGAGGCCAACAAACAGCCGTAGACGAATTAACCTGAGATCAGGCCCAATTTTAGCGGTGAGTGTGTATAAAATGCGAGCCAGCGAGTCATGTGAGCCATGCAGTCGATTGAAGAATCATTGAAAAAAAACACCATTAACTGAACGCTAACCGTTGTAAATAAGAGTTTAACCCTAAACAGCTCTTAACTCTAGCCCTGAAATGAGTGCTTAGCCCTAATCCGTAAAATGAAAGCTTAAAACACTGCTGTAAATACCTGCAGAGATATTAATAAAAATATGAAAGTCGTCAATGTTGGCCTGATTTGTAAGCGAAGACAATGAGTTAACCCTAAAAAAAAAAAGAGCTCCCGAATTAAGAATGCTTTTGAAGGTTTGAAAATTTTGCCGCAAGGCACGGGTTTTCAAGCGACGCGCTGTCGTCTCTGCGCGTAGTTGCATTCGCCACTCCTTGTTCTGATATCTATAAACTTACCAATTACTCACTTGCAAAATCCTTATAACTTTTTTATCCTTATCCAAAGAGAGGAAAACAGCTCAATTAAGAATGTCTAATGTAACTATAATTTGCAGTCTGTTTACTTTGAACAGTAAACCTTACCGCTACATTTGCATATGGTTTAGGGAACATACTTAGGGCCTGTTTACATGAAGGTGGGGGACCCCAGGTAGGCGAGGTAACATGTGGCGGGTTACCTCACCTAACATGTAAACGTGATCACATTAAAATGAGAGATTATATGGACAGGCGGGCTACCCCACCTAAGCGGGTTACCTCACCTATCTGGGGTACCCTACCTCCACTTAAACAGGCCCTTAGAGACTGAAAAAATATAATAATCGCCCCCGGAGTTTTCTGGTACCTGCAAAGTGTCACACCTAAGGTGTGATTGTCACGCCTGCGGATCGAAAACTTCGATCTGACGCCTACTCACACCTGTGTTCCGATTTGTCACGCCTGGTGGAAACGTTTGAGCCATTACAGCGTTAACTGACGCATTTCGAAAAATGTATTAGTTATTTAAAGAAACCAGAACCAAAGAGAGAAAAGAAAAGTCTATGTGGATGATAGACTTTCTCTGAATTCTCTTTTTTTAGAAGGGAAGTCAATGTTCTTTGTGTTCTCATGTTCGTGTTAGACCACAGGTAGCCCAAGCTCACTATGAGTAACCTGAGATCAGGCTTTTTTTTTTTTTTTGCTTCTTTGTTTCTTGGCTAGAGAGGGAAAAAAATAACGCCCTCTTCCCGTGAGAGACTTTAAGGGATAATAGGGAGAGGGCATCATCTCAGGCTAACTATGAGAGCCCTGAACAACATTATCCTACTTAGCTAATTAATTATTCATACAGCAAGAAAATTATAAGACGTTGTATGGAGAAATATTCTTTGCTCACTAAATTAGCAAAATGTACATTGAATATTGCTTTGAAGCTTACCTTTAGCGTCTTCTTGTTTTTCTTTGTATTCTGACTGCATTTCAGATCTCCTAGGCACTGTTTAAGGCCTTTTTTGGAGCTGTCATCTGGGTGAAAAACTGTCGCTCCAAAAAAGGCCTTAAACAGTGCCTAGGAGGTCTGAAATGCAGCCAGACTACAAAGAAAAACAAGAAGACTCTAAAGGTAAGCTTCAAAGCGATATTCAATGTAAATTTTGCTAATTTAGTGAACAAAAAATATTTCTCCATACAACGTCTTACAATTTTCTTGTTGTATGAATAATTATTTAGCTAAGTAGGATAATGTTGTTCAGGGTTCTCATAGTGAGCTTGGGCTACCTGTGGTTAGACGGAACTCTTCGTAACGTCTTCGGCCATCTTCGGATATTATCGGACCCTACGAAAAATCTTGGCCGGCTCTTAAGATAAAAAATGTCTGGCCTATAAATGTAAAAAAGTTGGCTGGTATATTATTATTAGTTTTATTATTAATTTAAATGAGGAGACACGTACGCATTTTTGTCCCCGGAGCCGCTCTAGCTTGTGCACAGACGTTGTTTTATTTTTCTTTTCGTTCTTCTCAAAACCATCGGCGAGCGAGCGAGAAAGTTATCCCCCGCGCTCCAATCCAAGATGGCGTCTTCGATGAGATCAATGATTTCAAGTTTTCGCGATTTTACCTCCAATCGTCAAGGATACAATTTTAGAATAACGCGATTTAACCTCCTATCGTCAAGGTAAGTGAAGCAAAAAACGAGACTATTAGCTTGTTCGGAAAAAAACGGCGAACTCCGAGAAAAACTAGCCTTTGCCCTGTCCTCGTATTCGAAACTACTGACTACAAAATTAAATCCAATAGAAAACCCGTCCCCCCCAAACAAAACTACCACCTAAGAAAAACTAGACCCAAAGAAAAGGGGGAAAACTAAAAGAAAATTGAAAAATTTGGCCTAGATCGCTTCCCATGGCTTGCCAGCATCCCGAAGGATATCCTGGTTAACAAGCCATCCTAAACCCCGACTTTAAGTGCAATTAGATGGAAAAGTTGGTGACCATGGTGACTAAGAACAGAACACTGATCGTAGCAAGAGGAGTGAAAGATCTCATTTCAACATCCAGTACCCTCTGTTGGTAAAAAATCTTGCCAACAAATCTAGTAGTGTGTAAAGCAGCCTTTTATACTTTTTATACATCACATCTGAGGTAAACAGTACTATGAGGCGCTGTTTTTTATCATACGGGCCTCGGACAGAATGCAGTTTAAAGTTTTCACAATTTTGCAAGACAAAATGCGCCCATTGCAGGACGATCGAAGCACGCGCTTCCTTTGCACAACACATTATCGAATTGACCACATTATAAAACATTTTCATGAAGAGAATTCCGCATAATATCGGGACTGTTCAGTCAGAGCAATCTGCTCCTGTGTAGTATGCAAGATGCTTTTAGCAAAAACGTTCAAAAAATTTCCAAAATTACCTTCCCGGCTAGCCGGTTCTCTTTTTGCCGTGACAAGTGCCAAATTTGCAATGCGAGCTAAGTGAATAAATGTAAATGGTTAAAATGAATTTATTAAGTTTATTTTATTTAATGGTTTTATAACGATGTGCAATCTTTAAAAATGTTTGATACGCGCAGCATTTTGAGTACTCCTGCGAGCGATGTTCATGATAGACTGAAAAACGGCACAGCCATTAAAATTGCAAGATAGACTACTAACAATCAACAAAAGAATATAATTCGGTGACATTTACAGAGACAACAATTTTCATTCACGAAGACAAGTATTAAAGTGTCTTAAAATCCTGAGTCTTTTTACATTTGTAAAGCATGTTTCAGTTTTCTATTGGCCATTTCGGAGTTGCGTAGGCAACTGGGGCGAGATTCAAATTTAAACTAATCAATAAATTGACACCACCATATAAAAGGTCATGTCGAGATTGGGGTCATTTGACCAAGTTTGGTGCTCTAAGATTGAACAGGGATCAAGTTATGATTCTCGAAACATGGTTAAAGAGCCACACAAACCTCTGCAATGTGACAGCGTCCCCCAAAACCATATAAACTCTTACGTTTTTTCACGATTTCTGTGATATTCCTAAAAATGGGCAAACACAGTGATTTTCGAATTAGTTGCTTCCAAGTAGTAGATGCATGACGAATTTTATAGTTTAAAAGAAAAACTGAAAAATTTTTAATAGTTTACATGGTTTTGGGGGACGCTGTCACAAAATTATAGACGTTTGTATGGATCTTTAACCATGTTTCAAGAGTCATAACTTGATCTCTGTTCAACTTTAGAGCACCGAACTTATGACCATTCTCAACATGACCTTTTATATGATGGTGTCTCGTGTCAGTTTTTCCCACCGCCACCGCTCCCTTTGTGAAGTCGCGCGCGTCTTACTTTCGCTTTGCTCATTTACTGTGCTTTTCACAACATGCGAACTCTAAAGTTCAGAAGCCGTCTTCACAATTGTGTTTTTCGCTGCCGTCAATCATAATTACGATCACAAGCAACGATCCTTGAAACACAGAAACACACAAAACGAATCGAAATCCACCAATCACAAATCACAAACCTTGACCTTTTGAACCCTTTAAAGTAAAGTTTTGTTTCCTAAGAGGTCCGTTAAGATGATTGTCGGCAGCGAAAAACGCAATCGTCAGTTGGCTTTTGAACTTGAGAATTCGCATGTTTGTGAAAAGCGCAGTAATACATCCCCACTATATATATATGTAGATATATATACTCACAGGCCACGCTGGCACGCGCGAGAGCTCCGCTATAAATCACGCGTGATTGACCAGCGGACAGTAACATTACCCACAAGCCTTGTTGGTACTTTTTTATGTCACGTGATACGATAAGCTCTCTGGCGGTGTTAGCAGCGTGGACAGTTGCCGGAAAATAGACGTCGAAAATCATGCTTTCTTCACGACTTTCTTCCATATTAGCGAGAAATTTAGTGAGACGGACACCCCAGGTAAGATACAATGACTTTCTTTGATTAATTTATGGCGAAATCTTGCCTAATACGCAACTAAACGTGGCTGCAAATAACGCGACCAGTCTGGTTGAACCAGCGGTTTACGTTTGGTTTTTGTACCTACATTCCACGATATCAGTACTTTTTTGTCGAAAAACATGGTAAAATGAGCATCAGATTTAATAATTTCATCCGGGGAATGAAAACGATGAATCGTTCGAGTGTTATTTCATTTGTTTCGTTCGGTTGTGTGGTGGGAAATTTGAGGAATTGCAATATCACGGGGTTTTAAGTCACTTCCAAGGTGTGCACCGGCTCAGCTATCCTCTTCCCGAAATCGATTTTTTTCTCAAGATTAGAAGTAGTTGTATATAAAATAACAGGCATTTAATTCAATCTTTGAAGGACTTTTTTCATCTTCACTTGGCCGGTGCTGTGTACAAATATCTGTACTTATGCAACTTCTGAGAAGTTTTACCAACAGACAGATGTAACGTAGTCAGATGCACTTGCAAACGGTCTTTTCAAGTTGACATGCATGCATACAGTGTATATGCAGATTGTGCCCATCAGATCAGAGACTTTTCAGTCTATAAATATTTGTATCCGGCTTAAGACATGTAGAAATCAGGGCTTTGTTCTAGGTGGGTACCGGTCTGGCAGCTTCTGCCAACAGTCTTTTTCTCTCAGGCAACTTGTAAGTCCTAGTTTTTGTACAAAAGTCATATGCCAGGTTACCTTCAATTTTTCTCAGACCCAGTTATGAATATTGATGTTCTTGTTGAACTTATTCTATGAACAGAACGCAGCCACCATTTATGAAAATTAAGTGGTAAACTCACTTTGCCAAAACCACACTCCAGTTATTTAAATCTTAGCTACAGTGGCCACCAGTCTTCGAATACTTTATCAAAAGTTTAAAGAAGCTACCAGTCAGTGGGACATTTTAAAAGGGAAATAAAACCAATATATTATTTCAACCTTCAGTTTCTGACTCGGCAATCTTGTAAAACAGAGAATGAAGTGTAATGATATATAAAAAGTTGCATGTATTGTGTGTTTATTTCTTTTCTGTAGATCTATCATGGATCCCTTGGCGCTGTGACAGTTGCTGTACGAAATATATCATCATCTAGTCCTTCACTTGCCAGTGCTGGTAAGTTTGTGATCTCTGCATGTTAAGTGATTGATTAAGCATTATCTTTTGTAACATTATTTTGTAATATTATTATATAATATTATATTATTATTGTTGTGGCCACTGAGCTTAGATAATGTTTCTTCTTAAGCATTGGTCCCTTAATGTAATAAGCACCAATCTGCGATGTTCTAGCCAGCAGTTTGTCCAGACTTCTTGTAGATCCCCACTTTTGCAAAATTTTGAAGTAAATATCTTTTATGATACTAAGGGTAATGATGCCTCCTGGAATCTTAGTTTTCAGTGTCTTAAAAGCCAACCAGTCTGATCTTGAATTTCTCAACAAGAAACAGGTTGGTTTTAAGTAAGCTAATTTTCTGTAACAGGTACTGCGGAGGTTTCATCAATATTAGAGCAGAGGATCTTAGGCTCTGCACCCAAAGCTGAGCTAGAAGAAACAGGCCGTGTGTTGTCCATTGGTGATGGAATTGCCCGTGTATATGGCCTTAAAAACATACAGGCTGAAGAGATGGTGGAGTTTTCCAGCGGCCTAAAGGTAATATTGAAAGCATTTTTTTTTTTTTCTGCTACGTTAATTTATCAAAGTACATCTGGTGATTGTATGCATATGTATTTCTGCAGGGTATGGCTTTGAACTTGGAACCTGATAATGTTGGTGTTGTGGTGTTTGGAAATGATAAACTGATCAAAGAAGGTGATGTTGTAAAGAGAACAGGTGCCATTGTTGATGTTCCAGTAGGTGAGGGAATGTTAGGACGGGTTGTAGATGCCTTGGGTAACCCAATTGATGGGAAAGGAGAACTAGCTGATGTTACTCGTGCCCGTGTGGGTATCAAGGCTCCTGGTATTATACCCCGTACCTCTGTTAATGAACCTATGTTGACTGGTATCAAGGCTGTGGACAGCTTAGTTCCCATTGGACGTGGACAGCGAGAGCTTATCATCGGAGACAGACAGACTGGGTTAGTAGATGTATTTGTAAGTTGAACGTTTATACCTTTATCTTTTCAGTTTAGTGTTGGTAAGCTCATTTTTTTTCATATCATTGTCTCCTTTTTTTTTTACTTATGGGTAATTTTTTCTTTGGAAAAATAACTTTTTAAGTGGCACCAAATATTCTTTTAGTGACCCTTTTTTTCCAGTGAAGTGAACTCAAACGTGTTTCCTTTTCCAGAAATGATTTTCAGTAGGTCTTCTATAAGGTTCTCAGGGAAACCCTTAATGTGTGATGTTTCTGTACTCTATCCTAACTAATGATGTTGATCTTTTTGTTCCAGTAAAACAGCCATTGCCATTGACACCATCATCAACCAGAAGAAATTTAATGAAGGGACTGATGAAAGTAAGCAAAACAAAATGTTAAGACGGAATCCTTCAGGAAATTGAGTAATTTTACTTTTCAGTGTACCAAAACCTTGTACCAACACTTTTTGAGAGCTATAAATTAACGTAATAAGTTATATAAAATAACTCCAAAGAAAAGGTTGCATGGGAGCTCGAGAAAAGAAACTTCAAAAGCTTCAGATTTCACCAAATGAAATCTGAAATTTATTTTCCTGGGCACCCATAAGAACCTTTTTGTTGGACTTATTTTGCATAACTTACTACATATATAGATCTTAAAAAGCATAAAAAAGAATGTAATATGGCTTAAAATATTCTTGTACAAGGTTTTTGTCCACTGAAAATTAAAATCACCGGTATTCAATTTCCTGATGGATTGCATCATAATGCTTGCATCGAAGCTTTCAAGTATGCGTGACCAATTTTTTCTATTGTTGTCTGTCCCCGTAACTCTACCTCCATGCACAGAGTTCTTTAAGCTGCATTAATCTGTTCCTTTCATTTTTGCAGTTTTCTGTCATATGACAATTTAATAGCCAAACTTTTCAATTCTATAAGCAGGGTCTAAAAATTTTACGGTGGTCTGGCCATTCAAAATTACCAGAACTTAACACTTGAACCACTGTTCATGTTTTTGGAGAGGTTGGTAGCTTGAGATGTGGTAGTACAATGGCACTCAAGGTCTGCAATTTGGTCATCAACGACCTTTTTTTTGGCATTTTATCACTGAGCAGTAGATTCTAAACTCTTAGAAATCCCAGGTGTAAATGCCTTGTGCATTTTTAAATGGTGGATTCAGTGAAGCAAACTGTTTTGTTTTGTTGCTGCAATGTTAGTCATCAAAATGTTTTTCTACTTCTTCAATGCTATTGTGGCCAAAAAGATGGCAGCTTGAAGCTCTGTTTGGACTGCAGGAAAGATGGTTGAGCAATGGGCAACCTACTTTAAAACTTGAAATAAAACTTAAATTAAAATAATAATATAAATAATTTATAAATTTGCTATATAGCACCTTTTAACATAAAAATGATCAGAAGCACTTTACATGAATAATAATAATAATTATTATAGAATGAATCTATGATAGATAAAACCATGTAAAAATGCTGATGAAAATACATAGATGAAATAAAATGAAAATAAAAATAAAATCAAGTTAAAACTACGTAAAAGCTGATCTAAAACTTAATTCTGGTCCTGATGGTAGAGAAAAACACACCAGTGCCCCATATGGCCAAGATTGTAACGAACAGTTTTCTCTTTTTCTGTGCAGAAAAGAAGCTTTACTGTATCTATGTCGCCATTGGACAGAAGAGAAGTACAGTTGCTCAGCTGGTAAAGAGACTAACAGATGCTGGTAAGTACTTCATTTCATAATGTATTTCAGTTTTACTCTTGGTTAAAAAATTTTTTCCCTTAGCTGTTGCTTGTTTTAAGATAATTTATGATTGTGCGAATCACAAATAATTCAATAATAAATAACAAATAATACATAGAAAGATTTGTTTACATGAAAAAAAGTAACATAGGTTACATAGTGAGTAACATAGACCTGGCTCCAGTTTGTTCAAACCTCTCAGTGGATAAGTATTAAGGACACCAAAATAATGCAGTGTCCAGTGGTTAGGACTATCCACCCTTTGAACGACTAGGGCCAGCAAGTGAAGTTTTCATTGACAAAGCTTTGTTATTCTGAATTGAATGTGTTTCATTGTATACATGGCCTCTTTGTAGATGCAATGAAGTACACTATTGTTGTAAGTGCCACAGCATCAGATGCTGCACCTCTTCAGTATCTAGCACCTTATTCTGGCTGTGCCATGGGTGAATTCTTCAGAGACAATGGAAAACATGCACTCATTATTTATGATGACTTGTCAAAGCAGGTAACTTCACGTAACAATTTTGTGTAATTTTACAGAGTAACCTTTGCTTATGAAGTAGTAAAATGTGATAACTTACTCATGGACTACAATTTGAGAAAAAGTCCACAAGATCTAACAAAACATTGCTTTTTGTTTACTGTGATACTTCAGGCTGTGGCTTACCGTCAAATGTCACTGTTGTTGCGAAGACCTCCTGGTCGGGAAGCCTACCCTGGTGATGTATTCTACCTGCACTCACGTCTATTGGAGAGAGCAGCTAAAATGAATGATGATAACCAGGGAGGTTCACTTACTGCGTTGCCAGTCATTGAAACTCAGGTCAGAAATAATTCAACTTTAAATTTTCAATGTTCTAAGGGTGGGTTTTTTAATACTCCTAACCTAACAGAAGCCATGTACATGTAGCTTGAGCAATAAAGAACCTGTTTTTTGTTGTTTTGTAAATTATTTGCTTTGGTATTACATAACAGAGGCTTGTACATCCATGGCTTTTGGCACTGGGCCTGGGGATTTCCATGGTTACGATGAGCATGACGCCCAGCTACATTCGTAGGAAATAAAATGAAAACAAAACCAAAAGAACTTTGTAGCTGTTCAATTCTTTGCCTACTAATAGCATATACTCAGTGGCAGCTTGAAATCTAAGCCCTGCACCTTTCCCATTACTGACATAAACTGTCATGTAAGTTGTCATTAAGCCATCTCCATGTTCAGTATTTTGTAATGTTCTTGTATTCCTAGTAACTTTGCTGAGCTGTTAACAGGGTGTTTCTTAGGCATTGGAGATGGGAGAATTGTCTGTTTGCTACGCAAAATTCTCTGGCTGACATTCAGTAGCCTATGCCTATTTTTATTCAGAGGAGCCTCTTTCAAAATATTCTTCCTGCTACCAGAATTCTTCATGAAAACCCAGTGTTTCTGCTCAAAATTAATTTGGGTTAGTTTGACATTTCTTTTTTATATGCAAAGAATGGTACAGAAACTCTAGGACATTTCCTCAATCAGTCTTGATGCATGATGTTGCTAGGCTTTGTATTGAATTGATTGTTTGCAGGCAGGAGATGTATCAGCTTACATTCCCACAAACGTGATTTCCATCACTGATGGTCAGATCTTCTTGGAAACTGAACTGTTTTACAAGGGTATCCGACCTGCCATCAATGTGGGTTTGTCTGTCAGCAGGGTGGGTTCTGCTGCTCAGACTAAGGCCATGAAACAGGTTAGACTGGACAAACATGTTCCTTATAATCTCCTTTTCATCCCATTTACCTGTTATTACTTACATCTGTGTTCCAAGAGTGACAAATATCAATTTTCTCCTAAACAATATCAATACACAATCAAGAGAAAAGGTTGTGAGAATTGATTAAATAATCTCCTAGGGGAAATGCTTTGATCTTTTTTAAAACTCTCTCAACCTATTGTTTATGGAAGTTTATAGAGACAACTCTGGAGAGTTTGAATGTGGATATCGGGGCTTAACGGTTAATGTAGTGATGACTTTATTGCAGGCATTATTATGGTACCGGTTACTCTCTCTTATGCCTATGTTGATCAACAGGTTGCAGGATCCATGAAACTTGAGCTTGCCCAGTATCGTGAAGTTGCTGCTTTTGCCCAGTTTGGTTCCGATCTAGATGCTGCGACCCAATCCCTCCTGAACCGAGGGGTTCGTCTCACAGAACTTCTTAAACAGGGGCAATACGGTGTGTACTAATTACTGTGGCAATTATTACTAATTTTATAAACATATGGAAACTAGGTCAGTGTCAACTTTGTCTCCCACGCAGACGTTCGCGTCCCTAGCAACCATACCCTTGCCATATTTCCTGGTTTAATGTTAGGTACTATAACTTCAGTTTTTGTGGCTAATTTTGTTGCATTATCTTGGTAGTTCCCATGGAGATCGCTGAACAAGTGGCCGTTATCTATGCCGGTGTAAGGGGCCATCTTGACAAGGTCGATCCTTCTCGCATCACAGCCTTCGAAGAAGCGTTCCTGAAACATATCCGATCTACACAACAGGAACTTCTTAACACCATTAGAAAGGAGGGAGTCATTTCAGAAGACACAGACGCCAAACTCAAGAAAATTGTGACAGAGTTCGTAGCATCATTCGACTGATTTTTCCAAGAAAAGTGTTAATATTTTTTTCACCGCAGTTTGTGTAAAATGTGTTCTGTCAAGAAATCGTCATGCCTGTAATTTTGGCGGTCCTGAAATCGCAAAAATAAATTTTAGAAAAAGTTTAAGGGAGTTAGCTGGTTGTTGCCCTTCTTGTTGTCATTAGTATAGACTGATGCTACTGAGCTCCTAGAAAGAAAGGACGGATAAAGAGATGAAAATGTAACGTGTTTGCATCAAGGATGGGCATTATTAAACTATTTGCCATGTACGGCTAGGCGTAAAAAGCACTCCACTCGGTAAACAAGTGATTATTTTTTTTATTTCCTGAGTGAATCAAACTTAGTTTGTAATACAACTTCCGTGAGATTTAAAGTGGCCAAACAAGGCTTAGAGAGTGACGAAGGCAGTCTAATTGTCAAAATTATAATCTTTCAAAGACGGAAAATTCTTCAGCGTTTCCATAACCAACTCCTTTTGTTTGTCTGTCCACACCACACTGTGGCGAGTTTTTGTAGGCTCTTTGTATATGATGCTGGAACAATCTTCAATATACTGCTGATCACAATGAAGCTTTAAAAACTGACAAACACCAAGCAAAGTTCTTTGTGGTTCTTTAATCAGCTGCAAGCTGTGTATCGCGTGAACTGCACCTTCAAAACGGGTCTTGAGCTTACTGTTTAGCCTCGCTAAAGTAAAATAATTCCCAATTTGTTGGTTCAGGCTGTGAGTGTCATTGATCTAAAACGAGAAAAGCGGCATTTTATACCGTGAATATATCAGAACGTGAATAAAATCTAAGAAGTTGCATAGTCCATTGGGTCATGTAGCGACGTGACGTTATATACTACGTCACGAAAACGCATGACCGTGAAGGCCTGGGAGAAAACCGCACAGGAACGAGGCAAAGTAAAAGCTGAGCTTATGTTGCCTACGCGAGTAACATTTCTGTGCGTAACTAAAAAAGAGGCGATGTTTGAAAGGCCACGCTTAAATGTAAAGTTGAGCGAGAATCAACTTTTACGTTTACGCGCGATCTTCCATACATTGCCTCTAGTTTCTTGCCTCTATTTTATTTACGCGTGTACGGAAGTAAAAATTACTCCACAGTGCGAGGAATCCACCTAAAGAAAGGATACAAGCAAGTGCCCGCCCGCAGTATCAAATAGGTCATGAGTTTAAATCCTGTCAAAGATTCAACAACGTTTGCAGGGTGTCTCTTCTTTACGTCGGTGAGTCCTGGGGAACCAGGTTGTGAAGGTATCAGATTTTTTGTCCGACACTCGTGGCAATATGAATGAAAAATCATTATCATTTAATTACAAAGAGTAAAATTTAGCACCGCTCTTTAGGTTTTCGCTTCCGAATTTAATCGGTTGCGGTAAATTAAATTCTACTAGCAAGGTATGCCGGTATGTTATGACCAATAGAGTATTACTGACCTTCTCTCCTTGCTGAGCATCTGGTCTCTTGTTCAATTTCCTGAGTAACATTGTCGCAATATTGTCGTAAGGGTTACGGATGACATGAATATATTTAATAGGGATCTTGAGCGCTTTTTCTATCTGTAACACAGCGTTCACGTTCTCCTTTTGAAAGAGCTGTCTGGTCGTCTTACCTCCTTTTTTGGCTCCCATCACCTGTTAAGGAAGAGCAAAGAAGCTGGTAACCAATTGGATCGGTTTGTCTCTCCAGTCTCTTTCCAGTCCTCGGAAGGTCTTGTCTTGACCGTAGTAGTCTGAGCACCAGTACGAGGTGTTCATAGTAGGTCGGCTGCCAATCCACAAAAGGGGACCATGCTATAGGCGGCTGTGAAAATGACTAGGAATGCTGTTTCCATCGCATCAACAAAGAACAATTGATAGTCTTGTGGATCTTAAGCCTAAACTATAATTACCATACTTCAATAACGCAAAGGGCTTATCAAAATCCGCAAGACTTTAGCCGTTTTAAACTTTTAAGAATTGACTAAATAGTTCTGACAACCGCAATTATTATATGTTACTAGATACTAACCAGAATCTTTTTACTGTACGTTCCTTGCCATTGTCTAGGTACATGATAACTGTAGCGATGTTTGACTGTAGCTGATCTGTAACCAATTTCAGATTCCTGTTTGGAGTTTTGGTACAACTGATCAAACAGGAAATACTTGTTTCTGTTAGCAATGTCCCACTCTTTCCATTTACCAATAATATCAAACTCATTAGCAATGATCACGTGAGGATGAGCATCTAATAGCGAGCTGACGAGTGTATGACCACTTCTAGGATAACCAATAAACACCAGCAAAGCCTGAACCCCGTCATAAACGTCATGTATGGTATTCTCGCGATTGTTCTTTTCAGAGAATAATGTTTCTTTAGAACCTATGAGCACAAAGTAACGTTTTTCAGTAGGATCTGGCCTCCTGTTCCTTCTTTCGTCTTGGCATTATTGACAGTGTCCTACAATGGACAGCTAGCAGTCTTAGAGCCGTACTAATGGTTCATGTGGATGTAAGGTAAGTAAATATCAGCAGCTCACCCTCAAGTGCGTAAAAGCCCAGTTACACCAGAAGCAAACTATCTCTTTGCTGGTGAGCTATCCCTTAGAATATTCGGAAAGCAAATTTAATGAGGTTTTGAGAGTTGGTATCAAATTCTTTTTTTTTTCCCCTTGAATAGGGTTTTTTTAAAATAACCAAAGGTTTAGTTATACACAGACAAGTAAAAGAACGAACGACATTTCGGTGTCATCTTGACGCCGTCAGTCTTGCCTATGTATTCAGCATTACAAGCGGGACATGTCAGGGTTTGGATCTTTGTTCGAGCAAAATGATGAAAGTTTCTTAGTTTGGTGGAAAATTTTAACACAAACAGGTTCTTTCAAACAACGCTTTAATTTCCGCACTAGTCTGTTTACGATTGACTGTCCAATGTGGCCTGCATAAGGCAGTCGAAGCCAAATTATCTTGCTAGTATCATTGTTGGATGATCTTGGCTCAGAGCCACTACGCCTGAAACTTTTAATGAGGTTAGGCGCAACAACTCTAGGAAAACCATTCCAAGACAGGAAAGTTTTGATCACTGTTATTTGTTTCTGAAACAGAGAGTCCAGGTCTGAAAACAGGAGTGAAAAATGACATTTGTGGGTCAGGTCGGTCAGGATTTGGAAAACCGGGCGACCACCAAGAATTCACAGGAATACCCCCCGGGGGCGGCACACAACCGGCGGAAGTTATGTTACATAACACACTCTAGCCTGTTCCAGGCGTTCAGAAAGTAGAGCGCGGCGGTAAGTGGGGAGCGAGTTAAGTTGTACACCGGGAAAACGTCTCCCCTCGTTTTTTTAATTTCTTCCTGAATTTTTCTCCCGCGCTCTACTATCTGAACGCCTGGAACAGGCTAAACACACTCGTAACGTGAGCTTGGGATTCCTGTGCTGGTAATAAATAATAACACCAGTAGGCGAGTTTGATCAGGGGCGACACCGTGACATAGTCAATATGGCGTTTATATGATTTTGTTTTCCTATTAAACAGCCTTGAAAGACCAAATGATCGTTTTTTACAGGTAAATAAAACAGTCATAATCAAAATCGTCGCTATGAACAGCTTAACTTCGGCTCTTCAAGAGTCTCTTGATGTTTATGAATTAATTAAACAACAACTTTATTTCAGTATTCCCACGTGAGTACGTAGTATTACCTACATTATTTATGTTATAAATCTTAAATCAAAATAAAGGCTATAATTAAAGAACAAGTTTTTGTGTATATTCCATACATGAATGTATGGAAGCAGCTGTAAGTCTGTAGATATGAGGATCGACATTGTAAAAAATATGAAGAGGGTTTTTTTATTGTTGTAAAAATTACTAAAAAAAAGGGGTATCTATTACTAATGTTTCTGTAAAAGTTAGATCAAAGACTATCGTAAAGATTACAATTGAATAGAAAGTGGAATTCGTGTTCAACTTCATTTAAGAGGCAGAGGGGGCAAATTCGAAGATGTTCTGGAGTATCGGTACTGTATGTCTGCCCGTTTCAATTGGTAAGCGATGGTCGCCAAGTCTGAATTTATTCAGTGTTTTTCTGTGAGTTACATTGGTGACTATGTTAAAGCAATCACTATTGTGATAGTCATTTTTGAATATTGAGGAGAATTTTAGTTTCTTATAATATTTACGTTAGTTATTTCTTTCAGTGATAGTATTCAGTAACGTAGCGAGAACTAGAACATACTGTCCGATATCACAATTCTTACCTTCAGTTCTGACAGTTCGTGTGGGTTGCCATAAGTTCATTTCATTCATGGTTAATATATACAGAGTCGCGAGGACCAGTAATAGAAAAACAGAACAACAAAACTTTCCCTTCATTTTATAATCGTCCACTCATCCAGTCAGTCTACAAGATATGACATGCCAGGTCAACTAAAATGCGTCTTTGAAGACATATGATACTGGCGAATGGTCACTCTACCGCTGTCACGCTAGCCTCCCTTAGGGGTAGTCACTGTCACGCGAAACTAGGGTCCCACAGCTAAAAATTGGTTAGCCCCCCACGCAGTCGTTCTTAGGGGGTTCGTCACGCGTTCCTGCCCTAGAACGTCTGCGTGGGAGGCTACTATTTAGTCCCATTTATATTTAAAAATGAAATGTAAAGATTCGTTTACATATATACAGCGTTGAATGCACCAGTTGTACAGTAAGAACACTGAAGTAATTATATAAATTTAAAAAATAAATAAATAATTAACGAATATGATGAAAATATAAAAATGTGAAACCAGTGGAATCTGTGGGAGTTAAACTGCAGAACAACGCGTGGTCAAAACAGATGACGAGCGAATTGAACTCCACGAATGGCGAACAATTACAAAATATTATTATTATGTCTCCTATCAATGTATCGTTTATGTTTAAAATTTCGGGATTAGTCCTCTGACACTATTTCTTCCTCCAGACGCCTGGCTAAGTTGAGCCTTCAAACAGGGGCACCCAAAGACTGTATTCTGTAAAATATCTGTCCGGAGAAGCAAAAATTGCCTACTATTTTCTATAGCTGGAGCTAGGCTGAAAATTTCTAGTTGCCCGTTCCATTCATGTATAAGTTAGTTTCGAAGCTTATCTGACAAATTCCCTACGATTTTCTAAAATTTAATTTTTCGCATTTAACTCCCCAGGTTAAGGTATTTCGATGCAGTTTTTCCGAGGCCATACCGATATTTTTCCATCGTCTTAAAAGTGATTTATTCTTGCCCGATCGCTATAAAATTTTCACCAGTGATTGACTATGAATTGAAGTTTTTCAAAATGCAGTCTTAAGTATAATCAAGAGACTATAAAGGGGACAGAGAGGGCATCCCCCATATACACCCTATTCCATAGGTAATTCGTCTCGAGTTATTTTTAACACCACAGATCTCAAGGGGGATTAGACAACAGCCAATCACATAGCGCGAGTGTGTTCGCGTGGATGACCCACGCTGAGAGCCACGCGTCCTTCACGAAATGACGCAGAACAAAATGGGGGAAAACGCGGAGAGCGATTTTGCTATTCCTTTTGTCGACGAAAATGACTACAGCGAGATTTCTGCGAAAGCTGTGTCAGCGAAACCGAAATTAAAAAAGAATGGTCCTTCCTCTCTTGTATAGACCTAACAGTAGAGCAGGGAAATCCTTAGCCTCCCCCGCAGGCATTTTTAGGGGAGCTCGTATTTCTTGTATTTCATTTTTAGGGGAGCTCGTATTTCTTCGTATTTCTTGGGGAGGGAAGAAATACGAGCTCCCCTAAAAATGCCTGCGGGGGAGGCTAGGAAATCCTTAACACACTGAATATTCTCTCAGGATCAGTTTGAAGAGAGCAATTTCTGGTTTGATGTTTATTTTTTTCAGTCTTTATAGCGATTATTCCTACCCACTTACTTTGTGAATTGTAGGCGAACCCTCCTAAAGCTGAATTTCAAGGGACCATATTCAAGCTCAGAAAGAGAAATAAAATTTCGTCGTTGCTTATTTACGTCCTCCATAAACGCGAAATTAGGCATTTTCACGTCGTAGTCGTGCAAAAATGGAAAAGAAATGAACAAAAAAGTGTGTTGCACGTGCCAAGTTGTTGTTTTGCTAATTAAACCTATTGTTTTTTTGACGTTCTAGTTGTCGTCCGCGTCGTTGGATCTTAAACTCCCTAAATTGTACAAACGACCGGTTTCAATAGACCGGCGAAATTTCTCATTTTATTAAAGCACTGAGGTTACGACAACTTCGAGTTAAACTGATTTCACGGGTTGTCAAAGAGTCCAGCGATTCCTTTTTCCCGGGTGAGCGCCGACTCATTTCGCTTCAATATTCAGAAATGCTCTCGATCTTTTTACGCTTTCATTGCCTCTCGCGCGACATGTATTGCACGGCGTTTGGTCATGCGAAACCTCCACGAAACATCCACGCCTCGCGCGAGGTAACTTTATCCCGATTCTAAAAATAACTCGAAACGAATTACCTATGGAATAGGGTGTATATGGGGGATGCCCTCTCTGTTCCCTTTATAGTCTCTTGGTATAATCGATATTACTATGCAAATAACCTCCGTGAGAGGTAAAAAAATTCCGTATGTTTAAATTCAAATAAAGTGTAAATAGATTGCAAACCTTATATTTTCGATAGCCGTGAAAAAATTGTTTAATAAAAATGTGTTAATTTAAAAACTCAAATTTTCTTAAGTACCGTCAGAATATCATATTTCGCTGCTTGGAAATTTTGGTGTATTTTCTTTCTTGCGATCCTAACCTGTTTTCTCACCACCGGTCTACGGGCAACTTTATTCTAAATTTTGACTTTTAGCGTCCTTTATTTCCCTTGAACGGCTAGACAGAATTCTTTTTAAACCTCATCAAATAATCTTCATGATGTGCTGAAAATCGGCCCAAACCCGCGTCACACCATTCGCTGTTTTGACGTTATGCTATAATTTTTTCCAAATTGATGCAGACCATACAAACGTAAAACTGGGCTGATTTTTCGAGACGCCATGGCCACCACTGGTTCCCCTGGGCGCGGCGGGGAAACCAGCGGTGGCCTGGCGGCGTTAAAAGGGGAGGGGGAAGGGGGAATTTGGGCGCGTGAGAGCGGAAAGAGGAGGGGAAGCCTGCAAGCAAGCCATTGTTTTCTCCCTCCTTCCTCGCGCGCGGTCTCGCGCCCTAATTCCCTTTTCCATCCCTTTCGAACGCCTACCACGCAGGTTAGAGCTACTCTGGACAAGCCAACTTTCCATACATTCCTTACAAAATGTGGCGAACTATTAACATGACAAAAACAACAACAACAACGAACAAACAAACAAAAAGTAGGTAGGGTCACCTCCCAGCCGGGCCAACGTTTCTTTGACCAACTCAGTCAAAGCAAGACAATCAGAGCATGCGCGAGATCGCTGTTGGCTTAGGGGAAACCAGTCGTTTCAATACAAGTTGTTTCGATACAAACTCAAGCAGTGAAATTGCACAAAAATTTTGTTCCCTTCAAGTATAGTTTGCGAGTGAACAAGAAAAACATTTTGGGTGAATATCTTCGTCCTTTAAACCAAGTACGTGGAACTATTTATTCCTATTTATATTCACGACTAAGAGACGGGAATGGGTGTGCAGCTCGAACTAAGGAGCCTGAGTGTTTAATGCCGTCCAAATATCATACAAAGTTCAACGTCATAACTAAAGAATGGTGTACAAATATCCCTAAATAAAGTCACTCAGGCTAAACTATTCTCGTGCGCCGCCTGATACGAAAACCCAAAACCCAATGGGAAAAAATTGGGAACGTATTCCCCAACCGATGCGGTCGCACAACCTCTGGGGGTTAAAGGTAAAAAATCAATCGATAGATGAATAAAGTAAGATATAAAAATAAAAGTTGATAGTTCGAGAGCTGAGATGAATACATTACAACTGTCAAAACCTTATATACCTAATAACAATAGAGTCAATTAACGCCATAGTGGCTCACGTGCGTTCATACCAATAGGAAAGTATTTACATTCTCTGTCACTGCCACTACGTTTAGCTCCGCCGAATGTAAATACATCACCTTGAATGAATAAACTTGTATCGAAACGACCGGTATAACTGGCTCAGGCAAAGGGGTCAACTTTTTTCTCAGATAGACGCTCACTAAAAGTTGATTCGGCTGGAAGGTCCACCCTCCTAACTGGGACAGGTTTTCTCCATATAAATGGGACCTCGGGCTACACTGACTTTGAAAAAAAACAGGAGTGTGCGCATGCGCAGACGAGGACACTATAGGTATTGGAGATTATATTTGAAACGGTGCGGAGGGCTTATAATAAGATACAAAAGACAGCAGTGCAACAAAAGACAGTTTATCTGGTATTAAGCTTTATTGCAATACTGAGTGAGCTCAACAAACTTTTGCTAAATTAATAGTACGTAACGATATGGGAAAAAAGTCGTATGGGGCCATCTTATGAAACCCAGTTTACTGTCTGTTATATATACTCTTGTGACATCACCCTTGTGGGTATTGACCTGTCAAATGTTGGTAAAACTACTTACGGATGCTTGCGCAGACTCATTGCTGGAGAACAGGAATATTTTTATATGCTAAAACATACTTGCAAAGTCCATTCAATACCCCATACCGGGTTATGACACATCAGACAACATCTTGGTAAATGTATTCAGGTTAAGTGGATAACTGGAAAGTTTGTTTTTATTTTTTGCACAAAAGGATTTAGTTACTAGTTACTGTCGTTAAAGACGAGAGCTTTTATTTAAAGAAACGTTGGCCCCAACAGACCTTTTTTAGAAGTAATTGGGTATGATGAATATTCATGTCCTCTAATGCATGAAATTCAAAAGTGGAAAGATTTGTCTGTTTTGTTTGTAACTCCGTTACAGTCAGTGATTATGAGAGTCTCTTAACTCTTTGTGCCCTGAAGGGGATTAGCACCGAACTTTTCCTTGAGATGAGGATTCACAACCAGTCGGAGAGGTTAAGAGATTAAGTTCATGATCACTTCAGAGATGTATTCCTTGAAGTTTTTTTTATTTCCACACTAAAGCTATAATTATGCCAGAGGTACGGGAAAAGATAATTTGTGTTTTGATATCAGGGGTTTTAAGAGTTAAGAGTTAAATACTCACTGACTGTTATTTACTATAAAAGATCTGTAATGACTCCATCAATTCCAAACATGAACTTGTTTACTGTTTATTATGTCTACGCAAAAATTAGTAGTTTCAAGTCAGTTTAATCAATAAGACCTAGTTTGGGCACCTTTTACCAGCTCATTTCCAAATTTGAGAAACTTTCAACTTGAAACTGTTGATTGTAGTTTGCTATAAACACATTTCTAAACCTCTCTAGCTATTTTCTTAGCCGTTTTGTTCAATACAGTTGATTCTGTTGTTTCCGAGCGTGTGGCATTTGTTTTGAGCCTCAGGGTGGGGGAACAGACATGGTTGAAATTGGTCGAGTCATAACTTGAAGCTTCAAGTAGCTGTACACGTATATCACTAACATATCAGTTCATGGTAGTTGAACACCATAAAATTCCTAAAATAAGCCCGGGGATTTATTTTTGCCCAGACCTTTGTTAGAGGGGCTTATTAAAGTTACCTTTTTTGCTTTTTGAATTTGGGGGAGCTTTTATTTTGAGGAGGTTATCAACATTAGGGAATATGTTTGGAATTTTACAGTAGCTTTATATCCTTTAGTCTGTGCCACTGACGGAACTAAACTTCTTGTTAAGTTCTTCTGCGAAACAGCGCCAAAATACTTGTTCTGGCTCCCCACCTGTGTACCAGGATTTGAGTACGCACCATCAGTGGTCTGTTAAAAAAGTCATTGTCGATTTGCCAATCACGTTGAAGAAAAAATTTGAAATGCACTTCTGGTAATTCTTTGAGTCCGTTGGGGACCCAGAACAATGACATTGGCGCTGCTTCCGGCGCAGACGTTACCATCTGCGGTTACATTATGTCAATGACGCAGGATACATAACCTTCTGCTGCCTGGACCAACCTTGACCATGTGAAAACTAATTTTAATGGAGAAGGTTGCACTTAAAATAAAATAAATGAAAAAATATTAATGTAAAGAAGTATAGAACACATATATCTTATATTTACCTCTGGTTTAGTCCACACAGTAAAAAAACGTAAAATGTTCCTTGTACACCACATTATCAGCACGACATGACAAATGCCGCTCAGATGGGAATTCTATCATTATAATACACGCCACCAAGAGAGACTTTATGGTACACAGCATAGTAACTATGAGTACAAAAGGGTTGCATCTTATGAATAAACATTTTTTATCACTTTTTAACCTGTAACCCTTAATAAAATACTAATCCTAAATTGCATTACATATCATAGTAATTAATTAATTAATATGCATTCAGAAAATAAGTTACCCGCAAGATAAAACCAGGCCATCACAAATATTGCATTTTGTACATTGACTTTTGATTTAAAAGTACTTGCATTCCTTTGGAATCTTGTCCAACAACTTGTGACGGGTTTAAAACAGTTTTCCTTAACACGTACTTGCAACTATTAAGTTTATTCAATGTAGTCTTGCAGCTCTGTAAGAAAGATATAACAAATTACACACCAATTCTGATTGTAGCTTAAGAGATAGTTACATTAATAGATAAATTGTATTGAAAATTTAATTTCAGTCAAAACAAATAAAATTAGGCAATGGTGGTGTTGGATGTTCCGTGTGGTTGTGAGGTGCACTGTTTATCTGAAATGCAAGTTGTGTCCTGACCATCCTGACCCCCAAAACGTTAAGATCATAAGAAAGGACAATTAGTGCCAATAGGCACTAGAACGACAAGACACTTTAATAAAGGGTATGTATGTATGTATGTATGTATGTAAAGGACACCCCTGACCCCCAAAATGTTAAGGTCATAAAAAAGGACCCACATTTGAAAAAACAAGTCAAACAAATAGAGGGAGTACAAAGAAGAGCCGCACGCTTCGTTAAAAATTGTTATACGCAAGAACCAGGAACAGTTACAAACCTCTTGAACAAGTTAACCTGGATACCGCTGAAGGTACAAAGAACAATTAACCTTATTCCACAAAGAAATTCATGGTGATAGCAGCCTGGCTTTCCAGACAATGTTATGAAGCGCAGAAGACATTTGAAGGACTCTAGCCAGAACAAGTTTATTGAACTGCTACCAAATACTGAGGCTTATAAGAATAGTTATTTTTGTAGAACTGTCAAGGACTGGACTGTGTTACCAAGCGAAATGGTTAACATTAAGTCCGCTGATCGATTCAAAAAAGTATTATTTGAGCATTTTAGCCAATTATGAATTTTAATATTGTACAATGACCAATGCTATGAATATTTTTAATCATTATTTTTACCTTTTGTATGAGATTTTGTTATTACTATCATTATTATTAACGTAATTTTATTTACTTAGCTAGACGTCTTGCATAATGGCACCCCTATTGAAAGACTAGAAATTTTTTAATAAAGGTTGAATAAAAGGAATTCAGTGACAAAACTACTACATTGTGTACTCGTATAGGTAATAGCGTGATTTGTAGTGATATTTGGCATAAATACCACGAGTGGTATTTCGAAATTGTTATATGTAATTTCACGAGCCGTTAGGCAAGTGAAATTTGAGACAATTTTGAAATATCACGAGTGGTTTTTATGCCAAATATCACGTACAAATCATGCTATTACTTGTTTATACTACTACCTGCAAAAGGTTTGTAATTATTTCACATGTACATATTTCAAATTAAGCTGAAATACCATTGGTCTAAGCCAATCAGATTACAGCAATATCTCATGTAGTAGTATAATAAGTTAAATACCATGCTTGTCATTTTTACAGTGTTAAGCCAGAATTCTTCAATATCTTCCAAACACTTGTTAACTTCTATCTTCAAAAACTTGAAAATTTACTGCAAAATGTTTGGATTGCTGGACACTTATCAGATGTCTTCTATTTTGCTAAGTTAATTTCATAGTTTTTGAATGGCTGTATCTCATTTAGTAATTGGCCCAATTAACACCAAACATGAGGATCTGGTAAAGCTCACTATGATCTGTTGGACTATGTTGGTCTGTGTTGATAATTCTATTACACATGGGCTTGTAACAAGTCCCCTCCTCAAGCATATAATTGGGCAATGGTACCCATTGTTCACTTATAAGGATAGATTTTTCTCATGAAATAAAATGTAGCACAAATAAAGCTTACCCAAGCCTGTCTAAACGGAATTGATCTTCTGTGGCAGCATCAGTGAGCTCTGATTCCTGACCAGACAACATTTGAAAGCCTTCCACATCTAATGGATCAAGAACAACATCCGAAGAGTACAGTTCCCCAGGATCATCTCCAACAGTGTTGGCCATTGCTGAACTAAGATCTTTTGCTAAGTCAGATTTATGCCCACCATCATCAGCAGTTACAATTAAGTCTGGTACCCTTGAATGACCTCCATAAAAATTTGCTAAGCTTGACATTCCCTGAGGGATTGTTGTTGGTGTTTGCGACAGCAAACTTTGAAAGGGCAGCTGCATTGATGTATTCAACATTGGACGATGCATTGAAAATTGTTCAAGTTGTTGTTGTAATGATAATGTGTTCGGCTGCTGCGACAACTGTTGTTGTGACTGCTGTTGTTTAAAATAAAGCTCCGGAGTAAAAGGTGACATTGGGCTGGTTGGCAAGTTACCAAAAAGAGGTGTGATGGGTGCCGATGATGTGGGAGATAACGTTGGTGAGGAACTTGTTGTGATGGGGACATTTCCATGTGAAATGAAATCATTATTAATAGCATTCCCTGGCGGATACAACTGAAATTGTTGTAATCTGTCTTCCAAGTTTGGTGACATGTTTCCAGACATTAATGGCATGTCATGCATGAATTGAGGCTTTCTCAATGGCTGATGATTACCCTGTTGTCGCCGAGTAGGGCTCTGCCTCTGAGACATCTGAAATTGCTGAGGTGACAATACTTGATTAATTTGTTCATCAGGGTCAATAGGTGTTGGAAGTGGTGATGGGATGTGCAGATTTGTCAAATCTGGCAGTGATCCTCCTGTGTTGGTGGTACCAATCTGTAAGTTTGGACCACTTGGTGACATATGTTCTGCTGATGGGTACATCCTGTAAGTCACCAAAAGAAAATTACTGTTGCACGGCAAAGAAAAGAACAAAATGTTTAACACTTATATCATTATATTTTTAGTAGATATAATTTAATCTTTGTATTGTAAAATCCTTTAACTGTGAGTTTTCCTGCAAAATAGCTTTTAGCTAACTGTCAATTTACATTAATAAAATGATATGGTGGTGGTGGTGTACAGGTAAAGTATGTCAGGATAACCATGAAAAAATATGATTATATATTCATAAAAGAAAAAATCACTCTCTACAGCCAATTCCTAAGATGACACTTATTTTTAAAAAGCCTGTTTTTTATTGTAAAAGTATTGCATTAATTTTGTAAAAGCACTTCCACAGGGTATAAAGCTGAGTTGGTAGTTGGTTTTTGTCTGTGGATGTTACAGGTTCCATTCCCAGGCCTGGACCAATGCTCAGTTCTTAAAATTTTACGAGGTAGAAGACTGTACCGTCTAAATCATTGACATGCTGAGGCTTATTTGAAACAACATTATACTAAGAGGAACTTGGTTAAGTAAAGTAACAGGTTAATCTTACATTCCAGGAACTTCACATGACTTGGGTCTCGATGGACTGCGGACCTGTGAACACATAATAGAAAATGTTTTGACCCAGAGGTCAAGCAAAAATACATCTATCTGTTAACATTGCAAAAAACCAATCACAATCAGCTTTGATGGACAGGCAAAACAATGATATTAATAAAAATAAACAACAGTTACTATATTGCTCCTTCTGTGGCCATCAGGGAATGTACCGGTATGTCATTGGTTAAAAAAACTGGAATTACGATATCAGCATAGATTTTTTGAAGTAGTTCGAATTCAAAATAAGTTCACAAGTAAAATACAAACTGTTGGTTATGGTACATTTTTGTGACTTTGAGTTGGCAATTGCCTTTGCTTTAATTTCTGGGAAAGTTAGCTTTAAAATTCATAATTTTCCCAAAAAATGCATACCATATACATACTGAGAAATACTCACCAAAAAGCTATGTCGTAAATTTTCATATGCAAATGAGTTCTAGCCAATCAGAGGAGCGAATGATGTTTTTCACATGTGAAAAAAATGGTACCTCAAATCAGAATCGCAAATGATGTTTTTCCACATGTGAGAAAAATGGTATGTCCAATCAGAACTCACAGAGGTGTGTGAGTCTCATGCCAAAATTCCTGCCTTTTATAGGCACTTGCAGTGCCCTCGCTTTGCGAGTGCTTTGCAGACATTCAACAAGAAAAGTTTTTCTCAAAGAGATTTTCTCATAAAAAAGCAAAAAACATCTTGGAAATTGGAGTGGAATAGTTTTGTGTATTTCTCTGTTGATGAAGAGAATTGTATAGAGCCAGTTAAACAACAGCAAAGGGGAAAAACAGAAAGAGATATAAGCTTAAGCTGTGCTTTTTATCAGAGCTACTTGTCTTCTTACTTAATTATTCAAATTCGCCATTTTACATAAATTCATTCATTGTCAATTGTGCATTCAAAAAAAAAATTTAACATTACTTGTAATTCTTGGATTACCTCATATTCTTACCCTCATTAATATTATTACCAAACACCTTTACTAATAAGCTGATGCTTCGTTTTGTTTGTCATTTTGCGGTGTGTAGCAGCAAATTTTAGCATTTTGGAAAGATTTGAAATAAAAAGCCTGCCAAATTGATGAATGTCTCAATATGTAGATAATAAACATAATACCACATGGAAAGTGCTTTGTACAGTATATATGTTGTGTTTTAATTTTTTCCTTGGTTTAAATTTTATTTTCCTTTGTTTAAAACTCATTATTATTCTTTCAGAATATTTTTTTCTATTTAGCTTCACTTTTTCACAATCTTCATGAATACAAGCCCTAGGATTTCAAATCCCATGGACAACAATTTTTTGGTTCCAAGCCCAGAGATCATGGGAAAATATCTGTCACAATTTTTTTCTGTTCCGCGAAAATTCATGGGAACCCACTTGTATTTCTTTTAATGTACAGAAACAGTTTTCTGAAAACATGTTGTTAAACATACTTTTAAATTAAAGAACATCAGTGTATACTATTATTTACAAAAAACTTCTTATTAAAATGTCAGAAGAAGGTCAATTTAAGTGTTAAAATGTGTGTTCACTAAAGTGTCAAATACTCAAGACTCGTCTTTGATCCAACTAAAGGAGTAAGTATACTCACTTGAAATGTTCACTACAGATGTTGTTTTTTCATAAAGAGATTCGGACCTCATCATCAGTTTCACAATGAAATTGTCACTAAAAGACTACAATCTAATTGTTTTTTTAATTTTTAGAGTAATTTCTTTTTTTTTTCTTGGTACTGGAAGCCATAACAATCGCTGCTGTTAAGTGCAAAACATCCTTCATGCGTGAGTTATCAGTAACATGCAATAATGCACTTTGGGAATGATTCAAGATGGTGGACGATTGAAAAACGGTAATGTTTTTTTTCAAAAATTTGTTTATACACAAGCTGAGTCATAAAGAATTGCTATACTAGTAAAGAATCCAAGTGGAAAAGTACTATAATGGTGTATTTTGATCATTCAGTCTGAATATATCAGCACATGTCACTGGGAAACTATTTTTCCCTTCCATTATGTTAAGATAACAGTAATGATGTGGTACCAGAAATGATCATTACTGTGAAGTCCCAGGGCTTGTAAATAGTTAAAAACTTCTGCATATAGTTAGTGCATTATAGTGATCGTGTAATTTGCAATTTGCAATTTGCCATACTTTCTCGTATTGTTGTAGAGTAGTTCTCCATCAGTTTCCAAGGTCCTAAATTTTTTAACTCTCTTAGTTTTGAAATTCGAAATGCAACAAGTACCGCTTCCCTTTGCTGTAAGCTGAAAGCATTCCTCTTATCATAAATAGTAATTTATATATTATATATATATATAGGTATTTTTTTTCTTCCTTTGCTCTTTTATTTTCTTTTTGTTGTTTTTTTCTTTTTGTCATTTCCCTTTTTTAGCCTAGAACTATGATTAGTACGACTATCTAATATACTTATTTTAAGATTTACTGTAGCTCTGCCATTGTTTTTCCCATGTGTAATTATGATAATATTTTGTTCTAATTATCTAACTGAGGGAGCCCATTCCTTATAAGCCTGGTGGCTTCTCTTGGGCTTCCTCGCCATGAGAGTTTAAGTAATTAGATTTTAATTGATTTGTACAATTTTTGGCAAACAAAACAATAAACAATAAACAAAGTTCATTGCAAAAAAAAATAATGAAAAACTCAAATTTTGTACTGTGAGGGACTTCAGGATTGCTCACTTTCAATCTTTTAACAGCTTAGCTCTAGTCTTGTCCCCAAAATATCAAAACTGCCTGCGGGACCGGACAGTATCAGGGGTTTCTGACATATAATCATATCGGTGAAATCTGGAATGATCAGAAGTAATAAAATCCAGAATTTTCATGACATGTGAAATACAGGCCAAACATGCTGACTATTACCATCACACAGTCATTCTACACCTTACCTTCCTCACCTCATATGATGGCAGAGTTTTTTCTGAAGAAAAGATGGATGAAAAACATCAACTTCCTCTCAACAAATCAATTTCTCCATATCTATTTTAGTAACAGAATTATGTAATAATTATTGGAACAAACACTATGTTAACTATGTGCTGTAACAAGACTTTCCGTTTCTTAAGTAACAAATATTTAAGATGAAAGCATATCTATGAACAAAATGCTACATTAGAAGGATAAAATAAGAATTAGAGGTCAACTTCTGAGTTTTTTGGCAGCAAACAAGCACTGAGTACGGTGGTGGACAAAACACACTGACCCCAGTCCATGGACTACCCCTCACAGACTATCCATTTGGACATCCCTAAAATGGACGATACCACTCTGGGCCGATTTGTTCAAAGCTGGGTTAAGATAACCTAGGGTTAGTGTGAGATTTGAATTCAGATTTGAAAGCTTAAAAATCAATTCAGTTTTACTTCCTTTTGTCTACAAGTTGATGATTGGAGGCTGTAAAAATAACGGAAAAAATTATCAGAGAAAATGCTTTTGAACACAAGAAAAAGAAACCCGGGTTAAATTTAACCCTGGGTTAAGCGCTAATCGCGCTTCGAACAACTGGGCCCTGAAGTTTAGTGATGGGGGTTAGGAAACAGTTCACTCAGTTCCCTAAGCTTAATCGCTAAACTTCAGCGGTGTAGTCCATTTTAGGGTAGTCCGTGGACTCGGGGTCAGTGTTTTGCCCACCAAATGTTTGGTTTTATCCTATGCATGTCCTGGTTTATGTGTCTGTTTAGTACTGTGATAAAAGGTATATCACTGACATAAAAAACCTGGCCTAATTAATATGGACTCCCTTCAGCATGTATATCAATTAGGTTCAACTTTACAGATATACAGCTTAAAAGCCCCTACCTTTTGGTTTAACTTCTGCTCGCATAACACTTTCATGAAGGGCTGAATCAGAGGCAATTCTATGATCAAAAAAGCAGTTCACATATCAGGTATAAAGCAAATGAATACTGAACACAATAAAAAAAACAGAAAATGCTATCAAAACAAAGGGAGTAAGGTACAGTACATGAGGACAGCAGTTAATACATTATTTGTATCCAATAGCCCGGGGCTATTGGATTTTGCTATCAGGCTAGTGATTTTTGTTCTTAGCTTGCCCCATGGGCAAGTGCTGTTTTTTGGAGAAATTCAAATAACAGAAGGATTGCAATCAATCCTGCTAATCAAAAAGGGTTTCAGGGCTAGCTGAAATGACTTGTGGGCTAGTACATGCTAGCTACAGCTTGCCCGAATGGCAGGCTGTAAAACTGACTTTCTTTGCCCCTGCAGGGTAAACCATTTCTCAACCTAGATTCATTTAGAATTTCCTTTGTTTCTTAGCCCAAAATATTAAATGGGGACAAAGGAACTTATCCTCAGGGATGTCACTAAGATTTCAAGCGGCCGCGTAAATACAACAAGACTAAAATAAAAACAGCTAGGGATTTCTTTTGACTCCATTTTTCTTCCATGTAGCCGGGGGGCCACGTTCAAAGTAGCCGGAGGAAATCCCCGGTTCTCACCTTTAATGACAGTCCTGATGGTTTAATCTGAGAATGGATTTAACCTATAACCAGGGCTTTACCGCTATATTTTACTGTTGGAGTCCCTAAAATGCCTTTCATTAAAGGCTGAGGGAGCCAGAACTAACAGCTGGGGTCCCAAGCTTTGCAGAATTTAATCCAAATTCCTATGGAACAATGTAATCTTTCACCAAATAATTTACTGGACACAGTACCAGTAACAACAGATGCTTTAGACACTACAAACTACTTATCAGTTTGTGTAAAAATGAATTAACTCTACAATGAATAGAGAAGTTGAGGTATTTCTAACTAATTCAGTGCTATATGACAGAAACTGCACAAAATTTATGACACTGAATTTTGAAAACAACTTCTTATGGTAGAATATCATCCTATCCAAATGAAAGATACAAGTAAGATTTGCAGATCTACTCTATTCTAAATTAGTTACTACTAAACTAGAATAAACACATCCAAAAGGACCCATTCTCCTTGCTGGTTTGCATCTCTTATTTTGTTTTTCAGCTAGACATCACGTTTCTGGTGTGTATTTGCACTTCAGGGAAAACCCTGTATAACAATGATACACACTACACTTTGATTGCTATTATTAAATGGGTGTTGTAAAAGGTTATTTTGACATTGCATTGTGTTTTGGTGACCACTGCTGTTAAGAAGAGATCACTACTGTAGTGAGGCAAAAACATGACCAAATGTATCGACTGTCAGCTGAGACATATATGACCCAAGACCAAAGTTTCATTTAAACATGATGAGAGTTAAAACTAGCTTGCTTAGCCTGCGAGCAGGATTCACTTGTGCAAGTTCAAAGAAAATTTTTGGTGGCAGAGCTGCCATCCCATGAGGAGACTGGGGCCAAGGAACTCACTTTTCCTTGGCCCATTCTCCTTGTGGGATGGCCGCTCCACTGCCAAGGAACTCACTTTTTCTCGGCCCATTCTCTTCGCAGGATGGTGGCTCCGCCACCAAAATTTTCTCCAAACTTGCACAAGCGAGCCTGCTCGCAGGGTATAGGGGAAAGTTCATTTAATATGACAAGGGGGGGGATAAAGATATTGAAGGGGGGCTCCGAAAATGTTTAGACACCCGAAGGGGGGGCTCTGAAAAAATTGTTGCACTAGGAGGGGGGGCTCCGAAAATTTGTATACTTCAAAACCAACACATGACATCATCATACTGATCGGCTGGTTTTCAACTCAACAATTTAATGACCTGTGCAACTCAGCTATATCACGTGGTTTACAGATATAACAAATGTAGTCTCAGTAATTATTACACTCTTGTTCATCCCAAAAATGCTTTAGAAAATTGTATCACAACTGTATCTCAAGTTTGTCATAGTATAAACCACTGAAGACAATAACGGTAAATATATTTAATACAGTCTAGTGATCTTTTTTCAGGGGAGCAAAAGAATTGAAGAAGGAGGGGGGGGGGCTCTGAAATTTTTTCAACTACCAAGGAGGGGGTCCTAAAAAATTGAACCGCTAGCGAGGGGGGCTGCTAAAATTTCAAGCTTCGAGTTTCAATATCTTCATCTCCCCCCCTTGTCATATTAAATGAACTTTCCCTAGGTAGCTGGAGTGGTTGAGCACAAATAGAATAACTACCCTTTGCTAGTTGCTTAAAGAGAATATTAGATAACGCTATATATGCAAAAAATTATATGAATGTTTCAACCATAATATAAGTAAAAATGCTAAACAATTTGTATAAAGAAAGAAGAAGCTGTTGAAGAAAGTTGGTAGTTAGTACAAGTTAAAGATAACCTTGTCACAGTTTTGTTCCCCAGCTATCTGTCTTAACATGATTACCAAATTACAGAATACATTTTTGTTTATAATATTTACTGGTTAATATATATATGCCATTGACTTTAGGCTGTCAGCCTTTTTCTTTTGATAGATACTGTTGCTAAGGCAACAGAGTAGCAAGCAAAGGGCAAATCTTGTTACAGTTGTATTCTGATGCTAACAAGCCTGAGAGTATCATCATTAACACATGAAAAACAACATGGTTTGTAACAAAACAAGGTCACAAGTTCAGCCTTGCTTCTATTCAAAGACCAAGGCACTATACACACTAGTGTAAAATGACCTATTCTCTAATATTTCCATGATAACTTTTCCAAATTTTTAAACAAACTCCACTTACTTTTAGGCAAGGGTCATTCATTCATATGATGCATATGGCTTGGCTTAGGGTGATGTTACATGACACGATTTGCAACGATGATTTTTAACGCAACACAGCGTTGCAACATTGTTTCGAATGGTTACAACATTGTTCCAACATTGCAACACTGTGTTGCGCTAAAAATTGTTGTTGCGAATTGTCTTGTGTAACATCACCTTAATGGCAAAAATTTTAGTAGGAAACTTTAATAATTATCCTTACATCATCACATGTAAACACTGTAAATTTCCAGAGGAAACAGTTTATTAGTAAGAGCTTTAGACGGAGTGGAGAGTGGAAATTTCATATATTAGGTCGTTTGTCAAAGTAAATTGGTGATCAACCTGGGTTAAAAAATTTTAACCTTCAATTTTATTTTAAGCTATATCACATATAACCAGAAACTGAACTAATTTATGTTAAACATAGAGATCACCGACAACCACATAATTTAACCATGTATGACCTCAAAAATGTTGTTCAAGACGTTAAAAATAACCATTTGCCAGTACATTAAGTAAAAATGCATTGTGATTGACGAACTGCAAGGACATGCAGTTAAATTTTCTAATGAATGCCTTCTGCTTAGCAATGGTCAGCAAATGACCAAACAAACTTTCAGCTGATGAACAGATGAATCAGAACATCCGATAAAGATACCACCGCTAGGGAATAAATATCCTGCTAAGTGAAAATCGATGATCAATAAGCTGCCAAATTTCATTACCAAATCTCATATATTGATGTTATTGTTGCATTAATCTGCAATGAATTAAGCCCAAGCTAAAGCTCAAGTTGCGCGGGAAACCGAAGTTTAAGCTTCAGCGCGCCAATTTTTCGTGATCACCAACACACTTGACAACATTTAAACTAGAACGAAGGCAACGAGCAGGCTTTCACTTGTTTCCAAATGCAGCATTATAAGTAATCAAATTAATTATACAGTGCTGTTTACAACTACGTATCAGCCGACAAATGGGGATATTTCTACAACTTTTACCAAAATTTAAGCTTACCTTCGTTCTCTCCACTGATCCATGTGTGGCGGCGACAAGTGATGTGGATGATAAGGTGATGATGCGTCTATGTGGTCAAGGTTAAGGATGGCTCAGACTTGATCAAATCAAACTAAAATTGGACAATTTTCTTCCGACGAGCTTCGATCCTCAAGGGAACGTGATATACAATGATGCGTGTACATTTCCACTCACAGACTGTTGAGAACTTAAACATTCTAACTCAATTTTACACGAAAGTTTCCAGATATTCAGTTTCTCAAAAATCAGAGATGAGAATCATAAAACAAGATAAAGTTTAAACTAAATTGCAGCAGAAGCTATAATTCATAATACGGTAGTTCTAAATATTCGTGACATCTGCTTCGAAAAGTTCATTTAGTTAGAGTGTTATACAAAGTGAGAAGGATATTCCAGGCCGAAACGTTCTGTTGTTCGCGTTAAAAGGAACAGGCCTGTTTACAAATCGCCTATCTCTTGCTGGCATGCGATCTCCAACTCCCATTTGTACCCTGAGATCATCCAGTGCGTTCTAAGGAAGGAAAGTAGCGAGTCATTTTGTTATACTATAACCTCCAAAACAAACCCAGAGAAAACTTTAAGCTAAATGTATAAGCTAACATATGAAAACACAATCAGAAAGTGCAAAACAATAAATGACCTGCAAATCTAGGCGGTTCTGTGCATTAGCTAAGCTGAGGTTCACATTCGGCAGAGATCCACCTCGGTAATGCGCTTGTATCTGCTGCTGGTGAAGCTGGGGCTTTCTAGTTGTCTTATAAGCAAAGAAAACCAACGTTCAGCTGTGTCAAATCAACACTGACCATAAAATCCGACAAAAGAAATTATTTCCTAATCAAGAAAAATAAAAATACCTCGAGCATGGACACTTCTTTCATAACCTGTTCGAAAGCACGAGTTTCTTCCTCCTGCTTTTGTTTGTGTAGCGCGATTTTCTCGGCAAATTTTCTCGGGTTCGCCATATTGAAAATCTACGCAGAGCGTGTGTTGTGAGACTCGACTAGCGGCGTTCCATTTGTTCACAGGGGGTACGTCTGTTGACCAATCAACGTGCAAGAAAACTCATCTCAGCGCAGTTTCTTGTTGCGGAAAAATGCAAATCAAATTCACGAAAATATTGAAGTACTGGCTTGGTTTTTGTCAGTTGGCTAAACCTTATCATTGATCCTGAAATTATGGCCTTGTAAATGCTAAACATTCATTTGATCGTAATATTGCCGACTATCGTTGTATTGACGGCACAATGCTAGTGACTTCTTGTTCCTGACCAGCTTCGTGAATACTTCGTGATATGTTCGGCATATCATCGTAAATTATTCCCGTGCTGCTCTGCGGCGGCCCGTAATTGTAAACAGGTTCAATCCATTTCTCATAGTCAGCCAACAAGCCAATATACGACTACGATATTTCTTTCATAACTTCCGCTAATAAACTCCAAAAAAAGAAAAATTTGCACTCTTATTTATACGAAAGCTCCCCAAACTGATTCATCAAACAGTTAAACTTTGATGAGGATTTCGAGCTAGATTCTCCGGTGCAGGTCGGCCCGTCAAATTCGCAAAAGAAACTTACGGTATTAATAGGATAAGAGTCATTCCGTGATAGCAATTTGCGTCTGTTCGCGTACGCGTTTAAATTGGTCAGCTAAATAGAGCAAAATTAAGGCCACCATTTGACATTAAATAAAAATTCTGATACCTCTACAATGCCAGACAACGGTTGTTTCATAACTTCTTCATAGCTGCGATTGCCTTCTTCCTCTTGCTGTTTAAGACGCGCGATTTTCTCGGCAAACTTTCTAGGAGACGCCATAATACAATATGTTGGTGTTACTGTGGAGAACAGCAGCGTGTGGGATATGCTACGTCACAGGAAGTCTCTACATCTACCAATCGACTCCGTTCTTTGATGCTGTCTGTCTCTCAGTAACAAACCTAGGAGGGAGCTCTCCTGAACAAACCAGAAAATTCCTCCTTTTATTGAATTTAAGTTACGCCTCTGACAATGCATGGTTAGTTGACACGACAAGTGATATTATTCTGGTGTGTCTCATAATACCTGGGTGGCAACAGTTTGCTTAAATCAAAAATTTCAATTCCTTTTACCTCTAAACGAAGTTTTAGAGAACTTTAAGACATTTCAAGAGCGTTATTTTTTGAGCTGATATTTTAACGAAATCCTATGATTTTCCACTGTTATGAAGTACTGGTGGATTTTCTTGTCTTCGTTTTGCGATACACATGCGCCAGTAAAGCCCAAACAAATGAAGGCGTAATTCCAAATCTTCTTTGATTTTAATGTGAAATCTTCTTTGGGAGAGTCGCGAGCGTCGCGAAAAAGTCTTCACTTCCCCGAATTCCGCCCAACTTCAAAGCCAAGGGAAAGGTACTGGAAACGAAGTATCCCTCCCCCACCCCACTCCGCTACGTTGCCTACCTAGGTCTTTAAAAAGTAAATAAGAATTTTGAAAAAAGTGCTCAGACGCGAGTGATCCGTACGGAAATGAAAAAGAGACACTGGAAAGTAATGGGCTCCTGAAAGAAATGTTAGTATCGTCAGCCATTAGGTTTCATTAGGGAACCGGTTCTTTTTAGCACATCTGTGCTCGAAATTTCGGATTTCAAAACAAACCTCATGTTATTGCATGACGGAATAAACATAAAAAGCGTTGTTCCTACGGCTTGGCCCGAAAATTTTCTAGTTGGTCCTGACCCCTCCCGGAAGTGAAGCCTTTATTGCTGTCACGTGATTACTTGAAACAACATTAAACATGGCGGACGAAGAAGAAGTTGAACCTGGATTAAAAGCGGACCCATACGGACCGCGTTTGATCGAACTTTACCGAGGGGAAAATGGATTTGGATTTAACGTTCGTGGCCAAGTGTCTGAGGGGGGACAACTTAAGTCTATAAACGGTGAATTATATGCTCCGTTGCAGCACGTAAGTGCCGTTTTGGAGAACGGCCCAGCACATTGTGGAGGTCTTCGCATAGGAGACAGAATCCTCGAAGTGTAAGAAGATTTACGTTTTTGTTGTTGTGATTTTTGACAAGGGAAACCTTTCTTTTTTAAAGAACTCGATGCTTCCCCGGAATACTGATTTTCCAATTTTTGCACGTTAAATGAATTGAAGGTGAAAGTTGCAACGATTTGTTTCTGACAAGGACTTAATTAAGGCATGTACACAGTGAACGCTAGCTGTTTGTTTCACAACTTGTTTTCTAGACAGCTGTCTTAACGATGTTTTCGCTGTCATTTGGAGTGATAAAAATGAGGCACAGGATATTTACTTTGTCGCCAACAATTTTCCTGTTTGATTTCTGGAGATTTCTCAAGTACTTTATATACAGTAATAAAAATACTTGGAGTGGCGTTGTGGCTGTCCGATAGGTCAAGGTTAATTGAATGTAATCGAATTAATGTATGATAATACCACCGAAATCTACTGCTGTTACTCTTTTGGTGATTGTTCAAGTGGCTGTACTTGAGCTTAAAATAGAACAGAGATCTACTTAAGCCGCCATAACCAGTTTGTAATGTGAACAATTCCTGGAGCAGTCAATCGATAAAAATCGGTAGCAATCAAGTGATTTTTATCAATTGATACCGGAAATTGGTGAAAATCAATAAACTAAATTGCTGTGTCAAAATATCGATTTTTCATGATTTTAACGATTTATAATGGAAGTCCGCCTCTGTGGTTCAATGTATTTTGGCAAAAGTTAGATAGTACAGCTGAGAAAACACATCTACGAGTAACAACTAATCAACAAACATGAAAAGTTAGACAGTACAGCTGAGAAAACACATCCACGAGTAACAACGAATCAAAAAACATGAAAATGTGGAAACTATTACACACACGTTTCTCTCTAAAACCTGGTATTTTGTTCAAAATAACAAAAACAGTTCAGTTTAATTACATCCAGTTCTTGCTGGCAAGTGTCAGGAGAAATATAACCCCGATAAAGATCTCCTATCCTGAATTTCAGACAACCTCCCGAGTTGAAGGGGCCAGTGTCTGAACTAGATTCAGATTACCCTAGATAGATTTTCATCATTTTCCATTATCGATCGATAAAAATCACTCAATTGCTGACAATTTCCATCGATTTCGATTTTATTTTATCTATTGGCTACTCCGGGATGTAGCTATTCCTGGAATTCTGAACGGAATTCGTGGCAGGTCTAAATTGTGAGAAACGGGGTACCTTTAAACTGGGCCAAAATCAGCCATCAGATGAAGATTTTAAACCTGGTTTTAAAGAAAAGATAAGATTTTTTTAAAAGATGTTTTTTAATAAAGTGAGGGCAGTTGTTTGATCCTTTGAGTCTCATTCTTATTCTTAGCAATGGTGAAAATGTGGAGGGAGCGACACACAAACATGTTGTGAACCTGATTAAAAAAGGAGGGGATAAGTTAACATTGGTGGTTATATCTGTGAGTCAACATGCTGCTGAAAAGCTGGATAGTGATAGCTCATCTGGAGGCGAGGATTATGATTATTCAGACAAGTGTGTTATACCATTATCCATACCAGAGATGCGTCAAGTCACTAGTAATGGTGAAACGTACATGGTAGGTAATGCGAGTCTCGTTACACTTGTCCCAAGGACACGACAAGCACATCTCATATTTTGCTTGCTAAGGTCAGCCCTGTGCTTGGGTTAGTTTGGGGTCTTACAAAATGCAATGCAGTTATAAAATGTATTGTAGTTACAAAATGACTGAGACCTAGTCATTTGCCCATAGGGCAAGTGAGTATAAACAGGGTACATCTGGACAGGACGTTTTTCAAGCTCCGATAGCAAGCAGCATATATCACTCTTTTTGAGAAGAAGTCATAAATAGTTGTGAACTTATTGTTCAGGGCTCAAAAAAATTCCCAACCTACAAACAAGTCAATTTCCTTGCTGAGCAAGTAACTTTCTAAAAAGAGTAAGAAGTGGCTCCAGGCAAGCATAAAATGTGACTAGAGCTGCTTTACTAAAAGACAAATTGGAATTCAAGTCTTTTTGAGCCCTATGTTGTGTAACCTCTTAAGAGCCCTGGATTACAAACTGTCTATAGTAAACTGAACTGATGCAGCAATCTTCCCTTCAATCAAGCGCATTTCTTTATTTTCAAATTACACGTCCAACGCATTAAGTACCAAATTATTTGTTCTTATTATTTTAGGTTTATAATATATATTTTGAAGACAAGCATATTTGTTCCAGAAGATACAAAGAATTTTCAAATTTACATAACAAGGTGAGAAATTCAGTTTATTTACAAATTTTTACTGTCAAAAATTTTATGAGTACTATTAAAACGTCAACAGATTATTTTACGAATATATTTGTTAACATGGTCTACAGGAACAAAATGAAAGCAGCATCTTATCTGATGGGGTACTGGGTACGAGTCTGGTACAATATCAACAAGTTATAAACATTTAATAATAATCTTAAAACCTTGCAAATTTTATAACAGCAATTCATTATGAGTTTAGAATATCTTGCATGTTCTTGAGTTTTTCTAAAATTCAAAACCCATAGTTATCATGAAATACTATGCCCAAAAACAAAATATGGAAAGTAATAAATATAGAGTCAGCTCTCTCTAAGACAGAAACCTATGGGAGTGTCACTAATTGCCGACTATAAGAGTGATGTCTGTCTTAAGAGACTCAAGTAAAGGGAGTAAGGAAAGGCAGAGGCCAACTCTGCAGTAAAAGAGGTGTCTTTTAAGAGAGAGTGGACTGTAATAAGTAGAGAGCTAATTATCACTTTTATACCTTAAATTTAGCTCAAAAAGGAGTTCAGAGATTTTCAGTTTCCAAAGTTCCCTGGGAAATGGCCATTTAATTTGTCAGATCAACAGTTAGAATCTCGAAGGAAAGGTCTGGAATCCTACCTTGAACAAGGTAATATTAATAAATAAAATTGTTATCTATTTTGTATATTCAGCATAAAGTCGAATGAAACCATAGCATGTCAGTAATAATAATATTATTTTTAGGCTTCAGTGTAGTTTCTCTCTCATAACTTGCTTGGAACCTGGTGATCTTCAATAATACTTCATCATTATCCTCTTCATTATTCTAAATAGATTTTGTAGCAGTAATGATTCTCTGTCTTGCCTATTCTGTACTTGTTCTTACAATAGCAAATTGCAGCAAGGTTTTCTCAAGAAGCCTTGTGATTAATGTATCTTAGACTTGTACCTATTGTTTGCAAACAAATTTATTGTAAGGTTGCAGGTAGTGTCATTTTAGAAACCATAAACCACAAAGGCCCTCTTACAAAAAACGTAAACCTTGTTAAGAATTTCAAACCATATCCAGGCCCTGAAAAATTTTTTGTCCTCATTTTAATATTGATTGTTTCAACTTTTATGTGGGCTTGAAAAACTCTTAAAACTCTTTTGTCCTCATTGTATTTGTCTCAAGCTCTGCCAGTTTGACATTAAGCATTCTCTTTCAGGGTGGACAATTTTGGTGTTTCTTAAACATCCAATAAAAGCATTTGTTTTTTTTTTTTGTGCCACTCATTGTGAATCACAAATCAGACTTGGTTGTCAGACTATGGTAAAAGAGAATAATGTCTTAAAGTATGAACCACTTGTTGGTTCATACTTTAAGAAGTGCGTATATCAACTTAGTTTTGGATGCACTTGGGAAGTTTGGAGAGCACTCACTAGCCTACACTTATTCTTCTCTCATGCTCTCCAAACTTCCCACATGCATCCATAATTTGATACAGCTGTATACGCTTGCTAAGTATAAACCAATTCTTAAATACAGGGGAATTGTAAGATAGATGAGAATGAGCTGACTCACATTGTTTCATTGCAGTAAATTCTGTGAGAATTATAGGAGAATCAGATATCATGGAAGAATTCCTGAAATCCTCTGAAAACCATGTTGTGGTAATTTTAACATTTCATTGATTTCACCAACCTGTTTCTTGTCGATAATATCAATGCTTACCGAAAGTGAAACTTGACTAAAATAGATGTATGCACCTAGAATAATTTTCACAGTAGTCTGCACTCTTTTTATGTACTTCACCTTCTGTAGGTAAAATAGTATTAAACACCATCAGTACCCACTAATATATGTTAACTAACAACTGTTATTGTGAACAAAAATTGATTGAAGTTTGGGTCTCCACTACACTATAAATGTGCCAGTATGTTTTATGGCGAAAGGTTAGATATATATTTTTCACCTAAGATCCCTTTTTGACTGGTCAAATATTTTAAAAGTAATATTTTACAGAAAAATGATACTCCACAAACCTAGAGAAACATTGAAATGACAAGTATTAGTACTGCAAAACAACTAACTTACACAAAACTACTGAGTACTATGGACAACTTAAAAAAAAATGAGGATAATATAGCACTGGCAAACTAACATAAAGAAAAAAAATTATTTTGACGGCCTTTTTGTGCCAGAGAAATTCAAATTTACAACATCTAGGCGTAGTTATGATCGACTGGAAACAACATAACTATATCAGTTTGCTTTTTGTCCCACTGTACAGTGCTGTTCATTAACAGTTATGATAAGACAACATAACTGGCCTTCAAAAGATTTGACCAGTCAATAGCCATTTCTGGCTGGAAATTGTCCGTTGACAGACTGGGCAATATTTCAAACTCTGTGTATGGGACAATGTTGAGATCTTGAGGAAGCAAAATTATTTAACTGGATCTCTTAACTGTAGTCCTGTTTGGGATAATTTAAACATGTTATTTGATCCTTCCTATACTTCTGTAAGTGACAATAATGAGCGGGGATGTAGCTAAGGAAAAGCTTAGCAGGCTTTTTTATCAGTCAAGCTGGCTATTTTACTCAAGTGCTCTTTCAAAATTGCTCCATGCTATTGTTTACCAGAGCAGTTTGTGCCAGTGAAATAAGCCGATGGCTGGCTCTCAGGGACACCCCTGATGACATGAAGCTCTTCTTTTTTCTGTAATCACTAGGAGAAAGACACAGAAGATGGTAAAATGAAAGTTGAGTTGAGAATATATTTGCCTGATGATGCCATTACAACGGTAACTGTGTTGAGATGTCACAGGACGGAGGAAGTGTTTAAGGTAAAGACTATTAACTTAGAACATTGCAGGATGATGAGAAAACTCTGAATGATGGTCATGCATTTCTACAAAAACGTTTTTCAGTTGGCCTTGACATTACATGGTAGAAACACGATTTTAGATCATTCTGACTTTATCTAATTGAGTCACTCTGAGTTTTAAGGCTAGGCCTCAGTTCTTTGAAGAATAGCATTTCGTAAACAAGGCAGTCAAATGTCTAAAATGGCACTTCTTGAGAACCCAAAATTGACCCTCATTAAGAAGATTTTTGTCACCATGCACTTCTAGAAAATCACATGTGAGTGCTTCACTTTGCCAGTCCATTTTAACAAGGAAGTCCGTGGTTCCTTACAAAACGCCTACCACCCCCTCAATGCTTTTTTTACAGGCAACTTTAAAACAGAAAAACACTCAGAGTGATTTGCACTGTTACATGTCAGATAGTTTATCCAGAGCCATTGGCTAAGGACTATGTGAAAATGTGATGGAATTACAGCCTTTTCTCATTTTGTATTCTATTTCAAGGCCTTGGTACAGAAGCTCAATCTGAGCCAGGAAAATGCTTTTAACTTTGCCCTTTTTGAGATTATGGAAAGTGGTTTTGGTAAGTTATTGACAAAATACCATGCTTTTCAGTTTCTTTAGCTTCCAAATAACATAAACCATAGGTTTATACAAAGTTAGCATTTATTGTTTAAGTCTGACTACTCATGTTTTGTGCAAAAACATGATTGAATTCAGCTTTTGTGTGATGTGAAGACTTTTTTGTGTTCACATATTATGAGGAAACTTCCACCATTCTCTTCAGCTCTTCACTGCCAAAACTCTTGAGACCCCACACTGTTCCTTGGTGATCTCTGTGTGCCTTTTTTTTGTTGGTGACGATATGATTGACATCAACTGTATTGATATTTTTGGCAGACATTGTCCAAATTTAAGCCAATCAGGCATAACGTAATGATTTGAATGAATTATTATACCGCTTACATAGCATTAAAACCAGATTCTGCTTCCAGAAAATGGTAAATTAACTTGATCCAATTGAGTGATGTTGCTGTGCATTACTTTATACCCCTAATGTAAGGATTCTGGGGAAAATAAAACTAACTGGTTTCCCGAGGGACTGGACACCAAGTGGTTTTTCACTTCAAATGCCCCAAAGAATAAAGAGAGAATCGAAACCAAGGAATGAATTACAAAGAATTTTTTGCACTGAATGATTTACAAAGTCCTTTCCGTGTGCATGTATTATCTACATCTTTTCGTTCACTAGCTGTTGTATCTTGTTAGCTTGAGCCTCCATGTTCACGTTAATTAAAATGAAAAATGACAGTATTTTTTTTGCCCTCTGTTGTGCCCCCTTTCTACCATGCTTTACTCACGTGCGGTAGTTTTCTGAGCAGGGTACAAAAAATTGCTGAATTACATCATGATCATTTAGTCAAGGCCTTGTGATCAAGAATCATCCAGTGATATTCCCTGTTTGGTTAAATGAAAGTCTAGGGATATAGCAAAATTTTATGACTTATTTTGTCAGAAGTGAAGCAACATATCTAGGATGTCACATTCTTGTCAGGTGGAAGTACCTCAAAAATTGGCTTCCATTGTTAGCTGTCCTGCCCTTGATAAGTGATTATTGAATCTAGTGTGTGATCCCTAGTCTATGATAAAAATATCTGTAAGTTGCGATTTTGCTTTCATGGCAATTGCTTGTGTATTTTCCCTTTGGCTCTTTGTATGTCATAGTTAGTTACTTCTAAAGTAAAAACAGTCAAACTGTTTTAATATTATGGCCATCCACTAACATGGGTCTTACTTTTATTGTGTACCTGAATTTGATTTGTACTAACTTCTTGTTATGAACATTCAATAAAATCCACTGATGCTTTTCAAGTTATTTTAATGGTGTTTAAACCTTCTGTTGGACACAGAAGAGGGCAAATTTAAGTTGTCTTGTCCTATAAAATAGTAATACTCCTTATGTGCATGTATTGTTTAAATTAGTTAATCTTTCTGCTCTACATTAACAAAAAGTTATGTGTAGTTTTATTATATTATCATGTGCAGACCCATTAATGATAGGAATATTTTACAGAACGAAAGCTTGAGAACAATGAGTTGCCTCACAGTGTTTACATTCGGAGTTATTCCGCATCATCAACAACCTGCCTTGCATTAAGAAAGTGGAATTTTACTCTTGCTAGGGTATGTACAGTACACTGTGCTTTGATAATACTTTTAATGGCCATCAGAAAATGATGATTCTTTGGTATAATGCCATCCTCGGAGACCCAGGGGCAGATAGTGGGGGCGAGGGAAAGTCTAAATGGGCGGAAAAAATATGGCACGAAGAAAAGTAAAGAACGGCGAGAAGAGCCCCTGGGGACAATGTCTTATCAGACCAGTTCCAAATGGTCGCTGCCGTTCTGGCTTCTGATTGGTGCCAGAAAACTTTAACAGTATTGAAGTCCCTTATTAAAACAATTTTTTACAAATGGTTTTATTGGGAGATGGATCTTTTGTTGATTATCATCAGAGGTGGGTTTTAACTGAGTTGTTATTCATTTGACAGGAAGTTCAGATGAATGACGATGAAACTGCATTAAATCTTCTTTATAACCAGGTATTCTACACAATTATTTAAAATCCAAGGCCCAGTTGTTCAAAGGCTGATTAGCTCAAACCCAGGGTTAAATCTTAATCCACGTTTCTTTTTCGTTTGTTAAAAAGCATTTTCTCGGATACAGGGCAGGAAAAAACCCAGGTCCGATTGCCCACGGCAAGTAAATGTTAATCTTGGGCAAGTAAAAATAGAATGACGTCAGTGGTCCTGTGAGTCTGTCTGAAAGTGTCAGCTTGGTAAATGATAATTTCCAGACAGAAACTATTTCTGCAAGTTGAGTGACACAATTAGTTGACAGGATGAATTAAGTTAAAATCAAAAAGTAAGTTTGGTTGCTTGTGTTACTCCTCTGATCATCATATTGATCAAATCCAGCAGTTACTCTAATACTTACGAGTACAAGTAATCTTATTCACTTTGTCATTATCTATGACCTATTATGGACAGTACCTTAGAACTATAGATGATAAGGCATTGTGTTCCCTTGCGGCAAGTAATATTTTAGTGGGGGCAAGTGAAACTGAAAAATAATTGCCCACTGGGTAAAAGGATTTCAATTTTTTTCCTGCCCTGAGATAATTTTCTTTATTATTTTTAGAGCATCCAATCATCAAACTGTAGACAACAAGAATTAACTGAATTTGCTTTTTAATTCAAATTTCACACTAACCCTGGGCTATTTTAACCCAGCTTTGAAAAACCCAGCCCAGGGCCAGACCTCAACCGTTGACCTGGCCCCAGGCCTACCCAGTGATTTTCTGCCAGGACTGTGTGCTTTGCTATTGCTCACTTCATTAAATAATATTTTCCTTTGGCGTTAATCAGCGTCTGCAAAACGCCTTACACTGTGGAAAGATTTGAAAGTGCTTTTCCAGTACAATGTGGAGGGAAGTGATAAAGACTTTGAACAAGCAGGTGTAATGGGTCAGTTTATCTTGCAGGCAGTTGGTGACTTAAGAAGAAGAACGCTGTTACCTGGGAAAAACTTACAAAAGATCAAAGAGCTACAGGCTGCCAATAAGAAAAAAGAAGTAAGTGAAAGAAAATCTTTTTTTGCAAGCATAAAACAGCATGTGATTAAATTGTACTCAGTTCAAAATTACTGCCAAGAAAGCATAACACATCTCCTATGTTTTAAGTACTGGTAGGTACTTTTTGGATGTATAGTGAAGATACGTGTGTACTTTTTCATGTACAAGTAAGCATATTCTAGCCTTCTAGGCTGTAATAGGACTGATCTTGCAAAACTCTTTGCTATTGTCATGTTAGTAGTACCTAGACTGCAAAACATTCCGTATACTTGCGTAGGTCAAGAACGCGCCGGAGTGAGGCCATACGAAGGTCCTAGAGTGAGGGTGAAAACGGAGCGTGAGACTGGATAGACGCGCTACGGTCGCGCGCCTCGCGCCTCGCGCCTTGAAAAACCAATGTTAAGGAAAAACATCCGACCATTTTTCATTCTAAGTGGTACCCTTTGAAATTAAAGGTGCATTTGTTTCTGAAACTGTTCTTTGTAGTTGTCTGCTACATATTTAAAGTTTCCCGTTGTGTCGTTTGCAGTTTTTGGATGTTGCGAGGACTTTAGAGGGATATGGAACAGTTGTGTTCCCCCACTGCGCTTGTGATGCAAGAAAAAGTGGCCATGTTATTGTGTCAATAAGTTTAAACAGTTTCCGATTACAGGCTTGTTCAGATCAGGGCGATAAAGAGGTCAGTTTTAGTTAATCTAAAATTTACCAGGCAACTTCTTATCTTATTACGCCTGCAGTAGAGTTTGTGATTAGGGAGAGGGTGGTCGATTGCCCCCCCCCCCCCCAACTCCATCTTTCGTCTTATGTCCAGCCTATTAATCTTCTACTCTATTAAGTCTTCCTTCAAAATCAAAGCTGGCGGCTGCAGGACATAATTGAGCGCTCGCTCGCCTGAAACTGCTATAATTTATACAAACTAAGTTATGAAACTTATCATGACTAGATTGCGAGCAAGCTCTCTGTGGGGTTGCGGGGGGGGGGGGGGCTCTGGGGTGGGGGAAAAGGGAAAGAGAGTTCCCTTCACAAAGTTTGCTCGCAGGGTGATTCTTTTACTATGAAGGCAGATCACCTAGGGTTATTTTATGCCCCGAAAAAATCAAGTTAGAAAGTAAAACCCAAAGTTTCCGTGTAAATGGCATTTTCGTCTTAAATATTAATATGTCTTACCTAAGAACTTCCTGTAACACCTGTTCTTAAATAAGACACTTCTTAGTTAAGGCGAAGAAAACGTCGTTATTTAAGCACGCGACGTGTTGGATACTTGAAAACGGGACCGAAACTAGACGCGAACCAGCTATACCAGCTGTTCCCGACTTACTTTAGGACGCATCTAATTATTCCTCTCGCAAATGGTACAGGTATGACTCTTTGTGTTTGTTTTTCTTTTCTTTTAAGGATCAGGAACATACATTTAACTGGGAGGATCTGACTAATTGGGAAGCCGATGATGAAGCCATGGCTTTCTGCTTCGAGTACAGCAAAGGGGGCAAAAAACCAAGATGGGTGAAAATTTATTCACAATATGTACGTCGATATGTTGAGTTATCTGCCTGGTTGGTTCTAGAAAGAGAGAGGGAAAGGAAAAGAGGATTTCCGTCCACGAAAAAAAGCGGAGAGAGCGCGGAGCGCGAAATAAGGGAGGACACCGCGCTCTCGCGCGTGTCCACTTCTCTTTCCGTTTCTAGTGCCAATCATGCCCACTAATACTGAGGTTTTTTTACTTACTTAGCTTATTTTTTGTGAAAAATAATTTGTTTGTTTGACTTATCAGACTTTTTACTAAGATGGCACTGCTACATGGAGTGTTTTTCAGAGATATTAGGCTGATTTAGCAACAGAACGGGAACGTCAGTTGACGGCGGCGCACGCAGACCAAACAACTGGCTTGACCATTGGCAGAGCGGCAAATTGGGCACCTGAAGTCGTGTTTAGTCTTTTCCGCGCGCTTTCCCGTCGTGAACTGACGTTCCCGTCCTGTTGCTAAATCAGCCTATTAACAAGCACTCAAAAACAGGGTCGAGCCACCTTAACTTGCGTATTTCATTAAACAAGAAATTTTGCGTATGTTTCATCCTCATCTAACTTGTTACAGTTTCGATATACGAAGTTGTATAATTAGAGTTTGTGACACTTAATGTAGGTCTGGATTCTATTTAGTTACATTTCTGTTTTCTTTTAGTTTGCGTTCATGAACACATGTGTGAAGAGAGTGATGGATGAAATTGAGTGGAATAAACAGGTAAAATTAATATATATTTAATCAATATAATAAATTTAATTGACAACTTTGAGAACGACTGTGTGACGGCTCAAAAGGACGTCTGCTTAGAAGGCTACACAATGGGTGCTTTTGACTACATTGTTCAGGGCTCAAAATAACGGCCGATCAACGGACAATGTCTGGCCAAGATTGCCATTTGTCCGTGCAAACTTTAGGCTTGCCTGTCATTTTGACCGAAGACGTAAATAAACGACTAGGAAAAAAAACTTTTTCACACTATTCCTTTTTTTTTTGACTTTTTGTTTTTGCTTTTTAGGTTAGTTCGTTTAATTTAGTTACTGTGTTATTTTAAACATATTGACCGAGCTGAAATTTATTTGGGTGGTTAACACAACCGGCAGCACACCCAAATTTATTTTGAGCCTATTTCCGATACTTACAATGTATAGGACTGGAGGTAGCCTCTTCCTCGGGGGCTTAGAAACTCCCGCGAGACTGGGTAAGTGATTGACGGGAAACAAGGGAAGCGCAAGGCGTCGTGGTAAGAAGAGGAAACTTCTCGGTACGGTGGGTGGTTATGAGTTTGAATCCAGTCAGGAAACCAGTGTTTTTTTTATCTGTATCCCGCACTTATGACGCAATGAGCATTTCGTCATTGTCACGCGTTGTGATGGTTAAACAGGTTTTTACACTCCACGCGTGTGACTCCTTTTGCGTGTGTTCTTTTCATAGGACGGTATTTTACCGTTATATCCAAGTCAAATTGAGGGAAACGGAGAAGTAGATGAATCTAACGATAGCACAGAATCACAAGACACGGTAGAAAGTGTTTCATTTTGATTGCATAAGTTATTATTTCAAGTTTTTTTGTTTGTTTGTTTGTTTGTTTGTTTTCTTGTTGTTGTTGTTGTTGTTGTTACCTGGATGTACTTCAGTTCTTTTTGGTGAAATACTGGACTAAGGTGGTGTAGTCGGCTTGTAACCGAGGTTTTACGACGTTTTAACAAGGATTATCCTTGTCGAAATTTATTTCATTTTCGGTAGTAATTAAAAGAGTGGCAATCAAGTTCATGTTTTAAGATGGTGGGTGTCTATGTCTTCTTTTCTAGAGTGTTAAAGCGACATCCATCTCAAAGAGCCACCCAAAGTCTTCTTCAAAAGGCAATCAGAAATTTGCGGCTCCTAAAACAACCCCTAAAAACCGACATTCTGCGATCGATGACGAGGATTTGTGATTTGCGAACTCAAATGAATGAATAGATGATTGGGTTACAGAAAGAGCCGGCTGACGGTCCTGTGGGGACTGGCTGTCCTGTGCAGTCTGGCTATCATGTGGTGACTTTTCAGACAAGTGATGAGACTGTACTGAATTTCCTCGGATTAATCGAGAATCATACCAATAATAGCCGATTTTACTGCTTAGTTTGTCTTAAAAGGTTATACTTAAGGTCTAGAATCAGTTCTGTAGAACCATTTTGTAGGAGGATTACCTTATGGTTTTGGGATTAAATTGGAAATTTTTTTCACGTGGGGACTTAAAGGTAATAATTAGCAATTATTCCTCGAGCTCGAATGGGCTGGCCTCATGGGCTATTGACTCAGAGGCCATGAGGGCGCGAGGAATAATTGTTTTGGTAAAATCCAACTAGTTGGTAAAAAATATCGAGACAAAACAACTTTAGCTAGCAAAACACGATTCAGCCGCCATTGTTTTGCTTTCAAAGCCGGCGCTTTTCGCTCCTAGGGGGCTATAAAATATAGTCTAGTAGTAGCTCAACCAATCAGAACGCAGCATTGATAATAGACCACTAGTTGGATTTTTCTAACTTAGAATATAACATATGTAGTAATATATACCACTGATATTAGTATTATAAAGGAAATAAAGGGAGAGTTAAAGAATCAACCATAAGAGGACACAGAAAAATCTGAGCCCCAGATGGGATTCAGATTTGTTGCTTGTGATGGGCCACGTGACTGCGTGATGCAGTTCGCGTGATGCGGTTCGCAAGTCCAACCCACAAAAAATGACCATTGCTCGCCAACGAGTCCTCAGTGGCTCAGAGGTTAGAGCATCCGATCTAGAACACGGAGGGTCGTGGGTTCGAATCCCAGCTGGGGCTCCGATTTCTTCTATGTCCTCTTATGGTTGATTCTTTAATTCTCCATTTATTTCCGTTATAATAATATATAACTAAGTTTCTAAGTTGCCAAATATCGGTATTTTCTAGTAACAAGGACAGACGGCACCTAGTATACTGGCTGCCAAGTCAAGTAAAATAGATAGATCTAGTACTGTTCAGTGAATAGATTACAAGTACTGCAGAGGTAATGTAACTTGAGCCTTCTGTACTAGATGGACAAAGCAAACAAACTACCCCAGGGTCTGGTAGTGTGTGGATGTTTCAACGGCTGGTTCCGAGCCTGCGAAATTGAGAATCAAATAATATAACAGTTTTCCACTGTTATTCAAACTCGACATTTTTTTTTTACTATGATGAGTGAATTTTTTATTCCCGTGAATTAACGAAATTAGTATGACGCAAAATCAATATTAGTAAACATAACTTACTTGTCCCTAAGCTCTTTTGTTGGCGTTGGGAGTTGTGATAGATACAATTTAGTAACCCTGAGGCTACCAAAATATTGAAGCTGGTACAAATATTTTGGGGGTCACTTTGAGGAGGCGGACATGAAAATTTTGGGGGGATTTTCAAAATACAAATTGTAGTTTACAGTGTAGCTAGAGTTCAAGCCCAGTACCTCAAAACGAGAGGAACGTTCCCGCCAACCTCACCACCGAGTTCGCTTTACAATCTCCATAAAAACTGTTCATTAATGTATTTGTGGTGCAGAACAAGCGTCCGAGTTTCTCTACACCTTCTTAGCCTTTATCCCGACATTAATTCATGGTTAATGTAGCTGTTGTAGCTGATCTAAACCAGGCTCAGGAGCTCATGTCATGCATGGTAACCAGAATTCTATCATGATGTAATCTTGTGTCCAGCTATCTGACGTACAGACGGACACCAGGGAGATCTGATTGTCAGATAACTCGTAAACAGGTTCTGCCGTCTTGAATTGATCCCAAGAAATTTCTACGTGTGACTGCGGTGAATTGCGGACAGCCTTGTGGCGAGTCGAAACGAGTCGAAACAAAAAGCTGGAATAATTTTTGGTTTGTGACTGTTATTTTTCTGAACCTAATCACCTTCTATTACATTGTAGTGAGGGCTGGGTTACTGTCGGGAATTTCCCTTACGTTTGCTACCGACTACTAGCAACCTACTGTAAACTGTGCCAGCAAGAACACTTTTTACTGTCACGAAGAAAATGTAAATTAGAAATCGACAGTCTTAGAAGTCTATATAAAAAGGTAAATATACAGTGAGAACCGTGGGTTGTTTGTTGTGTTTATCTGTCATATGTAAGCACGTCTTTCCTCAGTTTTAAATATTTTTTATAGCCTTGTTTTCTCAACTATGTGTATACTGTTTCCCGAACTGCCTAGATAGTCTCGAGGATAGTCTTAGCATTTTTTGTAACATATGCGTTTACTGATGAAACCGTTACAGCGAAAAATGTTGGGAAACTGTTTTGATTAAAAAATGTCCCTGTCGTGTAGCATTTTATTTCTCACGTGTAAGAGATTCAAAAACCTCATTTATTCCGCCTTTCAGTAAGGCCCCGCCCACACGTATCCGGATATTTGCAACTTTTTTTTCCGGATTCAAACATTTCCACCTCCACAGGTATCTGTATTCAAATCGAATTTGCCCACTCTAGTACCCAGGACTCCTCTAGGATTCTCGATTTTATCGCTAGAATTATGTCAGAATCACCCCAGAAATCAAAGAAGAATGCGAAGAGCAAGGTTGATCCCTGGGCCCTCTCCTACCTGTCCCTCGACGAGTAAGAGGAAGAACAGGCTGGGAACGAGGTTACCCTCTTGAATACAGTATTACATGTAACGGTACAGAGCTGGGCTCGATCTTGTTATGTCACCGGATAAAAACAATATCCGGATTTAGCGTTCACACGATTCTGGATTCATGTATTCAAAAATGTCCAGTCTGGAGAGCAGATTCAAAAACTTGCTGATTCGCATGCCTGATTCACCGGATACGTGTTGACGGAAACCGAATCCGCAAAGAAAAAGTTGCGGATTCAAAAATATCCGGATACGTGTAGAGGGAGCCTAAAGCAGATACAAGTTCCTTCTGATGGCAAATAAAATGCACACAGCAGTAAGCAACTTGAGGGAATATATTTCATGGTAAACGTGACGTTTCTTAATGTGACAAGAAAGTATGTTGAACTCCATACAAAATGTGTTTATCATAAAATGTATTTGCAAGCGTGTTGATTACTGCTATTGGAAATCTTATTTCCAACCCAGTAAAGATGGCCATGAAACATGATGTTTATGCAGTCCCTCTTTTTTTCTTATCAATTTGAATTAGTTGTAACAGAAGGCCGCACCCGCGAAATCAAACATCTCATAGCTGTATTATGGAACTGGTGAGGTGGAGCCAGCGACCAGAAGAACATCAAACCACCCTGAAGTCAAAGTATTAATATCTTTTCAATAGTGATAAAAGATAAAGATCGTCGCAGTTATGTACGCAATATAAGCAGCTGCTAAAAGAAAGCCTGAAAAACATTCACTCAGGGTTGAACGGGACTCTCGAATTCATATTAACCTCTGCGATACCGGTAAGGAGGTCTCAAGTCAACTGAGAGGTGGTCTATGAGTTCGTAATATAACCCTTTCATGATGAAGGTACGAACGAATATATGAAACTGCGGGAGAAAGTTTTAAGATGACTACTGCACAGTCACTTTCAACAACAGTGTTATTCAGGACTGCGTTCACCCAGACGATCCTGCTCAAACTACCTATGAAATGAGTCCTGGGTTCAAACCTTTCACATATGAAAGATCGTCGCAGTTTGTACTGTGGTTGAAATGGTGTTCCTTCAACCCAGATTGGTTCAGAATGATATTACACCTACCATGAATGTTGGCACTTTGTGTACTCATGGCTGCTTCCGCTAGTCTAATATCCCGGTTGGTAGTCTCTTTATACATTATATGGGACCAAGGAAAGTTTCTCGGAGTGTCAAACTAATAACTAATACGCTTTTATACCGATAGGGGGCTTTGTTTGCCCTTTCTCGTATCCGTTGTAAAAACAGTTCTAGTTTTGTTGAATCTCGTGCAGTGCCCCCGCCAGCACTTTTGCACAAGTTTCAATCCTCATTCACAACAGCTGTGTAAAAAATAAAGCCCACGTTTAAAAGCAACAAAAACCAACTCAAGCTATTATCATTAAAAAAAGTTGGAGTCCACCGAATGAAATGATGTTTGATTTCAATATGAAAGAAAAAGTGGTCTGTAATGTAGTTAATTAAACGCCATCCTATACCAAGATAATAAAGTCTGCATATAATTTAATGCTTAACGTAAATTTATTTGGATGTAAGTACCTGCAAAGGTGCAAATGAAGTAAAATAAAAGGTGATCCTACTTTGTTCAGCCATAAGTTGCGATGAATAAATCATGAGTTCAATAAAGTTTTAGATATACAGTTGGATACTTATCATCATTTTAAAACCAGTATCAAAATATTGATCTTGAATATATTTTTTACATTATTAATCTTTATCTTCCAGTCAAAAAATTAGAGTCTTGAATATTCACTGCACCCGCAAGCGTTGCCGAAGACTTAATTAGAAATTGCTCTTATGAGCACGTGTCAATTCAATTTCATTCGTAAGTGAAATTTCCTCTGTTGTCTCTTTTGATGTAACAGTTAACGAAATTTTGAAATATTTTCGTTAGCTAACCAGCAACACTTGATTACAGTAGTGAGTTGGAAAAGATGATCGGTGATCAATTACTTTTTGTAGGGATGTTGCTGCCGGATTTCAAATTTAAAACCCACTGCAACTGAACGCAACACCTGCCTCCTCATCTCTTGATCCTAATGCAATAAATTGTGAGGCACCTTGTAACGTGGACCGCACGGAACTTGTTCACTGTTTATTTTTTCGTCTTAGCGACCATACTAAGCAAAAAGCAAAATGACATTACGTTTTTGTATCTTAACCATGGGAAAGAAATTGTCCAGCACACTACATTAATATTCTGACTAAAGAAATACTTCAACTGACCTTTCAGGGTAATAATAAGGAAGTTGGGGTATTTGAACTGACCTTGGCGCATTAACTTAAAAGAAATGTAAATCAGACTAACTATGGTTTGCAATAATTACTAAATCTAGACGTTTTTATCAGAACGCGGCTTTTCGGAGAGACATGAGGGACCGGCGCCAGGGGAAACCTGTTCTAGCTTTAAGCCAGCTACTTCTTGATTTGGTAAGTAATAAGACACTCCTTAAAAGAAAAAACACAATCCAGTCAAGAGCGTTTAATTCCAATGGAAAGAAGGACGAAAATGTTGAGTCTAAGCTTCATTTCGTATCTGAAACGCGCCGAGAAAAGTTTAGGAAAATCTTTTTCGGTGTTAATTGTTCTTCAGGGAGAATTATAGAAAAGAAAACGATATGAAATAATTGTGTTATTAATATGTATATAAATGATAATTATGCACCAAGGCTACAGATAGGATACACTAGTAAAATCAGGCTGGCCGTGCTGACAAACGTATTTCAGTAACTGATGCCACATTACTATAGACAACAGATCATCGTTTATTTTTTATTTCATTGCACCAAAGTTTTATTTTGTGCGAATTAAAAAAATAGCAGTTTTGCGATTATTTTGTAAATAGACGACCGACATTTATTGCAAAACAGCCTATTTTGCATATCACGGAGCTCCTAAACGACAAAACTACGACCGTGAATATTCAATACCTTTTTAACGATATCTCTGTGAAACTACCGGTATTCAATCAGATAACTCGCTTTTGAAATAATCACCGTTTCCATCAAAATAAGAGAAGATACATGGCTGTATTCTGCCTGCGGTGAGAATTACCGCAATTGCCAGAAAGCTACAGCTATCTTTACTCAACGACAACTCGCCTTCCAACCACAACCAATTAGTTTTCTCCAAAATTAAAATATATAAACTCCTTTAATTTTACTTGCTTTTTCGTCATTGCCAAAAATATTTGCTGGCTACTCCCTTAAATGCCGTTAGCAATGAATGAAAGCAGCCCGCGGAATACAATTAAGATTATCTATTCAATAGAGTATGACAGCACATGGTAACTGAGAATGATTTATAATGGCCAGTTGAGCTAGCCGTCACTTACTCAGTGTCATTCAAAGGAACACCTAAAAGAAGGAGGAATAATTGGTGTTTAGAGCTCTTCCTCTAAACATTAAGTCTTCTTTGTCTTAATTTCCCTTCACCAGAACAGCTTACTGCTCACCGCTGCAACCAAAATGGTTGTGGTAGAAAAAAAACTTGTGTGTAAATTAGTGCCAAGATATTTTCCGCCGTAAGGCTATTAATTTAGGCGATCTAAAGACGCGAAAGCCCACGTTTAAAACTCTGATAGCACGACACAGAAATTGCTCCCTTGAACCGTTCAATGAATAAATCAAAGTAAATTCGAGGGACTGAGAAAACAGCCATTAATTTAAATGCTTCCACGCGCAATTTGTCATATTGTTTTTTTTCCCTCATTTGCCTTGAAAAAACTCCATGTAGTCTTTTGGTGTTTGTGTGTCCTTCTTTTAACACGGCCCTCCTTTACCAAAACCGTGGTGTGACGCTGTTTTTGTTAGTCTGCTTTTTTAAAAACCAAGGTGATATTATTGAAGAATGCGTTTTAAGGGGGAATTACAAAGACTTTCCTTTGTTTACTTCCACCGTTCTCTCTTTGTTCAAACAGTGGTGACAACTGCCATACATTGTGAATAATGTCCCCAGGCCTATGTTTGTAAGGCTACTTTATTGTGATTGGTCGAATAGTGGCAGCTGGAGATCACTTCATAATCACTGTAATTTGCATTTTCGTAGGTTGGGAGGCTAGCTATAGATGCAGTACGCAACACTCGCCGGTGATTTTCAAAGGAAAAAGTTCCTTCTGGCACGCGAAATTTTAAAGATGACACACTTCTTTGCTACGTGATCTGCAAAGTAAACAATGCAAGTTGACTTACATAGGTAAGAAGAAATAGAAGATGCTCGATGGAACACTTTGGTCAAAACAATCACCCCAGAGACTATGTTGATTTTGCGAGGATCACCAAAATTGGTTTTTGCATAAAACTCCATTGTATCGAAGAATATGGAGAAGACTTCCAAGCATCTTCAGTCACAATACCATTTTTTAAAGATCTACTCCGCAGATGGATTTGCTCTGATGTCGAATCGCTGGTAGACGAGCGAAATGCAAAAGTTTCATTAAAAGCGGTGGAAAGCTTCTCATTGTCATGAATTCATCTAGCACCTGCTATCGCATTTGAAGTCAAATTAAATTTACAGTCATTGCGATTTTAGTTCTATTCTTTTGATCTTGCAGTTTCTCGAGGACTATCCTGTGTCGAAGCCAATGCGATAATTGCAAAAAGACGATTCGTTTTTGGGGAGTGCGCTGCCAGGATTGCAGGTCAGTAAAAAAACTCAGTGCTACTAAGTCTACCATGAATAGTAATGTACAAACAGAGCAGGATAGACTTGACAATCTACGCTTTTTCAAAAAAATCAAATCGCTAACACAGACTCGATATGTTTTGATCAAAAGGTTGAAATATCACAAAAAATGCTCCAGTGACCTTCTGGCAACGGACTGTGATCTTCGATGCCACAAAGTTGAAGCGGGTAAGAAAAAGACAAAATATAACTTTTAAGGTGCAATTAATATTTATTTTACTCTTAAATTCCTTTCCATTTTGGGTTGTAAAGTAACTCATTACACAATTTTTTCATTATTTTGTAGCGTAATTAACTTGATTTTTTTGCCTTTTTTGGTCCTTTGAAGGAAAAACGAGAACCAGGCATTTCTGGCGCAAAGGGCAAAAACCTGGTGGAAACTTGCCACGGCACCAAGCAAATTTGCAACATTTTGTTAGAAAAAGGACGGAATCAACTCTCGTAACTCTAAACGCAAAAGGAAGAATACGACAAAAACTTATAAATGGTCTGTATGAGTCATTTTGCTACAGTCCTAGACAGGCTCTGGAGTTTAAACCTAAAGAGGCGGAAGAATTTCGAGCTTCAAGACAGCTAACACTATCTGTAGAAAGACATCCTACGCCTGAAAAATCGTATCCATCTCATGTTTGTGAAAATTTAACCACCATAGATGAACCAATTATTGGATCTCCTCGATCAACGTACAGTGAAAATTACTTGGGAAGTTCCATTTGGCCTAGAACAAACTCGTGGTCTACTTCAGCAAGCTGCTCATATTCCTCGGGATATTCTTCGGCAAACACATCTTGCCCTTCTTCGGCTAATTCACACCGAAGCAATTCGCCAACTCCGGACTTTTCTGATATCAAGCTTTTAACTACTTTAGAGCAGTACAGCGCGGCCCGGGAGAATACCTATTCAGGGGATAGAGATTTGGGAACACTTACTGAACAGGATGATTTCATCGACGAATTTTTAGTGGAACCTTACGAAAATTTTGCAACATGGCCTCAGAAAAGCAGAGTTCAAGACAAGGCCGAGAAAATAAACAAAAGGATTTTTTCTGGTAAGTGAAAAACATTTACTGAGGCTTTTGCTTTTACTTTTGTCTTCTGTTTCAACAAGAATGAACGAGAGAATATGCTCCGTTTATTTGGCGGAAATAAAACTGTAAAGCCGGTAGTAGTCCAGTTTTAACCCTTACGTAAAAAAAAAACAATACTGAACGGAACAAGATACAATTATAGCACTGCCGTATTTTGTGAATTTGGCAGCTACTTAACAAGTGCCAGCTTTAACTTTTTAAGCTAAAAGAAACATAAAGCTTATGTTAAGAAAGTAGTATTTAACAAGTTTCATTTAAATGGAAAAATATAAGTGATATCAGATCAATCACTTCCTCCGTTAATGTTATAGATCCATCCATATAACAGTTACACCGGTTAACAGTTACTCTGGGCAGATAACCAAAAGAATTACACATAGAAAACGAGAGGACTTCAATGTACGCGATTTAAGAGAAACCTTAACTCATTAGAAATAGAAACATCCTTTGGTTATGTGGGTATTCATCATTTTCTACCTAGCGATCTTTGCATATTCAAAAACAGGCATCTGTTGTAGTTTGATCTTTCAAAGTTGGAGTTGAAAAGGGAAATTTGTTTTTGATACAGCTAACAGTAGTGAAACAGTGACGCCGCTCTAGCATACGGTGTGGTTGGTTTGTCCTCTATCTCCCGAGAGCCGTTTTTTACACTCCTTTTCTGTGGTATACTTTGCAAATGAGCTGTGACAACTGACATAACACGACTTTATTCATAAGAAAGAAAGCGCAAAGCACAAAACTGTTTGAAATTACTGTTGAGACTAAACCAACTATATTTTTCAGATGTGATCTAGACTGCTCATCATATCCCTTAGGCGGGTTCAATTCAACCATTAGTTTCTATTTTTGCGTTGTTCCCTTAAATTTCCTTGGATATTTATTTAAAAAAGAGGTCTAAAATAGACTGAATATAGTACGTGCCGTTTGTAACGTGAGTAAATCTTATATGCCTAAATTTGTGGTTCTGCAAATATCTGTGGGTCCATGTCAAGTAAACAAATATTTACGAGTAATATGGAGCAAGAGAGCTGCTGATTTAGCCATGTTGTCTAGATTAGATGCTTTTCCCCTGGCTAAGTTTGCTCAGCTTGACGTCATAGCTTTTTTCAATTTACCATATATGCCACTAGCACCGCTAATAGCCAATTAAAAATGACTATTATTAGGCCCAATGACGTATCCTTCTCACGCAAATACTAACGTGATAAATTTTGTTGAAGTCATCCCCTATGTATGCTATTTCTATAGTGTCATTTAAGAGATAAAAATAACCTTACAACGTATATTCCTGTCTAAATTTATAGCGATCTCATGTGATACACGATATGACAAAGTGAAATTTATTGACTTTTTAAATATTCACTTATTTTTATGAATGTCAAAATTTATGGACTTTGAATTTATTCATTTCATCTCATGTCATTTGCCTAAATTCTGTTTTGGTAGCTGATGGCTTTCAAGGATCGAGAGATCACGAAGCCCTTCCCACAGTCGATAGCAGGTGAGCACGTACAAACAATTAGCAGTACCGAACTATTGCTCAAAAGCAAGCAGGATCACGTCAAACCAAGTTAGATTACACTGCGATATGAATTCTATTGTCTGAAATAGACCAAAACGAGCCATTTCCAGGAAAGAAGAGCTTAATATATATTATTTTTTAACATTTTCGCAGGTTAAATTTATTTTCCTTTTGTCTTACCATCACTATTATATTATGACAACTTTTTTTCTCAAACACGAAATATACAAAGTAAAATTTGGTGCAAAAGAAAGGAGAGGGCTGATGAAAACTAATGTTAAACAGGTGAAGATTCTTACGCTTTTAAAGTGCTATTTCCCATATATTTCCACCACGCTTTCTTCAAGAAAATCAACCAAATTTTGGAAGAGAGAGGGAAATAGAGCTGGGGGCTGGGGTGGGGAGCACCCGAAAAAGGCAATTCAGACTACAGACGGTGATGATGAGTCTGATTTGATCTTTAGTTAGCTGTGATAACTGAATAAATTATTGTTCATTTAATTTTTATGCCTCACGTGAGTTAACACCAGATGTAGGCTGATTCACCATGCAGAATAAATAAAGGTTTTTGGTATTATTATTACAATTATAAGGATGGTCACGCACTGTCTCGAATCTTGACAAGTCTATTTTTACATTTCTATTTGGTGTTGCGAAATTCAAATTGGCGTCAAAGACAAGCCCAGCGAAATTCGGCGGACTTAAAAAAATAAACTTTCAATTTGCTTTGACTTGCCAACGACTTTCGCAATTCGAAAGGAATGGACTGCAAATAATTGACGTTGCTGGAGATATCTGAATATCGTATCTGTTAAACAGTAGAGAGCCTGTAAAAATGAATCTAGATCCACAATTGGTTTCGGTTTCATTACCACACAAGAGCTAAGCTGAGGATTATCAAACCGTAGTTTTTAATGCGAGACGAAACTTCGCAGTTATAAATGATATATGTGGACATCGCAGTCTTCTTAGGTGTTCCTTATCTGTTCTTTAGTTCTTTCTTCTTATGTGCGATCATCTCTTAGCATAACATGAAACCCATACATATGTATTGCAGGTTAAAAGGAGAAAAGGCGAACGAAGATGACATTAAGGTAGGCAAATTTGCAAATGTCGTTCTGTTCTGTTGGTCGTTTTAAGATAAGGCCTAGGACGTGACGAGTGGATGAGAGAACAACAGACGTGCCCTCCTACAATACATTTTAACATGTGAACAGTAAGTTCGGACGTCAGCAGTATGTGAACAGTAAGCTCAGACGTCAGCATTTGTCTCAGCATCGCTCTCAGTTCATTTGTGAGCTTCCTGTACCCACCCAACCCATGATGTGAATGATGTGAAAGTGTGAAGGCTCTTTTCGAACAGTGGTGTGGGTTCTTAAACGTCCCACAAGGAACCAGATAAGTGTAAGTGCTGTGAGACGGGACCCTGAGTGTTGGTCCGGCCGGGGTTCGAACCCGTGACCTCCCACTCAGCAGACCGGCGCTCTGCGCGATCTCCCAACTGAGCTAACCAGGCGGCGGTCGTAAGAATCCACATGAATTTCAGTCTTTCTTGCATCAGTAGCCACAAGCTGGATGTAATTGTGAAGTATTCTTTTTTTCTGTAGAAATCACTTCGAGAATGGAGCATTCCTTATTCAGATTTGCAGTTTGGGGAAATTGTAGGAGTCGGTCTTAAAAGAAAAGTCTACAAGTATGTAGTAAACATAGAATTAGACTCCAGCCTCTTTACGGTACGCGGTCAACTTCTTGAGACAAAGGCCAGGTTAACCAAATGCTCGATCCAAATTAAAATCCCTTTTTCTTTATCTAAATTGCAAGCGATATTTCCCTACTGATAGTGCAATTATATGGCATTTGAAAACTAGAACAACAGAATAATTACTGATGTCAGAAACATATTTGTTTTAACCGAAAGACAAGGGGCCTTATGCTGGCACTATCATTTATCAAGAACCTCGTTAATCTACTCCATTGTCCCAGCCCATTCCCCCCTCCCCTCCCCCCCAAAAAAACTTTAAGGGAAACTTGAGATGCTGAAAAGTATAGCGATACGAATGTTACCCCTCGCTGAATTAAACCTTAAAAAAATTACGAAAAGTAAGATTAGTTTAAGCTGGACGCCTTTCTAAAGGGGAATTTGCTCTCAGGTAGCACATTTACTATGCGGATATCTTTCAAAGATGATTAACTGAAGATTTCATTGGACAGCATAACAATAAAGGAAAATGTATTGTTGCTTTTAGGGGAAGATGGCATGGTGATATCATGATTCATACTTGGCAAAGATCAACAAAGCAGGACGTAGAGGAGTTCCTGAAGGAAGTCTCCGTACTGAGCATGATCAGACATGAAAACGTTGTACTTTTTATGGGAGCTTGTTTGGAACCTCCCAACCTTGCGGTTATAACAAGGTACGTCAAGTGCAGGCTAGAATTTTCCCCAGAGTCCTATCTCTCTGTGAAAGAGAGGTCCTAATAACAAGGTCAAGTTACTTTTTTATTTTTATTTAATTCGCCACCTCATTATAACATAGTAATAGATTACAAGAATCGTTAGAAAACTGCCTGAAAGCCCAAAGATCGACAAAGAAACCATGAGGTTTATACAACGTGGGCTTTCACTATTAAATTACAAAAGATTAACTTAATTATTTATTTAACTGAACGGCGAAGGCAGAGTAACAAAAATACGAAGGAGTAAGGTATAAAAAAGAGAAAGAGAGAGAGAAAAAAAAGAAATGAATAAAGGAGTTGAAGGTCTCATGACCGGGAGCATGAGGCGGAGTGTGTTAATCAAGCAGTGGAACTCTTCTCCTCTGCTTAAAAAAACGGATTTTCACACAGTGAACGAGAAAGACTAGAATCGTATGGCTCAAGGATACTGCAGTCAGTTATGTCAGAAGCTCCGTGACCGAGCATGCGCAGTCTTTTGTTTCTTCCTTCCTTCTTTTTTTTTTCACTTACAACTTGTGACTGAGCAAGCCTGTTAATTGGTTTTTATTGGTCAGTTAGTTAAAAGCGATAGGAATGCTATTGAACGTTGTGGACGGTCAAGTTCAAAGAAGCTCGTCAATCTCATAACAAACAAGTATAAAGGATATATAACCATTGCACTTTATTAACTATGACCAAAACCACCTTTTGAACGATTTTAACTTCAGAGAGATAAACAAAAGGAGTTGCAACTTCAAGTGTTTTATAAGAAATATGATGTTCATGAGCTTTGTAAGAAAGCAAAACTTCGGGACCTGGAAAATTAACGATCAGTCAATTTTAAATAATAATATCATGTGCTTTCCTTAAAAACCAATATGCTTGGTAGATTTTGCTTTATCGAATCACCTTTTTGTACTTTCATTTCTTTTAGCGTCAGAAGAGGTTTGTCCCTCTATAACCACCTTCATGTTCGACAGGACCTGTTTTCTTTGCACTCGAAGATCTCAATCGCCAAGCAAATCGCACAGGTTTGTATCTCAGCTCTCAGCTGTTGCTATTTTTTGTTTTGAACATGTGATCCCAGATCGTGTTTTCAGACATCGGTTGATTAAACAAATGGGTAACCATAATCCATAAACGTTGGATCCCAGGTTTCAATGAGTAGCCAAGTTAATTGTGGGCAAAGTAGGATTATCACTGAGAAATATTGGATTTCGTAAACAATGTCCACCCAAAAAGAGTTTCTGTAGTTTCGCAGCTAGAATAAGTATTAGTTCACTAGAGCAGAATGCAAGTATTAAATCAGTCAGAACTGGCAAAATTGTTTCTTTTAAAGCTTAATCATTTTTAGCGATACGCGATGAATACTTGACGTCGTTATAGCCAAGTACTCTTCCGTACATGCAGTAAATTGATGCTTGTTTACTGTTGTTACTTCCTTAGGGCATGAGCTACCTTCATGCCAAAGGTATCGTCCTTCCAGCCTTGACAACCATGAACGTATTCCTGGAATCCAAAGTCAAACTTTGCGTGTCTGGTTACTGCAACAAAACAACACGAGATGAAAGGTAAAATAATAATTACTCAAGTTTTTAATTTCTTGTCAGTACTTTCTTCTTTGTGAAATTAAGGAGGTGCTTGTAAGCTTTGCTGATGGTTCTTGTGAGCTCCATAAGCAAACTTTAACACTCTGTTCCTCAACGAACCAGAGCCACCTACTAGTAACTTATCTGAGTATTTGGTTTTCGGAAAAATTTTTTGCAGGGAGGGGTACGCAAGTATATTACAAGGCCACCTAACTTACCTTGCTCCAGAGCTGATGCGCACGCTCATAAGAAATGGCAGTACACTGTCGCCGAGGGAGAGGAATACAGAAGGGACAAACGTGTATGCGTTCAGGTGAGGCTGTTACTCAGTGTCATGATTTTTTTTTGTCGGGACGGGTGGGGGGGGGGGGCTGTACTAACTATTAAGCAAATTGACGGCGGTGATTTAAAAGAGAGAAGAGTTGGGTTTTTCAAAAAAAGTTATTATTCTCTAAAAAGATTATTGATATCCTGGAAACTTCTTCGACTCTTAAGCTGTTTATTTACTAGGCTTGCGTCGCTAGGATCAGCGATTCAGTTTTAAACTACCCCATATGGTGAAAAATACTGAGATAAAGATGATGAAGTCTAAGCATGAAGTATGCGATATTCTCATGCCATCTCTTTTTAATGTGTCATTAAACTCGACTGCGTTTTTGATTCCTCTGGAATACATTATTCTGCATATTTTTAATATTTCTAGCCTATGTACAGCTTCCCCTCCGAAAAAATCGGATTTTTTCTGAGGGGAGCGGGCGGCTGCACACAGGCTAATTAATATCCACAAAGGCTAACGTATGCCTTTTATTCCGCTGCAGTACAATATTGTATGAGATTCTGACCGGCAAGTGGCCTTTCAGTTTTTATCCCACTCATTCTGTGATATGGATGATTGGCAAGGGAAAGCAACAGTGTATCATGCATGTTCAATGCCCCGAATCTCTAAAGGTATGTTACGCTATGAAATAACCTGCGATCAGCGGCCCCATTCTCCCCATGTTCTTCAAATGATCACCTGATCGCATGAAGGGTCTTAACTGAAAAACAATATTTAGCTGGCACATCATATTCTGGGGGATTCTATTATTACTTCTATTAAGTAATAGAACTTTTAAGAAATGAAGCTTTGAAAAGCTCTAACAATAAAACCATATTACAAGAAAGAAAAGGAGGAAAGAAAGTCTTTTTCTGAAGATACAACATACAACGCTGCTACGTAGACAAGGAAAGTAACCTTGCATGGCTCTCAGGTTTCAAAACCTATTAGATATTTGAACTGATTTTTTATATAATAATGCAAAAATGTTCCTAGATTTATCATTTTCCTGTTACTGTTAACCATGATTTCATCACTGTTGGTCTGATTTTTCACATTTTTTGTATAAGCAGCAACTTATCAGCAATTGTTGGAGTGATGAACCACGTGACCGACCGGGATTTAGCAAGATCGCAGAGTTTTTTCAACAACAAAATGTAAGTCGAAATGATTTTGAGACAGACTTCGGTCTAGATTTCAGGGTAGGCGAGGGGTCTACTAGCAATACACCATTGCACCCGAAATAGTTCAGCCGATATACCAAAAAAACACCCATTTTTTATCATGATATTTAATTTAAACCTAATGGAAACGTAGTATACCATATACCCGAAATCAATTAAGCCTTGGCCAACCCGATGGTTGACTTCCAAGATTGAGTGGGAAAGCCCTCTATTTAACGTTTACAGACTTTTTTTATCTGCTGCCTTGTTACTAATAATCAAGACTCAATGGCCTATTTTAGACAGTAACGGCCGGCGGCTTTGACAGTCTTCAGCGAGCGCCAGGAAGAATAAAAAAGTCGACACTGACAATATAATATTTAATCGAGCCATGTTGTTTTGAGAAACGTACCGGTTGGATATTCGTAAGGAGTCCATAGTCCACACTGCCGCACGAATGAGAGTCCATTATCGTTCATAATATCGTTTTAATAATGCCCATGACTAAAATGATTTCTATTATTATTTTTTATCGAATTCTAAGGTGTTTTGTTATGCTTTTTAATCTTCTAGTTTCCTCCTGAAGTTTCTCGCAAGAGAATCAGTTTTTCCGAGCCCGAGAAAATGAATTTTGTTGGCGTTGGCAAGATAAGTACGTCATTGTCTATCAAGTGAGCCGAACCGTCAGCCTTTGTAAAGGTGAATCTACAAAAACACGACAACATAACCTACAAACCAGTCTACATACAGACTCTGTCAACTCAAAAGTGGAGAATTTTCTTCAGTCTTCCCAGATTTGTTTAGCTAGACATGCCTGCTCAAAAACACTGTGTTTTGTGTTCTTGTTGCAGGAATAATACAGTACTTCATGGATTTGACAAAGTTTCTCAGTCCGTAATTCTCTTTAATGTTTGTTATACAGCTTTTCAATTTAATCTGGCTCGCGGAAAAAAAGTTGGAAGGTTGAAAATCAATTTGCAAAACTTGTTCAGCTGAGTGTTCGTTAGTGAATCAGCCTGTTTTGGGTTTCTGTCATTTTCAATATGACCATGACATTAAGCAATTCTTCGTCAAATTCTCAGAAGTTCAGGACCGTTCGGAACGGTCCCGAACTTTTGTGGTCCCATAATTTTGTACTTGTTTTTAGAAACCTTTTACCATTTTAGATGGTATTTTTACTCCTGACTGGACATTAAAAATTTGAAATATAACAATCGTTGTTAAACAGCTGACTTTAAGGGTACTTACAGGTTTGAGCCTGCGGTAAACATTCTCTTGTTTGAAAAGACATGCAAACGAGTGAATAACTTATTACAATGCAGAATTAAACTTTTGCCTCCTTTTCATGACCTATTTAAACTATTCTATACCTTATGGTACCCAGATGCCACTGGTGTCTGTAGGTTTTTGTAGATTTGGCTACGAGACTAGTCAAATATGTAATACGCTTTTTATTGCTACTTGTTCATAGCAGACGCTTTGGAGAATTTTGATAAAAATGAAATGTTCTTATTCCAGGGAGTAGTGTTTTATAGTGTATGGTGTTGCTTGGAAATGATGATTTGTGATTCATACGCTATATTTTTTACTTGGGGTATTTTAGTAGGAAAACTTAAGAAAACTAGCTAAAAAATGCAGACCTGGTCATGATTTGCTTAATCTTTACAAACTTTGTTTAGAAGACGTTTTCTTTTCCAAAATACTTTGATAAGATTTATAAACTTATTTGATATTTGTTTTAGGACTGCCCTTGTTATGGCTTCCTGTTTGTACCTTTCTAAAAAATATATTTCTTCTGTTTCACTAGAAATAACAAAAGCCAACAAAAAAATCATGTTTACGTTACTGCTATATGTTACAAGATTACATTTTAAATAGCTTAAAATTTAAATCGTAAGAAATATATTTGAATTGAAGATACATGACAACAGGGAGATTTTAAAATTTGATTAGCAAGACTGTAAATATCATGCTTGCAGCAGGTGAGATTAGATCAACTATTTTAGAAGTCGTTCAGGTCAAGAAACTTTTCACTGAGTTAACAACTAGGCTCGATTTCCAGGCGCTGTTCGGGAAATGAGCCTATACTCCTCCGTTCCAGTCTCTTCGGGGAGGAACAATACAGGACCCGAGAGAGCTGTGGAATTCGGGCCTAGTCGACAAGATACCTAAAATTCCGGTTATAACCGAGCTCTAGGCTTATACAACTTCTTAAGGGTCCTTGAGTAGACTGTAAACGGGGGCTTATATCAATCAGGCTGGGCTTGAAAGCGGCGTTAGAAAATATTTAGAAATGAAACACTAGACAAGGACATTCAGTAGCATTTTAAAACATTTCCATTTACTTGCTTGAATTCAGCCCTCTGGTGAACGTCACAAATGAGTAAACTACGCAACTGAGAGGCAGCGAGGCCGCCTAATTACTTTGTTAATTTAAAAAGAGATAAAAGTCAGGAAAAGATATGAGGACTGCTGAGATTGCTAGGAAAGACAAAGGCGATGTCCTGACTAGGCTTGATGTAATGACTTCTCACAAGGTCTGTCTATGGAAAGACTTAAGAAGAATCTAGTTATCACACCATAAATCTGAGTGATTCAAGAATAGACTTCCGCTTCAGCCATTTAGGCATCACGTTAATAATGGAAAAATGGAATTTAGGAACTGGAAAGTTTATTTTTTCAAACGCGTTAATTAAAACAAGGGTTCTGGGTGTCTTTTCGCGGCAAGGTTTAAAGACTGTTGGTTTTGATTCTGATCCTTTGAGGTGCACGGGCGGAACCTGAAACGATGTTTAATATTCTCCAGTTTTTGGAGAAAAGAATCCCTGGTCAGACCTTACATTGATGTTGTTTGGTTTATCCCCCGAATCAACGGCACTGGTTGTCGTTAAGCCTCCTGTGTATCGTGCAGGCAACGAAAGGGAGGTCTTCCTAAAAACAAGCACAACTATTTAAGACCAGCAAGTATTTATTTTGAACAATATCTCATCTAGGTAACTTCTAATTAGCTATTCTCTAACTATCAAGGGATTGTCAAAAAATTGTGAAAACGCGGATATTTTGCTAACACAATACATCTTTCATTATCTCACGTCTGATGAAAAAGTTCTTTTGGGAGAATTCAAAGTTTTCGCTAACGTACTCGCCTATATGAGATAATGGCATTTTTAGCTACCTATATTTATTTAATATTTTGATTTTAAGGGAAGACATTGATGTTTACTATGTAAACTTTGTAAGCCAGTTAGTAGGGCATTCATTCCTAGTCTCGTTGCCAGATGTCTTCTACTTCCGTTGAAACTTTCGTTTTTGCCTTTGGTGGCGCAAAAAGCAGTTCCCGCGCAATCAGCAGTAATTTATCTGCTTCTCTTTGGAGTTTTTACTCCATTAATTTCGGTTGCGAGCGACTGGTCCCTAGCAGGAAATTGATCCTTATTGATCCTTATACGAGTCGGGCTAAAAATATTCTTTCACCGGAAGTGTTGAAGAAAGCTGGAAGAAAGAGAGACTAGATCTGATGATAGTAACTGAGAGAGACGTCGTTTTTGTTACAGTTTGTTTTCAGTTTTACTTGATCACAAACATTTGTTTAATGCTTTAAAATTCGTAGAGACGTGTACCATTTGATAAATAAATGCAGAAATATTGATCATTGAAGAATACGTTTTCTTTGCGGAAGTTTGTTGATCCTGATGCCGAGTCTCGCCAAGAAGCTTTCTAAATACGTGCGAGATGCTATTTACTTTTCCGTGATTACAAAAAGAACTAAGTAAGTGCGAGATGACACTGAGACGGCAATGCAAGATGCGGATAAAAAATGTATGGAGTCTGTAGACTGTCCCTAGTGTCATTTTTATATAGGGTCTTACGTGCATGCAGAAAGAATCCTGAGTGTTCTGTTGCAAACCCAGGAGCAAAACTGAGTAGGTTTGAGCGCTCGTTCCAACTTTCGCTATTCGCTCTTAGCTCGCACGGGAGCGTTTGCGCGAAATTGAAGTAAAGATAGTTATTTTATCCGAGATTTTATCAGACTTATTGGTATTCTTCCCAAGATCGAAGCCCGTTTAGCGCTGTTCCTAAGCATACCGTATTAGTTATCATGGCGACTAACACGGGCTTAATAGAGTTGCAATAATTATCCTTCGAACAGCTCGGGGCTGTCAGCGCTGTCAGTAAAGAAGACCCTCTTCCCATAAAAGCACTGGAAGTCAGGTGAGGTGATGGTGTACCAGGGCCGGAAGACAAAAAGGGTGGGTTCCGGGGGATTCCGGGCTTGGAAAGGTCTCCCCAGGATAAAACTTTAGTAGACGCCTACGCAGTCGTTCTTTTGGCTCGTCACGCAATCCTCCCACCTCCGGCCCAGCGTTTTTCCCTTTTCCCTCTTTTCTTTCGCAGTTCCATTTTCTAAGGGAAAAACCCTAAGGACGAGGTTGCACTGGACATGGCAATCTTCCTGGACTTTATTCCAGGGGTGTTTTGGAGATGAGAATAGCCGTCTCCCATGGTCCCCTCTTTTTTCTTTTGGGGACGAGTCTATTGTTTTTACGATGGGAATAGGCTGTTTAAAAAAATCGGTTGGTTCAAGACGGTACTTTGGTTTAGTTAGTTATGGAAGTAACTGGAATGTGCTTTCAGGGACGCAGCGTGAGATTTTGTAATTGTGCCCACACATCTACGCTTATTTCATGCTGGGCTGCCTGTGTCTTCATGACACCTTACATGAAGTAAATACATGGCGGGTAAGTGCTCCATGTATACCCCATGGAATGTCCTGAACACCGAATTACGTTAAATCGAACTGTGCAGTTCCTTCCGTGGCATCAAAATGAGAAACGTTTTAATCAGTTCGACGGATTTTGAACTTTTTGATTCCGACATGACAGCACAGGACTATGAGTTTTTTCAGAAGCACAAAGGAGCCTTCAAAAGTTTGTTGGAAGACCAGGTATGGAGTGATAAATGAATAAATAAATGGGCTATTGCATTTTAAATGTTCGTACTCCCCCCTGGGTCGAGAAGGCTTTTTCAAAATGTTCCCCCACGCCCCGGGTTTAGGAAGCTATCACATAAAATAAAATTTTCACACACCCCGAGTCGAGGGACAGTGGAATTCTTCAGCTGGGGTAGCTTATGGAAGTCATTAGTGGTGAATACATTTTAAGAAGAAAAGTTTGAAAGTCCTCTTTTGGGGAAGGGGGAGCATGTTAACACAGTAGCCCTATCTAATCAGATTATGTCAAGTTTATGTAAAACACAGAAGCTGGAAATGCCGCTAATTTAGGTCTTAGGCTCTTAGGTTCCTAGGATCTGATTGATATTTGTATTCAAAGGAAAAGGAAGTGAAAATGAAGCTTGTTAGGTTGTTAGGTTTTATTTTTGTTTTTTTTTTTATTGTAAAACAGTCTCAAGAGCAAAAGCAGAAGTTTGTGGATGCTTTTCAAGAATTTTCAGTGAATCATGGCTGTATTAAAAACTTCCCAGTTAAGGTACATTTAGAAGCTATTATTTTTATGTCCTTGTTTTCTCTTCTTTGTTTAAATTTTGTTCATGTGGACAAAAGAGTGTGACATCACTTAAGCTTATAATTGAGCTGTGAAGTGTTATCATTTTTTCACAGAATGACAATATACTTGCCCTTGTTGATAAAGCTATACAATATTTGAATGAAAGTTTTGTTAATGGTAAGATTTAAAAATAATTATGATGTTTTAAATATATTATGTCTTAGAGATGCATCGGAGAAAGGAAACAAATTAAAGCAAATCCATTCACAGCCTTTACACAGACGTCGTTATATTTTTCTTTTTGTTCTTTTCGAAAACATTGGCGAGTATGGTGCGCGAGAAAGAAAAATAAAGAATGCCTGTAGACATCTTTGCGAAAAAAGAGGTTTATGAAGTCCCTCCCCCATGTCAATGCCTCATCCTTATCACCTCCGCTTTCACACCAATTAAATTTGACCAATGATATTAGGGATATAAATTGCAGCTTGTGTTATTGGCTTAAGTCAGAAAGAATCAAACAGTGACACTCGGACATGTGGAGTTACGTGTTTGTTAAAGGCATGTCTTGTTAGACTGCTTCAACATGGAAAAAGCTGGCTAAAAGAGGTCCGAAGCCAAAACAAATCAGCCCATCGGATTATTGTAGGATATGTGGGTGCTCCTCATATGTCGATAGTACCGAGCAATCTTCCTGTTCCGGTAAAGCTACAGAGAATCTTTTTATTGAGACTTTGTGAAGGAAGTTTAAAAAGATCTTGGTTTTACCGTTTTGCAAACGGAAGATCAGTCACGTAGGGTTTGTTCGCCTTGCAGTAATAAGGTTAGAAGCACCTGGGCTGAATTTTCTATTATTAAAACCAACTTTCAAGAAAGCAAGCACGACAATGATAGCTTTCAGTTTAAAAGAATGTCCACATCACCTCATGGTTCTGTGAAAGGTAACGCAGTGGCTGAAACGCCAGCTTCTCTCATTGCCTTTGCTTGATCATATTTTGATAATACTTTGTAATAGCGATGCAACTAATACCACATTCTTTTCTCTTTGTTTGAGTTTCACTGCCGCGAACAACTGGTAAAAACCAGCATTAAACCCAAAACAGCCTGAGGCTGTTCTTCTTTGAGCACGTATTTGCTTGAAAACTGTGCCAAACAGTTGTCAAGCATGCTTTCCATAGTCTACAGCCCAAAACAAAAGATATGGTCAACATGGTCAACACAAGACTGTAGCATGACTCCCAAATTCACAATTATTGATGTTATTTTTTAATGCAAATTACGATGTAAGTGTTGTGATTAGCACATCCCACAATGACAAACACTTAGAACTACTCACATGGGCCAAGCGTGATGAGTCGTTGACATGATGATGACAGGATAATCGCCGTTCAGCCAATGGTAATTTTCCTGGGAAAAGCAAGTTTCATTTGCTTTCAAAGATGTCTACAGACACCTCTCTAAGATTGACAACGGACAGTTTTGAAACCATCAATGGACAATTTGGAACTGCAAATATGTTGTGAAAAATACCTCAAAACAGAAAATGCAGGTGCTCTACATGACAGTAAATTGCAAAATGTTTGACATTTTGTAGTCTTGCTTGCTAAGCCGAACACCTCTCTAAGACAGACAATCAGGACTGATGTGTGTCTCCATGTGTAAAAAGAAGATTAACATTATTTTGAAAAGCATGCAGTTAGGTTTCTATCAAAACTAGGTCACCTTGAGCCATGTGCTTTCACCCAAGAACAAGATATATGCTCAGTATGCATATGTAAAAAATATGTAGCGTATTAGGTAACTGTTTACAATTGATTCATTATTAATTTTATTTGAACTTGCTATCTTGTCATGATGTGTTATATCATGTAGGAAGGTTTAGCAAAGCCAAGTGTTTGGTAACAGATGCAGTCTGTCTGGCACAGAATAGACCCGTTATGCAGTACATTGGTTCATCCAATCATGGTATGTATACAGAATAGTCAATTTATTACTGCATGACACTGGCTACTGCCTTATTTTAATATTCAAATATTTGCAGTCAAAAAGCAAATCTTGAAAAATAGCAGCAGCAACAACAACAACATCTCAGACAGTACGTAAACCTGGATCACCTGCCTGGGTGGGTAACAGCCACACCATCCAAACTTTTAATATTATTAATTTTTATCAACATAGATGTTCGGGCAATTTTTTGCCAAGGGGGGCGGTAAACCATTTGCCCAAAAAATTCTTGCAAGTTGCCCAAATTTTTGGAAAACAGTTGAAAAGAAAGGAGGGTCATACGATGCACTAACATAAAAAACTGGCTTTGCCCAAATTTCTCTTGCTGCTCAAAATGTCTGAGTTGCCCAAAATTTGGTTGGGGGGGGGGGGGGGGGGGTTTAGAGGGTTATATACCTTTGTTTCAATTCTGCTGTAATATGTATTCAAGGATAGATTCCAGTAAAAATTAAAAACAAGGGGTCATATGGTAAGAAGCAGCATTTAAACACATTCATCGCATTTGAAGACCATAATGGCTTTGTCAGCCAACAAAACTTGTCTGCAAAGTGAGATTCAATACAAACGTTCTTTTACATTGATTTTGCACTAAATGTTGTAGAATGCGTCCACTGTCAAAATTCATGGCCAAATGTATTTTGAAGCCTAAAGCGATGGCAACAACAACCGCACCAAGTTTGTTTTGATCAACATGGTATTAGGTTCCTTGGGGAAGTTTACCTACTTACTCACTCACTCACTTACTTATGACATAATTAATAGCTACACTTTTCGTAAAGAGTGGAAGTAGCCACAAAAGTTTTAATTCTTCACTGTTTTACTTTCTCTCTATAGTTCCATGCAATGAAAGTTTTTTTTCAATATTTGTGAGTAAATATCTCAAACAAAAACCTGTTATTTTTGCAGCTAAAAATCCATTCATACACAAGGATTCTAGGTAAGTCAATTTCACAATTTTTAGAAAGAACATTGCCAAGGGATTTGGATAAATTTTTGCTCTTAATGTATTGTCTTTGTGAAAATAGACTTGCTAAAGAAGTAAACTGTTTGTTTACGAAAGGTTTATTCGCATCTTAGCTAGTGCTGTTCATATTTTTTCCATCAGTCTTGTTGAATTTGTTTTCAGAGATGTGTTTCGACGTCTATTTGGAGAACCAATAGAAAATGAAACCTGCTTGAAGGTAGATATTCTTATTTAGTTTAAGTATCTATGTCTTACAAGTGGGTAGTCAAAGTCTTTTTATAAGCCCCAGCATCCACAAGGGTGACACTCGTTAGGCTTAATGCTTTTTGTTCAGCTATAGTGTTGCACTAAGAGCAATCCCCCACCCAGACTCACTCACACATGTCAATTTTAAAGTTACTCCTCAACTTTCCCTGCTAAATTTATTTATTGACCACTTGTCCTTGCAGCTTCAATTTATAATATGGAGAATTAGTGTAGTTGTTAGCTCCTTGCAGGTTCAGTATTCAGACTTACAATTCATAAAAAGCTGTGCCATTAGAGTGTCATTCCTAAGGCAAAATACCCTTCATCAAACTGTTAAGTATTAGTGTTGAGAAAAAAATAGTCAAAATTGCATTTAATTTCTAGGTGATGTGTGTATTACCCCTGTATATTAAGTTTGGTGGCTCCATTTGTCGCTATTTGAAGCGCTGGTTAGAAGCTGGGAAACTGGATGAGCTTGGTGTTACTTCCTTAACAGCAATACCTTTATCAGCTCTTCTTAAATCAAAATCCACATCAAACACCGGAACAGACCAGGGCTCAGCAAATACTCCTCAGTCTTCAGTAAGGGTGCTAACAAGCGAGGTATCCTCATCCAGCAACACAATGGTTGCTGTAGCAACTGTTGGTGGAAGAAATAGTGGGTCCTTGAACAAGGCAAATAGTTCAGATGAGGATAATGATGATGTTGATGATGATGATGATGACGACAATTGGCATACCAAAGTTATAAGAGGAATACAATCTGTGTTGACTGACAGAGCAGGGCCATCTCCTATTGAGTACATGGAAGTTTATAAGCGAGATAAAGATGGTTCTTATAGGAGACTAAGGGAAGACTTTCATTTGGGAAAACCACACCCCAATCAGGAGTTTGAAGAACGTTGCAGGAAGAAGGAAGAGGAACGGATTGAAGGAAGCCGTCTCCATGAAGTGATAATGAAGGATTATTCTGAGAGTCAGATTCAGATCAAGCGACACCAATGTGCAAACTGTAAAAAAGTTGAGAAAGAACGAGGAATTTACAAGAAATGTGGGAGGTAAGATGGATGCAATTATTGTTGAGAAAAGTAATATGGCTATCAGCTCCATTTTGGCCTGCATAACTGGCACTCTTTGTTTGGTGAATGCACAAATGAGCAATGAGGCAATTAAAGCACACGGGAAGGTCATTCTCCCCTCTGTTACCTCTCTCTAACAAAACTGCCGGTTACACAGGCACACCAGGCTTGCACTGTTAAATAAAATGTAAAACGTTAGCCATTTGTTTATGGTGGAAGTGCACTTTGTTGTCTGGCTAGTTTACAGGGACTCCACTTATAATGACAAACAAATAATACAAGTACACTGTATATCATAAAGGTTTTAAAAGCACATCCGGCAGAATGTAACTAGTTGGCTGTTTACAAGAATAACCAAGGATTGGATCCATGACCACCAGAACTTGAACACTTTGCATGTGCATCACACTTTTTCGTTCATTTCTTTTATGCCACTGTACAACTATGTACAATGTATGAAACTTCACGAAGAACACAACAATGAATTTTCCTTTCTCTTTTGAACTTGGATACAGTTCTCAAAGATTCAACTCCAAAAAAAAATTAGGCTGCATTAATTGACAACATTGACCAAGGTTAGATAGAACGCTTTCCCTTTTTAGTGACACCTTCACTAGCTGTCACCACCATTGTAGTTTCATATTAGAGCAACCTTTTGTTAACAGGATGGGAGGAAAGGGTGAATACCTCTTCCTGGCATTTCCTCTCCAGAAAATGTTACTTATCTTAGGATTTTTCTAAAGAACAGACAGATTGTCCTGCGAAGGAGTTTAATTCTGATGATTCTTGTCCCTAACAGGTGCAAAGGAAAAGGCACAAAATTTTACTGCAGTCGAAAATGCCAAGGTAAGTAGCATTTGCAGTCAGCACTGCTTTTCCTGTCATTTTAATATTAACAGCAAATAGTGGCTTTACGTGCTAAGTGACTGATGTATAAAGAGGGGGGCTAATTAGCAACGTAAATAATAATGGAAACATTAATTTGTTTCCATGTCACTTCACCATTGCTTGATTAACTGACTGGTTGATTGATGGATTGATTGACTGATTAACTGGTTCATGGATTGTTTGATTGATTGACTGGTTGATTGGTTAAATGATTGATTGACTGGTTGATTGTTTAAATGATTGAGAGAGTGTGTGCATGTGTGAGTGATTATTGATTGATTGATTGATTGATTGCAGAAGAAGACTGGGTCTCTAGACATAGGGAGGACCACTCTGTGGAGCTACCATCATAAACGCCGATCAGACTGATTGCAGCTTTTATACATCAGTACACTGCCTTTGACAAAGCCTGTATACAGCTGCCTCCTCCCCTCCCCTCCCCTCCTCTCCCTTGTTGTGGGAAGGGAGCAACTGTACCCAGGCTACCTTTAACACTGCTCATGGAAAAAACATCTCATAAAATTCACCATTTTATATGTCAAATTTTGATCCAGAAACCAAATCCCACCACTATTTGTCACAAATTAAGACAGCATTAATAGCCATGACACATTTGTGGCCATGTAAATTAGTTAGGTCCTTAAAATATGTAAATGTCAGTTCATGTAAGTGTATAGTTGTCTCCCATGACTAAATTATTGTAATATTAAGTTTTGCAAAAAAGTGTTGGAAAGTACAATTTTTTAAAGGCATAAGATCCATTATAAACACAGTAGAAAATGATGTAAAATAGTGTACAGCAGAAATGTAGAAACGTACATGTTAACAGTCAAGCCTGGGAGGCTATTGCCTGCCATAAATCAGCCTTCAGTTTACTGCCCCTCCCTTGTAGCCATGTCAAAAGAAAGCTTTTGTCAACATGACACGAATGAGTCTGGCAATCAGTCTAGGCCATTAAAAGAATTAAAATTGGGTTGTATTTCCTTTCAGAAAGAATTCCTTTTATTTGTCATAAAGGTATTACAACGCTTATACTACTACATGAGAAATTTCTGCAATCTGATTGGCTTAGAGCAGTGGTATTTCAGCTTATTTTGAAAGACCTACATGTGAAAATTACAAACTTTTTGTGGGTAGTAGTATAAACAAATAATAGCATGATTTGTACGTGATATATGGCATAAATACCACTCTTGATATTTCAAAATTGTCTCAAATTTCACTCGCCTAACGGCTCGTGAAATTACGTATAACAATTTCGAAATATCACTCGTGGTATTTATGCCAAATATCACTACAAATCATGCTATTACCCATACTAATGGACTTGTCAATGGAGGCAAAAATATACAAACAAATAAGGAAAAATGTAGCATTTGTGACCTCATTCCTGAGGTATTAATAAAAAGTAACTGGAGAAATAAATTTGTTGTATAAATTTATGATTGTATGTTTTTAGGGAAAGGGAGAAAATTAATCTATAGGCAATAATGAATTATTTAATGAACCAAACGAAAAATGTGTGACCATAAACAAATTCCATTGTATTGCACAGTTGTTCCTTCAGAATATTTTTTAGTGACGATGTTCCTTTAAAAAAATCGTTTCTAGCAGTAGTAATAATAGTAAGAAGAAGAACAAGAATTAGGAAAAAAAAGACAGTAAAATAGAAAACAAAGCAAGTTCCCTTCACGCCGATCTGTTCTTAAAACAACAAAAAACAGTTCTCAGTTCCTTGAAACATTTTTGTTACAAAACGTATTTGAAGTGAGTTCAATTTTGACTGAAATCTTTCTTTGTGGCACAGCAAAGAAAAAAGGCATGTGTGCGCGAAACCCTATCATGAGAAAAACATTCACGCCCACAGTGATTTAAATGTACACAAGTACATATGAGCACCACAACTGTGAATACTGAAAGGTTTATTGTAGGATGGAATCATTTGCAACAAATGCGCACAGCTATTCCATCTGACTGCTGGAATGTTATAAATTAAATGAGAACCTTTTTGCTAGATATTTGACCATAAAAACTCACGATTGATAATAGGTACGATTCGACCATTGTGAGGTCATTTTGCGAGTGATAAAACTCTAAAGAGAACAAAAGGACTTGGTGGAATTTCATTGTAAAGCTTTGGCAAATGGATGAAGATGTTGCTTCTGTGTTGGCAGTGGTGTGAAAACAGATGCATCAATTCCCAGCAACAACATGTAACAGGGTTTGCAAACAGAGGCAACTTGTGGCATCCAACAATGTTGCATCTGTTTGCATGGGGCTTAGGAAGACAAGAAAAACGCTAGTTCAGCATTACAGGCAAAACTTAAACGTGGCTAAACTGGAAGTCTCTGTTTAGAAAGTGAAATTGTCGAATGAGAAGCAATATTTAAACTTTTTTGACGTGATTAAAAAACATTACCAAATGCTTCCAGGAGACAACGTTTCTCAGACCACAACAATGATTTTTGTGGCCTGAAAACTAAACAAAATTGATGCAAGAATGAGTGACAAAAAATACATCTTTATTTACAACTATTTTATGTGATAAATTTATTTCACAACGTCTGTCGTGGTTGATTAGTAAAACTGCCCTCTACTATTTACATGCATGTGTAATTGCTTCACTATAATATCTGGACGTTCTTCTATTACACTTTCCAGGGATTTTGCTCTTGGTTTACCATCTGTAACTTTCGCCATGTTTTCTGATTGGTTTTCAAAGCCATCTGAAACAGTATAAAAGAGAATTTGTTGGCATGGATAATTACCAGAAGTTAGTTTCATTACTGTATATAATTTCTAATAGAAAACAGTGCTTCAAACAATGTTTGGAAAAGGCAACCTAAATGTACCTGCCTATTGATTTTTTAACCACACTGTAAGGTACATTCTGAATGCCAGTTGCTTTAAAAATAACGATGAAAATCTCTAAAAATTGCATTAACAAGAAACTAACGAGAAATAATAGTCCTTGTGTGCTCAAAATTACATTTTGTGGAAGAAACTATCGCTGTTATGGAAGCTAAAAAACTTGGGACAGCTGGGGGAACTCTTCCAAGGACATACTACAATAAACTAGAGTTATAACACACACACACACCTGGGCAATTTCAACCTTCCTCTCCCACATGCGGACCTACAAACAAACACCGAGAACAAAACATTAACGTTAATGGTAAGTTTAAAACAGAAGTCCACATCAAAAATTGAACTTTTACAACAAGCAGTGAAATCTTACGGTTTTGTTGAGTTCATACAAGTCTGCTCGTTCAGTGACATAATCCAGTACCTGCAGAGATTAATAATTATTAACACCTTGGTCATAATCCAGAAGTTACAAAGGTCTAAAAACTTGAAAAAAATCTAACAGGTTTTCAACAACATTTGCACCATTAACACACACCCCAGCTGATGTTAACATCAAACAGCCAATTAGTTTAACAGAAACTATTGTAACAGGAGACAAAAAACTAACATTAATTTTAAGAAACAATCCTCCATGCAGTATGCCCCCAAAACGTTTCTCATAAAGTATACTAAGATGTATGGCCATGTCCTTTTTTCAAAATAACTTGCATTCCACAGTTATTTTCCAACAGTGAAAAAAAAAGCTAATAAATTTAACAAAGCATTCTTTGAGGGAAGACTTACATGTATACCCGTCTCTTGCATTAATTTTGAACTTTCATTCACTTTGTTAGGGTCCAAAGTGGAGCATTTATTTAACCATTCCATGAGTGCATGTTGGATATGAGATGGCTATAATAATCATCCTATATCCAGCAAGCACAAGTTGAATATTGTTTCATTAAAAACCACCCACAAAATATCGAGAATTTGTCTCGATTTTATTTGTAAAATTTGTAATTTTGAGCAGATGCCTACAAGCTACCGTATTTGGAGAGCATGGTATAATGGCTCATGTACCATGATGGCTAAGCCAATCAGTGCTCTAGAATTGAATTATCCATTGATCCACTTTTTGATAATCTTTGATATTCAATGTTTTTTTAAAAAAAGTTTATGTAATTTACATTACTTACATCTGGTACTTTATAATCAGCAAGTTGCTGTTTTAACCTTGAATTTAATGCTTCAGCTTTTGCTCGCTCCTAAAACAAAATCCATAGTTTTTAATGCATGTATAAAGGTTAAGCTTTGGCCACTGAATTCATACATGGTAACCGTTATTTTCTTGTGAAAGAAAAAATATTTGGCATTCTTTAAAATAAAGCATATTAAGGTGAAGTTTACCTTCTCGACCATTTGTGTTTCTGCATCAATTTTAAACAGCAGTTCATTTCTTTGTGTAATCTCTGTTTTTAACCCAGATGATTCCAGTGTCAGTGTGTTCAGTTTTTTCTATAAAAAGGTTGAAAATAGTGTTAAACATGTAAAAAGTAACAAGACAATGTTTCGAAGTTTTGGCAACATCATGACACTAATATCAAGGAATAAAAATGAGAGTTCAAAATGAGTTAAAGAGTTCCTTGGTAATGGCATCGTTATGTCGCCAAAAAGTCAGAACATTGTCTTGTTACTTTTTACACGTTTATGTTTCTCAAAATTGTTATTAATTAAAAATAGTATTATCAGAGATCTCATAAATTACAACTCAGTGTACCTGTGGATAGCTTGGTCTTAGCCCTCTTATCAATCCAAAGAAAAACACACTTTAAACATATTTTGTGTAGAATGATCTGACTTATACATGTACAATGTTTAGATTATTGATGTGTCAATTCAACAAATGTAATTAAAAGTTTACTGAGAAAAACTACCCCAGTACAATAACAGCACAGAAAACTGCTGGATGCATTCTTGTGGAGATATGGTCAAATGAGCTTTTCCTTACCTTGTAAGTGTTAAGAATTTGTTGTACATTTGTGGACATGAGTTTGAGTCTCAAAAGATCTTGATTTTTTTCGTCAATCTTTTCCAGGTATTGCTGGTTTTCAATTTTAAGCTGATTAAAGTCCACTTCATGCAGGACTTCACCCATTTCTTCTTTCTGGAGATAAAAATGAAAATTCTTCATTTGTCAAGTACATTCTCCAGTTTTATCAAATATTTTGCTATTAAATTTATTTTTCAACAACAGTTTATTACATAAATTAATATAAAAAGGAAAAGTTACAAAAAAAAATTACAGAAATTGTAAAAAAGACTACAAAAATTATCAAAAAATAATGATAAACATATTTTGCCCATTATACACAAATTTATTGTTTATATTCAACGTCATGTTTTAGTTGTCATACACATGTACAAAGGCAAAGGCTACATACCTGTTTAAGTTGCATGTGAAGTTTTCTCTTTTGAACCTTAAGTGTAGAGTTCTTTAGTCTGAGTTTCTCTATTGTAGTGTCCTAGAAACAAATAAAACAATAAAGAAAAATATTAAATGATAAATAAATATTGTTTACCACTAAATTATGTTTTCTATGACCATGAAGCACTGAAGCTTACTATCAAAAGCAACCAAACTGGCACTTTAAAAATACAATTTAATCAAGTTATATTCACCCTTGCTCTTAGTTTGTCCTCAATATATTTTGTCACTCTTTCAGCAATAACTTTATTAGTTCTCTGTAAATTTGAAAGCAAAAAGAAGTAAAAGAATAATGATTATTACTGCATACACTATTCACAAGCATTAGCTTTCACTGAAAATACAAATGGTGACGGCTGATCAGTGTTGTACCTGGTTAACTGCTCCTTTGACTATATCTCTTTCAAATTCATAAGAAGACTTCTTAACCTCAGCACTTCTTATGTCTGCTTCCTCCATGACAGCCTGATGATGAATAAGTTACAAACTAACTTATAAAAACTGCTGACTATTGAGTACCAGCAACTTAACTTCTGTTAATATCTCACAGACTTACTCGGAAATTATCGAGGATCTTTTCTGATTCATCCTTAAGTTTTTCAATTTCATCTCGTAACTCTTCCAGTTCACGCTGAGCAATATCACACTTCTGTTCTGCTGTCAATTTTAAATGCCTAGTTGAAGGGCAAAAAAAAAACATAAATCACGGAAATGTCCAGATCAATAACATACATGTCCTTTGAAAACTGATGTAGTTTGTGCAGCTGTAATTAAAAGAAATAAGGTAAACAGCAAGAGAAAAGTACAGGATAATGAATGTCAGATCTACCTATGTAACATACAAAAAGACTTTCAGCAAGTCACTTATCCAACAGGGTTTATATGAAAGACGGAAATCACATGAAGGGGGGAAGAGAGTGAACAGGAGGGTAGTCCACATGCATGTGGCTAAATAAACAAAGTGCAATATGCAGTGTACCTGTCTAATGATGGTCCTCTTGATCGCGATCTCCTCCTTAGTCCTCTGTGTCCAGGCTCAATAATGGGTTGTGTAGGACCTTGGCTAGCTTTTATGGGATATAACACAAACTGCTTGTTATGTATCCAGGGAACTTGCTCGAAAATCAGTAAAAATTGGAGCAAATTTGGATAGAGATTTTGGGCACCCCTGGAATCCAGGTAGGTCTCCTACCACCCTGTTAGCACAGTCGGTAGAGTACTGGTCTGCTGAGCTGGAGGCCATAAGGTCTTCCAAAAAAACTGGTGCTGTGAGATCATACTAGCTGTGATTAAAACCCTTTCTCATTTGATTGGATGGGGTTATTTAGCCATAAGCCCTGTCTCTTTCACCCTAACGCATCAATCATTATCGGAAGAGGATATAAAAGAATCTGTGACATTGTTTGAAAATAATAGTAGGGTACTTAGGACCGGGTATTACCCCGTGTGTAGGGTATGGCAGAACTCGACGAGATCTTGTGCGTGCAAGGCCGTTTTTAGGCCCTTATTTCTTATATTTTATTTAAAGAACTCGTGTGTGCACCTGCCATACTCTTCAGACTGGGGTATTACGGTCTACCTGATTTGTGCTATCATTGGTCTGGGGTGGGTGAAGTGAGATCAAATATACGTGTAGGACTAAGGCGGCTGCAAAGTGTGCCTTTATGTGCTAATGTCCAATTTCACCTCTTTGGTTCCTCTGCAATTCAGCCACAGGCTGCCGGAGGGAGAAAACTGGCGCCATTTCCATTTCAAATACCTTTACATACATCACTATACTTAATCAATCTAGCTATTGCTGGAAACAGACTGTCCTAACAATTTACTTACCAGCCTGTTGCAGTCCAGTGTCCTTCGGATCAACTCTTTTAAGAAATTTCTCAAACATTGTTGTCTCGTTCTTAAGAACCTCGTTGGCGTGGCTGCAACAGAAATATCGAGGTAACTTTCGCTAACTTTCACAATCAAACAGACACACAGTTTACAGGTTAAGTTCTGGTTAGCTTCATAATTAAAGCACAACTAAGACAGCCCTTCAGTCTCGGATTTCAGTCCATAACATTTTTCAATCCCAAAGAAAATTGATTTCTCGGTTACAGCAAAATGTCCTGAGAACTTTTCGAAGTAATTCGACCATTGTCAGAAATAATGAATATCAATTCTACGATAATCAATACTTACAAAGTTTCTTGAACAAGATTATATAATTCCTCGTCTGTAAGTTCAGCCAGAGGCTCTTCATCATGGTCTAGAGAACTACTCACATCCACATCCGACATCGCCATTTTGATTTTTTCCTTTGCTTCTCTGGCGAATGTTTCCACGGTAACGAAGAGCGTACATCCAAACGAGGCAAGAGCTGCACATGTTCATGAAGTCGAGGCCGCACGTTCAGAAACGTTTGGCGGCCATCTTTGAGTTTCTCAAAGTTTTAGTAATTTTTTTTTATCCGGTTGCATCTGAGCTCTTCAGCTTGCAACCATGAAACTTGTTAGGTGAGTGAATCTATGAATGTATTTTGTACCCTTCTGAAGTTGTATAGCAATTATAACTCAGCTGATAAGGTATAAACGTTCAATGTTTTTGTTTGACAGATTTTTGATGAAGCTAAGCCACGAAACAGTGACGATCGAACTGAAAAATGGAACTGTTGTCCATGGAACTATCACTGGTAAGGATGTTACAGTGTAAAGGCATTCTTTTCAGCATGTGTGCTGTGGTTTGCGACGGCTTAACTATCAGCTTTTGGCAACTATCAAAATGAAAACTTTGGTGATAGTGTTCCAATTCCTAAAAGTAAACTTGCATTTGTAGTTCAAAAAATCATATAAAGTAAAGAAACTGTTGCTTCAGTATAATACTGCTGCAACATTGACATAAATTGTAGACGGAAGTAACTGTGGAAATTTCCTTGTGTTTTCTCAAACGTCCAAGTTTTCATCCATTAAAGACTCGTGGCATCATAGACCTCTTACGCCTGTATGTTTTGTTTTTTCAATACAGGTCATGTAACAATACTCTGGAGAACTGTTTCTTTCAAATTTCGTCTTATTTACATGCTTATCTACGCAGTAGATAAGAAGGGCCAAGTTCCCCTCTGGGAACTTGGCCAAGTTCCTCTCTTGGGAAAACAAAACATACAAGCTAAAGACGGCTATTTAGAATACCTTCTTCTCCCACAGGCATATTCTCTACACCAATCTCCATAAAGGTTGTGTAGTGAGCAGCATTTCTTGGTGGCCATCCTCTCATTCTTGACTTTAGTGTTTGGAGGAAGGGATAACTTAATGCTGTTCACTGAAGCAGGGTTTAAACATAACTTGAATTCTTGCTTGCCCTTGTGCCGTAAATGTGACAAAAGCTTTTTTGACAAGCAGCCCTCAAATTCTTCGTGTCTGGGTAGCTGCATTCTAGGGCTGTAACAATACGTTTTCTCATGATGTGGTACAGATCGCAATGATACATGATTCAATACATTTACGTTTTTGTGAATCTGTAGCGACCACTAAGTGGTACAGTGCTACAGAACAGTGCTTGTCCAACAAGCCAGCGCTGTTCTGTAGCACTGTACCCAACAGTTTTCATAGGTTATGACATAGGCAACAACATTAGCAAGCAAATTTGCGGTAGTAAGCTCAACTTAAGATTTTTTGACAGGGCATCAAGTAGGCCGTTTTGGTCATGTTAAGCATTAGCCAAGCATTTAAAAATTCAGTGGGTAGTAATTTTTGAGTTATCACTTCTCTAGGTGTTGACATGAGCATGAACACACACTTGAAAGCTGTAAAAATGACCATCAAGAATAAGGAGCCTGTGCAGTTAGAGTCGCTAAGCATACGAGGCAACAACATTCGCTACTTCATTCTTCCTGAAAGCTTACCTCTGGACACTCTGTTGGTTGATGATGCACCAAAAGCTAAAGCGAAGAAGAAGGAAGCTGGTATGTATGGTGTTGTTTTTCTATTTATATCACGTTTCTTTAAGATAGCGTGTTGCAGTCTTGTTGTTGAGAGCTACATCGATGTTGATCTTTTAACTTTCATGTACAGGTAAGATGATTGAGATGTATTTAATGATGTATTTATTTTCACTTTGCATTTCATTAAAAGTAACTGAATTTGAGTATTTCTTTTTCCTAACAGCTGCAAGAGGTAGAGGCCGTCTTGCGCCTGGTGGACGTGGTAGAGGGCGTGGCAGAGGGCGAGGAAGGGGAAGAAGATAGTCAGAGGAAGAACACAACTGTGTTGTGAAATTAAAACATCTTTGCCATTGGAATACTTTTTGAAAACTGGGAACTAAAAAATTGTAAAATCATTTCACAGCTGATTTATGCCTGCCATCAAAGAACAGTGTGAGGGAAGTTCCTTATGATTGTCAATGGCTTGTGTTTCACAGGCTCGTTAGCATTGATGTTTTAACTTCTTATTCTTTTCAGTCCAAGTTAAAAAAGGACTGAAATGATATTGTAAAGCACAGAGCTTCTAAATCAAGAAGGCAAAGCTGCATGCAAAACTTGCATGATACCATGATGAAAGTTTTGTGGTAGTTGTTTAAAAAGGAGCGATGTACTTTTGGCCCCTTTCTAAAAAATTTGTTTATACATGCATCCAACAATAGTTCTTTTGTTCTTTTCAGTAGAAAAGATGTAAATAAAGCTTTTGTATCAGTGACCAGAGTTAAGAGTTAATACATGTAGTTGTTTTTGTGTATAATAATGTTCCTTTTGTGGTCGTCATAAATTATCAGGATAAATTGCACAGGCATAAAAGAATGAAACAAAAAAGAAGAGAAAAACATTGTGGTGTGTTGGAAAGAAGATGCTCCACCTCCGTGAAAAATGTGTAGGTTGGCTAGCTACATGTATGGGTGGCCATTTTAATAACTTGGCAAATACACAGAAATTTGTGGTAAATGAAGATAATGATTTAAGCAAGATTAGGGATGGGCATGTAAGAAGGGGACTTGTATTCTCTCAATCCCTCGTGTTCCTCCAGTTCTCGTGGGTATGTTTATGCGGGCAAATCTCTCGATAGATCCTAGAGAGAGTAGGGAGGTGCAGAAACCGTTTAAATATTGCGGTAGCCTGCAGAACAGGCATTAGTTTTCTGTGCACATTTTTTAGGCAAGCATGTAGGCATAGAGTGCAAGATGTGCATGACAGAGGAGGCAATTTTTTGTGCCTTCCCCCATCATGTGTTCTTTGCGCTTGCCTGAAAAATGCGAAAACGCTTTTGGTATTGTGGTCGTGCTCTATCAGAGACTATTAATTTGAATGATGCGGTAGCCTGGGGCTATGCCATACTGATGAATCTTAACATGATCGAAACAGCTGTTCATAGCTGCCACTACAAGGGCGGATATGGCAGTGGTGCTTGCATAAGGTACTGAACATACTGCAGAGTTTAAAAGTGTTGCCCCTTGCTGAATTTTGACACATAAGTGCCCTAGACATGCGCTCATTGTTACTGTATTCACCAAACCAACAAAGAAAAAAACACATTTCGATACGCATTTTTTTCATACATCCTAAGCCTTAGCTGCCGGTGGAAGAATTAGTAGTGTCATATGACAGAAAAAACTGTTGCTTAGGAGACTGAGGGAGCTAACATAACTTTTAAAGCAACCACACTTCTAAAAGAAATATCCCTTTTTATTTGAAATCCCTTAAAACTATTACTACAGCAAAACCCCCCGAGGAATATTGTCCTATCATTAATTTTGTCATTTGTAGTTCCTTGAAATTACCAAGAACTGGGAATTTGTCACGGTCATTTTGGGAGGGTCATCAATATTTACAGGGAAATTTTTCGGCTATTTTCAGGCCAGTCATGGTAAGCTTATCTAAGTCTCTCGCCTCTTTCTATGCCTTTTGCTTTTATTTTGATGCCTTTAATTTTAAGAAAATTTGAATGTATTGGTACAAAAATGAACTGTCTAACACGGTGGCTGTTTGAAAGGTTCCAGTGCTTTGCATGGAAAAGTTCTTTGCCTTCTTTTAATGAACAAAACAACATTTCCTTTCTAAGCTTCTATTTTTTTATATCAGAAATGTTGATAACCTTGATGGGTTTTCTGTGGCAAGATACTGAGATTAACGACTACTTTCATTTCTGATTTGATACAAAACATGAAATCGATTTAGTCATTCACCTATTTTCCAACTTTACACTATTTTTAAGTTACTGGCAACTCTATAAGCACTGTAAGGTACAGAGATTTAGAAAAGCATAGTTTTCTACTAGGTTTTAGTAGAATTAAACCAATCAGAAACTCTATATAAAGAGCATACAAAAGTCGACATTCTAGCTGACCCACTACTTGCTGACTGATTCACAAACTCCTTCCATGTTGAACCAAGTTTTAACCAATAAGAAGGCTGAATGGAACTGCAACCTTTAGTCAAAAAAGGAAGAGAAAGCACGTTTACACCAACTATATTCTATGGTTGGCATACAAAAACTGTTGAAATGAGGGTAACGTTTTTGCTGGAGACCTTAGTTCAGTTCTAAAGCCTTACATTTTTACAGTTTTGTAAATTGGGTATCTTCTATTATGGCTTTGCTTAGCCTGCGAAAACATCCGTTTCTTCTCGCTCTTCGCCGCTAGGGACGTTTGAAACGGATGTTTTCGCAAGCTAGCCTTTGCTGGAATTTCTTTTTGTCAGACATGAGCAATCTAAAAATCGGAAACGAACAATTCAGCGAAAAAAAACTACTTCATGAAATATTTACTCTTAGTATTAAGTTCCTGCCCAGCCAGCTGAACTAAGGAAATTAGTTGATGCCTTAACCTTCCAAAATTCCTTTCGATCACTTGTGTTCTTTTTCACGTATACTGGAGTTCAGCGAGGACATTGTCACAATCCATGGTTGTGACCCGCAGAAAGTTTTACAGACAGATAAAAAATGCCAAAAGTAATGATAAATCAGTACTCCAAATATTTATACAGAATATTGCGTAAAAACCCCATCTAAATCTTTACGCTTGCTACGTTCTTTTCAACTTGTTTTTCTTAGATTTTAAATGTTCTATATCCCTTCCCGCCCCCCGCCTTCCCAGTGTTCGTAGATAGTTAGCATAATTATTAAATGGTAAGCGACTACGGTACGCTGCTGCGGCCGCCTGGCTCCAACTGATTCGGTGAAATCCTAGCTGATCAGTGGCTTGCGGTACCACAGGGTTCCTCACTTGAGGCAAGTATCCTCGGTTATTGGTATAATGATAGTAGTTGGCTATTGGATTTTCGTGGTAATTTGAAGGTACAATATAGTTACTATGGATAGGTTGGACGGCTGAATAGACTGACTCTGCTGCTATGTTTGCTTGCTGCGGATAAGTTCTTCCAACTTGTACCGTCTGCTTCGTATTTGGTACAAATTGATTGCTCTGTGGTTTCTGAACTTGCTGTTGTACTAACGACTGTGCAGCAAGAGTCAATACGGCCGGGTTTGGAGCAGGAGGAGCAGTATATGTCACCACTTGTGGTGCTACATATTTGACGGGACTCTCTGGTGTCACAGGAATGGACCCAAACGTGTAGGTTGGTCCGCGTGGGACTTGAGGAGAGCTAGAAGGAGACGTCTCAGGAACTGGAACCGAGTCACGTGGCTTATCAGGGTGTGCAATTGTTTGATGGTTTGGTTTCTCTTTAGTCCCATGTAAAATCAGCTGCCATTCTGTGAGAGTGCCATGATTTGGTCTGTTATCACCGAGATCCTTGATTTCTAGTGTCCATGTACCTCTGGGATCTTCACCCCAAGAGTGCGTAGTCATGAAAGGCCACTTTGTGAAGCCCTCATCTGAAAGGTCCTCTCTTCTAATGGACAACAGGCAGGATTTGGTTCCCATAGGAGATGTAAGGTATACTACAAGATCCCCACGTCGAGAGTAATCCAAACTAAGCAAGAGCTGGACGTGTTCCAGGTAGCGAATCTCGGCCTTAGTCCCTGAGCAACCATTAGAGTGCATCGTTATGTTCAGAGGCTCGTTGTATTTAATAGGTCTGTGGAGAGAAATTAACGACAGTGTATTCTTTGCTCTGATTTCTGGTTATAATTTCTTCCGATTAGCGTTGCCTATTGCCCAGCATACCATAGATCCTTATAAAGTTGCTCCATGGAGGCAGGGAGCTCCCAGAAACCTTTATTTTCATTAGCTTTTGAGCCTTTTATTTGGGTTATTCATATATTGTTCCGTAAGCGAATTAAAGAACTCGTTCTTAGAGCAGATAGGAGGCGCCCTTACGGTTGTTTTTTCGTTTAATGTGTTTACCGAATAGCTTACGTTCGATATTATGAAATTCTAACTTACTCCGAGGCTTTCTGGTCATTTGTCTATATTTGGTTTGGTTTTCTTTATGTTCATGTCTCTTCTGTCTATTTTGTCGCGAAAATATCTAACAATTCTATATAAAATCGGGAGAGGATAAAAATACAAATGTATCGAACAGATTTAGACGAACAAAGCACTTGCAAGTACAAAGAAACTGTGTTTAATTGCAAAGAAAAAGTAAAGGATTTAAAAACTCACTTGCGATCCTGGTTTATTTGTCCTCTACAAATGGTCTTTTCCGGAACGGTTTTAAAAGTATTAGGTTTGGCTAATTCAACGATCTTTTCTGCAACTAACAAACCAAAGCCGAACTTTCTGTTGACATGAAGACCAACTCCATTAGGGCTCCAGTCTTGGTCATGTTTTAGTGGTTCCCAGTTTGATGTCCATACTACAATATGTTGAACATCACGCCATGTCAAGCGCGGGCTACGTAAAACAAACAAGCAAAAACATTAAATCCATCGTACAACCTGGTTATGTTCTTTTTTACTTAACTGCGGGTAACTGTTTCACAAAATTAACGACCTTGGGCGGCGCTAATAATTGGTTTCGGTATTCCCCCCCCTCTCTAAATTTGATTCAGTCGGCGTAGGCTGGAGTAGGCGTATTGCAGCACTATTCAGAGTTAAGTTACTAAACCCTTCTTTATAAATCAGTACTGTCGTAAATATGACGTGTAAAATTAAGAGTTTAAGGAGTTTTTTTAAAACCCAATAGTTGTTAGAAGCAGGCCGTAATCCTGGATTACGTACAAACAGAACATATGAGTTGCCAAGGTAACTAAACCTGGATTTATGCTGATCATCTTTCGCAATTCGGCCCAGGTCGCGAACGAACGAACGAGACCATTCGACCGGTTATCTCATAACCATCCTATATTAGACATCAGTTTTAACCAGGCGATTGCTGTCACTTCATGAATCGTCCGAATCAACCTGCATCGCATTAGAGGGGTTCCACGTGACGTGCATGATCATTTCGATCGCCTGAACAGATTTTTAGACAACTGAGGTGATCAGTTACCTTGGGCACCAGAGGGTTTTTTTTTTCTCGCGAGCGGCAGGATGCTTCAACAGATCTTAAAGACTTGACGAAAACCAGAAACCGGGCATGAAAAAGGCTCTGGCAGCCAAGGTAGTGATCAGCACAATACGAACTATTATATTTTTTCTGATATGGAGATCAGGAATTGTAAGTCAATCAATCATAAAGTGCACAGTGGATGCAACTTGTAACGTATTTTATAAAGTAATACCAAGCATGCTCCTTACTTGACCTCCAACGCAAGCGCTATGATGCCTGCAGCCAGCGGTGCCGACGCTGAAGTTCCCGTATGTCTTTCAGTGCACACGTTATGTAAATCTGTTGTTACCTAAAAAGACAAAAAAAAAGCTCTAAAAGCAGCTTTAATTGCACGTGCCTTAATTCTTATTCAAACTTTTTTCCATTTTTCCTGATTAAAGCCAGAAACACCCTTTGAACCGATTTCCTGAGTTATGAGCAACTGGAAACCAGAAAACTACCGGCGATATCGCAAAATTATCGATTTTTTTCTTCTTGGAAAGAAGTTAGAGCGTTAAAGGATGTATACTTTAATTTTTTTTTTTTAAGATTAACATATCAGTATCTAAAATTGTAGGACAACTCACAATTCTTTTTTCTCCGTGCGCCCCACTGCTGAAGGTAGTAGCCAGAGTTGAAGAGCAGCTTTCTGAATACCAGGGTGATTCTCCGTGATCAGAAGCGGAACTTATTGACAGCGTATAAATACTGTCTGTATATCCATCACAGTTACAGCTGTCTGCATGTCGACCACCATTACCTGACGCCCAGACAAATATGGAGCCTAATCCACCGCGACCCTTTAAATGTAAACACAAGAAAGCAGGGCATCATTTTTGACTGATGGTTTGGTTATTGAATAATGATTAATTTTACTACTTGAAGTCTACAATTTCAATTCTGAAATAAGCCGATTACACCTTAGCCTGTTCCAGGCGTTCAGTTAATTGAGCGCGGGCGAAAAAATTGTTTAGGAAAAAAACGAGGCGAGACTACTCTCGCCCCAGTCACCCCTCGTTTTTCTCCTCGTATTCCCCGCGTACGATTTAATTCGCTTCCGCAATGTGAACACCTGGAACAGGCTAATTAATCCTCAGTATTAAAGTCAATGTATAGATCTTGAAAGCCGTCATGAGATGCTAGATGGGTCCTTATTTTTCCCGCCTGTTTATTAAATAAGAACTCATTCCAAAGAAGTAAGGGATTAAAGGTTGGACCCTAGACGATATTTGTTTAAAGTTTTTTCTCTTAATAAGCGTCATAGGTACAGTAGCAGAAAGCTTGAGATCTCTGTGCATGATGAAGTTCAGTGAAAGCAGTACCTTTGTGATGCCATTTTCAAACGCAGCAGCAGCCAAAGTCCCAGGTCCCTCGACCGTGGCTCCGTCGTCACTAGGCCCCCAACTGGCAGAATAGATATCGATGAACTGAGGATTGAGGCTCAATGAGGCAGCTTCCACTTTATCAGTCACACGTCCGTCGAGCATACGTACTCCTGCGTAAAAACGGTTAGTTGAAATGACGAAATTGACCAATGGAAGTATAATATCTGATAATAAATCCGTCTCGAATTCCCGACCAGAAATTAATTGTTGAACGCAAAAATAACTTTTAAAAAGAATCTAAATAAACCCAAAGAATACCCAGCAACCCAGGCGGCCTGTTGGCGACGTTATTCTCTAAAATTTTGCTTTTGTCGCAGTGACTTACAAATCACTTCCTAAAGGTCTCAAAATTGTTTCCCCAAAGACTTAAACCATGTCACTCATGTAGCTGTAAAGATAATTCCCGATCATTCATATTCTTGGAGGTGTGCGAGGTTTCTCTTTGTCTCTTGTTGAATTTGCGAAGAAGGACGAAAAAACACTTTATTCTCTAATTTCACTTGCCAAGTACATTCCCAGGTACTATCTACTTAGTTGATTCATATGTGAGAATATGTCACCTCCTATCTTGGCATTGTAGGCCACACCCACTCCGCACACTGAATTGTTCGCTTGAGCCGCAACTTCTCCCGCACAGCGGGTACCATGCCTATAAAAGAGAGGTAACAACGGTCACACTGTGAAAAACAATGACTGCATGACTATGGTGGTATTGACGACTCAAAACGCTGCACTTTACGCATGGTTTCTCCCCAGAGAAATCGTAGTCCAGCAGCCAAGAAATCAATTAACAGGATTTCGTCCAAGTTACAAGAATTTCACTAGTGCTAGTTAGTTGCACTTCGGATGCATTTAGGAAGTACGTGAGCTATTGATTAACGAAAGATTGTTTAATTACGATGAGATTAAGTGGTAAGAAAGGGCAGAAGCCTATGGTAAGGCTGACTAAAGGACCTGGCATTCACCAATTTGTTTCTAAATTTTCAAGCGTTCTGACGCAAAGGAACAAGAACGGCCTGACTGACTTAATTAATCCATGATGTACATCTATCAGTGCTGGAATATGTTATAATTTACTGCCTTCTAATACACTTACTTATTTTCGTTTGTTGGATCATATCGAGGGAATGGATCTCCATCCTCACCATTTACGTCCCAACTCGCATCAGGATCCTGTGAAAATGAATTCACATTACTGATCATATCTTCTACAGTTTTAATATCAAAGTAAAATCAGTACAAGTAAGACTAATTTCTACTTACGTAATTTCGCATGAGATCCGTATGGTTGTGCTCAATACCTTTTGATATAACGGAGAGGAAACTTATTAGTTTAGGTTATTGATCAGGACAGTGCATGAGTCTGTATAGTAATGACTTACTACAGTGTTGATTTTCTTCGGTAATGCCGTGAACCAATTACTTCGAATTGAAGAGTGATTCAAATAAAGGTGTGAAAATGAACATTAACGACTGATTATCCCGCCAAATACCGTGAAGCGCAATTTAAAACATGAGGATGCCATTGCAGCCTCTCGTAACTGGTCAGCTTGGTAACCTACCATCATCCAGAATGGTAACGACCACGCCCTTTCCGGTGATGCCTTGGTTCCAGACAGGAAGCACGTGTATGTCAAGATCTTGATCTGCACGCTTATCATCCTGTGTAAAAACACATCGAACATTTTAACTCGGCTTCGAAAGGTACTGAGTTTCTGAAAGGAATGTTTATAGGTTAAAATATAAAAGTATTATCAACTGTTTAACAATCAAGTTTAAAAACACCAACACGTAACTTAATGTTTTTAGAAATGATAAAACACGTTGAACTGCGAGTTTATTAATTGCAGAGCGTCAAACGCTTCTCTGTACTTACAGATCTGTCAATCTTTTCAGTAATTTTGTGGTTAGGTGATGTAAGTTACAAATTAGCTTGGCGAAGAAACAAATTAAAATCAGTTCAATCTCAATTTGTTTATTGTTTCATGGTTACGTAAAGAACTCATTATTACAAAATAAATATGAACACAGAAATCTGTTACATCAAGATTGTAGGATATACCAAACCCACTGACGACTTAATTTGATAGTGATGCCCCCTCAAACATGCTTAAAAGAGGGAAGCTCTAGTTAAAAGAGAGTATACAATCAGCCTATCAAGTATTGTGAGACATGAGGTTTCCAGACAGAAAAAGATGTTCAACCACAGGCTTACCAGATACCACTGACCGTCCCAGAGAGGATCATTAAAACGAGGCACAATTCCCCGTGCTGTCATTCGGTCATGGAAGTGGCCTCTCTTCACGCGAATTTTCTCATGTTGTTGTTCCGCCCACACAACCTGCAGTAGAAAGGTTATTATTATTATTATTATTATTATTATACAAACTGACATTGATTTACGGCATATCACACTGAACGTGATAAAAGTTTAGGAATTTAAAACAAGTAAAAAAAAAACACGGTTATTTTAAGTTCTCAAATCTTCCCATATCAGGGAAAAGAAGAAGAATTAAAGAATAGCAAAAGAGTTTGTTTATTTCACCATAGCTGTTTTTCAAGAGATTCTTTGTTGTAGCGGGCCTGTGTAAGCACCCGCTTCGTGGAGTGCGCAAGTTTGCACGAATAAAGAAAAATTTTTGGTGAAAACATGGTAGAACCAAAAAGTGTTAAATACTAAGTAATTACTTGAGGATCTTCTATTAACAACTGTGTCCGCTCATCTGCACTCCGTCTTGAGCGATGTGGTTCTTCAGAATGCACCAAGTGGAAAAAATTGTCCAAGGTACCAATCTACATATTCAGAAATAAAGATATCTGGTTTAATTTCTATCATCTAACAGGTTTTTGGTAAAATACGACTAACGCATAAAATTGCCTGCCTACATAAATTTCCATAAACATACCATTTATTTATTTTCAATAAACTGTTGCTAAATCAAGCAATTATACTTTGCTATGGTACAACTTCATTATCTTTTCTGTAAGACAACCCTGCAGGTCTCTATAACAGTCAAATGCGATGATCTGTCTACCTAACACATATACACCAGTATAGTACTGTCACTGAAGTCAGTGCAAGCCGGCAATGGTACTAAAAGAAAATCAAATGTACGCGGGAGGCGTCTCTTCTAGGTCATATGTCAATCAGAAACGCACAAAAAATTTCAAATAAGCGCTATCCATCTTCCATATCCATGATCAAAGTTTGTTGGAGAATACTACAATGCTTGTTTTTTTTTTGTTCATGTAACGTTTTCAATATGTATTGTTGAACGGCGGGAAAACAATCTTTCTACCATTGTATAACTTCAAATGCCTGCATGTTCATCAAATCTCCACAACAACCAAACGTTTTTGTGTTTTCAGAACAATTTTAAAAATGTGTTTGTCCTAAAAGCATGAAAAAGCAGTCAGTTCAAATCTGAGTGAGGTTTTTGAATCACTTTTGGTTTATTTCAAGCATTTTTCCTCGTTTAGTGGGTAATTAACCTGTCTTTGCTCAAGGTTAACACATATGACATGACAAAATTGATGTATCGCGAAACAGAGTCAATTAAAAACTCTCATTAATTTTCAAAGGAAAATTCGCATGCAAAAAAAATTTTTAACTTACAAGTGGAATCTGGAACTCTAAAATTGTGAGTTTTTAAACCTGTCAACAACGCCTTGGCGTCGCTGAATGAGTGACAACATTGAAGAACTGTCGGACAACCGTAATGAAGTCACCGAATAAAAAAGCTTATTAAATCCGAGGGAAGAAAACTGATTCTCTCTTCCCAGTACAGATTTCGTGTTACATTGATGGCCTGCAAAGCTATTTCCACTCACTGAACTGAGAGTATACACTTGGGCTTTTATTTCGACATGTGGCGTTATTGGTTTCCACCCTTGGAAACATCATGTCCCAATCAACCAGCTCACAACATTTATTACCAGTAAACTTGTGGCAACCAAAAATCCCTTGATAGTTTATCCAAGAAAGTAGACAGTTTTTTCGCATAAAAGGCACAAAGTATGAATTTATTGCTTTCAACTCTTGAAAAAATGGGATTTATTTTATAACAAATCAAAAAACACGACTAGGGAATAAGGAGATTTATTGACCGAGTATTTGTCTGACCTGCCGGGTGGCCAGTGTTTAAGCTAGGCAGGGTAAAGAAAACATAATAATGGAATTCTATATCAAATAAGACCGGCAAGTACTTGTCAGCCCTTCAAAACATGCTGGGCAAAAATCATTACGACCCCGATTCTCTACCTAGCACTCACCGGTTCAACTTTGTCAAATCCATGAGATCTTGCGATTCTTTTGGCAATTTCAATACCGCCCTCCACCTTTATCGCCCATCCGTTGGTGAAGACTTTTCCGGCGTTTTTATCAAGCGGTAGGGTATATCCATTTGTCTTTGGGGGCCACGCTGTTAAAAGAACACATAATATTACGTTGGCGAGGCCCCAAGACCGTACAACTCGAAACATCGCATCGCTCCCAACTTTTTCGTGGAGAAACTCTGATGTAGAGTGGAAGGAAAAATCCGAGAACTTTGGCTATTTATTATTAACGTCAACGGATGTTTGGCTGGTTGCGAAGGTCATCTTTCCTGCAAATGGCACCTGTCATTGACTGTTATTATCAATTGATCTTTATCGCCCGTGAACCAATCACAGAGCACTGACGTCATAAGAGGGAAAAGCCATATGCAGCCATGTTCAGCTGAACAATCATGTTGTAGGCTTATTGAGAATGGAAATAACAGAAAAAGGTGAAAAGGGAAGAAAATAAGGGATAATCGTATTTGGAGAGTACTCTAGTGGCATGTTTTGATGGACGGTTTAGAAAAGAAGTTTCATTTTTTCAGAATTTTGTGGGACTGGCCAATTTCACTCTCGAATTGAATCATGCAATTTGTAGGAACAGCTGATTTTTGAGACCCGGCCAACCATTTGCATTGACGCACAACACCGTCTTTTTAATGAATTTTTGCTTCTTAGCCAGTTTATCACAGAAGTGGGAGTACACAAAACCAAACCACATCCCTTCAGTATTTTTCTATATTTAAATTGTCCCTAAACTGAAAATACCAAACGTAAAAACGAAGAGGACGGGTGCCACAACAATACAAACATGAGCTATAAAGACTGACTTGATCGGGCCTCAGACATAACAAAATTTCTTACTGTTGAATTTCAGCGTACAAATTTCTCACGTCGTCTGTTGTACGACACTGATAACACTCTGATAAAAAGATTGTCAGCAAGCCAGCTGTACCCTTAGTTGAGAAAAAATGCTTTTAACGAGACAAAAATAGGCTAAAAGAGCACCTGTTTGGTGGCAAATATCAAACATCATGAAATCCTACTGGCTGTTTTATTTTTAAAGTTTTTTTTTGCGTCTTAAAAATACCTGTGGTAGCTTGTGGTATTTTGATAGGATTTCTTTGGGGAGTTGCATTTGAATTTTTTCTCCACAACCAAAAGAGCTCACGAAGAATATCATTTGGGAAATAATAAAAACTGTCATTTCGGAGAAGTTTTTCAAGACCAAACGTTTTTCGGGCGTGAAATCATAGTCGTCTTACCGCAGCATAGGAAAAATGTCTTGTCTTTTTGAAGCCTTCTTTAGCTCATTGTTAAAAGGTCCTTAAGTGTTCGCACCTGATTGAAAACAAAGTTGTAGCAAATTTAATTCTTCCCTCTCCACGCCTTTCGACTCCATCATTCCTTGCCCGTTTAATAAACCTATCAAACTGTACAGTTGATTCCAAAGAGTTTTCCTGAACAATAATGTACAATCCTCACATATCCCAAACGTTTCCCTCACGATTTACTCATCTTCTCGATGTGATGGACCACCGAAGTTGAAGCTATTAAGAGAAAATCTTTCCCATCACATTTTTGTTATAAGGCGAAATTACTTTAAGACGGAATCCACCAGGAAATTGAGAAATTTTAAGTTCGGTGGACAAAAACCTTGTACCAGAATAATTTAAAGAATTTGCATATTGCATTCTTTTTTACATTTTCCAAGGGCTAAAGATGTAATTAGTCATCTGTAATAACAGCAAAGAAAATTTCTCATGGGATTCCGAGAAAATGAATGTCAAATTTCACAAGAATTGTGAAAATACGGGCAAAATTCTGAAAATTTCATGTTTAAGATGTAATTTTGTGAAGTTTAACATTCATTTTCTCGGGCTCCCATGAGAAATTTTCTTTGGTGTTATTACAGATGACTAATTACATCTTTACTTAAAAAATTTAAAAAAATGCAGTATGCTTTAAATTATTCTAGTACAAGGTTTTTCTCCACTGAAAATTAAAATTACTCTATTTGCTAAGGTAAGAAGTTGATGAACGATTTCTTTCCTCGTTCCCAGGGTCGAATGGCAACGAGGTTGACCTTTTTTTTGTCAGCGGCTGCTACCTATCGTTTGCCAGCTCATGCTTCGATTTCAAGATGGAGGACGTAGAGATGTATTCTGATCATTTACTTTTTAACAAACGACAGCTTGGACCGATCGGTCAACACACAACGTGAGTTCAAGCCTTATAACACGCATTTATCTACGCCATTCTCAACTATTTTTCGCCATTTTCGCTCTCAGTGGGCCTATTAATCAGCTTTATATTCTTCCTTTATCGAAGACTTATTTTTAGGTTTATATTTATTTTACAACAATTTTAGTTTTCTTTATTAATGGTGCCAACGTTTTGATTTCGATTACTGAGATTGCTGTGAAAGAAGCTAAGTATTCTTTTCAAACCAAGTGTAACTTGATTCTTCAATATACATGCAAATATGCACCGTCAAAAATGCTATCGTCTAAATATTTACTTCTGGGCAGGTGTGGGGTCTATAATTTGTTCCGAATTATTCACTGATTATTAAGCTTTTGATGAATCGTTTATAAAATCGTGTTGATTTTTAGGTATCCTTAGGGAAGTGGGTGTTGTGGCAGGCGTAATTTTTTAAATTGTCTTTTATAGGCTGATGCTTACGTATATGCCTTGAGTTGATAAACGGTGACTGTCCCAAATAAGAACAGACAGAACTGTATTAACTGTACAAAGTACACCTTTACTGGCTTCAGACACAATTGCAATGTTTCACTCTGCAGCTGTGGCTTATATGCATTTTTTAGAAGTGGACCATTTGCTGCTTTGACTGTGCTAATATACTCCCTGTTTGCTCCCCAAATGTTACACTTGTAAGCATTGTTTCAATTTCTTTTGGGGTGACCGGAATAGTACCCAGGAGGAATTGGAAACAATGGTTATGGAAAGTTTGGGCGGGGGGAAGAAAAATGGTGAATTGTAGGCAATGCATAAGTGACCAGTCGTGGGGACCCAAAAAATCCCCAAAGCGGGTTTTATTGCCACATTTTTCTGTTTTTATTGTGGGGTCAGACCATTATTAAACATCTTATATGCATACAAAGAATGACATTCACATATTTTCAAAAAATTTCAGGGAAGGAGATTTAGAGAAATCAGCTAGTTATTTTTCTCTCAATCTTTATTTTTAACAGGACCACACCATATGTGATAGCACTGGTTGTTGCTAAGTTTCTTCATACCTTTGGATTATATGTGACTTATGAGCAGCTTAAAGTTTTCCATGTTGTACAGTTCTTATTTATTGTCAGGCTTTGGTATGTTCTATCCAGATCAACTTCATTTTATCACAATGTGACATGCATTATTATTATTCAGTTCATTAATAAATTATTATTACTCAACCTTCATTTTGCTGATTAAAGCAATTATTTGGGAAAGATGTTTTTAGGAAATAAAGCCCAGATTGATGTATTTATGAAGTTGTGACAGAGTTATTAGGGAACTTAAGAACCACGACGAAGTTCACGACGACGACGTCTGTTGACTGGGAAAGGACTGGACGGAGAACGTCAGTTTCGGCACGAAAAAGGAAACTTAAGATGCAGTCCATCGATAGGTTGACGACGACGACACTGAATGTAAACAAACACGTAGAAGTAGTACAACTGTGATGTTCGTTCGCAACAAAGTTTTTTTGCAAAGGCGTCTTTTAAGACGATGCAAGATCTTATTTTATAAGCCGTACGTCTACTTTCTTTGACGATGAAGAATTTTTAGTGTTGTCTGACCTTTTCGAATGGAAAAATCTCTGCTTTCCGTACGAAGGTTATTCAACTTTCAACCTGAATGACATGACAGAGTCCGAGTGTCTGTCAGAGTTTAGATTTGGAAAAAGAGACATTCCGATGCGATAGCTGTTTTCCATATAAAGTTCATTTCCTCTATATTAAAGATATATGATTTGCCTGACCTAAATACGTACAAATATATTTGTCACTTACGAGTTCGCTCGCTCGGCCTGCACAGCTCAGTGTTGTCTTCGAAGTAAACACAATTCATCAGTCAAATTTTCAATCAACATCGCTTGTTAGCAGAAAAAAGAAAAGATACCTGGATTTACGAGGTGAAAAAAATACAAAGCCCTTGAAAAATTGCTTAAAAACGGGGAGTTATACCTGCCGAAGCTTGTGGACTGCAGGACGACGTGACTCTACTGTGTTTGGTGTCGTCGACGACACCACGACGACGAAATTTGTTAACCGCGCTTGTGCAGTGCACGGTATCTCACTTCCGGTCGTCGTCGTGGTTCTTAAGTTCCCTATTACTTAGCCTGTTCTCCTGAAAAGGGCTGATGAGCAAAAGTGTTCAAGACTGTAACATGATGCTCTGTTCTTGTAATAAATTATTTTGGGTCTGAGATTCTTCGTCTGTCTCCTTTCTTCTGTTCAAATCCAAGTCAAATGAGAAACTTGTGTCATGAGGATGTGTAGAAATGTGGCCTTCACATTTGTACCACCTATTAAGATGACTTTAATTTGTGTTTTTTGCCTGTTCACAGCTCAACTGTTATCCTTGTAATATTACAAAGGCCTGTCTCATCAGGAAAGAAAATAACTCCTAATCAGGTAAACTTGTTATAGTTCTTATGCATTTTGTGCATATTGCTTTCATTAAAATTCTGCAAATCTGCTGCTAAAATGTATATTTTTTATGTTAATTTTCAGTGGTACAAGATAGGAAAGCATGCTATAGCATCAACTGTAATAAGTTTAATTTGGCTTGAAGGTCTTTCTCTCTGTGGGGCATTAAGGTAAAAATATTTGAACAATAACATATTTAGTCACTCATCATTAAATTATACCTGTAGACCGACAGATAGCCTATATTTTGGCACAAATAAAAATAAAAACTCTTCAGCTCGTGGGGTCTTGCAAAAATATTGTAAAACTATTATGCAATAACTAAAAAAACATGTTGAAAAGCTCTGTAAATATAGACAACCATACACCCTTTTTTCCTATTATAAATTCCCCTTGATAAAATTAAAATCTGGTAATCTAAAATTTCCCACTGTTAACACTCCTTGTTTCTCCACACAGAACAGTTTTATTATTTGAGCATAGTGATGTAGTTGTGTTAGCTGCATTAGGAGTGCTCTTCCATTCAAATGGTACTGGCCCATCAAAGGTATTTATATTGTTTGGTTTTTTAGAAGACATTTCTTATTTTTAACATCTGTGAGTCATTACAGTGCAGTGTTACATTTAGACATAGAACGTATGAAGGAGTAGAAGTGTTACATTGCATGAACTTTTTATGTAGTGCAGTTTGAGGATAAGAGAAAGTAAATCCAAAACCATTAGCTGGTCTTAGGTTTGTCTTGGTACATCTGCATGTGATCGTCATGCTTATGTCAGCATTTGACGGGGATTATTATTACTTACATTATATATTACATTATATCTTACTTACACATTCGTATTTTGAACAAGTTTTCTGGCTCTTTGACATGAGGTGTCAAAGTAAGAGATTGATTGATTTAGAAATGTTGTTTTTTTGCCTTTTTTAGGTCAGAGGATCAGTGCTTCTTCTTATTGGAATGTTGTGCCTTCTTCTGTTTGATAATGATGCTCGCAGTCTGAGTCACCGTATCCTTATTAAATTTTTTGCTTAAGTATAGCGTTTGTTGTAACTACCACTTTACATCCTACCTACATTTTTCATACCATAATGCAGGTCAAGGAACATCAAAGTCTGTGTATAGTAAAGAAACTCTTTCCTTAACTTGCTCACAGCGGAAGGTCAACATCACAGTCAGTGGGTTCATTATTATTACATAGCATTATCTCGACTTGGTTTACCAGATCACAAGGTAAGTGCTTCTTTAAAGCATGTAATATTGCATCATGTCAAACTAGTGCATAGTGATCTGTATTTGAATAATTGTTTTTTTAATTTCTTTGCAAAGGGTGGACTTATTCTTCTTGTGTTGGTACTGTTGTGTAAAATTGCACATAAGAATATTTCAAGAACATTAGCAGTGGAAATTGGAGGTGAGCCATGGGGAGTGTGGCATATGATAGGTAGTATGGGATCAGCTGTCCTTGCATTTTTTATCACCAGGAATACTGTATTTCTGTTGAATGCTTGTTCTTTTGATTGCTAGGTGGAAAACGACTTGCGGCTCTTTCCAGTTGTTTATCTTCAGTGATTCTTCTGCCTTTAGCCTTGTTATCATATTTTACCCAGGTATTTATTTATTATCCTTTGTTTCTTCCTCTTGCAGTACACAAACCACTGGTAGACCTGCATTCTTTTCCTTGCTTTTACCATTATACCATGATAGCTTTATAGGTGCAGTGTACTAGTTGATAGGTGTCCTTTAATTTTCCAGCAGGTATTCAGTGAGAGAATCTAAGTGAATAAATGAGAAAAAGGAATGGAAAAATGTGGTTTTCAAGGGGAGGAACCATTGTTGTAATTGATGATAAGCACAGCCAATTTAGACTCTAGATGACTACTGCCAGGTTGTCAAAACATCAGTCACTGTCAACAACAACAGTCCTATTCAGGACTTACGTTCATCCGGACAATCATACTCAACCTACTTATGAGAACTAATTTTATTTACATTTTGTTTGTTCATACAGACGACAGATGTTGATTGGACGGAAGCAGTAATCCCATTTGCCATTATTGTATTTCTTGTCTTTATATTTGACTTTTACATTGAGTCCTTCTGTTTGGCCAAACTGGAATCCACCAGAACAGGCAAAGTTGGTTCCATTGCATCATTTTTATCTGCTGTTATTATATCATTTCTTTGGGATCAGCCCTGGGCATGGAGCATGCATGAATGGCATCACGGCAAACCATCAGAACCTCATCTTGTATCTGCAGGAACCTTATTTGCAGCTTTCTTCTTTGTGCTGGGTGAGTGGTTTAATGCAAATATAAGCTCACTCCCGTCAGCAGGCAAATGAAAGGTGGAGGGAATGACCCCCTTAAGTCAAAGTAAATGAGTTTTGACTATCAAAGTTCTTTTCCTATTCCAAATGGCCTGAATTTTGGCATGAAACATGGATGACTATGGAGCATCATATACACAGTTGTCACTCAAAGCATTGACTTCATGGCTTCACTTAGGCATTCTTTTTGTGGAGTGATCTCTTGACTTATGGGTGACACTGTACATTAGGTTTGGGTGGTTCATCTAGTGGGACATTTTCATAAGTTTCTAGAGCTGACAGCTTCTAATGGTTAAGTTTTATTGTATTTATTGAACTTAGTGCATAAACTAGCTGTTACTCCTGTAGCCCTTTCCATTTACTGGATTATTGTTAAATTTGAACATTTATGTTTCAGCCACAAGATTACTATCCAGACCTTCGCTGCGTATGACCAAAGGAAATCTTATCGGTTATACCACAGGCGGCCTTCCAATCTACAACTACCAGACTCCTCAGTCTGTACTAAACACTGTGCAGAGTCTGCTGCGGCAGATTGTAGAACAGTCAGAATCAAGGCAGATCTTCTATTTTCTCTGCCTCAATCTGGTAAGCAAAAATTCTGCCTATCAGCCAATAATCAGTTTTGGCCCAATTCTTTTTTCTGTTGGCTAAAAAATTATGGCGTATATTGGAGTTAAATTTGTGGGACATTCATTGTTTGGTCAGTAAGAAATGGTTAATGCAAAAGTTTTGAATCCTAGTGTTTAGATTGTGTACGAATCCTCTATCACTCTTCAGTTACTGCTCCAATTCCCTTGGCTTTGTTATATACTGCAACTTAGAAAGCAAATCTGTGCTCACTCCAACAAATCTATTGGCATGTTATGTAATTCTAGTTTGTTGTCTATTAAAATTTCCAGTAGGTCAGCATGATCTACTGTTTTTTTATGTTTTGTGGAAGTAACTCAATGTCAACCATTTATCATGTTGCCATTGGTCTAAAAGTGAAGTACTTTTGTCAGTTTCAGTCCTCAGGGCACACTCGTTTCTTCATGTATGACATCAGGAAAGGATGTCTTATATAACATTGCTGTTATCACTGCTATTCCAGGCATTCACAGGTGTAGAGCTGTTGTATGGTGTATGGACTAACAGCCTCGGACTCATATCTGATGGTTTCCACATGTTGTTTGACTGCACTGCACTGGTGATCGGACTTTGTGCTGCACTGATGGCGAGATGGAAGGCTTCAAGAACATTTTCATATGGGTATAACATGAAATATTAATGTTATCCCTAACATGTAGACAAACATTCAGCCATCCCTAGAAAATATAACAAAGCGATTCACAGCATTTTTATTACAAATTTTTTAAACTTCTTCTTTTTGCCATACCTTTCTTTGCTTTGTATGTACAATACAAATTTTGAGTATTGTTAACCTTGAGGTTTATTCGGTTTTAAGTCTCTTTTATTTGTTTTTAGATATGGCCGTGTGGAGATTTTATCTGGCTTTGTTAATGGCATATTCTTGATAGTAATCTCCTTCTTTGTGTTCATTGCTGCTCTTCAGCGTTTGTTTGATCCACCAAATGTCAACACCGAGAGACTATTGGTAAGAGAAAATCTTGATCAGGCTCTCATGAGTTCATTTTATTGCATTTCTACGATATAGACTGTATGGTTTAGGCCGAACATTGAATGATCCGAAAAAAAAAAGTGAATCTAACTTTCTGCATGTGAAAGTATGTTACACATGACACAGAATTTAAGTCCATTGCTATCATAAAATTGTACCAATTATTAATCAGTAAGTTCCAAGCTTACCCTTCACCCAACCTTGTAATGTATGTTACTTGGGCATTCTTGTGATTTTTTCGTGTATAAGCTGCAAATGCCCCATGGTGGGGCCATTGATATCAATTTCATTCAAAAAGCTTACCATGGGGTTCATAAAATGTGAACAAATACTGTTTGCCATTTGTTTTATGTGAAAAATATTTATTGTTGTAGGTATGTTACAGTCAGGGCAGATCAAGCATACCCCCGAAGATTGCATTAATGAATTTATTATTTTGAAGGTTGAATCCATTGGTAGTTGTAGAGTTCAGTTTCATCTCTGCACTCCTGCATGCGTAATGAGCAGTGAATTCACACGTGAGGTAGTCATGAAATTTCTTGCAGCTCAGTTTTCTTGAATTTGATGTAAATGTCTTTAAAAAAATAATTATTTAATCCATTCAAAGATTTTTCAGGAGTTATCTTCAAAAATTCACTGCTCATTATGCATTCAGGAATGCCGATTTGAATTTGAGACTGGTTGCAACAACAACTAATGGATTCATTTTTCAAATAATAATTGATTCATTAACACAATCTCGGGTGGTATGCTTGATCTGCTGTGACTGTAAATGTAAATGCAAAAATGTGAGTACTTTGCAAGGAAAAAGGAAAGGTAGCCATTTAAAACCTGTATTCAGTTGGGAATGAAATCTGTTGGTATTCTCTGCTTGTGTCCTCTGACCAGGTTGTGTCTGTCGGAGGACTTGTGGTGAACTTGGTAGGCATTTTTGCCTTCAGGCATGCACACTCACATGGCGGCAGTTCCCATGGTAACAGTAACCATGGCCACAGTCACCATGGTCACAGCCATTGTCATGGCCACGGGCAAGGTCACACTGATGAGGATCATCATCATGATCGCAGTGTAAATATGCAAGGTAGGTATTTATATAACACATATTAAAACAAAACTGAACAAGTCAGGTATCTAGTAAGGTTTTGAAAGGGAGTCGCGTGTGTGTGACTAAGGTGTGTTCGTCTTTTTTCATTTTGTCTCAACCAGTTTTGTCAAAAAGTTGTTGATCTGGCTACTCGAAATTGAAGGTTAACAACTTGTCTTGTTCATGGTACACGGTAACGTAAGCAGCTGCTGGCTTGGTTGATGCGTGAATTGTAAAGATCCGTTACAAGATTACAAGATTATTTCATTAGTGGTGTTTATCTTGTACAGTATCATCAGTGTTGAGTTTATTTTGAATGCCGATGTTCTCGTTATTTTACAGGAGTATTTCTTCATGTTGTCGCTGATACCATGGGCAGTGTTGGAGTGATAGTATCCTCAGTGCTAATTGAACAGTTTGGATTCTTTATAGCAGACCCTCTATGTTCGTTATTTATCGCGGCTTTAATATTCCTCAGCGTACTTCCTCTACTTCGCGAATCATCCCAAGTGTTGCTGCTTAGAACACCTCCCGAACTTGACAAAACTGTCGGCAGCGCTTTTAATAAGGTTAGTTTTTACTTGTATACCACGATTCAGCCCTGATTTCTTCTTTTACCCTTAAGCTCAGTAAAACAGGCAGCCAGTAATCTACCTCACTGTTGTGACCATTGTAGATAGTTGCTGATGAACAATCTCCTTATGTTGCTTGACCTTAATTTTTAATCGTACATTTGCTTTCAGTAATCCTTATTTATTTTTTTTTTGTAATTGTTGTATGCGCGACCCCTCCAGCAATGCTGATCTTTTTATCGTGTTAAAATAAAGTTCTTATCTATCTATCTACCTTGCTTGAGTAGGCCAGACTGAAATTTGGGATAAATTTCATATCCTTTGCTTTTTTCCGTATTTCTCCATTTGTTATGAAGTTTTTTTAAAGTCTTGTTATTGAAACCAGTATACCGGAGAGCAAAGATGATCATTCAATTTTTACTTCCATGTTTATTTTTGTTTGTTTGTGTTGTTTTTTTTATAGATTTTATCTCTGGATGGAGTTCTCTCGTACCGAGACCCCCATTTCTGGCGGCACTCGTCTGACGTCATAGTTGGGTCAATTCATGTTCAAGTTGCACCATCAGCCAATGAACAGAGAGTTATTCAAATGGTAAGTACCGGTACCTGAGCAGAGTGTTCTTTCGACAACTGGCTAGTGTTCCTTGTTTAACAAGTTTCGGATTTGAACGGTCATTCAATTTGTTCTGTTTACAGTGAAACCTGTATTATACACACTGGACTATCTCTTTTGTCTGCCTGGAATCGTAAGGGGAGTCGTTGTAAGAACGGTTATGACCTAGTGAAAATCAATAAGCGCGACGGAATCGGAGACGGAAGAGCCAGAATGTTTCCATTTTCCCGAATCTGCATACGACTCCTCGATTACAGTCTAGTGAAAACCAAATTGTTGTGGTTGGAATATACAAATCACAATGCTCGTTCCCGGCATGTTGTATGGATGGTTTAAGATCCTCTGTTTGGGATTCTAACAACCTAGTCAGTTCACTAGATCGTAAGCGGATCAGAGGGCTGTTTTCATTAGATCATGACGGTCTACGCTTCAGGTTATGACCGACACTGTCGCTAGTGAAAACCAGCCCGGCCTTAACAGAAAATATGAGAAAAAAAAAGTTGAAGACTCATAGAGTTCCTGTCCTCTTAACTTGGGGTCCGCTTAACAAAGGTTTCACACTGTACAAAGAAACATAATACTATATATTAACTGAAAAAAATTACTGCGGTAACTGATTTTAAGACATTTTTGTGCTATTTCTCCTGAGGAACTCCCTTGGTGGGGTGGGTGTCCATCGCTGGGACCAACCTAAACTACATCATGATCAGCTGTAGGATTGCGCCCCAGTTTAAACTCGGCATCGACGCTCCCTACCCTTTCCAGTTTAGGCTGATACCGCGAATTGCGGTGTGTTGATCGAGGGTAGCTGCTAATTAGGCTTGTGCGGTATCTTATTTCCCAGGTTGGCGCACTTTTCAAGGAATACGGAATCACGAAGTTTAACGTTCAAGTAGAAAAGGAAGCGTTCTTTTATCATATGTCAGCTCTGTCAGCTGGATATAAATCTATCCTGGCTCTTAAACAAGGAGCTGATATGCGTTTATCTTCACCTGGAGGGGAGGTTGACTCTGGTATCATTAAAGCTGTATAACCCAGCCATCCAATCTAGGCACTCCATAAATTAAATAATTGAGTAAAAAATAATGTTATTTATTTGCCATCACGGATGGTCCACGTTTGCAAGAAAGGCACAGTCTTACTAATTCAAGGGGCCGTCCTCTGAAGAAATAATCTTCACCAGGAACGATCATGTTGCACGGTGGACGCAAGTTCCGCCGCTCTCTCGCCCTCCCCCACTCGCCGAGAAGAGACTTTTCGGGGGAGGGGTGTAGGCGCATTTCCTTAACAGTGGCTGGTACGAGTATCCCTTTGTTCAGTTGTATCATGCTGTGTGACGTGGTTCTAACTTTTAAGTCCGCGAATACTCAGATCAAAAAAGCTACTGACCTGTATTAAGCAGTGGTACAGGTAATTATTATGTTCTTCCATCGCTTGATCACAGCTATGTAAATTTGTCCAAAAGTTTTATTTCCTGTCGCAAAATAAATGATCAAATTCTGCAAAGAAGACAAAGGATGACCTTGGATCCTGGTCTACGGATGCTCAGCTGAGTGAAGTCATTCACATTTTATTTGTACATAAAAAACTCTTGTAAAATAATCTTATGTGAAAAACTCAGTGGGTGGATGTAAGTGTTAAGAAAAGAAGGGAATAAAACCTTTTTAAAAAGTGTACGTCAGTCGGCTTTTGTTAATAAAAGAAATCCTTGGATGAATTCGGTAAATCTTTTACAACTGTAATTTACAATTGTAGCTGTTGTTTTAGCGTCTGATTACAATGGTTACACTTGTAAAAGTTTTATTTAATTGACCCCTGCAATAGTTTTCTCGTTATTCATGTACTAAGGTTGTTTTCCCCCAACAATATCTGCCAACTTCTACTGTGTATTTGAGGATAGGTCTGTTGTTAAAATGCAATACCATGTTAATTGGTAAAAAGGTCTTTCTTCCCTTGTTTAAGAGGGGCTCAATTCGGGCGCCTACAAATAAGAAGCGCGCTCTGCAACATCTTTAAACAGTTGTGTCTGTAGAACGGTGAATCATTCTTTTCATAAAACTAACTTATTAGAAACAATCTCACTGACGGAATAAAATGTATAATTTAATCCATTTTACAGAGTTTTTCTTGGATCAACAAAGCCCTCTCCCAGCCTCAAATTATGAAAAAATATTCTCAATGAAACGTAAAAGACCACTCACTACGTGAACGCTTACTCACATTAATCATCCTACACAAGTCAAACTTTTCTGACAGCTGTGTTAGAAGTGTCAGCATGTGAATTGTTCCCATGTCTCTTCGTTACCCTGGATTTTCATTTTTCCGGCGTGGAGTTCCATGCATGCGCTATCCCGGTCGGCAGTCTCGAAATCACCAAAAAGCTGCAGAAAAGGTTGCCTTGTGTACAGGTAGCCTGGACTACAGAAGTAGCAGTAGTCGCTTATTATCCTAAGGGATTGTACAAACAGGAAAACATGCAAGCGCGGGTAAGAATCTTCAGGTGCTCGCCCGCTCGCTAGCTGTATAAACCACTAGTTCGCAAGCCGGCAGCGAAATAATGAGAAGGTCTACTGTAACAGAGTTTTGCGCTCATGGCCTCAAATTACACATGAATTGACAACCTCGTTCCCAGGGTTGACAGGGTTCACTTTACGTCACAGTAACCCTGGGAACGAGGGTAGTGATTTGATCTTTTGACGAAATTGTAAAACTTATTTTAGATTACACAGAAAACAAATATTTGCTTTGCTTTCCTGCTACTAATTATATCTTAAGTTGTGAAGAAAACCTAAGGTGATAACTGCGAAGAAACAAACTCCGATAACTCGCCCGAACCCCCTTCCCAAGAATAAAAGTCACTTGAAATGACTATTTACGTATGTAATGAAACGGCGCGAATGACAGGACAACAGCACTTGTCCTCTTCACCAATTAATTTGACATTAAGCTCGGACGTCAGCGTACAAGCACGCCTCTCGCATCCGCTATCGGCCGGTCCATTTATCAGCTAACTGTAACCCGCCCGACCCATAATGTGTAAAGTGTGTGAGGTGATACTGACTGAACCAAATTAGCATGGTAATACAAATACATAGCCAGCATGATGAGAAGTTTTTAGAAGAAAATCAAGAGATCAACTCTCGTCTGAAAACTTTTTTCGTTTCATGGAAAAGAAATGTGAATACAAGAATCTGACGATAAACTCATAAAAGACATTTGATACTCTCTCACGCGTGTAACTGTAGTATTCTCCTTTTGGAATATATTAGTATTTTTAAGCTAAAAATTGCGACAATTGCGACAGATACGCGTATGCTGCAATTAGTAAAGTAGTAAATAACAATCTACAGTAATACATAACTTAATCTTCTAAATTCATTCAATTTGGAAAGAATGTGCAAATAATAAAGACCCTGAAAACGACCATCTGAAATTTTTCAATATACCGTAAAATTCAAAGCCCCTGACTGAAATGTCCCCCAAACCGGTAACAAAAAAACTCTCCGTTAAATCCTTTTCCTTCAACGCAAAAATTGCCCTCAAATACAAAGTGATTTTATTCCAAATATAAAGCGTCCGATTTTGAAACGCAAATTTCCCTCGAATATAAGTCCCTTTGAAAAAAATATAATAAAAAATCCCCTTATTTTCAAAGACGCAAAAATAAGTGATTTTGTTATGGCATGCGTCCGTCCCGCGTCCCTGACGCATAAAAATCCTCAAAGACGCAAAATAATTCATGGCATGCGTCCCGTAGAACGCAAAGATCGATCGATCCATCTAAACATGTGTTTTTGTAGAAATATCCTGTTAGTGTAATTTCTGTGTGTGGCAGTTATTATAACTGTTGTTTAACGATACATATTTCTTTTAGCTTTTGTTGTGCTTTAAAATAGAAGGACTATATTTTATTTTAATGCCAGTACACTATAATACAGCAATAGAGAGTTTTAGAGTCTGTCTTCAGATTAACTGTCTGGTTACATAAAGGCCCAGGCATTTTCAATTCGGACTCGTTTTTTTTAACTAGGACGCATGATTTTTCACAACATGAGTCCCAAGACTCGTTATAACTTTTTGTAACAAAACCACTGAAATTGCACTTTACATTGAGGATTATTATTGCCATGTAATAATCTTTACAGAACGATAAATATCCCTTTCATTTTGTTTAAGTACTATTAAATATATACATGTATATACAATGTGTAAATTTAACTCTCATTGGAGACTTTACAAAAACCGTTACATTGCGAGTGATCACGGATCGGAGCAGCGGCATCATCATGAGCGGCAGGCGTGACAAGAGGCTTGTTCCTTTTCTCCAGCGCCCACTGCATGGCCCAGATGCTCAGCGGTCTCATGTAACCAAGGGAACGGAAGTTGCCATTAGCAACAATGGCCTCGGGAGTCTGGAAACCCATCCCCAGTCGCTCAAAACAAGTGTTGTAAATACCACTGGCTGTTTTAAAGCCCTCTTCAACCAGACCCTAGAAGTTAAAAAAGCAGTAAATGGAATTAAAGCCTCATTCCTCTAACGCAGAGGTAAACCAATAAAAAGATTGAATCCGGCTGGCAAATTACGGCAAAACTTACAAAAACATAGAAAACTAGTATAAACAGAGTTCTCGTTCATGATAAAGGAAACACAAAAACAAATTGGGTGGAAAAAAAATTTTGTTTTACTGTGGAAACGATACCTCTTGGATCATGGCCGCAGCTACAGCGTATGTAACGCCAGTCCAGACCTCCTCCGCCTGTAAACTACTGGTGTCGACCTGTTATGAAGAATGACACCTAAACGTTTAGGCCGGGTGGCCACGAAGCTCTTAGAAGAGTTGACAATAGAGGTTTCCGAGATGTTCGTGGCTTCAAAGTTGGCGTGCCACAATACTCGTCACAAATCTTGAAACACTTGTGTGATTTCCCCCTTGCCCAATGTTGATTTAGGTATTGCAGTCATCTCAGTACTCCAAAATACGCGTGGCTCAACATTGGGGAAGGAGAGGGGCACATTTGAGTGAGAACAAAGGCGTGAAGAGTGAATGAAAGAAATTTGGAGAAAATTGAAGACAAATGGCTTCTGTTTCAACGATTTGTGACGAGGATTGCAGCTTAGTAAAGCATTTTAATAGATGGTTGAGCATTTTCAAAGGGTTCCGGCGCGGAAGGCTTGCCTTACTAAAGACGAACAGTCTTCGCAGATAACAAAAAAGGCAAACATCTATTGTTCCCTGCGGATACGAAGTCCACTAATCGTGGTTCTTAGTGTACCATGCACAGCGAACATTCGCTTTAGAAGCATCATTTCAGGAATATTCATAGAGCAATGGTTGTATGATTTCCACAGTACTGTAACAGTATTGACCAACACAGGACTTACCTGTCCATTAGGCCTCATGCCATTCACGGCACCCATGGTGCCATCTTGGAACTTTAACACGTTATTCTTGAACACTGTGACCAGAGCACTCATCACATTCTCTCGTGGGAATACCTACATGAACCATGAGGGCAGAAATTAAAATAAAGCTAACATCATACGACCATTTTACTTAGAGAAACACGCGCAATAGAAACTCGTTTTCATTCTTATATGAAAACTTTTACAGGAGAATTTTAAACAGTGCAAGTCAGCTGTCATCCCTGTCTACCCTCCCCCCTTCCCCCAGCAATAATAAACTTCCTTCTCAACAAATGTTAACGGGAGCGATGTTAATTATTAACGAATTTGATGAAAACTCTTTGGGGAGCGAGCATGATTCACCCTTTCCGGTTCCCAGGCCTCGTATTTTTGCCCGGCTAATGCTTCCGGGCTCACGTGGTCCTAGAATACATTCGTCTAAAATCAAGACACCAATTTAACGTTAAGGATTACGGAAACACCGTTAAGGGACTACAGGCGAGAAACGCCACAGTAGACCAGGAAAAAAAATTCACAAAAAGCAGTAGGCTCTCCATTTCTATAGGGGCCGGCGAGGTGAGCCGCGCGAAAACGCGCGTGTCTCTCGCGCGTAACTTCTCACAATATATCCTCCAAATGAAGAGCTTGCTCGCAGGTTCGAAAAAAGGAGCAGTGATTACCTGGTCAGAGGGTGCAGTCTGTGCAAGATCACATGCCTTGAGATACCACTGACCAGCCATCTGATCCGCCATTATACTGTTACTGTATTTACTTGTGCTGCTATCATAGTTGTAATAGGTACCTGAAACGAGAAAGAAATGCTTGGGAATATTGTGGTAAAAGGGATCGCAAATACACATAACTGAAACCGATTATTTGGAATAAACTTATAAATTCATTTCCAATATAGGCAAAATGTATCTAGGGAGTAAAAACCTCCATGCGCAATTTTGGGCATAGAACAAACAAATAAAAAAAAGTGTCGTTTTCACTACAGAGCACTACTGAAGTTATTGATAGGATTAGAAAAATCACGTTTCGGGGAAACTGCCCACTTACCCCTCCCTTAAGCCAACATTTTGCCCTAAGTGAGAAGGAAAAGTTAATGTTGGCTTAGGGGAGGGGTAGGTGGGTAGTTTCCCAGAAACGTATAATAGACCTATTCGGCTAACTCAATGTTGTACCCAATTCAAACCCTTTGGGAATAAAACCTTTTGTTTCAGGAATTTCCATATCATTTAAATGTGAATGCCACATTATAATGCAAATACAATACACAAAGAATCTTATCCCCGGGAGATTTCAGTTGGGTACAACACTGAATTAGCCGAATAGATCTATGATTCGAAAATTGTCAGCCTTGTACATGCGTGCCTTTGCCAATAGAACAATCACATCAGTCGCTAGTTATTAGGATATGTAAACTAATTACCGTTCCATAGTAGAGAATGATAAGCCTTTTTTCCGTTGCTTAGGATCTTGGCGTATCTCTTAGCCTCATCTGGGAATTCTAACACAACGGCAATTTCCTGCATGACTCGCAGAGATGCCAACCATAGACCTCCGCAATAAGCACTGATAACAAGAAACGATTGAAAACAGATTAGTGAACAAGGTAATCTCAAGGTAATCTCCAGGGATTCTACGATTATATGCATGTATTTAATAGAAGATAAAAGCGACCTCAAGCAACAAGAATGCCCGGGGGATACAACGGGGAGGCTTCGCTTCAAAGGGGGACCTTTTTCAGGGTTCGAGTATATGATAGGTAGGGTGGGGATTTTACTAGTTAAAGTATATGACATAGGAGGGACATTAAATTTTGTTATTTCGGTCTGTAAAAGGCACTAAAAGGGCTCACAGATGCATTTCATGGCGGTGGAAAAGTCAAGAAAACGTGATTTATTCATTGCATTTACCGCAGTTTAAAGGGGATATAGCGCTCTAAAGGGGTACCATTTGTCAATATAAGATATACGAAAGGAGTGGGGTAACAGGGTGGGGTTCCATTTGTTAATAGAAGTGCATAACGCTTTTTGGTACATTTCTTTGCCTTCGATGCACGACAACGACGTGAAACTGTTTAATTTCACGTTTTGTGGAGGACCTGAACGCAAGACAACGACCCTCTTTTTTTTGATGCAATCCATGAGAATTCAACTCCAGAAAAATTCACCAACATTTGACGAATTGAGGAGGATGGAATATGCGCGATGCAGTTTGAAGGCGCACGAACACACTTTAAAACTGTCGTTTTCGTGACCGTCGCTTTCGTTGTTGCTTAAACTCCCCAGTCACTCAGTACTAAGGGATAGTCTATACGAACTGAGTTTACGGAGGAAAGTCCGCCTCCCCCTCCCCCTCCCACACAATGAAGAAAAGAGCGGTACCTTGGTCCTGTAACTGGCCAGGCGTCGTATGTTTGATCCGCAAATCCTGAATTTTCTATCAAGCCATCTCCATCAGTATCATACATCATGGTCTTATTCATCACTTTCTAAAACAGGTCAAACAAACTGCCAAGATTAACATCACACAGACAGATTATCACCTGGACAATGTTTCTCTTTATTGATCGTAGCTTCTATAAAGATGTAGGAGCAACTCTGTTCCTAAAAATTCACCTATAAATATCATGCACATCTCTTTACGATGGCCATTTGACAATATGTTGGTCGAACTAGTGCCTCCAAGAGAAAAGTTCATAAGAACGGCTCTTATATCACTGCCATGAGCGAGACCTTTTACAAGGTTTATATAAGAAACACACGTCCAACCAATTGTTCATAGAATCATCAATTCCGTACGCCCATAAACAATCAGTGAAAAGATCAGTTATAAAATAGAAGGACATTACACTGGATCAAGTTCAACATTGCAGTTTTGTTACCTTTGTAACTGGCCACATGTCTTTCAAAAACTGAATGTTCTTTGTAGCAACGTAGTCTCTATACACCTGAAACAGTACAAATTTACCATTAATTTACCCCTCAAACAACTTTAAATCTTAAACTATCTTCTATCTTGGTTTCCACTAAAAATTCCGAACTTGAAAGTGATCGTAAATGAATCAGTGACATATAATTCAGTTGCCACACCTGAAGAACAAACTTGAGGTTGAGATCTTTCCATTGCGCTGTATCATGAATTGTGTAGGCATTCACCTTCTCCCAGGGTTCTTCAGCTAGAGACAACAATATGGGACCATTAAAATCAACGATTCACTAACATACATTTAACATATTTAACTTTCGCGCCCTGGGCAAAATTCTGGAAGATCATTGGTTGATTGGAGTGCGTTATTGGTTTATATCGCGCGACTTACATACGTTAATAACTGTACTGACTTTCCCTTCACAGCTTTAATAAACTGTATTTTCGGCTCAGACATTATAAGAGCCTGTGGATAAAATCGTGTGGTTTGACCATTAAAATGAAACCTCTTCAACAGTACGTTCACAGGGTGCAATTTATTTAGTATGTAGTTCTAACTTTTGAGTCTGTGGATAAAATCCTATGGTGTGACCATTCAAATGAAACCTCTTCAGCAGTTCTTTCACACGATACTCTTTATTTAGCACGCAGTTGTAACTTTTGAGTCTGTGATAAAATCCACAGACCAAAAGGAAAACCTCTCTGGCAATACATGGTCATATTTGTTTTTCACCATTCAACAAAATAAAATGTGGAAATTTTGCGGAATTTTGAGCATGGCTACTTTTGAAAACAACTGTCAAGGAACTGACCTGGATCGCCTACATCATGGGGTACACAGCCCGATACTTTCCTTTGACAGTTTCTTCCATTCATCATGGTCAGCATGACTTGATTATCTGCTTCATTCACACTTTGCGCTGAAGGATGGAGGAAAAAAGAATCCAATCAAAACTATAGAAATGGTTTCTGGAGTTCAAACTGCTACTACAAGAGTAGCCTCCCACGCAGACGTTCTTACGGGTTCGCCACGCAATCATTCCTCTCCCACGTAAGAACGCGTGACGAACCCCTAAGAACGTTTGCGTGGGAGGCTACTACAAGAGTGAATGAAGATGGATTTAAAATATTGTTTAATTACCCCCGCAGGGATTTAGCCCAGAAGGGGAAATCCCGAGGAGGCACTCTAGTAACTCGCGCGTATATTAATGAAAGTACTTAAAATCTCGATTTGCTTGAACAGGGGCCGCGAGGAATCGGTAGGTAATGATGACGTTTCTATTGTTTGCGCCCGCAAGTATCAAATGGTTAGGACAGGGTTAGGATGACGTAAAACACAAAAATTCCCGAAGGGACCGCTTACAATTGGTAGATTTTGTACAGTCATACTTCGATACTCTTTTGCGTTACGTGTTATCAGTGACATTCTGTGGAGCAGTTGTTATGAAAGTTATGGACCAAAAGACACTGGGGCTAGATTGCAGAATACCCGGCCCACGAAATATCTACCATAAAAAACTTGCTCCCGCAGTGCCGCAGTGCCGCAGTCCGTGTTATTAACACAAAAAACTTGCTCCCGCAGTGCCTCAGTGCCGCTGTCCTCAAAATTAACTTATCCGGCTTCCTTTGCTTAATCGAGCGCATCGATGGCTTTTAACGTTGAACAACAAGTCGAACAGAAATAAATTAATTTTGTTCTATCAAGCACAAATATATTACTTTCGTTTTATCTAGAAACATGATGCAAACACACTTTTGAACGCGGCAGATTGTATATTTGATTGACCCCAAATACACGCGCTCGAGTCGGGTTTTCCTGCAGTTACTACACACTAAATCGCTTGGGCCAAAACAAACTCTACACACATAAATTATACCTCGTTCTTTTATCCAGTTGACCCCAAATACACGCTCTCGAAACAAGCACTCAACTCCGAAAGCAACTGCAAACACATGAATGAACCTCTTTCAATTTGTTTTTGTTACGCCGAAACATGCGGGTTAGCCCGAACTTTCCTACGCAGCCGTAATTTGGATTGTTCAGGGGTGTTGCGTGACCAGTCTCGCTGTCACGGACATGATCGTGATCTTTCCACACGACAAAGACTAAACATCGCCTTTTCAATTTGTTTTATTGAGCTATCCTATTGAATACAAATTATAGACACCGCATTGTATCCACAAATTTTAAAACATGAAATAAGCTATAACTTTTCGCCAAGTCTGTAATATTGGACAAATGCCTCAGACCTCAACTGAATTATACTCACAACCAACAAATTTAGTGAAAATTCCAACACTTCTTTTATCCTGTGACGCGGGTAACAGTTCTATAATTTTACATCTTAATTTACTGGATAAATTTTCTTCACATCTCGTAAAAACATCTCAAATAAGTCATTGTCTTTGTTCCTATAGCGCCACATGAATTCGGCTAAATATGAAGAGAAATGGTGCTTCCTTACACCAAATGGAGGCATTTTAACTTTAGCGTGTCGCCAGTGCCCTTCCATTTTGTTTGTGCTGTCGCCCTCATCATTAACAAATTCAATCGAATGATTCACAGTGCGATGAGTGTACCCATGTTTCTCTAGGTTGCAGTACGCCTTCCAACAGTCCGAGATTATTGTCGTTCCTGGTTTGATCCACTTCTTTATAATCGGCAACAGTGTTTGTTCGTCTCTTTTTTCAACAGCTATGAGAAAGCATTTCCTGCTGTCATTCTCGATCCCGCCAAAGACCCATTGCCCTTCCACATGATGCCCGCGATGATACTTTCGCTTTCCAAATTTGCTCTCATCAATCTGCACTACTTTGCCCTCACCACCGATGCTCTCACTATCCTCCATTAACGATATTTCGCATACTTCACGACAAAAACTGTCCCAGTCTACTCCTGTGTGTGTTGCTAGTCCAAGCTCGTGTCTTATTTGGGCCTGATCCAATTCTTGGGTCCACCAGTAACTGTATTTCAAAATCTCTTCAAGTGTCATTTTGCTCTGTGCAAACCAGCTTCCTGCTCTTATCGACATCTCCACCTTGTGTCTTTTGCCATCGACGCGTCGTCTGCACTCCCATTTTAAACCATCGGAATGATCTTCACAATAAACAAGTTTAAGGTCATCACCACATACCGAGCAAACTCGCGACTTGGCTAGCAATCCTTCCTCCATCAACCAATCAATCAGCCTATCTTTATCGTGCAGTTTAACGATCAGGACATCGTAACGCCATTTTCTGTCTGCTTTCCTTTCATCACGCGCATAACTTCCTTTTCCTAGTCCACTTTGTGTTGCTTGGTCTTTTTTCGGGGCTTCGCCTGGTGTTTGTGTGCTACAACTGCTTTGAACCACTTTTTTTAGAACCTATTGCGACTTGCGTTCCCTTTTCATTCATTTTAGTGCAACAACTAGCTGGATGACTAATACTCTTACTTAATCGGCTACTAATTACCTCGTTTAACACCCAAATCTTACCACTGCCAAATCTTTTAACATGCAAATTATACACAATTTCACACCCGTAATTTAAAATCACCTCTTAACAATACCAAAGTTTGCTTGCCGCATCACACATTACCTTCTTTATTATAACGTTTGTCTTGACTTATAGAACTAAGCGTCCACAATATGTTAAGCTACTCTTCGTTCATTTTAAACATACCGACAAATAACATAAACTTTCTTTTGCATATATAACTATTATTACATCCTCGCGCGAATAACTTCCGAAATTATTCCCTTAAGTTCTTTTTAAATACAACCACGAGCACACAATTAATTTTCCCACATTTAACTTTTCATTTTCAAATGACACATTATTCAATACATCAAACATCTAATACAGTTCCCTAAGGGTATTTACACATTACAAAGACTGGCGTTTGCCGTACTATTGGTCAATTATAGTACTGTCGGCATCTATCAATGACACAACTTAACATTCATTTCAGTTTGCGTCTACATTTGACACATTCGTCAGTTGCCTTCGATCACTCACGATGTATACGCTCTCCAAACTAAACAAACAAAACGAACAAACTTGGGTCAATCTCCAAAAACGGCTCAACGAAGTTCAGTTCGAGTACAAGAATTTGTTTGCTAACAGTGACGTTCACAACTTTGTAAAAAACAAGGCCGTGTCGGTAGGAAGTTGCGAAGGGTATTTTATACCTTCACTGCTAACTACAACTGCTTACCTCCTGGCTACAAACCAATCACGCGTGCAAACTTTGAGGCAGCATCAGCCCCTCAATATTTACACCATCTTTGTTGGATACCCAGGAACAGGTTAATATACGCTACCTACACTTCAAATCAGTTTATTTTTATAAACCAAACCAAACGATTGTTTTTTATTATTATTCTCCACGATTCACAATGTAATAACACAATTCGTATTTCTTGTTTCAGGAAAATCGTCCGCCATTCAACACGCCGCGCAAGACCCCCTCGAACAGTTGGAGTTGACTTCGACCATAATCAGTAAAGCCACGTCATCCGGGCTTGTGAAACAAGTGTCAAGTCAAAATCAAGGCTTCATGCTGTCACCAGAAATCTTTGACACCCTTAACAAGTTGATGAAGTCGGACGAGGACAACGGCACCGGCGACGTTCAACTCCTTTGCAAGCTGTTTTCTGGCGAGCGATGTACGTACAGTTACTCAACGCAAGAAACAAGAGTCATCCCAGCCGACACGCCGTTCAGCATCTTAGGAGCCACCCAACTACTGAACGCCGCAAAACTAATCGCAAAGATGGACCATGGCCATGGTTTGGTGGACAGGTTCTTATTCCCTATTCCCCTGGCGTTCAGGCCCACGCTGACTGAAATGGAGACGGCGGCCGAGTACCTGTCCACTGAAGTTGTGGAGAACTTCGAAGAGTGCTTTAGAAACATCAACGACAACGGTCAAATACATTACAGCTTCGACACCAGCGCCCGAGAACTACTCAGAGAGAACATTGATCAGTTCGTTAGCGATGTCAACGACGCCATAAGAGAGGGAAAAGTTCCACCCAAGTCCAAACTGCCTGAGCTAGTTCCTAGAGTGGCAACTGCACTTCACGTATTTAATCACACGATGACTGAACTACTCGCCGGAGTTCCACCGACCACTCCACCAACACAGATAACCAAATCTACCCTGGAAAAGGCGACACAATTTGTGCAACATCTAGAAAGCCAGAAGGACATTCTGTGCCAGGTAAGTACCATTTAAAAACATTTAAATCGTTTACTTTACATCGATCACTTAGTAATTATCTTACAAAGAAACGTCTAATTTTCATTTTACAAATGCGTACTTATGTAACCCTGAACACGGTTATTCTTTAATTTCAGTTCTTAAAAGAACTCACAAACGCCACATGTGACAAAACCGTGGAACAGCCATCGCTTCAAACCATTAAAGACCAAGTACTCATGGCACCCGGACCCGTGGTCAGTTATAGAAGTTTCCAGAAAGGTAAAAGATCAGCAAAAGCCATTGCAGAAGCCGAGTACACTAGGGCAACCGAATCATTAAAAGAAGACGGCTTCGGGCGAATAGTAGAATTCAACGTCCCAAGAGCACGTCGCAAATGTAAAGTCTTTATCAAGTCTGCGCCAGAGCCTTGGCCAAACAACACCACAATCAGCGACTTCGACTTCCGCACTGCACTTGCAAGGCCAATTCATAGTGGCATTACCCCGGCAATGCGGGAGTATTTGCAAAACAATGAGAACATTCAGCTATAGATTTCATTGAACTGCGTATTCAGATCTGTCTTTTGAGCCTTAGCACTCATTGAACTGCGTATTCAGATCTATATAAATCGTTAAGTAATAAATATCCAAGTTTTAAAACGAAAGAAAATTATTAAGAAGATGTATAATTCGAAACTTGTTTTTTTTTAGCGGGAGCAGTCTTTTAACAGCTTAGACTTAGTTGTTCCTCGACTACGGCACCGCGGCACTGCGGGAGCAGTCTTTTAACAGCTTAGACTTTGTTGTTCATCGACTACGGCACTGCGGCACTGCGGGAGCAGTCTTTTAACAGCTTAGACTTAGTTGTTCCTCGACTACGGCACCGCGGCACTGCGGGAGCAGTCTTTTAACAGCTTAGACTTAGTTGTTCATCTTAGACTTAGATATTTGTGGACTACGGCACTGCGGGAGCAAGAATTTAGTGCCATGACAAGTGGGCCGGGTATTCTGCAATCGCTCCGACACTGGTTAAGCGTAGATGAAGTTATAAGGTGCGTATAATAGTGTATATTTTAATACTAAGTGAGTTTGCCAGACACGAGTTCACAAATCTTTGATTGGAAACCCTGCCAGACACTCTTTCTCTTTCTTTGACCGGAATAAGACTCGGCCCCAAACAAGCAAGAATAATGAATAATTCAACGGCTAGCTTATCACCAGCAGAACGATGGACGATTACAGAAATTTGCTGACCATCAAATTCTGTGCTGACTTATTCCCTGCTCACAGATGTCCTTCTGCTATAAAGTTTAAAATAAGACTAGAATGCCCGAGCGTGAATTGATCAAACGTCCTTTTATTAGTTTTAATTTCTAAGGCTTACTTTCCGGCAAATAAAATGAACTAAATGTAAAAAGTGAAATAGAAATAGCGAAAAATTAAACTTCTAATTAAATCTTTTCTTATGGTTTAGAATAAACTGTTCTCGAAACTGAGAATGTTTTGATCAAAGCTGTGTAAATCGAACCGAAACTGTGCATGGAACTTTGCGTTTATTTCCTGTTTGTATGGAATATGTGTGAAAATCTTCATTGTGAATCGGTATATTTCAAAGAGCTACACAACGAGCAAGAATACTATTGACCGACAACATACAGAGTGGGGGCAGCTGTAGTGTCAACTATTACTAGTCATAGCTAGAAAAAGGCAATTGGTGTAACCATAGTTTCTTGAGAATCGGTGAATGTAACACACCAAAAAAGGAGAAACAATTTTTGGGGGAAACATCCAACACAGTATGATGTAAATGTGTAATCTGGACACTCTAAAAGCTACAATACCTTAGTCTCAGAAGTTTATTTTTCATTAAAATATACTGCTTTTATCTGAAGGGCACCAACCTATATCATATTGAAGACTAAGCTGCAACTTTGGCCAAAGTAAGGTGAGTGCAAAAGATGCATAGAAATGGACATCATAGGTGTTGTACATCCTATATTCATGTCCTGTGAAAGAATAAAGTATTATTCCATCAATTGCTCAAGCCTTCCATTGTCTTGCAAAACGGGAGAAAAGTACATCAGTACTTAACTGCTGTACTGCCCTACCATGTAGGTATTCAGCCAATCAAGTACCTTCTAAATATGCAAATCGGCCATATTCCTTGACAAAATCAGGGATCGAAGTCTTTTGGTCATCAGAGTTATCTGCCACATCCAGCCAAACTGTTCCTCCATCAGCAACAAAGTAAAGTTCATTAAACAATGCTGACTTGTACCATGATGGCAGTGAGCTAAAGAAGAAAACACATGGACAATTTAATGATATTGTGCGCATTCAGTGCAGGATTGTTTAAATAGCTGAAAATGTATGTACCACCCTCACAGGGTCCACACTACAGCAGTGAGAGAAAATGAATTCAAGGAATTTTCCAGTGACATGAACCAAGGACTCAAAAAATTTGGTTGCTTCCAAAAAGGTTATCAACATAAACTGAAATATTGATTTAAAAATTCAGTAACCTCTATGGCTCCAATGCTTGCAATAACCTACTATGATTAATTATTAGAAGTGTACAATATCTCAAGTTTTTCTGGAGTCACAAAAAAGAGGAGTTTTCAGTGTCCTGTGTGAAATTTACATAATCCGTCCTCTTCATACAAAATACTGGAAGTTCATGCATTGACCTAAAACATGCATTGTCTTCATGAAGCCCAGAAAAAAAAAACATTACAACAGACAGGGAACTTACTCATCTTGTAGAATTGGCTTTTGCCAGATGTCAATTTTTGATTCCCATTTAGGATAATGCATCAAAGCATGACGGCAGAGGGCTTTCCCTGCATTACCATGGCGACCAAAGAAACGCGTATAAAACCTAAATTAAAGTAAATATCACAAAGAGTCAAACACAATAAAAAATATTTTAAAACTGCTTAAGCTCCTGCTCTAAGCCAAACCTAAACAAAACAAATTAGAGATGTCTCTATCTAAGTTCTTCAAGAAAACACCTTTGTTTTAAAATAAGAAATGTTTTGCCATTTTTCTGAATTCAATTCAATTCTATATCAAGTACACATTTAAATTGCCTTTATTATTACCTATAATGCTTGGTTTTTGAAGATCCAAAGTGGATAACAGGATTATCCCAACACAGAGCAAACTCTAATTTTGCTTTTCCTTTTGCTTGTATCTTGGTCGTAGCTGCCACAGCAGCACAAAGGATGTGTTCTTGTTTGCATGGTTCACTGGGCCCTGCACGATGTAGCAACAGCTGAGCATGTCAAACACTTCAACAATAATTAACAAGTACATTGTTTTCTCTTTCACCCTATTTTTTCCATATATTTGATTATCTAAGTAAGAAGGATTTATGAACCTAGTAGATTTTGATAGATTTGTGCCAACTATTGCAATCAGTTTGCAAGTAGTTCAGTGGTTTCAGTATTTAACCCGGTTCAACTTTATTCCATTTTTCACTTAAGGATAATGATGAATAATGTGGGAAAATTCTCATTTGCAGATGAAAAAGACAGCCTTAATTCATTATTACATCAACAACTTCTAGGACTATTATTATTTAACACCTGTTTTAGGGCTGAGTTTTCCATCATCCATTAAATCTTCCCACACACCCCTGCATGGGGTTTGTGCATCAAAAGCAGTTTTGGTTGTCACAGTGACCACATTTTTTCCAGCCTAAAGAGAGGGAGGGGAGTATGCTCAATTAAAACCATTTCATAAATTATGTCATCAAACTCACCTAAATTGTAAACTGATTATTGAAAGAACCATATTAATCAATATCTCTTTTGGTAAGTAAAGAATTTGGGCAGTATTTGTGACATAAGTTACTTATCACTTACTTAGTTACTTATTCTACCCTACATCTGCATACTTTCATTAACACAGCAATACTGATAGCTATACATCAAATGGCATTCTACTGAGTATATCACCAGAACGTTTAATTTTGCCTCTTAGAATAAACACCTAAACTCACACACATGTACACATTTGAAAGTGACAGTTCTTACCTGTACTTCTTCAACAGAGCTGTGCTCTAGCTAACAGCACCCAGTGAGCCCTAACATTTTACTCTTGTCGTTCAGTGACAATGAAATACTAATTGTTGCATCAAATTTACAATTCAAGTGCAAGACTGTCTGGATTTCTGATTAAGGGAGGCACATGTACACTAATGTCCAAATTATACTTCTCAGCTGTTGGCTGAATCACTTTCCTGACTAAGTTGCATAAAAATGTAAAGTTACATTATAGAAACTCAAGAAATGCTGTGCGTATCAAATTCATCAAGAGCGCTACAAGTAAAATTTTGTACCTGATGTATTGACTTGGCTGCAATCCCAAATGTGTATGGCTGCATTGGATGTTTATGGTGCAGGAGAACACCTGTAACCTCACTTGAGCTCCCAATATTTTTTGAATTTCTTTTCTCATGAACGTGATTATCAGTGGCGGAGTGAGCTCCAACTTTGCATGTAAATGATTCATTGAAATGACCAGCTGATACTTCATTTGGAGTTCCATCACTGTTTTGAAAAGTGAACATTATTGACACTTCAACTTCTTCGTCATTATCATTTTCAATGTCCCAAATGAATACACAGACAGGTAAGCTGGTGTCCTGAGAAATAAAAACACAGACACAAATTAATTATTTACAAGTGTAAGTCTTCTGTAAGATAGATAGGTAAAATATAAAGGGACTTCCTTCTGGCTTATATTGAAATATCTTGATTGTAAGAAACAGAACTGCATGAACTAAATGGCAAAACAGCCAACTCTCGCCTGCGGGCACCTCATTATAGTGGCAGGGTGCATTGCAAAGAAAGTCACTTTTACAGCCTGCCATTTGGGCAAGCTGTAGCTAGCATGTACTGAAGCGCACAAGTCATTTCAACTAGCCCCAAAAGCTTTTTTGATTAGAAGGATTGATTACAATCCTTCTGTAATTTGAATTCCAAAAAAACAGCACTTGCCCATAGGGCAAGTTAAGAGCAAATATCACTAGCCCAATAGCAAAATCCACTAGCCCCAAGCTATTGGACATGACTTTCTTTGCACGCTGAATGGACACCCTTATAATATGGACATCCCAGAGAAAAATAAATTTCAGACATTTGCCTGAAATAAACTCCTGCTATAACCAACTCTTGCCAATGTGGACACCAACTGAAGGTCCCTACAGTTGACTGTACTCCCTTGAGGTCAATTGTTTCCCACTTTTTCTTTTGGCTTGAAATATGCATTTCTAAGATGTAAGCTGACAGTGATAGTATATGGATATAAAATGCCTACAGGCATTTCTGGAGCAAAACAAAATGATCATGGAGCATGTACACTGTAGTATTAGAGACAGGGATTTGGAGGTACATTAATTAAATTGTGTTAAGACTGTCAGAAACTATGAAACTGTTTTGATTTTACCCACCAAAAACTTCTATTTTTTGTTGATTTCCAGCAGCAGGCTGCATTATTTCCTTACCTTGTAATCATTAGGAAATATGGGAGAAATCTGACGGCAAACAAGTTTAATATTTTGTCCTGGTAGGTAGTAAATAGTCCATGCACGAGGATATAGAGCATGATAGGTAGCATGGCAACCATTGAAACCCCAGTTCCATCCCTGTAAACTGCGGCCACAAAGAACCCCATTAGGACGGTTTGGAGAAAGCACAGCCTACAAAATATGTCACGCAATTTACTGTACTACTTCATAATGATGACTGGAAGACAAAAATGGAATTGCTTACATTACTATTTTCAAAAAGTTAAATCAGCTTGATTGCTTTGAACATACCTGGTACGTTGTTCGTCCTTTTTTCCTCACACAAACAATAAACTGTAATAATCCAACATAAACAAAAATACAGGTCAGTGCTTATAAGTGGAGAGAGCATCTAGAGGCAAGTCTCGCACTAATAATACTATAATTATCCTAAAAGAAAAACATAGGAGATCTATCAATACCTTTCAATCAATGAATTGTATTATAAGATACCTTTTTACATGGTAATAATTATTCATTAATCTCCTTTAAATCTCCAATAGAGGGAAACTCAGGGAGACATGAGATTTTAACTGTCACTAACTTGATTAGCCTCTACATAGGTGTAATTGTACATTCCTGGAGAGATCTGCCATCTGTTAAATTCCCCCTTCCATCCTCTTCCAATGCTGCCACATCCTATCCCACCAAGAGGAACTCCTGAAATGAATTGATTTTACAATGTATTTACCGTATGAAGAAATATACAGCTAAATGAAAAAAGGTTGCTTTGGTAATTGGGTATTGGGCATTTGGGCATATGGAACAATGCAATGATTTACTTGAGTGACTGCCAAACAATAGCTTGCACCCAATGCCAAATTCCTAATGCTCAAAGCAACCTGTGTTGAATCAGCTATATGTCAAAAACTCCATACTTGTATCAAGATGATCTTGGCACAAGCTACTCATTCAAAGCATTAACTTTGCATTAATGTCACTATGTCTGCATTTTAAAAACCCCATGAAAAGTTATGCAACTAAAGAAGACACACAGTGCAACAAAAAATATGCGCATTTGCACACAAATGCAAAAGTTTAAATGCTAGTTCACAAGCTAACTTACCATCTCTTAAATTCAAAATTAAGCATAAAGGTTCCTAACATAACTGAACCAACTGTATTCAAGTGAAAGAGCCTTTTTATACACAAAGTTTATATTTCACCATGCCAATTCACAAAAAAAACATACCTGGGCCTGGGTGAAATACAGTTGACAAATTAAAGAGTAATATTATGGTATTTTATGGAAAGGTATACGCAGCTTCAATACCATTATCTCACCATTTTGACATGAAAACATTTTTTAAAGTACAGTATCACCAGGGCATAAAAATCAAAGCAAAATAATCAGTATATTTATTTTTCAGTCAAGTATTTTCATTCTTTGTTATTCGACTGTCTGCACCAATCCGACCTTTGTTCTCTATTACAATTATCACACTCAAAGTTTCTCAATTCCAAAATGTTTTAACCATCAATTTTGTTTCCACAGGAGGTTTGAAATCAGTATTCTAATTTAATTAAGTTTCCTAAGAAAATTACAATGCTTGGCAAAAAAAAAAACGGATGAACCTCAGCAACCTTCCAGTTCATTCACTATCAAAGAACAACTGCTCTGTTTGTGTTCTTTTTTTAGAGAGCTTTATACTGTGTATGGCTATTTTGAGAACTAAGGGGGATAAATAAACTGACTTTTTTGTTTGGTCTCAAAAACAATTATTAGCTGTCTGTCTTCAACAAAGAATATGCGTGGAAATAGAAATTAAAACTTATTTTAAACATTTCCAACTTCTTGTTGTCTTTTTTCTTGAGTCCTTATTTGTAATTCAAAACCACTATTTTCTGCACGACAAACACTACAGAAAATTTTCAGAAAATTGGCAAGGACACGGAAGATTATTATACACCTGTCGGTAAACATCACACTTATCTCACCTGCTAAGGAGAATATATTAGTGCTTAACATGTTTCAGAGTTATTCTCCACGGGTAACTGTTTGTGGAGATTGTAAAATTACCAGTAAGCTTACCGTATAGAAAATGATCAAAATTATATCGGAGTTTCTATTTGATGTCAACATCCGGTGTAACGTAGTCTTTCCATTGTTATATCTAACTTGAAATCTTTCACCATAATTTCGTTAATTGTAATCTTATGAATAAAAAATTTGAGGAGATATCCTTCACTTTGCATTCTTCGTTTGACAGTTTCTGCGATAAAAGATGACCTTAACGCGATTCTTCAAAACTCGTCTTTGCGAAAAGAGACTGGCCAGTTAAATTTTTCTTTCAAAGGTTTTCTTCGTGTGTCAGAGCACACGAAAATCTGGCCGTTAATTTTGGTAAAAAGCAGATAATTCAGAAATTTAAATTAAATATTAGATCGATTTTCCTTGCGACAATGCATGCATCAACGATAGAGATACCGCAATGGCCAAAATTCTTTTTGAATGAAACTTCAGCTTATAATCGCAACGTGTCAAGAATATTTAAGCATAGGTAAATTATGTCACTTCAGCTAAGTTAGACATACCATAAACCTGCCGACAAGGATTTGTGGAAAATGGGTCTATAAACGGTACTCTTCCATTTTTCCTTTCTCTCGTAGCGTATTTCATAAATCTGAAAATAACCGCGGAAATGTTAACAGCATGCATGCAATCCGCCGGCCGGCGAATTGAAAGAAAACACAAACAAACAAAGTCACTTTTCGGCGTGGCATAATACCTCCATCCCAGACCAAGTAGCCGTGGTATTTGGCTCCACCGAGGAAGATAACATGGCTGAGGCTTAAGTGAAAATGTGTTATCCAGATGTACTCTCCATCCATACCTGGGAAGCGAGTCTTCGCTGTCCTCGTCAGATGACTGTGTCGCCATTTTGTGTGAGGACCTTGTGAGGACAGGACAACTGAAAGCCTGCGATGGTTTATTTATCGTTCAGCGGATATTGTTTCAAAAGGATTCTTGCGTGATATAACGTTTCGCAACTGTCCAATAACAGCCTGAGTAGCGAGCGGGAAAGCGAGCGTTTCCGGCCTCGCTAGTTTGTTGAAGGAAGATGGAACGTTTTTAGCTGTTTTTTGCTCTCGCTGCAACTTTCGTGCAAAAACTCGATTCCAGACGCTTGCTACGCAGGCTACTCAAAATATGCATTTTTTTATACTGACAAACCGTCTTCTTAAAATTTATACCTTTTTGTTGCCAAGCCAACGATGACGGAAATAACACTCTTTTTTTCTTTAAGAATATATTTTAAAAGAATTTTGAGGCTGAAATTTGCAAATTTGAAAATGCCGCAGTTTTGTATCGAAAGGAAATACAGTACAATTTATGTCAGTTTTTAACTTAACGTTATAAAGCGGAAATACCACAAGCTATAATTCTTATAATTAAGAATAATTCACCAATATTTTCAGCCTAAACGTCGACAGAAAAATAAGAATATTCTGCCTGAGCATTTCAGGACTACAGTTGTTTTCCAATTATTCCGCCCAGCTCACCCTCAATTTTTTTTTTCAGTCTCAGCAAACAAACAAAAACGCGCGAACGGAAATTTTCATGATAATGGAAACATACTGTAATAAGCCACCACAGGACAGTAGAAGAGGAGATATAAACTCAGGGATAAGTTTTTCCACTGAAAATAAATACACACGTTATTCACGAAATTTTGGGTGAATGTGCACCTGACATCAGAAGAAATGATTTTCGGTTTACCCATTAAATCAAGATTCTCAGTCCACTTAAATATGACAAAAAAGAAGAAAAGAAAAGAAAAAGAATACACGAGAATTTGCAGGTAGGGAAATACCCAAATTTAATTCATCGTGCATTTAATCAATATTGATGTAGCCCGAAGCGTAACCAAAAATTTTAATAATCTGCGTGCGACGAAAAAATAAATTTTACTGTTATTTTGTATTAATTTTATTTTTTTACCTTTCCTTCGCCCTTTCTTGTTCATTCTTTTTACTCTTTAATGCAAGCTGGTCAGTTGTTTTAATATGTTTGTTTGATTGTCATTTCTGTTACTTTTCCGGCTGTACTTTAAGGATTTGGCCTATTTGAAAATAATGCATTACCTTACATTACATTACAGTACATTACAGTATATTACAGTACATTACAGTACATTACACTACACAACACTACACTACACTACACTACACTGCACCACGCTACACTACACTACACTACACTACACTACACTACACTACACTACACTACACTACACTACATTACATTACATTACATTACATTACAATCTTCCAAGGATTGTTGCGTCACAACAGTTAATGACGTCAAAATGAGAGAATGCGCGGTTTGCGTGCAGGCCGTAAGTAACTTATGTTTGGGCTTGCTGTCTTCTCTGTTCTGATTGGCTGTATTGTGATTCCTATCATCTATATTACTACTAAATGCTTATATTTTTTCGTTGGCTATGGGCGGTCCTTTGGAAGTTGGGATGATGAAAGTGAAAGCCATCTAGACCAAGATGAGCTGTTAAGAAGACATGGGTATGAAATCGCTGGTAAAATAGGCCAGGGAACTTACGGTGATGTGAAAAAAGCTTACTCTATCAACCTTCGAAAGGATGTCGCTGTCAAAATTGTTAGCAAAACTGAGGTAAAAATAATTACAAAATAGTAGTCAGTGTAGTTAGTAGTCAGTGCATGCCAAATTTGTTTTTGGGAAACATGCGAAACTGATATCAACCTTCGCTTAAGTATTCCGACAAAAACTCTCTATGCCAACATTATATTAACTGTATATTGTTTTCTATAAAAGTAGAAAAACCAGTTCGCAGCGAAAGCACGCGCATAGGAGGTTCTCTTTTTTTCTTTATCTAATGACCAATCAGAGCGTGTATTCTATTTTCTGATCCAATAAATTGGATTTTATAATTGTTAATAAATAATTTTCTCCCAAGATTGGCTCAGGAAAAAGTGACAGATTCTTGAAGAGAGAGATTGAAATCCTAAGATGGCTGAACCACAAGAACGTTGTTCGAGTGCATGATCTTATCGACGGAAGGCATCAGTTCTTCATTATAATGGAGCTCGCGTCAAACGGAGATCTTCTTAATCTGTTACATAAACGTACCAAACTGCTTGAAGATGAGGCTAGAGTTATCTTTAAATCTATTATGGATGGTGTACTCCATTGCCACAGAAAGGGTGAGTGTCATGTATTTGCGGCAAGTGTACCAGGATGCTCAGTTTTCATTTTCATTTGGCTAGGTAGAGTTCAGCTGAGAGTTGGGTTTGCAATTCTAAGAACAAGACTCGATCGAGGGAAGTAGCTTGTTCAAACGTTTATCTGCAAAGCCGTTATTATTTGTAATGCTTCATTGCACTGGTTTATAGTCTATTTTATCAGAGAGATTAGAAGATACATAGACATGTCCTTCAGTTTTTCCTTCTTATCACTGATTTCTAAAAAAAGAAGAACTAAGAAATTTTAAGACAGTACGTCTTATTTATTTTATCATATTCACACAACACAATCAAATTGGAAAGAGTTGTTATATTTTTGTGCAATTACTGTAGTCTCCAGAGGCTTTCGACTGCATCTGACAGTCTTCCTTGCTCAGCGACCGAGTTTCTGGTTGTCACCTGAATTTTGTGTATTTAGTCCCGTGACAAAAATGTTGTTCGTTCATTTTCTTTTACTAGGAGTAACCCACAGAGATCTCAAGCTTGAAAACATTTTACTCTCGGAAGATAACCAGCCCATCGTTACCGATTTTGGTTTTGCGCGGTATATCGGAAGCATCGAGAATCAAAGAGCGCGAAGTAGAACCTTCTGTGGCTCGTACGCTTACGTGGCACCAGAGATACTTCAAGGTACTCATGTTATCCTTGACTGTTATTTCGTGATCGCCTATGGTCCTTTTTTTCCTGTTTTTTAGTCACGTTTACCACAGAAAACTATAGTAGAATCATAGTAGAATCCCGATTTCTCGAACCTTCAGTTTTTCAAACCGTCCAATAATTCGGAGGTGATCAAAGATGCCTCTAGATATTTATGATATATACATTTAGCCAGGACAAAAGCGAAGGAGAATAATGGATCTTGTAACCACTTCGAAGAAATCTATCTTGACTAAAAAAGCTTTCCACTCCCGATAATTATTGGTACTTTCAAGAAACGGCTCCCTGAGGATTTAAGACAAACTTTGAGTTTTTCCTCTCAGAGTATTTCCACATTCAAAAAAGAAGGAACCTTAGGCTCCGATCAGTGAAAAACTTCAAAACACCTTGCGATCTTTATAGGTCGATACCTGAGCCCGCAATACAGCCATATGATACGGACGTACGGTCACGTGACTACCAAATTTTCTCTGATAGATAGTTTGTTAGACTGGGTTCCCGGAGAAAACGCCACCGGGTTGGCTTATTTTCCACTGGGATTTTTTCAGCGAGAGGAACTGAAAGATTTACTCTTTTTGATGCGAGATCGATTACTTGTACCCGTTGATTTTCTTGGCAGTGGTAATAATGTTTTATATTTGTCCTTCTTTTAAAAAAATGTGAATAACGAAACACACTGTTTTTTGTAGAAGTGACAATTAATATTTAAAGTGACCGGGGAAGAAAAAAAATTAGCTGTTTAGAACATTTAGAAACAAACTAGGTACTGGGGAGCCTAAATTATCACTGGGAAGAATGAATTAAACCAGTAACCCCTTTCAGGTTTCACGGTTCGGGTATCGTACCAATTAGCTTTTAGGGTTAGGAAAGCTGCTACATGATGGTTTTACTGGGTCTGTTACAGAGGGCTGTAAATACTAACACTGAGATACATCAACGTCACCCAACTGGCCAGGCAAACGCTTAGACACTGCTCGTCTGAAGTGCTGCGGTGTAAAATGCAAAGATATATATTCAATTAAAAGTGCGAAGATCGATTTTGACTGTTAAGCATCAATACAGTCTAGGCTATGTGCGTTACCTTCTCGACTGTTGCATGAGTTGTTGCCTTAGTACAGTGCCTTTGTTCATGTCACAGGTATCCCTTATGATGGCATGGCCAGCGATGTCTGGAGTCTTGGTGTAGTTCTTTACACTATGGTTTGCGGCAGCTTCCCATTTGATGATTCCGACCCGAAATATCTTTTGAAGCAAACGACTTCCGGTCAACTGGAATACCCTGTTACAGCTTTGACTCTCTCTCCTCAGGTACGATAAAATTTGTTCACTCACCATCAGGACGGATAAAGCGAGACAAAGTAAACAAGTTAATTCAGTAAACATGGTCCCTAACAAAGATCTCTTCATATCTCTTAAGTGCGTTTAGGTCGGCAAATTACTTTTGCGGGAAATGCGACAAACGCAAGAAAATGTATTTTCCGGAAGTCCATAAACCGTAGGGTGGTCAGTCCGGGACCGGTAACTTAACGATAACAGTGTTTGCAGAATCAAAGATGACTCAACTTACTTCCTCTTTTCTTTTTCAGATTAAGGAACTCATTAGCAAAATGTTAACACCCCAAGTGAAGGAACGGGTCACCTTGACTGAAGCAATGAATCATCCTTGGTTCCATAATCAATGAACAACTGCTATATGTTACTGATTATAACTCACAAGACAATCTAGATATCTCTTGTGCAATTCTTTATTTTTTGTATTTCTATTCTTATTATTACTGAATTATTCTGCTTCAGCTCCAGTAAGCGATCTGCTCACTCAAATGAAAAAAAAAACAGAGCAATTAAAGACGGATCATATTGCCCTATATTCTCAGTTTTACAAACTTCACTCAAATGTAATGTTTGTAAGAAAAGTCAGAGAGAATGACAGATTTTTTGAAGAGGAAGTTGAAATGTTGTTTGAATTCTTAGTCACATGATTCGGAATCGGAATGCACTCTAAAATTTAATGCATGTCTGATTTGAACGCCTTCTTAGTTCTGGTAGACCTAAAACATATAGTTTGTACATTCTGCCTCAAAATACAAACACCACAACATAAGTTATTTTTTGTTTTGCTTTCCGCTTTGCTACTATGCTAAAGAGAGCGTGGCGAGGGGGGGCGGGGGGCGGGGGAGAGTGGGGGCTTTGGATTAACTTCGCTAACTCACCCCTGCCACCGAACGAAGTGAGAAGCGAAGGCTTAGATTCTGCAACTTTGTTTTGTTCGTTGGCCCTTGCTGGATATTTTAAACTAGCCTGCGTAGCTGTCGGTATTAGCGTTGGAGCGCTGTATGAGTATACAAGTCAATTTGAAGTAAATATGAAACGGCAAACTGATCCTTACGGCAAGGCGATTAAGAAGTAAAAAGGCAGAAGAATAAAACAAAAAATATATATTTAAATATATTATTCTTTTGTTTACTTCTTCATCGCCTTGCCGTAAGGATCAGTTTGTCGTTTCACATTTGTGTACAAGTTTAATTGTACTGATCCAGGTCTACAACCGAGAGATCCGACACCACTCATTGGTTTGTTGCTGTGGACTTGCTGACATTTTTTATATCAATTTGAAGTCCCGGCGGGATTTTCCCTCGCGGAAAAATACCCCGGGGACAAGAATCCCGCCAGTTAGGTGCTACGGAAGCTATGATAAATTTTGAAAAAGTGCCATTGGGGAGGAGGGGCTGTCCAGCCCCACCCATCCCCTCCCACTCGATAGATCCTTGACTAGCACTGTCACACAACAAAAAAATAAATTGGAAACCGTCCAGTGAAAGAAGCCAAGAAAATGAAATGTTATATTGGACTAGTATATAAACAATTTGTCCAAGTCTCAGGTCTTTTGTGGCCCGCAGTTTCTAAGTTATTTGCCGCAACGCTTCACGTACCTTTGTAGAGCTTTGTATGGAGACGCCATATTGGTGTACCGTTTTGGTGCACCAATATGGCCGCCGGAAATCAACAAAAACATCTGGAGTTTACTCTTCCTATAAAAACTCTTTTTTTCATTCGAGAACTGGCACACGTGCGCATAAACATATCGTCTAATACTTGAAATGGTTATACTGCTGAATCGAAAATCAAGAGAAGAGACTTCAGTTTCAACTAGACAGCATTCTTATATTGGTGTCACGCACTGTGAAAACTCGGAAGTTCAAATTGTTGTATTTTTGAAATGAAACATGCCACGGGAATGGAAACTTGTACAAACGTTTGCTTTTTGTTTATCTTCAACCTAGTGTAAATAAAAATTCGTAAAACCTCGCTATTTTGAATTTAAAATTTGATGACGTCACTGTGAAAACCATCTATTGTTGTCTGTAGTCACTGAGTCCTCTATTTTTCGTAAGATCGTCGAGATCGAGCGCTCTGCGACGGGCTGCCATCTTGCATGAGTGTCAAAACTACTTAGGGGGCGGGGGGACAGTTCCGCCCCCCCCCCCCTCACCTAGAGCTATGATCCCCGGCGCCCGTCCCCTCGGTACATTTGAAAATCAAGATAGCCGTGGTGGTAAGACGCGGTATATCTAAACCATCTCACGAAAAAATATGGGACTGTGAACAGTCTAGTTATGAACTTTCGGTGCGCAAGGTTTTCATCAAGTTTTTTCGTTTTGAGGGCTTGGACAATAACATTCTTAGTTCTGGGTTAACTAAGAACAATTCGCAGAAGAGATAGAAGACGCTCTCAGCATCAGGGGACTGGGTGCTAATGTAACTCATCCCATAATATTAAACGTTGTTATTCGAAATTCCCTCCATTTCTCCATTTTCCTCAGCGCAGCAGCGCAGGTTAGTGCACGATCGCAAGGTGCCTCCCCTTGCTGTGTTAGTTTTTCATTTTTTTGAGAGATTCTTGATACATGAAGGATGGCAACACAAGTTATCGGCGTGGAGCAAGAAGACGGGCGCTGGAATGAATCGACTGGCGCCTTCAGAGGCGAAGGTAATCACACACTGTGGTAATTTACAGGATTACCACTTATTGTCGGTCGATTGACGAATTTCTTTTTCACTTGTATATGCTGAAACGTTTCACAGATGCTGGTCCCGAGAGAGCTTCAGGCTCTGAAATGGATGAACAACGCAAGCAACAGATGGCTTATCAATACTTATGTCACCTGGAAGAAGCTAAAGTGTGCGTAGGAGCTAAGTTGTAATTTCTGCATAATTTTACTAGTGTATTACTGTAGTATTAGGATTGTAACGAGAGGAACACCCAGCTGTGTATCTAATATTGGTATTTATCACTAATCATGCCTTTTGGTCTCGTCTGTAGGTGGATGGAAGCATGTCTAAAAGAGGAATTGCCAGCTACTACTGAACTCGAAGAGGCATTCAGAAACGGTGTGTTCTTGGCAAAGCTGGGTAATTTCTTTTCTCCAGAGACGATTCCTCTGCGCAAAATATTCGACAAAGATTTTAAAGTTTTGAACGTAAGTAATATTCCTGTTAGCTGTTCGTATGTGGCGCATACCCTACGTAAACTTTGCAACCTTTCTTAAAGCTTACACGTATAGTTTAAGCTAATTGCGTTTGTTGTTTCTCTTTGTTTTGTAGTCTCGAGGTCTCCACTTTCGCCACACGGATAATATTAATTTCTTTATAAATGGTTGCAGTAAAGTTGGTCTTCCAAAGGTTAGAGAAATATTTTTGTGATTTACATAAGCCAACATTTTATTCGTTCATGTAGAAACCCATTTAAATGTTGTCCATGGCTGTAATGTTTATTTTGCTAAGTGGGTTTGTCGCGCGTGACTCCTATTTTTCACTCGTGCAGTGGTTAGCGCGGTCTTTTAACCCCAGCGAAGAGATTTATCGTTACATAAAATCAATTTGACTTGCACCTCTTTATAGAGTAGGTCATGTGGGCATTTTTAATGCGTTGTAATTTGGGCTGAGATGAAATAAAAATTTTTCTGCACGAATCTTAGTGAATGTCAATTAATAAATACGATGTTATTTCTTCCAAGGTTTTCTTTCCTGAGACGACCGACATTTATGATAGAAAGAACATGCCAAAGCTGATTTATTGCATTCATGCTTTAAGGTAAAACCAAAAAAATATCTAATCTCAAAGATTCATGACAAAGAATTTTTTGCGGAAAATATATGATTGCAGTATGTCTGATGTTAAACAATGAGCATAGTGAATTCATGATATTCTGCACAAAGAACTTTGTGTCACTGCTTTATTTAGGTCATTACAATCAAAATAGACAGTGATGTTTAGGCACATTATGAATAATTGCTTAGCGCAGCAACTGGCAAATTGCCATCCTCTGGCTCCCTATGTTTTTTCCAGGCTGGATATGTTGTATGGAAAATCAATTTTCAGGTTAAGCCAGTATTCACTCTTGTTTGATCTGTAAATTTCCTTGTTCCTTTGACTCTCTTAAGAAATGTCTTTGTTCCGTTGACCCTCTTAGGAAATTTCTTTGTTCCATCGACTCTTATAGTAGTCAAAGGAAATGCAGGTTCAACCTGAGAACAGATTTTACCCACAACAGATACATGTAGACCCTTTTGCTTGAGTTTACTAGCCAGGGGTAATTTGGTCAATAATTTGAGAACTGAACTCTAGATCATTTTGAAGATTGTGCTGGAAATGCCTGTTTTTAAATAAATTTATGAAATTTTGCTTCAAATACTTTATTGACAATCAGTGCTTTGTTATTGGTTAAACAGTCTGTAGATAGTACTCATCAATTTCATAGTTGGTGATTGGAAGTCAGTTTATTCCTTTTGTCTTATCACACATAAAATGGCTCTTCAATATCAATGTGGAATTGTGTAAAAACATTTTTGTCATTTTGATGGGTATTAATAATTATTGCATGTATGATTCCTAATAGTGATGGTATATCATATTGGTAGTATGTATTGTAAGTCTTGAAATGGTTGAGCAAATATAACTCAACAAAAAACCAAGGATGGAAAGGCCAACTTTTTGGCTCTCTGTGCTTCCTGATTAGCAAAGATGTGACCCATGTGGGGGAGGAATTAAATTGACCAAGAACAGTGAATGTAACAGGATACTAGCTCAAGTAAAATGCTGTGTTTACCTGCCATTTCACATTAATATTGGCATTAACAAATGCTAAACCTTTTTAGTGATGTAATCGCATCAGTATGCAAAAATTACTTTCAAAAAAAGATTATTGTTCAAAGAAAATTTGCCAAAATTGGAAGTGATGATTTTCTTGTTTTTTGCTGTTATTTATTGGTTGTGAACTTGTTTTCACTTAAAAACTCTGATGGTCTAGCAATTTAAATAACGATAATAAATCATTACCTCTTCAGTCATGGGACTGCTATCGTTGAGGTCCTCATAAATAGATTCAAGTGAAAAAAATGGAAAAAAATATTATTTTAAAAAAATGCATTAAAACTATCCCAATAAAAAATGTAAAAACTATCTCAATTAGAGAAATTCTTAGAAACCATCCTTATACACTTTATCCTCTCATTTCTTTCTTTGTTGTTGCCCTTTTTATTGCTTAAGTTGGAAGGATAACCTTAGCAGAAATTTACTTTTCTTTAGTTTGTACCTGTTCAAGTTAGGATTGGCACCACAAATACAAGATCTGTATGGCAAGGCCACATTCACTGGTAATTCAAAAATTACATCTTAATAAAATTATTATTGTTTAACTTGAAGTGTAGATAAAGACTTGAACAGATGTCATGTTTCTAATAATATTATTTTTAAAGTTTTTTTGTTGGTAAACAAAGCTTTAAAGTAGGAAATATAACAATCACGTTTGTTTTTAGAGGAACAGATTAGTGCCATGAGAAAAGAGCTGGAAAAATATGGAATTCAAATGCCAGCATTTAGCAAGATTGGAGGCATTTTAGAAAGTGAGGTATGTGAAAACAGACCAAACAGGTATCAATGCATAGTAGGGTTTGTTTCTTCAGAAAATAATATTACAGTGTACTATCACTCCTGCTAGCCTACTGTTACCACTGCTACTATTGTGCTTCTACCCCCTGCTTGCAATCCCTAAACCACCACCATTTCTGTAGTTACTCTCATTCTCTTTCCCACAGTCAATTCTACGGTTACTCCCACTGTCTTCTTCATTCACTGCCACCCTGCTCATTCAACCCCATTCTTGTTTTCACTGCCACTTCCATTTTCTCTTCTATAATCACTCCCACTTCCACAACCATCGCCATTCACTGTCACTTCTACTCTGTTTCTGTCTTTCTGTCCTACTGACAATCAGGGTTGTTACTAAGATTTCAAGTTGCCGGGGAAATACAATAGGTACGCGGGGAATCAAACAGCTAGGGATTTCTTTTCTTTCTATGTTTCTTCTATTTGCCTGTGAAAATAGCTGGGGGCCAAATTCGTAGGAGCCGACAGTCCTGTTGACACCCATGCTCTTTCTTCCAAATTCACTCCCATTAACACTCCCACTCTTTGTTCCACATTTACTCCCATTACCAGCCCCATTCTTTCTCCCACATTCACTCCCCTCACCACTCCAACTCTTTCTCCTACATTAACTCTTATCACCACTCTCATTCTTTCTCCCACATTCACTCCCATTACCAGTCCCACTTTTTCTTCCACATCCACTCCCATCACCACACCCCTTCTTTTACTCACATTTGTTCTACGTTCTGTTTTCTTTGATACTGTCAGTAAAACTCCCTGTCCATGTTTCATTTTGATTTTCATTTCCACTAGCATTGCCTTTACCTCCAACACTGCCACTTTGATTGTTATCATTTCACTCTTTATCACTGTCACTGCTATTACTACTAAATGCAGTTTTTTTTACTAAGTGGAAAAAACGTTTACTTTACCAGGGCTGTCATTAAGGGCTGGGGATTTTTTAGATACTATGAGTGTGCCCCCTGGCCATTTTCATAAAAAAACTAAAGGCAATTACAACCAAAGGTTTTTAGTTTGTTTGTTGAACTGGAACTGTTTTTTATTGCAGATGCCTGTGGATGAGGCGGCTTGTAAGTATATTGCATTGGAGCTTGTAACTTTACAGTGCAACAAATAAAATGGTTTTGCAGTTAAAAGTTTTACAGTCTTTCACTTAAAATAAACAAAAAGAAAAAAAATCACTTTAGTACTTCAGTTTTTTGACTGATCAGTCACAGTATGACTTAATATCTGTTCTAACAGAGTAAACGTTGGAGTGTTGTTTATTCAGCAGTTTGTGATAAATTAATCATATTTTTCTGTACAGTACATGCTGCAGTGATTGCTATAAATGATGCAATCGATCACCAAGATGCTGGCAATACTTTGGAAGCTCTGCGTAATCCTAATGCACACCTCAGAGATGTAAATGCTGAGAATTCAGAACCTTATCAATCTGCTCTGTATCAGGCAAAGAGTACTAAAGCTGCTCAAGCCATAGCTAAGGTAGGAAAAGATCTTCTAGACTTAAAAAGAAAACTTGAAAAAACTCCAGGGTAACTTTTTTTGTATGTTATGCTCTGTAGTCTCCAGGCAAGGAGGGAATGGATGTCTATGACACATTATTAACCCAAGCTGAAATACAGGGAAACATCAGTCAAGTTAATGATGTGATCAGAAAACAAAAAGCAGAAGAAGCCTGTAAGTGATTTTAAAAGTATTGAGTAAATTCCAGAATTATATACATATATTTATATATACAGTGGATGAAGAATACCAAGCTAACCAACGAGGATGCCACTTGTCAGAAAAGAATCCAGAGGACTCAAAATGTTTCGCCCTAAACTTTATAAACCTGAATGACAAAAAGATCTACAACAAACTTCCTCACATGTCTTGCTGTTTAATACAAACGTTTCACCTTTTGGGTTTTTTCAGTGTATTTACAAAACCAAAACCTGTCCAGAGGTACTTTTGATTTTGTAAATACACTGAAGAAGCGTGAAGGGCGAAACATCTGTATTTAACACCAAGACATGTGTGGGAGTTTGGCATAGATATCTTTGTTGTAGATCTTTTTGTCATTCAAGTTTACATATTTATATATATATAACTGCAGACAGTACTGTTTTCGCCTTCTGGGCCTCATCAGTGCGGCTATGATAGTAGGATGGAGGTTAAGCTATATAGCCACCCCAAATGATCCCACAAATGTGGTATCATCTAAGCCATGCCAGAGTGCTCTAACTAGTATATTAGTGGGCATGCGCAATGCTACGGTCATGACTCATCCTAGTAGAGTGTATATATATGCATTTATATACACTGTATATCTGATAGTATTAGTGAGGTGACAGATGGATTCAAATGTTAATTTCATTTAATTTTTTTAATGTGTAATCAGAGTCTATCAGCTCTACAGTAAGATCTTTTTATAGTGTGGTACTTCAAGCTGTCGTAAATGTTTTTTCCTTTCTAGTTTAAATTTGTTTCTTGCCATGATATTATCTCTTGGTATTGATAATGGAAAAAAAAGTAACATAACATAACATAACATACACTTTGGGTGCGTTCCTTTGGGATGATCCGGATCAGGATCAGTGATCCAGGATAACACGGATCATGGTACATCAAATGAACCAAAGAATCCTTGTCCAGAGTGGATTCATTGGTTCATTTGATCTACCATAATCCGAGTGATGTTGGATCACTGATCCTGTTCCGGATCATCCCAAAGGAACGCACCCTTTATTATGACACCTCTATATGGTGCTATTCTGTCGTAATATACAATAATAACAAATATACTGAATAATAAAATTACAATGGGGCAAAAATATTTACATCTGTTACAACAAGAAATATTTACATGAGTTTATATACAGTCATGAAAAATGTGATTCAGTCTACTTAAGAAGAGTTTACAAGAAAGTGGGCTGCGACTTTCCTTAACTTGAGATCTTGTTTAAGTTCCGAATGTTTTCTGGGAGTCGGGTGTACTCTTTTGCCCCACGTAAGGTGAGAGAGTGTTGACCAGTTGATAATCTGCATGTAGGTAGATTTAACTGTGATATATCTCTAGTGTGATATTCCTAAAAAGATCTTTAATAATATTGTCTAAATAGTATTGGTAAAAAGTAGTATACTGATTTAACAGTGTGGAAGATAGTGTAATAATGTTTAACAGTTATGGTTTCTTTTATGTAAGTGAATCAAGCCGTGAAAGAAATCAATGGAGCTATCCGTAGCAAAAATGAAGAAGTTCTTTTGCCTGCATTGTGCAACACGGCTGCCAGGCTATCTGGTGTTTCAACTGAAAATGGATCTTGGTATATGAAGATGCTGGGAGAGAAAAAGGAGGTAAAAGAACTGCAGGTATCAATAATAGCATCTACTTCAAGGAGCATCTGGCTTCTAGGCTGCATTTTTGCATTATTGACATGAAACATTTTATTCTGATGCAAAAAAAATTATTGTGGAGTCATACTGATGCAAAAAAGTTACCTCATATATAAGTTCTTCCAAAGCAGCAAGCAACAATAAAAGTAAACTTAAAGAAATAGCTGTGCATACTGGCCTGTAAGCACAATGTAAAATGTTGATGTTCTTTATGTTTGCTTCTAAAACAGCAAGCAGGTGTTAGATCTGGTCAAGTACGCATAGCAAGGTAATGCCTGTGACAAAAATTAAGAAATTAGGATCGGGCTTATCAATCAAAATCATAACTTTGCTTTTCAGTTTAAATAATACATTTTTTGTATGGCTTTTTAATGTTTTGTTCAATGTAGTGTTAAGGCCGACAGACCGACTATGAATTCTTTTCTTTTAAATGAATTTTTGCTTATTTAAAAAATTATTGACCATTTCTTGTTGTTGTGCATTTTTATAAACTAAATGCTAATGAATATTGTACATTGTTTGTATGCATACTTCTCTATAGGAATCAGGCATCTCAGATCTCACAAAAGCTGAAATCCAGGAAGCAGTAAATGCTGCTAATGACTTAGCAGATCAACACAGGCAAAGTAAATATCATTATTGCCATAGGGCTGTTACATTGTACTTTTTTCAAGAGCAAGTTCCTTCTTCATGGGACCTGCTTTGAACCCCTTTTGTTTTTCTTCACAAGTGAGTAAAGTGAAGCAGGTTTTGTTTTTGGGTGGGGGAGGGGGATGGACTGTGCTATTCAGTGAGAGTGAGTGGCCTGTGCTTGCAACTCATGAATGTATCTTTTAAGACTGAACAGTCTTTTGTTTAATATTTTTCTCATCCATCTGACTTTGTTAATCATTGTATTTCAGTGCAAGACATAGTGAAGCGCATAAACAAATCTTTAGATGATGGAACTTCAGAAGAAACCCACAACTTGGTTCGAAAACCTGAAGGAATGTTTCCAAAAGTGCTTCCAAGGAGTGCTTTCCTCTACCATGATGGGCTGTTTAAAGGCAAACAAGTATGCTTCTGTCTTATGTCTTACTAAAATAATGTGTGATACGAAGTGATTAGAAAGTTATTAAATACAATATCAAATGCCAGTTTTCCTTTTTTTATACTTTTGAACTTTTTTCTTTCCACTTGAATTCTATCCTTAATTTACTGCGCTTTTCACAAACGTGTGAATTCTGAAGTTCAAAAGCCAACTGACGATCGCGTTTTTCGCTGCCGTCAATCATCCTAATGGACCTCTTAGGAAACAAAACTTTACTTTAACGGGTTCAAAAGTTCATGGGGTTTCTGATTTGTGATTGGAGGATTTCGATCCGTTTTGTGTGTTTCTTTGTTTTAAGGTTCGCTGCTTGTAATCATAATTATGATTGACGGCAGCCAAAAATGCAATTGTGAAGGCAGCTTTTGAACTTTAGAGTTCGTATGTTTGTGAAAAGCGCAGTAATAACCTATAAAAAAGTGATTCGGCAAAAGATCTTTACATGGCTGTTAATGTACATATAAAATTTATATCTTTTGGCAATTTTATCGGAGGAGTGCTGCAGATATTGTGCGGAATGAAATTAGTTAGTTATAAAATGCCAAGTCAAATCTTACGTTGATCAGAAGATCATCTTAATGATTATATTGCTCTAGCTTGTCTATTTACCACTCTGCCAATAGGCGTACATGCATATCAACTGGTAAATATTTTTTTATCTTATTTTGCAAATTGTACTCATTTCTTTTGTAGGAATGTGAATCACTGACTCATGAGTTTATCTGTGAGCAGTTAACAGGTATTATTCAACCTCATCATCCACAGACTAGTACTGTATCTTGACATTAATTTATTCTGAAACTCCATGTGAGTGTTAAGTTTAACAGTTATTGTTGTCAATTTGTTATTTACTTTACTTTTCAGTATTGACAGCTGTAGCTGCCATAAATGAAGCAATTGAAAATGAAAATTCTACTCAGTTAATTAATAGAATGAACCACCCCAATGCTGGCTTGACATCAGTTGAAGAGAGTCTGTGTAACAGATATTTGTCTCATTTGGTGTCTGTTAAGGAGGAGAAAGCACAGGTAGGTTCCGATGGATAACAACTAAATGATATAACATCTGATGGGCTGGAGAAATGACATCAGGTATTATCATATTTCTTGGATGTGAAAAATAAATAAGAAAATAATATTGCAAGTACTTAGTCAGTATTGGAAGTGCAATAGCTACATTGTTCCAATCAAAATAAACAATACCATCATGACTTAAAACCCCATGTGGCAGACGGCAAACCAGTAGGCAGTAAGTGAGCAGAGCCCTTGAACAAATCCAGCTATAGGTCAGAGTGGCACTCAAATCTGGCTCATCCAAGTTGTGAACTTATCCGACTCACTGACCACCCAGCCACAATGTCTGCAGGCAATGAATTGTTGGCCGCCAGTTCACAGGCCTTACTGTAGGAGATGAAAGACTGATCTTTTTTTTCAACTTGTAGGACTGTGGAGTAGGTAAAGATGATCTTACTCAGATTGAACTTCAGATTTGTGTGGACTTTGTGAACACTGTAGTCCAAGATGAACATGACTGTAAGTTATCACACTGGTTTGTTATTTTGCTATTTTCTGCTGCATCTGGAGGCAGGTTAGACTTGCTGTACCCTCTTTGTCATTTGTTGTTTCAAATATAATTTGAATTTAAATTTTTGGGGGCGTTTATTCTTAGCATACATTTGTAATTCATAAAACTCATGTTACGATTTGGACAGCCTTAAACTGTTTATTTTTGTATACAGTAATATCAGCAATAGCCGTGATCAATGAAGCTGTTGACAAGGGTGATCACAACAGCACATTGCAGTGCCTTCATGCTGAGGCTGCCAAGCTTTCAGGCATCACATCAGAGAATAGCCAACTCTATCAGAAGGTTCTCTACTCTCAAAAGATCGCTAAAGCTCAGGTTAGAAAATAAATAATCAGTTTGTACCAACAAAAATGTATGTTAATGTTTACTTTCTTGTCTCTACACGCCAGAAGAGTTTGACGTTAAAATTAAATGCACTTGAAAAACCATTCCATTTGCAGAAAACTGATGAAGATTCAGCAGAATTATGGCATGATGAGATTCAGCTTGGCTTGGATTATGCCAATAGGCACGCAGATGAGGCCAGGCAGTGTGAGTATTGTGTAGTATTGTTGCTTATAAACTTATTATAATATTGTTATGAGTTCCAGTAGTGTGGTGAAGCAACTGTTATTAAGCACTATGATCACTCATGGATCATTAATTTTTATAGTGTTTGCATTTCAGTACACCTAGACATCTAATGTGAAATTTAAATATTAATAAAGAAGTACAAACATTAAAAAAAGTACCAATTCTCTTCTTAGCATGGAAAAAGATGTGATGTTACAAAATTTAACTCTTAGCACCATATCATTATTCACAAATTGCTTCTGGTGCCTACAGGCACCCTGCCATAAGACTTAGCAGTTGATTCATTTGAGGACAGCTTACAGTGATAAACAGTCATCTTTTTTAACTCACACCACACTTCAAGCTACCGTCGACGCTCTCTTAACTCTGTAAGACGGACACCTTGGTAAAATGGACACCTAGGGTTGGTCTCTATAAGACAGACATCTCTCTTTGATGAACACTGCAGCACTAAGTCTTAGTGCTGCAGTCCCCAAAGATGCCAGTCTTAGAGAGTGAGAGCTAACTGTACTTCATCCAGCTGTGGCCGCCACTTTAAATTCTACTGAAATCCATGTATTCTATAACTGTCTATTTTTAATAGTGGCAGAGGGTGTCACTGCAGTAAACCAAGCTGTTGATGCAAATGATGAGAAGTTACTCATGGCAGCCCTGACATACCCTCGTGTCAGCATCTATGGTGTCACCTCACAGTGTAGTCAGCAGTACCTTGAAGAGCTTACAAAACTCAAAGATGCAAAAAAACAACCAGGTTGGTGCTGATCTTTCTTTATGGGCTAAGGAATCTGACAAAATTTTTACCACTGAGAGCACTGTACGGGAATTACAGATAGTCACAAGTCCGAGGAAAAACGTATTACAGAATATACAATGAATTTCTCATCCTATCTTCTGCTATTACATAATGATTCTTTTGTCACCACTTGAGAAGATGGTTTAGGAATTTGGAATAAAATAAATGGTCTCTCATCTTAATTTGTAGAGAGTGATACCAAATGGCTGGAACAGAAGACACCTCAGGGACACATCTATTATTATAATACTGAAAATAATGAAGGATGCTGGGAAAAACCTGAAGACTTCAGTAATTCATCTCTGTTAACAAGGGAAGAAATTCAGGTTAGTTCAACATATTCAACCAGGGCACCAATAATGTAATACCTACATGTTTTAACTACCGTTTAACTTTTATAGTAGTTACAGTTAGTAGTGATTTTACCACTGATTTATTATATCTATTACGATTATTTATCGATCGCATGGCTCAGTCATTATGGAGTAGTTGAATGGGAAACATGGGTTTCCCTTACTTAATGAGTTTGGGTTGTGTATGGCAAGTTATTGGCCGAGTTTGTTTTCCCCGTTTTATGGTTCAAGCACAGTTTGACAATGCAGTACAATATGCTCTAGACAGAGCATGTGTTTGCAGTTATTGTTATGTCTGTTGTGCACTTGCAATTTTATTGGCCTGCTGTGTCATAATATAAGCATTAAATGTAACCTGTTTTGTCAAATTAAATAAAGCGTGTTTTCTTACCTTAATCTGATGCATTAAGTTACATTTCACCTTCATGTCTTATAGCACCAAACTGAAAACGAAATGTGACCTCTTGCATCAAGAAAAATATTTTTTTTTCAACAAAACAGGTCACACTTCACCTAAATGTTATTTAGCACACCAATGACCATGGTTACTATTTTTGCAAAATTTCTTTTGATTAGAAAAAAGCAAATTGATATAATGACTAGCAACCACTAGAATGTAACAGACTCTCCTTGTTTACAGATCTACACTGAATCATAGTTACAGTATTTTGCATCTTGCTTTAAGAATCATCACTTTTCTTGCTTATGGACATTATCGCTGTAAAGCACGACTGCATAGTCAGGGGCGGATCCAGGATTTTTTTTAGGAGGGGGTGCACTCGTCTCTTGCTCTACTTCAACACCAATAAACCACATAGTTTTTTTTTTGCAGAATACCAGTTGTATTAGAAAACCGCAGGTCATCTTCTATCCCCTAGATCCGCCCCTGATAGTTTCTATAGAAAATGTAAATGAAACAATCCTTGAGTGTGCATCAAGTTTCCTGTGTTGCCTTTCTTAACAGGGGCTGATATCACGAGTCACAGCCCAGTATGACCGATGGGTGCATATGCAGTCCAATGAACCTTTGATCATCAAATTACAGTCTCACTGGAAAGGATACTTGGCTAGAAAGGCTTACCATGAAAGAAGAACTTTTTTAAAGGAACATTTACCAGCTGTTATTAAAATCCAGGTATTTTTGTTAACTAAACTAACAGTTTAGAATTGTCATGATACAAGCTTTGGAGAGTAGGACGTTTTTACATGACAACACTGTACATAGCACATTATGCAAAGCTAATAACAGCAATAATGATAATATTGAAAACTAGGTTGAAATTGTTGGCCTACTTCATTTCAAATTATTACAGCATGGAGGAAGTAATCTTCTGGTCAGCAACTGTCTTGAGATTGCCAGTTAAGTATCCAGAGAAAGTAATATGTTTTGATTGTAGGCATTTGTTAGAGGATTTATTCAAAGACTGAAATACCAAACAAGGCTACAGGAACTGAGGAGTCACCCTGATGAAGTCATTAAGGTATGAATATTTAAGACAGATGTTTATGTGTACAATTTAAATCCTTCTGTCACCGCACCACCAAATGGTGAAGTCTGGCTACCTGATCCTCTTGAAATGATTTCATTCTTCCACAATCAGAGAAAACCTTTTTCTGGTCCTTTTTATTTCCTTTATCAGATCTGTTCGTGGCAGTAAAACAGTTTTTCATAATAATATCCCTAGACCAGCATGCAAAGAAAGTAGTATCTGATAGCCGGGGGCTAGTGGATTTTGCTATCGGGCAAGTGAAGATTGTTCTCAACTTGCCCGATGGGCAAGTGAAATTTTTTGAGAAATGCAAATTACAGAAGAAATGTGAAATCAATTGTGCTCATCAAAACGTTTTTGGGGCTAGTTCAAATGACGTTTGTAGTAAATGCTACCTTCAGCTTGCCCGAATGGCAAGCTGTAAAAATGACTTTCTTTGCACCCTGCCCTAGACTGAGTTGTTGTGAATAGTCATATATATATCTTCATTCAATAGATTCAATCATGGGTGCGCATGTGGGTTGCCAGAAGGAAATACCTAGAAAGAAGGAAATACTTCAAAGAACATGTGAGTGTCTTAATTTTTGATGACTTTACTTGGCATTCTTTTTTTGGAATGTGGAGGTCAGTCTTTTAGTTGTAGTACGAAGTCATTACTGTTAATTAGTTGTGTATTACAATTTTTGTTTTCAATACCATAATTCTTGGTCCTCCACAAACCTAAAATAAAGTTAAAAGGGGACATTTGATAGTAATTAAACTGTCTGAAACTCCCCTGGGCAGTTCTGACCATATCTTGAAGCAATATTTTTTAAAAAAGAAACTTGAAAAAAAAACCAAATTTACCTCTTCTCTTGTTGTTGTTATTTTACTTTGCATCTTTCAACTAAGAAAAAGCATTTAAATGAATAAATAAATGCCAGGGCCCAGTTCTTCGAAAGATGGTTAAGTTTAACCCAGGATTAAGCCAAATACTAAGCACGGTTTTCTTGTCTACAAGCGTATAACTCGAGCTTACAAAATACAGTTGAGCTTTTACTCTGAGATACAGTGATAATAACACAAAATGTTACTCTAAGCAATGCATGGGAATGTAGAATACAAGAACGGGGCAAAATTTTAATCCTTGATTTAGTGCCAATTGGGCCCAGGATATCTGTAGAATTACCTGTTTGTTTTTTCTTTTTGTAGGATTCTGCAATAGTGAAGATTCAAGCATGGGTGAGAGCTAATGTGGCTCAAAATGACTATAGAAAACTTAGTAAGTGTTTCTTTTATCTCTAACTATTACATCTCCTTGAAATTATAAAGAAGGGTATTTTAAAATTAAGGGGGCCTAAGACAGGATATTAAAGACCTCTACAGTTTTCATACATATTGTTTAATACATGCTGTTATTCACATTTTGGCATATCATTATATATCTATTCTTGAATTGTTCCATGGAGGCCCATGTAAAATATTTCCTTTAGAGGAAAAATTCCTTGCATATGAGATTCAAACTATGGCAAGCTGGGAATTTTTTTTTGGAGTCTTTCTTTTGAGGTACCATGACCACTTTAAAATTTAAGACGCAAGTCATTAGGAAATTGAGTAATTTTAATTTTCAGTGGACGAAAACCTTGTACCAGAATAATTTAATAGTATCGCATTCTTTTTTACATTTTTCAAGTCAAATTTCACAAGAATTGTGAAAACACAGGTAAAATTCTGAAAATTTCATGTGTAAGATGTCATTTTATGAAATGTGACGTTTATTTTCTTGGGCTTTGATGACTAATTTTCTTTGGTTTTATTACAGATAACTAATTACATCTATATCCCTTGAAAAATGTAAAAAAAGAATGTGATATTGTTTAAATTATTCTGCTACAAGATTTTTGTCCACTGAAAATTAAAATTACTCACTTTCCTGATGCCTCTTTACACATTGTGACTGTACTTTCGCTTGCAGCTGATAGTCTCCTAATTTTTGTCTTTGTTGTTGTTGTTGTTGTCACAAAGTTTCTATGCAAGATCCACCATGCAAGACTGTAAGAAAATTCCTTCATCTTTTGGAACACAGTGATGCTGACTTTGAAGAAGAGCTAGGTAATTCAGTATAATATTTAATATGTACTCTACTGATTTCATCCAAGGACTATCTTCACAAGGATTCTGTCCAGATGTGATAGCATGATCTAATAGCATATGTACTATATACTTTGGTTGAATCACTGACATTATGACCACATCAGCCGGGGGCCACTGGACAACAACTTACTTCTGCCCTTGGTTGACGAGGAAATCCTACTTTTGCTTAAAAATGTAAAGTTTCTTTGAGTTTTTGTCACAACTGCTGGAATGCAATGTTTTTGTGACATTTGACTAGAAAAACAAAACAGGACAAAAAAAAAGGACAAGTTTGTATGGCAGTTTTGCATAGAAAATCTTAGGTAGATTGGTATTGTTAACATTTGATGTGACTGACTCTACAGACCTTCAGAAGCTGAGAGCTCAAGTTGTTACAGAGATCAGATCAAATCAACAGTTGGAAAATGACCTGAATCTTATGGACGTCAAGATAGGACTTCTTGTTCGCAACAGAATCACTTTACAGGTATTCAGATTTCTTTGATATTCGTGTAATCTTTCACAATAAACCTAACAGTTTCTTGTTGTTGTTTCGTTGTTGGCAGTTTTCAGTGTTAACTTCTTAATTAAATATATTTACGGCCATGAGTGGGAACAGTATTTCTTATAGTTGTTATTTTTGTGTGAGTAACCTGTAATAGCCTGTGATCTGTATGAAGTAAACTTCTTGTTGCTTTTAGGACGTTGTACATCATGGAAAGAACTTGAAGCGCGAAAAACAAGACATGAGTATGGCTTTACAGAGAACGAAAGGAATCAAGTCTCTTAGTAAAGAGAGCCATGAAAAGCTAGAAGCTTATCAAAATTTATTCTACCTGCTTCAGACAAATCCAGTTTACCTAGCGAAGCTGATTTTTGCAATGCCGCAGAGTAAATTTACCAAGTTTATGGAGTCTGTTATATTGACATTGTACAATTATGCTTCTAATGCACGGGAAGAGTACCTGCTTGTGAAGTTATTTGATACTGCTCTCAAAGAAGAAATCATGTAAGTATAAATGTACATTCTTATTCAACATACTGGTAATACTATGACAGATGTCTTACCAAATTTTAAAGTATCTTCCTGTAAACAAGGTCGCTGAGCTCAAAATAGGATTTTTGAAAGCAAAATGCTTTTGTATCTTGTACAGGGTTATGGTAAATTTTTTTTTCAAGGCGTTGTTGATGACCGCTGTGGTTTGTTTTTCAGTTCAAAGGTGGACCAGATGCAGGACATAGTGACGGGAAATCCGGCAGTCATTAAAATTGTGGTACACTTTAACAGGTGAATTATAGAGAACGTTTTAGCCCTTTTTTTGGCATCCACTTTATGATTCCCAGCAGGTCTTCTTGCTGGACACTACCTGTACAAAATCGTCTACAGTAATATTGATGTATGAAAATATGAATGTAGCACATATGCAGCTACAATCCCGTCGTGACTCATGAAACGATCAGTTTCTTCTCATACCAGCCTTTGTTCCCGTAGAATTTTGGTTACCCCATTGTTTCAAATGTGAGTTTGTACTTAGCATGTTTTATCCTTCTTTTATACAGAGGACAGAAAGGTCAGAGTTCACTGCGTGAGCTGCTGCAGCCGTTAGTTGAAGGTGTTCTTAATGACAAAAACCTGTCAATAAATACCCACCCACTCGAAGTGTACAAAGCATGGATAAACCAAATGGAATCGGAGACTGGACAAGCCAGGTACAGTCTAACTTCAAGTTCTAACTGCAAAGACTGCCGTTCCGAAAAGCATCAGGAAGTAACTGTCAATACGTGTGGAGCTACAGGAGCATTTTGTGTATGGGTAGATGTACTAAGAATATAGCTATAAACCGTATTAATTCGTTCTTTTTATACCTGTATTTGTAGTAAGTTGCCGTATGATGTTGAACCAGAACAAGCCATGAAACATCCTGAAGTGAGCTCCAGAATAGAGGCTGCTATGAAGAGGCTTACAACTGCAACAGATACCTTCTTGAATTCTATTCTTCAGTCTGTTGATAAAATACCGTAAGCACTGTTCTTTATCTTCATTTGCATTGAATGTCAAATCTAACTTGCTCGTCTTCTAGTAGTGTAATTATTTTATTTCTTATATATGTTTTTGTTGGTTACTAGTTATGGTTTAAGGTATGTTGCCATGTCTTTAAGAGTGGCTCTTACCGAAAAGTTCCCAGAAGCGCCAGAGGCAGAGATATTGAAGGTAACATGGATATTATTTATAGAGATGAAAAAGTTGAACATTTCTGTGCTCAGTTGTGAGAAGTATGGTGATGGAAAGTTTCTTTTTTCAGGTTGTAGGTAACCTGATCTATTACAGATACATGAATCCTGCTATTGTGGCTCCTGATGCATTTGATGTGGTGTCTTTTGGTGTTGACAAAGGTTTGACACCAGACCAGGTACAGTAGCGCACCTTCATATATGCAAAGGAATATCACAGTTAAATAATCATCAACAAAGAAAAGCAACCACCATGGAAATCTGCGTCTTCTTTCAACCTAAGATCATGGACAAAATTCCTTAGGGCAGTGATGTAATATTCTTAATTATCAGCAATTCCAGGGTGCCTCCATAAAACAATGCAGTCTTTTTATAAATACTTCAAGTGCGGTTTTCCCTTCCCCCACCCCACCCTATACAATGTTCAAACTTGGGTAAAATCCTGGATACACGTGCCCAGCGTTGTTTGTGGGGTTGGGGTAGGTGTTGTGAATGTATGATTTGAAAAAAGCCCCGCAAATACAAATTTGTCTCTTAAGACTTTTGTCCATGATTGTAGGATTCTCTTCCTCTTTAACTGCAAACAAATTATTTCAATGTTTCATGCATGGCAATTTAACTAAGATTTGCATGTTTTGCTTTTCTCTCACAGAGACGAAATCTTGGGTCTATCGCCAAAATCCTTCAGTATGCAGCCTCAAATAAAATGGTAAGAAAGCTGTGACCGTCGATCATTCAGTTTAAGGAGAATTTGCAAAGTACTCGCCTCCGTGATTCCGAGACAGTTTGGCCCGCACCAACATGGCAACGGAAAGATCTTGAAAACAGAAACTTGTAGACCCTCGCACTTTTGATGTCGCTGAACATCGTGCATTTTCTCAAACTTTCTATGTAGAACGTCTTACATTTTTCTACAACTTAAGTGGTAAATCCTAGCGTCCTTGTAGGTGGAGCGCTTTTGTCTATGCGAGTATAGACCATTGAAAATTACTCTCTACTTGTGAAATGCATCAAGCTCTGAAGGTGATATTAATGCCAGATTTGAATACCAGTTTAAGTATTCCTTCTATTGTTAATTCATTACTAAATGAAAGATGTTTTACCCAGTTAGGAAAACAGTCCAAAAACAAAGATTTAGAAAAGATTGATCTGGAACAGCCTGAATCTGAGAATTCAACTGAATATGTTGTTAGTACGCGTTGAGTTACACTCTTCCCAGTCACTCGCTTCAGTCTAGTGCATCAGCCTCCGCTATACACTGTATATAGCTGATTCAACAAAGGTTGCTTGGGGCATTGGGAATTGGCAAGTGTGTATTAGGTATTGGATATAAGGAACTCAGTGCAATGACTTTCTTGAGTGACCACCAAACAGTAGATTCCCAGTGCGTAATTCCTAATGCGCGAAGCAACCGTTATTGAATCAGTTGTATAAATTAAATTCTTACGTCGTTTCAAGGCTTAGCACCTTGCTAATTGCACAATCCTACACTTTATCATATGACATTTTTACGTTAATATCTTGTTTAGTTATAATGTACTAGCTGATATTTACATACTTAACAACAGCTCAAACAAACATGAAACGTACTTTTTTTGTGCCTTGTAAAGCTTACACAACGATCATCTTTGTGCTACAAAGTGGTGTAGGATAGTGTTTTCTTTCCTGCTGTATTTACGGGTTATGCATTTTTTTTATCTCTTATAGAGCAAAAATAATACGATTGGGGATACCAATTAATGTGTTTATCGGTTTTCATTTTATTAGTTTGGAGGGGAGAGTGCGCATCTTAGTCCTCTTAATGGCTACATTGCACAGGCTCACCAGCGCTTCAAGTAAGTTCCATATAAATCTCCTCAATCATTTCGTTTTATGAGACAAAAAAAAACACACCAGTTTAGATGTGTTCTTATTTTACCTTCATGTGTGTAGTAAGTAAAATAGTTATGGGTGCTTCTTTGTCATCTAGGGTGACGAAAGTCAATGCACCATACAAAGGCTTAAAGTGAATGTTATGGGTAAAAAGCAATATATCTTATAGCGTATTTGAGAAGACAATAAGTGCGTACCATTAGCATCCAGATTTTCCCAAGATTTTACTCTGATTGCAGTAACAACTAGTAAGGTGTCCTTTTTATAGTAATAACTTTATTTAACGAGGGTAAAGACATTGATTACTGGTCACCCAGTAGTTTTCATAATGGCCCTCCTACAATTAAAGTAATAAAAAGTATCGATTAATTAATTAACTACCAATATAATCTACCAACTAAAATTACATAATAAACTACTATTAATACAATATTGATTAATTGACTACTAATGAAACTAAAAGGTTTTACAAATCTTAAAGTGATCAAGAGAAGAAATCAAACTACGGTAAAGTTTAAATAAGTAATTTTTAAAATTAGTATGGGAGAGTGTCTTGGGTTCGGGATCAAGAGCGTTCCACAAACGGCAAGCGCTTGAGTGAAACGTTCGAAGGCCAGAGTTCCCTTTACAAGCTGGTGTTGTAATATTGTTGTATAGAAAACTGTTCAGCCAAATAACAGATTTCATGTAAAGAGATTTGTCTGTTAACTGTTGACTGATCTTTTTTGTGCGTTGTGGTGTAGGAAGTTTTTCTTGGAGGTGTCAACAGTAGAGGAACCTGAGATTCATTTCAATATCGACGAGTACACAGATGTAGTGATGGTCACTAAACCGGTGATTTACATCTCAGTACAGGAGATCTGTGATACTCACACTTTACTGATTGATCACAGAGATGAAATAGCACCTGATCCTAATGACCCTCTTCATGAATTGCTGGATGATCTTGGTGATGCACCCAGTGTTGAGGCTCTACTAGGTAGGTAACACTTCATAGACTGTTCACAGTGCTCTATTTGTTCGTAAGATCTTCAGGATCATTATTATCGATCATAATGGATACGTACCGAGGGGGTGGGCGTCGGGGTTTATAGCGGAGTGGAGAGGGAGGCGAGAGAAATATCTACCTCTATTTTTCTTTTCTATTTTACCCCGCCCGCTAAACGAACAGTCTACAAAGGTCCCGGATCGACAATGAACCATCGTGATGTCTCAGTAATAATAATAATAATAGCATTTATTAATACACGATTAAAAAGTGCAGCAGAGCTGTATGAATGTTTTAGGAAAATGAAAAAATCTAGAGAAAAGTCTTTTTCTTGTCTTCTTTTCTTTTTCGTTTTAAATAACACTCGTGCGCCAGGCTTACAACTGAATTTCATTAATTTTTGTTAAATGAATTATCGGGAGGAACAACATTGGGGTTCTAAATTTCGCGTCGTTTCGCGAGAACTATTTTTTGTTTGTTTTTCATTTTGTTTTTTTTTCCGTCTATTTTGGCCGTGCGATCGCCATGAATGTTTACTTTACGGCCGACATATTCACTGTATCCTAATGCGTTTCAGCAGTGGTCATTTCAGTTTTGTTTATTTGAAGGAGACTTGCGTATCTGTTTGATATTTTTTGGCGATAGGTGACATAGCACCAGTGAATGGAGAAGAAGGACTAACAGCACAATCAGCCAAAACGGAGATTTCTTTAACTCTGACAAACAAGTTTGAGGTACCAGAGGATGACGACTCTGACATGAGAGCCTTGTTTGTAAGGTGAGCTCACTTAATCAATCTTGTAACTGCTGTGAGATGTGTAGGTATCACGTCTGCGGGGCAGTGGTCTGTTTACTTTGCCAGTCATTTATTGAATGTTTGTGTTTTGTATCGCAGAACTAAAAGAATGATTGTTGATGTGCTTAAAGTTCAACCTGGTGAAAATCTTACAGAAATCCTTGAGACAACCGCAACTGATGAACAAGTGAGTCTTTTTAACATGTACCACTTAGTTTCGAGGTATTGTCAAGTTCTTTGTAAAGATCGACACATCTATCCGACTGCGTACCATTTGTTAACTCGTTAGCCATTCTGTCACAGCATGCATTGTTTTTAAACTCTGGTAAAGCTAGCGTTTCACCTGCTTTATTTGGCCGGGGACACTCTCGCATGCAGACTGCAACCAAAAACAGTAAAAAGTACAAAATTGTACAACCTGTTTTCTTACTGTGCTTAATTTGAATTTAACAAACATCAGTCTAATTTTACATGACAAAAAAAAAATTTCTTATGATGACGAGAATGCAAGCAGTGGTTTAAGGCTTCGGAGAGCCGTGACTGGTTTTAACATAACCAACAGAAACAGAGTTCCAGCCCCATTGACTGATTACGAAGTTTCTTTTTTTTGCTGATATATCAGTCTAGATCATCGGGGACCATTAATTGTATCAGACTGCTAACTACGGGTGGAGTACTGGTAGAAGTAATTCATTCATCATTTGAATTTTATCACGTGACTGCTGTCTTTGTCCCAGGAAGAAGAACATACGCGGTTAATGAGGCTTCGAGAACTGAGCGATGAAAACAAGAGTAAGTCCCACGGCAACGTGACAAGATCAGCCTCCGCTTACGGTGATACCAAGTATGTACGATGTGTTAGGCTACTTGCAAACGGACGCAACAACTCCCAAGATTGTTCGGCCAACAATGTTGGGAGTTGCTACGTCCGTGTTGGCAGTGGCGTGCAAACGGATGCAATAATTCCCAACATTGTTTGGACCTGCAGTGTGCATCGTGGAAAGAATACAGTAACCTCCAAGGAGACCATGTGTCATGCAAGTGTGGGGCCCCAAGAATGTTGGAAGAGCTTTAGCAATAGCTGTGCAAACGGATCCAAAATCATTGCGCTTGGGAGTTGTTTGCCCAAAAGTTTGACCGGTTTGAAATTTTGCGCAACAAAATGCAACAGGGTGTGCAAACGGACGTAACATGTAACATCCAAATGTTGGCCAACAATGTTCCGTCCGTTTGCACGGGGCTTTATTCGTCCCATGTATTTATTACCCACCCGCCACGGGTCTTCCTGCCACGAATGACATGAGTCTCCATTACAGAGCCGGGCAGTTATTACGTAAAGTACTTTTACCTTACGCTTAAATGGAGTAAAATCTTACGGGGTAACCAGTCAGATAAATCATCTTTACCGAGACTTTCACTACAAATATTGTTTATGTATTTTTCAGTGTGAAATATGAAAATCTTTTCCCTGTTCAAAAACCACTTGCAATGAGCACTGTTGACATTACTCGTCTGCTTGTGCCGCGAACGGCTTTACTGAAGTGAATTCTGTTGATCACTACAAAAATGCGACACATTTACCCCCAAAGCCACTGTCATTGTTGGGTCTAGAAATGAAACATGCAAAGCGTCCTTCTTATTGGGGAATGTGTTGATATCTATTTGATAGACTTGGGATTATTGTTTAGTTTGTTTCCTCACCAATATTCTTCCTGTTCTTGATATCATCGTGTTTGTAACTGAAGGAAGTAATTTTCTTCTTTTTTTTTTCTTTTCCTTTTTTTATTTCACAGGCTTCCCCTTGAAGGACTTAAAAGAAAGATTATTAGAAATCTACGGATGCTTGAAAGCCAAGGAGTTGTTACCATCAAAAATGACTATCAGGACATCATCAATGCTATTGCAAAGGTAACCTTTCTGATTTTGTTTAATTTAACTACTCATACCCTTGAAATGTGGTTCGTTGTGATGTTGAACACAGTTGCAATTAGCCTCAGCTCCAAAGTCATAAGCTTCTACTGATTTTGTTGACTGTTAGACTACGTTACAGACGAAACTAAACCTCTAGGTAACTGAGTTACTAACCGGGCTCAGATTATTCAGTCTGTGACACAGGCTATCAGTCAGTGTGTCAGTGTTAGTTATTTGGTATCTTGTTTTCTTGTTACAGGACATCCGCAATCAGAGGAGATACCGTCAAAGGCGGAGACAAGAAAAAAAGAAACTTGGACAAACTTTGGAAAGCTTGCAGAACAAATCGCAGTTCTATGAGGAACAAATCGACTACTATAATCAGTACATTCGGGTGTGCTTAGATAACCTGGCCAAGAAAGGAAAGTAAGTTATTCATTGGTTTTAAACATTCTATTATGCCTTATACTCAGAGTGGGATGAGGTTGGATACAGTAGGCGGGGATCGGGGGCACGTAAAAGACTCGATGTTTTGTTTTAATTTTAACATGTCCAGTTTCTTTCAAGGATAGTCGCACATTGCGACTGCAGTGCTACATTCTTTATAGATTTTTCAAGTTTCGCCAAATGGGAAAAGCCAGCCCCAAACCTACTTTTCACCGTACTTGACACTTTGACTATTTTGAGTTGTTTAACTGGGAAGAGCAAGTTTGTTAATAACCTGGTTTGTTGAATAATTTGCCAGAAAACCTTCAAGAGCCAAACAGCAAAAAGGAGAAGTGTTCCGCGGAGAAATCAAGTACACCGCGCAGAGACTGTACGAGAAGGGAGTTATACTTGAAATCGAAGGACTACCACCAGCGCAGTTAGTAAAAACTTCGATTTTTATTAAATAAGTGATAATGCTACAATCAAGGCCAACGATGAGCTTTGACCGCTTTAACCGGGATGGGCAACCATAGACTGTTTTACGTTGGTCATGTTTTCGGGTTCTAGAATTAATCTGTATTAAAATTTCCAACGGTGGAATGTCATGCGAGGTTTGTAACCTTGCGTTTTTTCAGAACGGCGTCAGTTTTAGTTTTTTTTTTGTATTGTTTGTTAGCCCTCTTCGCTTTTGCCTTTTTTTGTGTTCGAAGACAATGAACATAAGACTTCCTCTCGTTTTACGGTGTATGCTTTATTTGTTTTTAAGTTTAGGAACGGATTGCTGTGTTTCTGTTTGTCTATAATGTGCTTAAGTGACGCAGATGTGTTATTTGTCCATCAGGTTTAAAAATGTCATGTTTGAGATCAAATCAGCCGATGAAGTCGGTGTTTTTGTTGTGTCTGCTAAATTCATGGGTGTGGCGATGGAGAAGGTAGAGTTAGTCTTCCAGGTAAGAAAAAATAATTCTCTTCTGTTTAGTATGATTTGATTGAGGCTTAATTCAATCACACTTTAACGGTCTGTTTCTTCTGTGTCATAAACACTATTTGATGTTAAAAGCAAAGTATTTCGACAACCGTTTTCACTACAGTTTGAATTTGATGACCTTTTCCAAATCGCTTCTAGGTAGGAAAGGAGCCTAAAAATAATATGAATCCAGGTGTACCCTCGCAAGTTTAGCAGTATATAAAAGGCAAGAGACTGGCTTCCTCCTCAGGTTATTTTGTTGTTCTTTTGACAGGACTTGCTCCAGCTTCAATACGAGGGTGTAGCAGTTATGAAAATGTTCGGTCGAGCCAAGATAAACGTAAACTTGCTGATCTTTTTGTTAAACAAGAAATTTTACGGCAAATAGATAACGCACGGATTACTTCAAGAATATTAACAACACTTGTGCTGTGAAAAATTCCAGTACACAATAATTATTGCACTGCAAGCCTGTGCGCGGACGTAAACAACACACGCTCATAGCAGCGTCTAAAGAGGGATACATATTAGATGTGTATATTATCCGCGATGTCACTATTTTACGGCGATTTGATGCAGTTTTGAGATCTTTTTCAATTAGTCAAAACCCCGACTGTTTTCGAGGTCCTGAGGAAGTACGCAACGCCTTCGTTGGATCAAAATCGCTAGCAGATCGCCGTGAAATCCAATTATCCGTCTTGTTGTTGCAGTATAATTAAATCGCCGTATCGATAATGGCCTTTACTTAGACTATGTCCTAGTAGAGGTTGCCTAGGAGTGTTTACAAGTTGGTATTATCGAAGATGTAATTAGTAACGCCTTACATTCGCGGGGTTACCCTTTATTGGCGGAAATAAGTGGGGGGAGGGGAGGGAGGGGAGGGGAGGGGACAATAATAGTGAGACTCTAAATTAATGTTTTAGAGGACAGATAAGAAGAGAAGCTGCGAGGGTTTAGGTGGGGGGGGGGTTTGGTTACACGCACTTTGAAGCTCAGATAACTCTTAATCCGTCCAACTGGGTATTCATAAAAGGTCCTTCATGTCGTGTTTTTCTTCTTGTTGATTGGGTTACGGGTTACTAAAACAAAGCCTGTAGATGTCTTTATTTTTTTTTCTATAGGGATGGGCTTCGGGTACATTAACGAGACAATTTAAACCTCACGTTATCACGTGCAATGACCGTTTCCAGTTTGAATTAGAATGAAAATTATTTTTAGAAGTGTTTGGATCCGAATGCTGTGTTAAGATTGTAGAGAAGAGGGAAGCACAATTGAATATTAAATTCTTCCTCTTCGCGCCGCTCTTCAGTACAGCTTCTGGAAACGGAATATTAATATATAAGGGTATAGTTAGTTCACAATTCTGCCTTATTGAATTTGGGGACACTTGACGAGCAATATTTCTTGGAAGTCAGTGGGTTTTTATTATAACAACTCTTTTTAAGGGTTGTGTAACAGTCGTTGATTCTAAATAACTAACTCATGTTAGTTTTCATCTAAAAATATGGAATACCCAGCTGATAAAACTGCATTCTATTCTTTAGCTGCCATACGATCCTTTCCTTCATTTAATAAACTAGCAGCATTTCTAATGTCTTACTGCCTTGATTATATTGTTTTTATTGCAGTTGTTTCTATCAACAAGTGGGAATATTTAACAATTACCCTCCGTTGAGTCGGCATTTGCATGTCTCCCATAATGAACCGCGTTTCACCCACCCCCACCCCCCCCCCCAAAAAAAAATATATATATGTCTTCAATTTCTCCCGAGACCACTGTAATACCCAGGAGAAATTAAAAACAAAGGTTATGCAAAACTTTAGAAGGCAAACAAGTTGTATTATGGGAGATATAAATGGCGAGTAGCGAAAGTCATTCAGAAACGTACATTCATTGGGGATCGACTATTTACCAAGTTAAGAGTTGAGTTGAGTTTGAGTTAAGTTTGAGTTAAGTTGTAGTTACCGTTTTTACTTAAAATGTCGTTAATACTATCCACACGACATAAAATGTGCGGATTATTTATATAAAAATTATTATTTTTGAGGTGGTATTTTAGTTTTTAATACCCGATCGAGTTGGGTCAACCAAATCTGCGAGCCACGCGAGCCACGGTGCGAGTCATGCGAGCCATGCCTGTGAGCCATTTTTGAGTAATTCCGTTTTTCTTAAATTGGTCGGGGAGGTCGTCGATTATTCCACCAGCAAACATCCCTGGAGTTTTACCTGCGACTTGCCTAGCCGCCATCTTGTAAACGGAGTTACCTCGCTCCCAGGTTCCTCTCTCTCTGGCGCGACGCGAAGCAGTGTTCCTCGTGATGGCTCAATTTCGGCTCAATACGGAGATCCAACTAGCCGTCAATATAGTGCAGTATTGCCGTCTCAAAACAAAAATTCTTGCTATACGCGTTATCAGGTTTTTGTTTTGCAAAAAGTTTCGAAAAACCCGACTTTTCACGCCATAAATTACTCATTGAAACATAAAAATTCGAAAGAACATCTTTCTGAAGTTTTCCAAAAGAAACATGCGTCGAACAAAATGAGTAAATAACGCAAGTTTGCCAAGTTTTTAGCGAAAACTTTTTTCAAAATTATGATGGCGTGATTAGCCCGCGCATAGCTCAGCTCGATGTAAACAAACCGTTCAAACCAACAAAAAGAGATTTAGAACTTATCGTATCGTTCACTTTTGATAGAAAGGATCGCTTCATTGAATACAGTGTTGCTTTGTCTACCAAACTTGACAAAGTAATCAACATTTTAGTCCTTACTTTGAATATTTTTTGAAGTTTTTTGTTTTCTACGGGAGGAACCCATTAAATTGCCGCGGGAATTTTTCAACCAATCACAGACTGACTTTAAGTTGAAGTCATCATTTTTTATTCTGAGAGAATGAAACATACAGCTCCACCGCTCCGCTACTCGAAGGGGTATCCAATGACAGCTGTCACTCATTGCTATCCACGTGGAAAATCATTTAGGAAAAAAGATAACAGCGCACTTTAGTTCGAACTTACTGTGTTGGCGACAAGAATGGTAAGTAAATCGGTTAATTTTAACAGGTTTGCTCCTTAGTGAATCAAATTTACTAGAACTCTGACAGTAGGCTGACTGTTGCATGTGTTTGCCTCTTTCCTCAGTCAAGTGTTTCTTCAAAACTAGCCACTAGAGTGGCAGAGGCCGGATTTGAGGTCGCATTCGACCCACCAGCAGACGGCAAATGTTTTTTATCACGCCGCTTCGTTTCAAATTGGATTTAGTGCGTCAACATTGACCTCTGTCATCTTTGAGTACCTGGATAATCATCAGTTTGATGTAAGTAGTTAATTTCTTCTGGCCATTTTTGTTCAATTTCATTCTGAAGATGCAAGAAAGGTTGCCTAGGTTTTTATAAGTCTGAAGCGATTGCTTTGATGCCGTGTTTGTCAATGAATTTATTTTTGTACATGTTCGGTGTTTTCGAGGGTAATACGTCGAGGGTCGAGGGTAACAAGTCAAGGGTTGAAAAATCTCAAAATTGAAAAAAAAAATCGTTGCATTAAGACCCAGCTGATAGCCTGCTGAATCATAGAAGCACGTGCCATCGCAAGGCGGGTTGAAGTCTATGTCTATTTGAAATCCTTTGTCCTCCACATACTTCAACAACTTAACACTACCACTTGTCTCCATTTAATACTCAGTGTCTGTAAAATTTTTTAAAAAATACTCAACATTCTTACAATTTCTAAACACTTTTTCGAAAAAAGGAGGAACCTTATTCATGAAACTCGGGATTTTTACATCTAGCTGAATAGAAAGCAATGGAATGTTGATTTTGTCCGGAAAACAAGTGTCATCGCATTCTGTCTCTTCGACTACGAAAGATAAGATTGTTATTCTTTTGTCTGACAGCTCCAGAGAAAACAGAACATAATTGCTGTAATAACATTACATATCGTTTTTAACTATACCTGAAGGAAACTTTCCAGCTTTGGAAATTAAAATCTGGACGTGACAAGTTAATACCTTTATATTTTTAGTAAAATGTATCCGGTTCCTGAATGTTTTTAATTCAATATTTATTTGACACTGGATTTCCAGTATGCTAAAATATCGGCGGGCTCACAAAAAAAGTCTATCCTTTTCTTAATACACCCTCTTCCCAGTGCGCCGGAAAAATCACTTTCAAACGCAGCATTCAGGCAATTGTTATACCTTATTGTAGACAATTATAAACGTGATTTAAATTTAATAACGCGAGTTAGAGGGAAAATGTTTTTTTTTTTTTTTTTAAAGAAAGGGAATTTAATAACGCGAGGAACGGGCCTGACTTTTAGGGTTTAAGATAACTTGGCTGTTGTACCGCTCTTTTTTTGAAAGCAAGAATAATATAAACTGGAAATATTGCAGGGACATACCATATTTATTAGAATAAGCGCCGCGGTGCTTCTCAAGTACGGCGCCCGAGGGCAGCGCTTATTTGGGGGCGTCGCTTATTCGAGTAAATACGGTATCTCTAAAGTTTTTACATTGTGAAATAATAATAAAAAAAATAGTACAGAAAATGGAGGCCTGCTACTTCTTTCATTACACAGGATAACGGAGATGATCGACTGGCCTTTCTGTGTCAAACAGATATGGGTGGAAGGAAGTGCCAGGAACATGGTCAGAGGCTTTAGAAATACTTCGAAACAACTATGCGAATTCGCTTGTCATCCAAGCCTTGGCAGATGCGTTGCATTACAAGCTTGTTATTATAACAGTACATGGGGTAAACTACTTGAATTTTCTACTTTACCTAAGTAATGTATGCCTAAATAATAAAGTCGAAGCTGTGGTAAACGGCAACCTTGAAATTGGCAGAAGTGGTCGTATCTATAGCCAGTAGTTTTCAAGCCTAAACCTCCGTTCCGCACTGAATTCGCCAATAAATACAGGATGCCCGATTTAATACCAGATTCTACGTAGGTTACGCCGAAGATCTTCGGCGTGGATTTCAAACTTGCGCCGCGTACTGGCGTACAGCGGCACCTTTGAGCTGGCAAAGTTTGCCAGCTCAAAGGAACAACTGGCCCCAGATGACTTATTTTAGGTAAGAATTATAGAGGACTTTGGCGTAGACAAAATTTGGCGTATCTTCGGGGTGGCGTGCACACGGAATGCACCCTGGCCGCATACGGTTCAGAGCAAATGGTTAATTGGTACGCAAATTGTTATTAATAGCACTGTAGTACGAACTAAAACAAACGCTTATCCGAAAGGTGTGTTACTATTTCTAGAGTAACATTATAATTTTTTAGTTAATTTTGAAGTCATTCCAATTTCCTCTCTTCGGATCTCTATTGGCGGTTTTAAAAATATGATGACGCTTCGCCGTCAGGTATATTTCAGTATTAATTTTAAATCTT